CTATCCGTAGCAATAGACCAGATCAGCCTGACCGAGTGTTCCCCGTCCTACCTGCCGACCGACCCCCCCTGACACTAACGGGTGTACATATAGGACGCAGCTATACCGCGCGGGGTACTATAAGAAACCGCGGATCCACCCGGAGTGCGAATTATTGTGTGCGAAAGCCTAGGATGTGCTCCTAGCGGTAAGGCACCCCGTAGCTATCCCGACGGGCTACCGTAGGCTGGCCTGGAGTTGGTGGGGGGGTAATATTACGGTTCTATTAGTTGCTGGCGGCTAGGTACAAGACCCGGCCTAGTGCACCCAGGCACGTGACGCGTGCCCACGAGGACGTATAGACCTCGCAGGGTCTTCACAGGAAAGGGGGACCGTAAATTCCCTCCTCTTTCTCTTTTCCTACCTTATCGTTAGATAGACTCAATCTGAGCTACCAAGTTGTTCCAACAGGGCTTAGCCCACAACAGTAGGTGATCGAGAGTATCGTTTACGCGTATTTCAGCGTCAGAAAGAGCCGTAGAAGGGCGTGGTGTCGGTATTATCGCGAGATTGATATATTGCTACGAATAAGTGGCCGGTGTGGTGATGTGGCCGGTGTGGTGATGAGCACCACCTTATTGGAGTTGGGGCGTGGCACGAGTAATCGACTTGGCGGGGACGGTCAGTTTGTACCGTCTAAGATCAATCGACCGCCTTGAAACGTTCAAGGTAGCAAGTGCATCCGTAGGTGGGTCGAAAGCGCGGCTTTCTGACATCCATCTCTAGATGACGCGGGTTCCAAAGTTGGAGGGATGAACCTCCAGCAATGGAAGTTATTGAGCGGATGACAAGAACTGGACAGGATCCCGCATCCCGTATTTCCCACCAGGTATGGTCGTATGTGCTGATTTGTCAACTAATGATTTATATAAAGACTTGACAACACACGCGTCTACTTCCATGACCTCATGCATTGACTCCTCCCATGACCTTCCCTTACTATCGCACAATGCCCGACTTGTGCAACCCCAAAGGCCGCGCACTCAAGTCCTCGTCCAGCACATGATAACCTCCCACCAGTCGTCAATAATTGCCGGAACTTTGGGGGCGGGCACTTTTGCGCTCACGATATCTTTGCAGGATAAGTGACTACGCACAGCGCTGCAGCATATCCATACTTGGTCCCGGACGTCGGCCCATCTGCGGGCCCATCCGCATCCAAGTGAGCGCCCAAAGATCTTCCAAATGCGGCGTCTGGGGGGTTTCCTGTCTTCTGGTGATGCGGATGCTCGATGTACACGGACACGTGGAACCCGATGAGGCCTCGTCACTCGCGTCCAGTCGCATGACCCAACAGCCGGTATGCCATTGGGCTATGCCACATCTTTGCTGGCCTAGAGTCTTTATCGCACCCCTCATATCGAGGGAGCCCACCTGCGACTTGCCGCCATCGGAGGACCACCATCCCCGGACTTCTGGCAGATGTAACGTTGATCTCCGTGTCGTGGGTGATTTCCTTTCCCGATATACGCGCTTCCCGCACGAGGCAAGGCACCTCACACCCTTGGCGATGGAGTGTCCGCCTGGACAAGGCCATGTAGATCGCCACTCCAGGTATCTATATACATCCTCGCTTCCCATGTCAGGCTTTGTGCCTCTGTCCTGATCATCACGCACGGCATCATCATGCCTAACCAAGGCAAACACGTATACCTAGTGCTGGTCGAGGGCATGTCCTCGTCCAGCGGGAAGCCCGGAACCTGTGTCGGGTAAACTGAGAACCCTAAGCCACCCGGGGTCCTCCCCGCCCATCTACTGGTACGAGCGCCTCAAGGCCGAGTACACGGGGCAGCATGCGGGCGAGACACTCCCCGCGGGGTGTGACCCTGCTCGCATGGCCAGAGCCGTCCCGACTCTGAACGAGACTGAGTCGGTCGAGACCCTCGAGGAACCCCTCGAAACCCAGAGAGATGACTACACTATTGAACAGAGGATGCTTGCGCGCGTGCGCGAACTTACCCAAGGCCACGAAGCATGCGAGATGGAGCAGGGCAAGTGGGCGTACCAGACCTGCAAGCGTGCTGGCTGGTCGCCCTTTGCGGAGGTGCGTGCCGTGACGCTGCCATACGATGACCCGAACGAGGCCTGCGAGAGTTTCCGAGCCTACGTGCCAGAGTACTTTTGGATCTGCGTGTGCACAATGGTCAACGAGTATCTCAGGCCTCGTGTTTGAATGAAAATAACTAACGCTGCACGCGCAGTCTTCTCCCCCCATATGCCTGGCATTTCTATCCCAGGCTCCGTCGTCCAGCTGCTGCTCGCCCCCTCGTCCCCAAGGCCCGTGGCATGGCCTGGCTCCTTCCGGACTGGGGCTTCCGTTTCTGCGGCAAGCGGTATACGCTCAACCCGGGCCCTTGGACGAGCAAGGAGCAGCGTTTCGCGACCATCATCTTCACGGGCGCCTCTAGTATCGGTAACTCCACCGGGTTCCTTGTGCTACGTATGTCTGTCTCTTTCAACAAGCGCGGGGCCACGTTTGGCTTTAATATCATACTCGCGCTAGCCAACTAGGTCTACGGTCTTGGTATGGCGGGCATCCTGCGCCGGCTGATTATATACCCTATTGAGGCTGTCTGGCCGTCTGACCTGCCTATGATAGCGCTGAATAGGACGCTTATCTACCAGGATAGCAAGCGCGAGACGGTATATAGTTAGAGGCTAGCGCGCTATAAGATGCTTATCGTGTGTAGCGCTATCTTCCTTGTCTACTACTAGATCCCTAATGAGTTCTTTGTCGGCCTCTGTCTCTTTGACTAGATGACCTAGATCACGCCTGATAACTCCCACCTCGCTACCGTAACGGGCTCGTACGGCGGCATGGGGTTCAACCCCCTCTCGAGCTGGGACCCCAACGTGTCGGGCGTCCAGACCATGAATTCGCCCTTCTTCGCGGAGCTGCAGCAATACCTCATTCGCGTCCTCTCGGTCCTTGTCATCCTCATCATGTACTACAGCAACGTGCTCGACGACATGCAGAGCATCGACGAGGGCGGGTACCTCGAGTACGGCCTGCCCTACTAAGCGATTGTGACGGGCGCCAACTTTGTCTACTACATCTTCTCGCTTGTGTACGCCTTCACCAAGTACTGGAGTCCCATCAAAAAAGGCATTTGCGGACATGGCCGTCAACACCTGGAGGCGGCACAGTGTCCACACGGGCTTCACGAGCGGCCAGTTGCGCCTGATGAGGAACTACAAGGAAGTCCCGGAATGGATTTACGGCATCATGATTGTGTTTGGCTTTGGCGTGTCAATCATCAGCCTCACAGCGTGGCCGACCCGGACGCCCTGTTGGTCCATCCTCGGCGACACCGGCATCGGCGCCCTCCTCGCCATCCCCCCGGGTCTGTATTGAGTCCATGGCCACCACGTCCTCTCTCGGGTGTGCTCAGCTGGGCAGGCAACAGCAACCTTACGTACGCAACGCTGGGCATCTGCATTAAATGGTCCTTCCAATTCTACCTCAAGCGACGCTACACGGCGTGGTGAGGCAAGTATGCGTCGCTGGACGAGGTGCCGGAGGGCGGGTTTGGGCTGGCCCCGGAGGACTATCCGAGAGGCGGGTGACTCTGGTGAGAGCACGTGGATTGGGCCTTGGCGTCTAGTCCAGAGTCTAGATTAATAAACATTTGCTCATAGTTGGCACGAGTCAAGCCCTCGAGCCGACGGGGGCCTTTGACAGGCGTGGAATGGACCGGGCGAATCATCTTACACCAAGACCTCGACCTGACGTAAAGCCTCCGGCCCTCCGTTCGACCATGGCAGCGTGACTATCGAACGCATAGTGCATACGCGCATACGGGTCAGGCTGCAGCACCCAAGCACACTTCCCCAGGGTTTCCCGCTGCTTAGATATTTCGGGCTGGCTCGGCGACCCTGAAGGCCGAGATGCCAATCCGCCCTGCTACTCGAGGGCCAGTGTGAGGTATATAGATATCGGAAAACACCACTGAGGCTACGAAACTTCACCACGGAACATCCTCTCCCCAAAGAGCAATGGCCAACGCCCGCATGGACCCCGAGCTACTCGCCCACCTGGGCGCCAACCCCCAACTCCTCAACGTCCCGCCAAAGCCTGACAAAGAGACAGCCGAGCAGTCCCGGGCTCGCTTCGGTGGCATTCTCAGCAATTTCATCAACCAGCAGAGCCCCGTCTCCCCCCTCATCGTCGAGAAGCGGCACACCATCCCGTCCTTTGACGGCGCCGCCATCACCGTTCACGAATTCACGCGGGCCAAGGACGCGCAAGAGCAGCACTCGATCGAGCGAGACCCCCAGCCCGCCTTCCTCTTCTTCCACGGCGGCGGCATGATCAGCTGCCCCGTCGACACCGTATACCGCCCTCGTATCGCCCACTTTGCGCTCGAGATGGGCGTCCGCGCCTTTGCCGTCGAGTACCGCCTCGCACCAGAACAACCCTTTCCCACACAGCCCGAGGACTGCTACGCCGCGACCCAGTGGCTCTCACACAATGCGGCCTCGCTCCGCATCGACCCCGCGCGCATCGGCGTCGCCGGCGACAGCGCAGGCGGCAACCTCGCTACCGTCGTCTCGCTCATGGCCAGGAGCAAACAGCTCCGTCCGCCGCTCGCGAAGCAGATGCTCATCTACCCCATGCTCGACGACCGGGCGCGCGAGAGGTTTTCCGAACTAAAGAGTGCCCGCGACCAGTCACAGATCAGCTTCCGCGACGACTTTGACCAGTTCTGGAACCACTACCTCGGCCATGGGCGACGCGGCGCGGAGGATATCTGCCCGTACGCGGCGCCCGGCCGCGCCGAGAGTTTGAGGGGTTTGCCCAGTGCGTACGTCGAGGTGGGCGCGCTGGATCCGTTTCGGGACGAGACGAGGGAGTATGCGACGCGGTTGGCGCGGAGTGATGTCGAGGTTGAATTGCATGTGTATGCGGGTGTGTCGCACGGCTTTGATATGGCCGGGCCCAAGATTGGCATTACGAGGAACGCGGAGGAGAACAGGCGGAGGGCTGTGCAGTCGATATGATGGGGGATCCAGAACAGAACAGGAGGGAGGTGGTTGTCCGCTGAGCACTACTTGATATCAGAATTGATTACTGCATCGGAAGAGTGTGCATTATAACCGGCTCAGTCAGGAGCGAGGCTTGGAAATACCACGGAATGGCACGACTTTGATATCGACATCTTCGCTGATCACGGCAGGCTGCAGTGCTGGGCTGACAGGAGGAGACTGCCGTGGGACCGACCTATCTGGTCCACAGACAGGCAAGGATTTGCGTATGTAGTATGTATCAAGAGGCTTGGTCGAAGCTGGGCAGTTTGCAATGATCAAGGAAAGGCGCTGAGAAGAGGCCGGTGTCATTCATTGGTGACGACTCGTCACATTGTCGCGGTCATGGACTGACTGGTGGGTATCGGATTTGCGTTCACGGCGTGACCCCTATCTCCGATCGTACCAAATACAAGTGCTTTGAGCTCACCAAGCAGCAGCCCGGAAATGGAACACCCTGTTAAGACCGTCGACATCCGTCAAGGGACGAGATGGTGTAAATAAATTGTGTTGTGAGAGGTATTTATATCAGACTGAAACCCCGACTCTCTTCAAGGCTACTTCATTCTCCGTCATTCGACCCCTCATCCATCCATCATGTCTACCCAACGCATCATCCTCATCACAGGCGCCAACGCTGGCATCGGTTTCTGCGCAGCCAAGGTCCTCTCCTCCTCCGGAGAGAACCACGTTCTGCTCGGCTCTCGCTCCGCCGAGAAGGGCCAGGCTGCCTTGGATGCCATCAAGGCCGAACAGCCATCAGCCTCCCTCAGCTTGTTCCATCTGGACGTCACATCGGACGACTCGGTCGCCGCCGCCGTGAAGACCGTGGAGCGCGACTACGGCAGACTCGATGTGCTCCTCAACAACGCCGGCATCGCTGATCATCTCCGTCTCAACGAGGGACGGAAAATCACCTCCCGGGAGGAATTCAACCACATCCTCAACACCAATGTCACCAGCGTCTATGCCCTCACATGTGCCATGGAGCCTCTGCTGAAAAAGGGGCGCGACCCCTTGGTCCTCAACGTCACCTCCACCCTGGGTTCGGTCGCCCTGCGTGCCGACCACGATAACCCCGCGGCGACCGTCCTGTACGACGCTTACCGCGCCAGTAAAGCGGCCTTGAACATGATCGCCATGCAACTCCGGTGGGAGTACCGCGACTGGGCACGCGTCTGTGTGCTTTGCCCCGGGTTCGTGGTAAGCAACCTTTCGGGCGCAGAGGATATCGAGTACAGGAAGCAGAATGGCGCAGGGGACCCGGTGGACAGCGCGAGGGCGATGGAGCGGATCGTCCGAGGGGAAAGAGATGCCGAGATGGGCTGTCTCATGAATGCGCACGGGGGCTCCACCCCGTGGTAGATGCCATTGACACAAGCGATATCTAGATCGAATCTTGCCACAACAGCAGAACCCCCAAAAAATACAAAGACATGTAGAGAGTACCATCAGTTGCCATGGTCGTTGGTGACCGTCTCCCAGCCGCCGTCGTCGTCTGTCCTTATGACGCGGAGAATGGCCTTGGCCACCTCCTTGCCGTCGTGCTCCAGGTGCGCCGTCTCCTTGGCCCGGTTGGCGTGTTCGCGATCCTGGATCCCACCGGCCTCCTCGCGCATGGCAATTTGTCGCTTCACCATGTCCTCGTCAAAGCCAACGTGTGCCTGGGTCGTGAAGAGCCTGTTTCGGATGTACAGCCCTTGCACCTTTGTGTGCGAGGACGTGCCCCAGCATTCGACCTGAGCGTCCTTGTCCAGCAGACCGCCGGCCGAGTCTCGGGTCGGCGGCGCGACCACTTGATCCTGGTGCATCTGGTGCAGGTGCACCTCTGGCGCCTGCGTGCGGAAAAGTCGCTGGCCGGTGGGCGTGAGGGTGATGCTTGAGTGACCCAGCTCCCAATCTCCCTTGGGCGACGGGCCGACCTCCGCGCCCAGCATGCGCGCCAGCAGCTGGTGGCCGAAGCACACGCCCGTAAAGGTGAAGCCGGGTTTCTTTGTCCACAGTTCTTTGAGCAGTGCCAGGAGGTCCTGGATCCACTGGTTGTCGCCATGGGCGTCGTACATGCTGCCCGTGATGAGAAGACCGTCGAAGCCGTCAAAGTCCTGGAACTTGGGCATCTGGCCGCCTTGCTCCGTCACGACAAAGACCTGGTCCGTCTCCACGCCTAGAGGTGGGTGGTGCGCTTTCCCGGCATCGGAGAAGTGTCTGTGTACAATCTCGCCAAAGGAGCCCTTCTCGGACTGGGTGTCTGGGTGCGGCTTGTCTGTCTCCAGGACCATGAGGCGGACGATGTCGCTGGTGATGGTGGGTTTGTATCGGTGCAACATGCTGGCGTTTGGTCTGGATGTCGAGGTAAAGGTGAAGACGGGCTTGATTTGGGGTGAGCGGATGGGAGAGGCTGGCAGTGCTGAGAGGAAGGGGCGGGTCTTGAAGGTCCTGAACATCTTTCCTCTTGGGGTTGAGTTTTACCAACGGGTAGGGGCTTTTAATTATACGCGCGTCCACTGATGCATGTTTGCGGAGGCAGAAGGAGCGCCCCAGCCCTTTGGAGAATGGGGTTTAGTAGCCAGACGTGAGAAGCTGTTCGTCTCATATGGGCATTGACGTCAGTTGCGATGACGAGTAGACCATGGGAGGATCCGCTGTTTACTGTTTGCCATTACATGAGGAGTTGAACAGGACGAATCCTCGGTCTGCCGGGTTCAGGCCGCAGGGTCCAGCCCCGTTCCACCCACCCACCCACCCCACAAAGAAGCTTACAAGTGGCAGTTGCGACTCGTCGCTGCACGTTCCTGAGTTTGCCAAGAAATGTTACGTACATGTCAGGGTGCATCTTGGGATTCTTGTTCTTGGGACATCCCAGTGTCAATTGTCCGGGGAAGATGCAGAGAGAAATCGATTTCGATAGGCATCGAATTGAGGCTGAAATTTTCAGCTGCGGTGGAGCCGTGTCGATCAGCACTGACAGGCGCCAATCACAAGACGAAAGGTACGAACCTGCTTGAGCGGAGCTTCTACTCCTCTACACGATCATCCCTCCTCATCGCTCAATCATCATCGAACGCGCTGATCTCGCTTTGTCTGCAGAACGTCTCAAGGTCATTTTCAGAAGCCGAGCTACGTACTATGACCGTATCTCACACCACCGGAGGTTGTATTCCACTCCCCAGGTAGAACAGTGCTCAGGCGCATTTGACATGAAGAATTTCGTTAGCCGGCTGTTCAGCAGCGCCCAATGCAACAGGCATCGCATCGTTCAAGGCGGTAGAGACGGTGCCCTCCAAATTTCGATAGTCAAGCAATCCGTTTTTGATTCCCCAGGTTCGCAGATAGGTTTGTCTTCTGGGACTGGGAGCATTTGATTTGACGCCCAAGGTGACTATTAGACGCTTTTGAGTGGCAAATGACGAAGACGAATGTCCCAATTCAAGCTGTCCCTCTGCACGCACAATGGTAAATCCTCTCATTACAACAAAGTCAATTCTCATCTTGGCATCAAGCCGTCGCCCTCTTCCTCATCCTGAGAGTTGCCTTCATCGGCGGAATACGGTTCATTCCGAACCACACATTACGCGGTCGACTCTCCTGGTGCTCAATGTCGTAGTTGAGCAGCAGGTAGGCCAGCATCATCTTAATCTCATTCGATGCAAAGAATCGGCCAGGGCACGCATTCCGGCCCAGTCCCCATCCCAGAAAATCCGTGCTGGCCGTGGGAAACGCGTTGCGCGCGCTCTTGACGTAGCCCTCCGTCTCGCTGACACGCGCCTCGTAGAACCGCAAGGGCTTGTACATCTTGGGATCGGTGTAGACCGCGCTATCCTGGAGCACCGAGTACGCGGGGACGCAGACGGAGTTGCCCTGACGGACATGCACGCCACTCGGGAAGGTGACGCCGTCTTGGGCCACGACCTTGCGCATGAGGCCGAGGCCCACGAATGAGTTCTTGCGTTGACTCTCGCGCATGGCCGAGTCGAGCTTCTCCAGCTGTGCTAGGCCGCGCTTTGACCACTGTCCGTCATGCTCATTGAGCATGTTCGCAGCCTCTTCTCTCAACTCTTCGATGATTTCAGGAGGCGCCGATGCCAGGTCCAGGAGCACGTGCGTCATAGCAAAGGTAGACGTGTGGATAGCGGCAAAGTTAAGCAGCAGGACACGCTGCGCCAGGGCGCTGACCTGCCAGTTCTTGGGGTTGCCAATCGCCTTGGCCTGTTCGATGGACCACTGTAGGAAGTCATTGTGGCGCGGTGCGTCGCTTTTCTCGGACGCGTGGACATCTTGTCGCAGACCACACTGCTGCAGACGAGTCTCGATCGCGGGGGCCAACAACTTCTCGAATTTTCGCGTGTGTATGCGGTTCGGTAGTGTGATAAGTGGCGCAACGAGGGGCTTTGCGAATCCAGGGAAACACCTCAGGAGCATTGACGAGAGGGGCATGTCCTGAGCAAACGCGACGCCCATGTCCAGCACCTTTTGGTCGCGACAGAGCGGGAACCCCACGAGTGCGCGATTCGTGACGCCGCTGAGGACTTGCTGCATACTATCGTAGACCCCAATCTCTTTGAAATCCGGGTCGGTGCCCAAGTGCCGGTCAAAACAGTACTCAATCTCCTCCGCCAAGCCGGGCACTAGATTGGCGATTTCCTTGGTCAACCTGCCGACGATGATGTTGGTATGAATCGGGTCGTGTGTCAGCGAGGGATCCATCGTCGTGTAGTCGGTCTGCAGGGAGTCCTGCGCCTGGTCGTGCATGTTGAGCACATTGTCAGGCTGGTCCGCGAGAAACTTTGTGTCCGACTGGGGAAGCAGCACAATGTTGCCGCTGTCGAGAAGGGGAAGGATGGTGGCCTGCTTCGGGTACTGGGCGTAGGACGAGCTGAGCGCTGCTTTCATGTCCTTGAAATTCCGCAGCCTGGCCTGCCACATGGGAGACCAGTCCCCTTGACGCGCGCCGACGATGGGCAAGTCTGGCAGCGCGGACGGTTGGAAGAAGAGTCGGTATACCGCCCAAACCGCGAGGAGCAGCAGTGGCCCGGCAATGGCTGGCCTTGACACCGCCTCCATCATGGACGTCGTCCAGCTAGAAGATGACATGTCGACCATGGTGTGCGGGGCGTCTTTGGCCTGCTTGCAACATTCAGATATAAACAAGGAGAAGAGCGCGGACCCTCCATGAAAACGATGGGTGGTGTTGTCAATTATATGGCACTGAACATCGGAGCTACAGACGGCGGCCGCCGCAGCCGTCAGCGCCACTGTCCAGTCACTTCAGTGCCGGGACATTTCTGTCGTCGATCTGTGGGGTAGCGAACCCCCTATTTCGGCAAAGATTCATCCCGCTGTGGCTGTCTCACCTCAGCATGCTGCCTCTTTTTGGTCGGTGGGTGGCATCTGATGCGCAGTCATCAACGTGGCTTATGCGGAGTAGTGAGAGGGTGCTTGCAATGCATGTGCTCGCCTGTCGTGTCCCCGAGACCTCATGATGCTGTATTTCCTACTTCCAGTCGTAGCAACATGGAGAGAGAGCACTCTAGACTTGCTTCGATGTTGCGCGTCGTGAGTCGTGCCTGGTCGCGCCGTCTTAGCGTGCGTCTTAGTGCCGGCTCTGGCTTGGGCCGGTGGTGGCACCGGACAGCAGCAGAGTCTTCTCTGTCTTTGGCGAGTCTTCGGGTGAGTATGCCTGGACGGAAACCAGTGACTGTATTGGGCGGATGAAAACCTTCAGCCCCTGAGCTGAGTGTCATTTGAGTCTGAGACTTGCAATTTGCAAGGTGAGCGTGCTGAATCTGGATTGCCGCTGCGGCAGATCCTGGACGGTAGCAAAGCTAAGCCCAATTGTGGTACATGCCTGGAGGGGCTTAAACGTTTCCCGCGATAGCTGCATACCCCGATAGACAAAAGCTCAAATATAACAACGGCCCATGGTCCTTTCATGTCATATACCTCAATAGTATCTCGGCTCTTGTGGTGTCGACTTTTAGGCCGTGAAGGTTTGTTCCCTCCAGCCCTGCGTCATGGCGGCTGCAAGGCACAAGGTGCGCCTATTACTAAACCGTCAAGCCCAGTCGGCTGGTTTCCAACGTCTTGCCAATTCTAGGACCTATAAGGGGGATTTGAATTGGCGGCAAAGACATATCTACTGTTGGCTGCTACGATCTCCAATATCCTTCGACTTTCAGGGGTTCAATGCAGCAGAGACAACCTTACTATTCAACGCTGGTGTAGCCTCGGACGCACTTTACATTTGCTCTTCGTTTACCACAGACAACACGGAGTAGAATGTGCAGTGATCTGGTAAATCGGGCCACCGACGTGACTTTGGGTCTCCTCCAAGCGGAGCCATAACTGTGCCCCCGTTGTGCATACATAGTGTTCGATCCTTGAGCGCAAGCCAAAGACTTCCAAATACATCGGACAGCAGTACACACAGACGCAGCTTTTCTCGACCCCAATTTAAATATATAAACGGGTCTCCTGTGGCTCAATTCCCGCTATCATCTCATTGTACTCCGTCCGCGCAAGGGACACGACCGTAGTGACGAGTAGCACTCGGAAATGTGTATGTGGACTTCTTGGTAGCTAAATATGAGAACCAAGCATGCAAAAAGCTTAGACTATCCCCCGACTCCACTTCATGTTCATGCTGTACGAATAAGAAATGCACCCAGACAGGAGCTCGCCCTCCCTCACCCCTTGTGCTCCCCCTTGGCCATATACTCTTCATACTGCAAATCAGGCTGTCCCTCCCAGTACAGCGTCTCCGCATCACTCGAGTTGTCAAACGTATAACGGGCACTCTCCTCTGCGATGAGGATCTTGGGCAACCCGTTCGCCGCCGCTGCCTCGGCAAGCAACTGCACCTGACAAGCCCTCTCTAGCAGCGTCATGAGGAAGCACGCCTCCTCGACTGTGGAGCCCACCGTCAACAACCCGTGGTTTTGCATGATCATGGCTTTTCCACGCGGACCCAGCGCCGCTGCCACGCGCCGGCCCTCCTCCTCGTTGAGGACCACGCCGCCAAAGTCCTTGTAGACGGCCTGGGCGTCACCATAGAGATACGCGGCGTCCTGCGTGAGCATCTCGACCGGGCGACCAAAGGCGCTCCACGCCATGCCGTGGGGGCTGTGTGTGTGGGCGGCGACGGTCACGTCGGGTCGTGCCTTGTGCACGGCACTGTGGATGAGGAAGCCGGCGGCGTTGGCTGGTCTGCTCATGTTGCCCCCGACGGGCACGCCGCTATAGTCCACGAGAATCATATCACTCGCCTTGAGCAGGCCAAAGTGAACAGCAAGGGGATTCTAGTGGTCTTTGTTAGCGTCGTTTGAGCTTCAGGGCACGTGAGACGTGCAGTCCAAAAAGTATGCGGGTTCTCCGGGTCGCGGACGGAGATGTGACCTGCCATGCCATCTGTGTAGTCCTTGCGTGCGAAGCAGCGAAAGGCAAGGGCCATCTGCTCAAGGAGCCATTGTCTCTGGGCAGCAAAGGTAGGATGCTTCGGGATGCCAGGCAGAGGTGTTCCTTGGCAGTTTAGCTCCAAGGGGGTCTTTTTGACCTGCCCTTGGCCCTGGCTGTCGGCCTGCGCCGCTGTCTGCGTCGTTTGCACCGAATACATGTTGGCCAGTGAGTGGGAAGAGGTGAAAAAGATACTCAAAGGCATGTCCGAGTCGGATCAAACCCGATAGCGCAGTTCGGCTCTCGGACTCTCCGCCCCCGCGTCGCGTGCCAAGGCCGATGAGGCGTCATAAGCTCCATCTTGCGCGGAGTCCTAGCAGACCAATAACGTGTTACTCTTTTGTTCCGGGAGCTGAACTTGGCGTGCAGTTCCACGTGTTTTCCAGAGGCGTCTATTCATGTATATGCGTGCAATGGCTTCATCTTGGGCATATGTACTACAGTAGTACATGGTGCTTGTTAAGAATCCTGTGACTGTCGGCATCAGCCACCTCCGCGGAGATCCACGCACATTCGCCCGAAGGCTTGTCTTCATGTTTGCGGGTGTTGCGGGGATTACGGAATGAAGATGCATCCTGTGCTGCAAGAGCAATACGCGCTTGGTCTTGTGACACTGTCTGTGTCACTAGAATTACACATCACACTGAAAGGTGAGCCCGTTTCGTACGGCAATATTTCAGTCGCAATGATGTGCTGCCAAACTTGAAAAAATTGGACGTGACGACATATGAACAGCGCGGGCATCACAAGACGAATCAAGGAACTCTATTGAGCCGATTAAAGTTGTATATCATTGTCATCATCCGATGCTAAATAATGATGTGTATATCCGCTTTTCCAAAACGCCTTGCCAATAGTATAGCAACCCAGTGATCAAACGCTTGTTGAGGGTATCATTAATTCCACAATTCGCTTTTGCAATCCCAACTATGTAGTTCAAGCAGACCCAGACGGCCGCCGGGAGGGCGGTGCCCCGTTGATCCGCGCGCCCTCTAGGCACTGCAAATCTTCGTACTCGGTGATCGGCACATCCTCGTAGTCAATCGGCTGGAGGTAGCTCGGGGGGCTGGGAGGCACATCCTGGTAGGTGGGAGGACTCTCCTCGTCCCAGCTGATGCCCATACCCGGGTGGTCGGTCAGGACGACGTTGAAGCTCATGCGCAGGATGCGGCCTGTGCCGGTGTGTGCAGAGTGGTCGGGCCTGCCCTCTGGGGCATACTCCTTGGACACCACGAGCTCGAGACAGAGGGTGTGGCTCGTCTCCGTGCCGTCCGCGGTCTTGCCGTCGCAGGCGTATTTCAGGTGACCTGCCTTGGAGCGACGCTGGGTGATGGTGTAGTCGAACTCGAAGTCGACGGAGCCGTCCGTGCCGGAGAAGTCGGACTTCCATCCGTCGTGCATGTGCTTCTCGCCCAAGAGGCGAACCTGCTGGCGGTGCAGGCCCTTGGCGCCGGCGTTGGTCTCGGCCTCGGGCGCGAGAAGCGCTTGATGTTTCCGGCACGCAGGGGCGACGGTCTTGGTGTGCTCCTCGAGCTTCCAGGAGACCTTCTTGAGTCGCCAGATGTCGAGCGTCCTTGTCTTCTCGTTGAGGGACATGAGGCCATCAAGCTTGAGGGTGACGTTATTGCAGCCGGTGGGGTGGATGGTGGTTTGATAGTGCGCGCTGGCCTTGATGTTGGTCGGTGGGAAGAGGCGCACAGAGTGGTGCGGGAGCTCTGCCTGGCGGATCGAGCGCTTGACTTCAATGGGGCGCGCGAATTTGATAGTCTTGGGCGACTGGCTCGGTAGGCATTCGGGTGTGACGCGGATGTCGGACTTGAGCTCGTAGGCGACAGTCATGAGGCTGGAGCAGGACGAGGCGGGGAGGTGGCCATCGACAAGCATGGAAAAGGGGAAGAGGTGTCGTCCGCGGTGGATCGTCAGGGGCGTTGAGGCGAGGAAGTTCCATCGCTTGATCTCCGTAACTTGGCTGGCGCAGTCGTTGCAGTGGCTCTGAAAGGGCCGCTTGTGGGTGACGCGCAGGTTGAGGGCGGCGCCAAAGGCTTCCAGCTCGATGCTGTCCTCCTTGACGTCGACAACAAATTGACCCGACAGCAGCGCGCCGGTGCTATCCTCGGCGTTCCCGTGCAGCACAATAGGCGGGCTCTCGAGCTCGCACTCGAGGCTCAGTGCTGAGCACTGTTGCTCCTTCTTGCCAAAGGGGAAAGACAGGCGCTTGTTGGCCTTGGCAACGGCGTCGGCCAAGTCGGGCATCTTCTTTGCGTGGTGCGAGGAGTGGCGTTGGTCGTGATCGCCCTCACCGTCTGACACGTCCGGGCTGGCATGTAGCGAGCGGTTGTGCTTCTTCGGGTGTGTGGAGTGGCCCGAAGGGTGGCGCAAGAAGCCAGGGAGGATGAGGCCGGGCATTGTGACTGCGACGCTTCACTTCCTTCCTCTTTGAAAAGGTATGAAAACCAAACTCTACTGAGAATGAAGGAGCGGCTAGCCGCTGGTTCTTGTAAACTGAACACTCCGTGGAAATCCCAGCTTCGCAGTTTGCGGGGTAATTAAATATTGATGAATGTCTGGCGTGATCTCTTGACTAGGGTGATTTTCCGGGGTACTTTTTTGGAATCCCCAGTGAAAAGGACCTCGTGATCGCACAAAGTCGATGTGGTGCGTGGTCGGTACGTACTTCCGGCGGGGTATTTCCTGCAGGTGTAGCTGGCACTAGTGAAGTCACCGTGACCGGAATGAGCTCATCGGCGACCTTGGATGAGTGAGGGAGGGAGGCCAGGGTAGTCTGGAACGGCTGCTGGCTTGTGGTCGTGGCGTGCGCCCTTGGGGCTGGATCCTTCGAATAGAGGCCCGCTGCGGGATGATGTCGTTGGCGCAACTGAGATGCTGTCTTTCAGTCTTTGTCTCCAGACCGTCTTTTGATCAAAGGTCGTTCCAGAATCCACTGAATCGTGATCCCGATGCTGATGCTGATGACGAAGTGTAGTGTAAGTGCCGGCTGATGGGGCTCTTGTGAAGGTATGTGTGTAACTGCAGCTTGATGATGTTGCTTCTGACAAGGATTCAACAGCCCGTGGGATGAATGGTTGCCCTGGAATTGGTCTTTTTTGCTACACGATCCAAAAGTAACTTGGAAGAGTCATGGGCATGATCGATATTAATACTCGGCGTGTGAAAAGTCCATCGGCCCCCTTGACCGAACTATGTGTCATTACAGCATTGTCGAGCAATTTTTCAGTGGATCCGGCTACGATCCAGCGGCCTCGATGCCCTGAGCGACCGCTACACTTTTCCGGCTCGTCACATCAGCCGTCCTGTGGAGCTGCTCGGCCAATTCCAGCGCAGTCACAGTCCTAATTGTCGACCAGTAGGGCGTGCTAGACTAGCCCACGGTCCATTCTGAAATACCTTGATCATCATCATCATGCCATTGTTTGTTGCTCGACTCCTTTTCTTGATGACGGACATGGTGATGTTTTTCTGATCACTGAAAGACGTGTATCCTCCGTCCTTGTCGAGGATCGAGGAGCATTTCTGAAAGTCACCCACTCTATGCCATTGATGCAATTTTCAATTGCAGATACCGACTACTGCCGGTGACTGAAATCAGACACACCACACGTATCCGTAGGGCGCGCGAGATGGCCCCATCGATGGGACCATGTGATGGATGACTCCTTTCACGATGCCAAAACAATCGATACTCTTACCCAATGCTATCCACAGCTGGCCAGGGCAGCCTCAAGGCGTGCTCGCTTGTTGTTGCTTGCTAACTTGCTTGACCGCCGATGGGCGTGCGTTGGCCCACGCAGGCCCCGATGCATGCCGCCGGTGGTGTCCACTCCATGGACGGATGGTATCCGTGAATCCCATTTCTCACGGTGCTTTTCATGCTTGACACTTGTCGTCCATTCGGGATGGCGATCTTTGATGCGATCAGCATGGTATTGAGGTTGAATAGTGTGACATGCACTTGACTCCAAGCAATCGTCTCCAACCCAGGCACAGTACAGTAGCAGCACCGTCCTTGGACTTGGAACCAGTCGCACAACCTGGGGGCGACAATTCACTTCACCTCCCACCCACAACTTGTTTCAGCGCAACGCCATAACGAGGCCCCGGCATGCACGAGAAAAGTTCCATCGTCTTACACGACACGAAGCGAAGCGAACCAGCTCCAGCTCCAGCTCCAGCTCCACTGTCGAGGTCACGGCGGCAGCAAATTTTCGGTGGAGTCTCCGGATCGAGCCCATCTACACGCCTCGATACCTGCATATACCCGGCGCTTCGCCTGTTTGGTCGGCTAGGCCTTCGAAATTTTCCAAGTCTCCCCTGCAGTGACCACCAGTCAAGTCACCGCTGGGTTACCAAAACGGGGTCGTCCACATCTTGCCGACGGTGGCCGCTTGCATCATTTCACCAACCAAATTGCGTGGTCTGGACACCTGGCTCGGCACCACCACGCACGTTTCCGCACAGAGCCGCATGGTGGTGTCAGGCGCGCGTTTGCGGCACCGCGGCCCTGCAACGAATGCTGGATAGCAACCTCTTGGAGATGTTAGGCCCCAGTTTCCTCGCCTCGCTATGTGCATGCCACGATCGCTACGATGCATCGTCGTCAAGACGCGGTGGCCAAGGAGACGGAGAATTTTCTCGAAAGTCCTCACTCCAGCCCCCCTCCCCCAGACGGCCAGTCAGCCCCGTAAGTTGGACATCCGCGAACCGGTCACTGCACCTGGAGGAGGAGGAGGAGGGTGAGTGATTCGTATCGATCACAAGCGCATCATAAGCCAGGCTCCCTATCCATCTTGGGGTATCCATATTGATCAGTGAGGTGAAGTCGGACCACACGCGCATGTAGCAAATCCGCGCCCCGGCCATCGCGCCGGAATGTACGTAAGAGAAAAGATCCTGACGCGGCGCCGGTCCTCACGATCCGCGCCGGCCAACACACCCACCTGCCCGGCGGCGTCCGGCACCTGGAGTGCTTGAAACTCACGGAAGGAAATGACAGTATTTGGTTTTTGCAAAGGTCATACGTAGGCTCGAACCGAGTACGCCGTAATTGCACCAGCACCACGTCTCACTGTCAGAATACATACGCTCAAATGACGCAAGAGGTTTCGACCCCGGATTTCGCTGTCGATCCGACCTGATTGCCTGTCGCGCCATGACCTGTACATGACGGAGTAGTGTGGGAGTGGGATGCGAGCCGATGTTCGGAGCGCGCCTCGGCCGACATCATGGCTACGCCTTTTGGTGACTGGGGCTTGACATTGTGGCTGCATTCTACGACATTAAGTCTGACATCTACTAGGCTAGATGGCATCAAGGACTTTTGTCAGATCTGCTCCGTACTCGGGCGACTGTCGAGGCGCGTTTCGTGCCACACTGCTCAGGCACGGCTCAGGACCAGCAGCATGTTTGGCCCCCATCTTCACCTGTCTCTACCGACCAAATGTAGCGTAAAACCCCACGATATGACGTTTGTATCGTCGTACTTGGCAATTCTTGAATCGGCAGTCCTCCGAGCACGATCCAATTCTCCTTCACATGTTGCCAATGTAGCTGAACCAGCACAAGTCGTCGAGCCCGACATCGGTTCTGGGGAACCCCCCGGGGAATCTCAACGTGAGATGTATTCTCCCGGTGTATCCACCCCTTGACTTGCAAGATTCCGCCATTTGACCTCCGGGAAACTAGCCTACTTGTCATGATGCTCCCTTGGCATTGCGTTGCGTGACTCACTAGAGTTCGTCGGTTCCAGGGTCCAGGGAGTTCGCCTTTCGGTTTTGGTCTTGAGCTAACAGGTTCATTTCCGCAGAAAAGACGCCTAGTTCTGTCAGTGTGCCTAATGTTTTGTGAAGGGGACGTGAGGGATGATCACAAAAACTACGATGCCATACCCTGCATCTCGAAGCGCCATTCAGAATTGATCATGTTCTAGCTTTGTGGAAGGGTGAACCTTCTCAATAGATTGCACCGCCCAATCATAGGGCACGAAAAAGATCCTTTTGGGATTCCCAGGAGCGCAAACAGGCTGTTTACCCGTCAAGCAATGATTTGATTGTGCATGTGAAGCTTATAGGCAATTGATCAATATGGACGGCGCAGGGTAAGTGGATTCCCTAACGTCAGTATCGTGAGATCGCGGCCCGGCAGAACCATCATCCGCGTCCCGCCAAAAATTCCCAGCGACAACACCACAGCTCGCATGTCACCTTGCCGGCATCGCGAATCACACGACATCCGACGCGCCTCTTCCCTGCAGACTCACCCAACACCTCTACTCAGCAATCCAGTATGTCGGGTCGTCCAGGCGGTGGTGGCCGCAAGGTCCTTTTGCCTCCCATGTACGTTTGCGCAACTTGCTAGAGCCGGGAAAGCGCGGAATGCTAATGTTTGGTTAGTCAGTTCATCTTCAGACTGCTACAGAGCGTGAGTCTCCCCATTACGAACCCGAGGTAGATTGGTCGGAGAACGGACACGAATTGGGAAAGATGGGAGCTGGCAAGTGATACCCTACGGCGACGGCGACTCCGACTCGGAGACCCAGGGCAAGTCCAGAGTTCGAGTATGTGCCTAGGCCCTGGACCTTGGGATCGTTGGAGCTAGGGAAGGACAGCTGAATCGCTTCGGGGAAGCGAGGGTGCTCAGTACTTCTGAACGTCAATCGCCAGCTCCTATCGTCGTGACATCTCGATTTCGAAGCCCGGATTCACCGTATGGCGAATGCTGACGAACCGCAGAACACACCCGTGAGCGTCTGGCTCTACGAGCAGCTGGCGATCCGCATCGAGGGCAAGATCCGCGTAGGTTCTATGGCTCATTATCATTCTTCCTGGTTAACATTTGACAGGGCTTCGACGAGTTTATGAACATTGTCCTCGACGACGCTGTTGAGGTCAAGCAGATCACCAAGACCAACCCCACAGAATCACGACGAGCGCTAGGTACTGCGACTCCCCTTGGCTGTGCTACGTGGCATGACTGACATGAATAGGGCAAATTCTACTAAAAGGCGACAATGTGTCATTGATCCAGAGCTTGGAGTAGAGGAATGAATAGTGGGGTGTGAAGCACTGTCATCTCGGTTTATGTGAAACATTGGGTTCTGGCGCTAGCGGAATATCAGGAATTGACTTCTTCTGCACAAGTGAACGGTGCGTACGAGGTGACCTACTGAGCAACAGGCAGAAAAGCATGGCGTGGTCTCCCCGCGCTGCTGAGACAGGGCGCATTCACGCATGGCTAAAGGACAATACCGGCACAAAAGGCGCATTCATTGACATCGAGCGGGGCGATGGTCGTACAAGGAATTGCAGGCCAGGGGAATGCAACCTTGCAGACGCCGTGTGCCACCGTGTGCCACCGTGTGATCAAGTTCGACGAGTGAATCAGGGACGAGGTCAGCGCAATGCGTTTTATCGGATGTACCGTGGAGTGAAAGGAGGTATCCGCAGCCTTCGCCCTCTGGCTGCATCGTCATCATCATACCCGACGTTCATCGTGATAGAGAAGCCTCATCCCACAACTGCCAGGCACTGACGAGTTTCTCGGGCTTGGGGCAGTCACATGGGCATCGTCTGATAAAACAAACATCTTGTGCTTAGATCAGGTAGGAAAGCCCTTTCGTCATGTGCACCTTCTCAGTCACTCAACGTATAGAGATCATTCACGCCTCACATCTGCCTGGAGCACCATCGTCTTTCAACACAAACCCAGGTCGGTCACTAATTCTTCATATGAAAAGGTAGAACAACTTATCTTGCACTCTATTCAACACGAGGCGTGCATCATCTTTCCGATACTCCAAACACAGACGAACACGACCATTTTGGGATCACCAAAGTGTCCACACATCACACAGAACCACCACATTTGACAATGGATCAAGGACTCAGCCATCAAATTTGGCAGATATTCATGCAAGGGCGTGTCGGCGCCGTTGCCCGATGCCTCCACCGGGAAGGGGACAAGTTGCCCATCACCGAAGAGCTGTTGCTCATCACCGCGTGCGGCAAAGACCCCCAGGGCTGTCTTTCCTTTCTCTTCTACGCCCGGCCAAAGGAAACCGCTGCTTCCATCTCCTCCCGCGTCGTGCAATTAGCCATGATGTATGGGGCATCGTCGGATGTCATTGAAGTGCTCCTGACAAATTGCCAGCGCCACGTCCAGTTCAGTGAGGTGACCCTCGATATCATGCGCACATCGGTACCGGACATCACAGAGTCTGTCCGCCAAACGTTAAAATGGAAACCCGACACACTTCCAGCGACAGAGGAAGCCTTGGAGGTGCTGGCGGGCTGCCTTGACGCCGCCACGTTGCAGTCGTTCCTCGAGGCACGCGGCGCTGCATTGGAGATAAGCCAAAACACTTTTAACGAGACATCCTCTCGCGAAGAGACTTTTCTAACCGTCGTGATGTGGGTGTTTGGAAATAGTGTCAACACAGACATTCAGTTCACCTCCGAAACCGCTCTGCACTGTCACGACCGCGTCGGATGCATCGACTTTGTTGCACAACACTGGCCGGAGAAGTTGAAGTTGGATGGCAAAGGGTCACTGGGAACAGTGCAAATGGATCCTGTCAAGTCGGAAAACGACTGACAGACTCGAGTCCAGGACTGCCCCCCGTTGGAGGGACGGGACAACCTCGAGCCGGAGATCTGAACGTTGCCCGCAGCCACCGCGAGGAAATCACTGTCTGATCAGCTCAAGCACACTGCGGTGGAGAGAGTCACTGGAAGCACCAGGGACCACATATACACAGAATCCGAGTCAATGTTCATTCTGCTCTCCTTCCGTCGTTGTCCTTGACGAAATGTTGCACATTTATTAGAGTTTATACTAGACTAGCACGTGGATTGTTATGCGACATGTCTCTTGCGCCTTGAATTACCCCACTGAAGCTTTTCGCGGGGCATTTCAAACTCGAACCACGTCGCTCACCACACTCATTCATTCAATCTCACACACATTCGTTTTTGCTCAACTTCTCGTGCGCGTGATCCAGCAAGATCCATCAGGATGGCGTTTACAATGCACTCTCACTCGGGGCAGTTCTGCCCCGGCCACGCAAAAGACCAACTCGAAGTCATCATCCAGCACGCCATCTCACAAGGCTACAAAACCATTGGTCTCACCGAGCACATGCCACGTTACGAGCAATCCGACCTCTATCCCGAAGAAGTAAGTTCTCTCTCGCCTACTGTATCATGGAAGAAGGTACTCACATACATTGCCTGTAGCTAATCGAGCAAGACCCGCTCACCACCATGGTCACTCGCCATGGAGCTTATCTCACCGAAGCCTCCCGTCTCCAAGCAGCCTACGCCTCCCAGATCCACATCCTCATCGCCTTTGAGGCCGAGTTCATCCGCGAGTCGTACGCAGACCCGGTACGATCCCTCTTCGCCGACCCTAGGGTCGACTACTTCATCGGCTCGGTGCATCACGTCCACGGCATCCCCATCGACTACGATAAGAAAACGTACCTCGATGCCGTGCAGAAGAGCACCCGACAGACAGAGGAGAGCCTCTGGGAGGACTACTACGATCTACAGTACAAGATGCTCACGGCGCTTGAACCAAAGGTAGTAGGACACTTTGATCTGATCCGATTAATGAGCGAGACACCGGGACACGACCCGAGGACGTGGAGCAGGGTATGGGACAAGGCCGTGCGGAATCTCAAGGTGGCGAGGGAGCAGGATGGCTGGCTGGAGTGCAACACGGCCGCGTTGCGAAAAGGCCTTGATGAGCCGTATCCCGCGAGACCGATTGCGGAGGAATGGATCAAGATGGGGGGCAAGTTCACCATGTCAGATGACAGCCACGGCATCGCGCAGGTCGCCACGAATTACGAGAGGGGACTGACGTATCTGGAAAGCTTGGGCGTCACGGCGCTATGGACGTTGAAGAGAAAGACGCATCCTGGCATTACGGAGGGGATCAGAGGAGAGGTGGAGGATGTGGCAGTGCCACTCACGGCATTCCGAGAGACGCTTTCCGCATAGAAATAGATATATTAAACAATAACTATACGATTAGGCTACACTTCGTCACCAGGTAAAGAAGCGCAGACGCTGGAAAAGATGGGTATCATGAAGCACAGACACGCACGAAAGTATCCAGAAACTCCCACTCAAGGCTTGGCCGGCTCGTCTTCTTCCTTGGGGGGTGGCAGATCTGCTTTGACGGGCGATGCTGGGCGAGGCGCAAACGGGATACTGCCTGGGGTATAGTGAAAGAGATTGTTGCTGCGCTTCGCAGGAGAGGGCGTAAACGCGGGCGTGTTGGCGTTTGGTGGAAGCCATTGCAAGGGCTCGGAGGAGGCGGCCGCAGGTTCGGGGGCTGGGCCCTCGGGCTGGTAAGGGATGAAAACGTCCGGTGTGTTTGCAGCTAGACATTCTTCTACCTTGGGCTGAACGTCCTCATCCGGGGCATTGGTGACAATCGCCGGCGTTGGAGGCTTCTCAGCCTTGACAGGATGGTCCTCGCTCGACTCAGTCGCTCGAATAGCCCCCTGAACCTCCAATGTTGGCGATAGGAGGGGCGTCGAGCGTCCTGAGCGCATCGACCTTGATTCAGAAGGGGTAGCTGCGGCACTGGAGGCAGCCTGCGCCTGTGCCTTGTCTTTCTCCTTCTCCTTGGCCTCCCTCTGCGCTTTCGTGATGAGGTTGATCTTGATCTTTTTCATGCCAGTAGTAATGTTGTCCAGCGCATCATCGACAGCACGCGACGACTCTCCCTGGGAGCTGGAAGACGCACCTGTCGTCTTCGGGGCGCGCGCGGTCTTGGGCTCTTTGCGAGCAGATGCCATCGGCCTAGTCTTCTTGACCGGCAGAGTGCCAGTACTCATAGACCTTCCGGCAGTGGCTAGGTCTGGGCGTGCCGTCTCGACAGGGCCAGGTTGGCCCTGCTCGATCGCAGGCAGCGGAGGCGCTTCTTCAGTGGGCGTGACAAGGGCGGAGGCGCCACTAGTTCGCCTGGTACTACGTCTGGCGGACTGAGGCGCCTTCGGCACCCCCTGCTTTCCTCGTGGTGTGCCCTTGACAGGCGTGGCGGTTGCGGCGCCCATAGTTTTACGCCTGTCCACCGCGCTCTCCTCAGCGAGCGCGGCAGGCTTTGGCCTCCTGCCTCGCAAAGACATTTTGGAGGACGGTCGCTCAGGGGTGGTCATGGGCGTGGTCCCGGCCAGCGAGTGCTGTTTGGCTTGGCGGACCCGTGTTGCCTCCGCGTTCAAATCCTCGGCCTGGCAGCTATCTACCTGGCGATCAGAGGGAATCAGCAGCTTGGACAGCTCCACGGCAGCAACGGTCCATGGGACCTCGGGAGGGGGTGGCGACGGCGGGCGAGCCATAGCCTTGGAGGCACCGGAGAGTCCAGAGAGACTGCGGCGCATTTTGATGGGATCTGTGACCTTTGCTGTTGATGCCTGTGTGGGCGAGTGGTAGGTTGGCGTGCCAGACTGGCGCGGTTTCTTTGGTTCTCCGGCCGGATTCGCCATCACCGCCTCCAACTTGTCCAGCTCTGAACTAGACCACCATGAGGGATCGAACGTATCTGCCGCGCCCAACATCGGCTCGGGCTGTCCTTCTTCGGCCACTGTCCTAATCTTCCTGCCCATCTCCGTGCCCAGGCCGTCTACGCCAGGCGGTGGAGGCTTCGTGCTTAGGCCATCAGCGAGTCCGCAGAGATGACTGCACGTTCCCGAGAACAGCGCCCTGTCACTGTAGCCACCCTCGAGCACACTGACGACGCGACCATCAACGCCCAAGCCTTCTTCACCCGCCAATTTTACCATGTCTTGCGATATACGAGCGTAAAATGCAGTAGGCACATTGACCGCATGGCGCTGCATGCCCGCGCTCTCCCATTCACTGGCATCGAACCCAGCAGAAATGAAGATGACAGCCTTGGGTGCTTGGCCCAGGCTCCTCAATCTCTCTGCCTGATGCTTCAGATAGTTGCGTGTCTTCTCCAGGATGACCGCATACTTGGATTCGTACAGCTCCCAGAACTCCTCTTCTGAACCCCACGGCTGCAGGTGGACATTCCAAATAGACTGGCCGTGTGCATTGTCAATGCAAAGACTTGCATTCTTGACCTTGTTCTCGTCGCCACCCTCGCAGGGATAGGAGTTGATATCGTGCAGACTAAAGTACCCAATCGAGGTCTTCTTCCAGGCCACAGCATTCTTCGTAGCAGTATTTGCGCGAGCATTGTGCGCCCACGTAATGGCCTGCGAGCCGTCGCCATGATGCAAGTCAAAGTCGATCATGGCCGCATGCGTCAGGCCGTGGTTCATGGCAGCATGCATGATACCAACGTGAACGTTGTTCACCCAGCAGAACCCGGACGGGTGAGCAGCTGAGCAATGGTGGCCCGGCGGTCGCACGCCAACAAAGGCTCTGTTGGGTCCAGGGCCAAAGACGGCATCGATACCCTCGCAGACAGCACCGAGCGCACCTTCTATCGCATCCAGTGATTCTGCGCATAGATACAGATCACCCTCGTGCAGCTTCGCTGGTGTCGCCTCGTCCCCGGCCCGGCTTCTCGGTCGCCTTTGGAGCTCTTTGCCGCCCATGGCCAGCCTAGACTCGGCCAATTCACACATCATCTTCAATTCTTCCATCCACTTCGTCCCATGTACATTGGTCACCGCAGGCGAAAGAAGAGATAGCCTTCTCGTCGTCTTCTGAATCTTAAAAGGTATACTTTGCAGCCCCTCAATGTCACGATATGGGTGCAATGGTTGAGGTCCTTCGCAATGTCGGCCACCAAGCCGAACGTAAGCCAACGAGATGCCCAAGACTCCAGCCTTGATTCGCTCTGGGCGTTCGACAATTGTGCTTAGTGCACTCTTGGACGTACGCGGTCGGGAAAAGCGGTGGCCATAGACAGCATCGTTGAGAATGACCACCGTTTCGGTGGACAAGGACGTCGAATCCCCATGGAATGCCTCGATTTCAGCCTGGAGACAGTCCCTTGCAACGCTGCCAGCTGTGACGGGCGGTCGCACTGGTACTGCGAAGGACTTGGATGTTGGAGATAGATTCTGGCTCGAACTTGACCTTCGAAGTGTAATTTGAGGACCCTCGCCGCCATTAGTGGAGCGTAGCGAGTTCATGGATGCTTTGCGATGGAGACCCGGTGAGCCAGCGCGAGAACGAGGACCGCTGGAAGGGCTTCGGGAAGGGGCTCGAGCTTGTGAGGAGGAGCGGCGAGGTGGTGGCTGGAGGGGCGTCGATGACTTGCTCAGCCGTGGGGGCTTTGCGTCTTGTGTCGCAGAGGCATCGTTGGCGGAAATGGAGAGGTGTTGCAGCGAGCTGGTCAAATCATCGTCGCGTCTGGCTGCAGCGAAGGCCTGTGAGGACCGCCTGGCGTTGGGGGGCGCATCGGCGGAAGACATGCTGTTTTGCGATTGATGCTACTGATCTGCGAGGTTGGACGCTCGACCTCTTTCGTCGTCGCTTGGTCACACGACACTGTCGAAGCGACTGTGTGTCGAAGCGACTGTGACGGCGGTTGCAGCATGCCTCTGTCTGGGTTGGGGCCCCGGGTTAAACATCCCGCCTCCTGACATTTTGGCGCGTCACCTGGCTGGCCGGGCCTGGCATGGCCTGGGCGCGACAGGACATCACGTGATGCGACTCGTCATTGTACTGCGATACTGTTGAGACCATATAGAATTGTCTGCATGTTTTGACTTTGATCAACAGACATTTTCAGCCAATGTATTCAAGCAAAGCACCGGTTTCGAAACTTGCAACGAGCATCGTCACCCACCTGACGCGCGCGCGCGTACTCGTGGACCCCTGCCTGAGCTGAGTCATTCGTTTTGCGTGACAAGCTCTGAGCTAGCGCTGCATTTTCCAATTCAATTCGATGTGGGGTGCTGCAGCAGCCAAACTTTCTCGCGACAAACCACGACCGATTGTAGGCTTCAACAACCTCAGCTACCTATCGAACAAACAAACGTTGCGTCTCGTTTCGCACCCTGCCATCGCCACTGCGTACGCCATTCCCTGCTCGACTCGCCTCGTCGCAGGCATCCTTCACGCGCGGGTGCGCCCACGACCATCCCTCGAGAGCAGCGCCAGCGCACGTACACAACATGTCCTACAATCAATACAGCCAGTATGGCGCGGCACCGGGATATGGAGGCTACCCTGGCGGCAATGCGCCCCCAGGCGTTGGCGCTCCTCCTGGACTAGGTACCAAGCCTGCCTCTTTGCCCCGTCACCCCCAGCTAACATCGCCAGCACCTCCCCCAGGCATGTCGTCCGCTCCAGGCATGGCCCCTCCCGGGCTACAGCAGCATGACCCGTCACAAGCTAACCGTCCAAGCGGGATGCCTCGCAACTTCCAAGCGCCGACCAACATGCCAAACATCAACTTCAACGCGCCAGTCATCCGACTCGGGACGGGGCCGGGCAAGCCGGGAACACCAGGTATGGACAATGAAAGACCACAAGGGCCAGGGCAGCGGCCAGGTCTTGGGATGGACAGAGGTGGCCATCATCAATCACAGGCCAAGGAGGTTACCCAGGTGATTGTACCCCCGACGAGCGAAGAGCGGGTGCGGACCTTGTTCGTATGGGGTGTACCCGAGTCCTTCAACACGAGCAACGGGATTGAGAAGCTTCTAGGATCGGTGGGCAAGCTTAGGCGTTGGGATGCGTCGGCCAGCGTCCTCGAGGAGAGGAAGGGCACAGTGTTTGGCTTTGCGCTCTACGATGACCCCGAATCGTTGTCCACCGCCATCAAGCTTCTGCACGACGAGACCGTTGAGATCCCGGCCAAAATCCAGCCCACTGCGACGGAACCCCCGACAGAAGAAGAGGAAGAGACGTTTGAGGGCAAGGAGAAGGTCAGACTGCAAGTGAGTGTCGACTCAAGCTCGCAGAGCTATCTAGAGTCGTATCAGGAGGAGAAGGGAGACGAAGAAGAGGCCACACAGCGATACCGCCACGGCAAAGCTGCGCTGAGGCAGGTCGTCAAGGAGCTGTTCTACCCACCAGCCGGTCTTGGCGCAGACAGTAACGGCAATGCCCCCAAGACCGAGTCGGGCGACAATGTGGAGGTTGTCAACATTACACTTGCGCAAGACGACGAGCTTTCCGACATCCCGGCCGAGATGCGCGAGGTTGTGGCAGGCGAGATCGCTGCATTCCGCGAGCGTAGCATTCAGCGAGATCTGGAGCGACTCCGCAAGGAAGAGGAAGCAGAGGAGATGGAGCGTCAACGCAACAATCCTGCGCGCGCCTCACGGCTGGAGTCTACTGCTAATGGCGGGAGCACGAACAATATCCCGCTGGGTCCCCGAGGCGGTATGCCTAATGCGCCATCGGGACCTCGAGGTCACGATCCCAACCGGATTGCTTTCGTGAACGGTGGAGTATCAAACGCCGAGTATTCAATCAACCGCGAGGACGAGGACACGGATGCCGACGACGACGAGCTCTACAGGCGACAAGAGGAGAAGAAGAGACTGGACGCGGACCGAGCGTTTGCTGAGGCAGAGAGGAAGTGGGTCGGGCGTGAGCGAGCGAGGCAAAACGCGTTGGACCGCGAGAACGACCGAGACAAGCAACAATCCGAGACGTTTGAAGAACGCAAGAGGGAGCAGCTCGATCGGGAGAGGAAGTGGGACGATGAAGAGGAGATGAACCGTAGGGAACACCCGTACTACCGCGACCATGTCGGCTGGGTGCGCAAGCGTGAGATGAACAGAGCCGAGGAGGATCACCGAGACGACCTGGACCGACGAGCAGAGCAGGATGAGCGCCGGCGCGAGCAGGCGAACAGGGACCGCGCGCGTGGCATGGCCGACTCGTTCCTGGACCGTCAGGCAGAGGAGCTGGAGCAGCGTCCTTCCGAATCTGTGTCGGCGCCTCAGCCCTTCAAGCTGTCACTCGGCGCTGCCGCGCAAAAAGCACAAGCCTCCAAGGCCGTCACGCAAAGGCGGACCATTGCTGAAGTGGAAGGTTTACTGGACGACGAAGAGGCAGACACGGGCGTCAAGCGCCAGCTCATCCCCATCCAGTACGATTCCACGTCAGCTGCGGCCAACATGACGGACGAGGAGATTGCGCTGGCTGTGCGTGCACTCGCGCAGGAGATCCCGACGGACAAGGACGGCCTATGGAACTGGCAGGTCAAGTGGGACTTTATGGACGCGGGCGTGGTGCGCGACAAGCTGAGGCCCTTTGTCGAGAAGAAGATTGTGGAGTATCTGGGCGTGCAGGAAGAGATGCTCGTGGAGACGGTGGAGGAGCACCTGCGCAACCACGGGACAGCGGCGGCTCTGGCGGAGGAGCTGGAAGGGGTGAGTCTTATTGAATGCGATCTGAAGTCACAGCTGGCTAACATTTTCTTTCTAGGCACTGGACGACGAGGCAGAGGACCTGGTCAAGAAGTTATGGCGCATGGTCATCTTCTTCACCGAGTGCGAGAAGCGTGGTCTACCTGCATAATTGGCACGCACGTAATTGGCACGCACGTAATTGGCACGCACGCGTCCTGTAAGAATGACTCCTTTGGCTTCGGTTGGAAATTAAGGGAAAGGCGCCTTGGGGTTCCAAGTATATATAATAATGCTTCAACGTTCGTGCCTCCTCTTGTTCCTGGACAAATTCGATCCGTTGGGGATGGACGCCACGTCCATGGCCCGAGTGCCGAGGTTGAGATCCTTGCCCCCCCCACCCGACAATCTGGGGTATTAATAACTTATAACTCCTTCCAACAAGAAGCCTTCTCACCTTTATGCCTACAAAGCCATTTCATGCCACGACTGTATCACCTCAATGACGGTCCTCGTTTCCTCACCTTATCACACAACATCTTCCCCCAGAGTGTCGTCATGTCTCAAACGTTTAGCAGCCCGCCACCATCCGTCCCCGACGTGCTCGTCACCTCGCCTGTCCCTCATGTCCTCCTCGTCACACTGAACCGTCCCAAGGCCCTCAACGCCATGCAGCGCGAGATGCACTACCGCCTCGACAAGCTGTGGTCCTGGTTTGATGCCGAGCCCACGCTCCGCGTCGCTGTGCTGACGGGGTCTGGGCGCGCATTCTGTGCGGGCGCGGATCTGAAGGAATGGAACGACAAGCACAAGGACGGAAAGGCGCAAGAGGAGCCTCAGCCATTGGAGAAGTGGAACGAGAATGGGTTTGGAGGACTCAGCAACCGACGAGGCAAGAAGCCCGTCATTGCAGCCGTCAATGGCCTATGTCTGGGCGGAGGTATGGAGATTGCCATTAACTGTGATATGGTCATTGCGCACGAGAGCGCCCAGTTCGGCCTTCCCGAGACCAAGATTGGCGTTGTCGCTCTCGCGGGTGCGCTGCCCAGGCTGACGAGGCTCGTGGGACGGGCGAGGGCTTCAGAGATGGCGTTCACGGGGCGATCATACCCGCCCACGACGATGCTGGACTGGGGCGTCATCAACAAGATTGTCAAGGGGAACGTGGTTCAAGAGGCGCTAAAGTGGGCAGGCGAGGTGGCCAACAACTCGCCCGACTCGATCATTGTCAGTCGCGAGGGCATCATGAGTGGCTGGGCGCCCGAGGATCCGCAGGACGCTACGAGGCGGGTCGAGTTTGGCATCTACAAGGAGATGGATGGCGCGCAAAACATGAAGGAGGGCGTTCTGAGCTTTGTGGAGAGGAGGAAGGCCGTCTGGCGAGACAGCAAGCTCTGAGTACAGTGGCGCTGGGAGGGATCCTGCACGCCTATTTTATCACGAATCTCAAAGTTGTCCATTGCCCCTACTCATCGCCTATACTACCGTACATGTACACTGACCTTTCATCAGCCTCTCAGTCATGAATCGTGACCATTCTCTGGGCGTTTGACAGGATCCGACTCCGGCCTTGGCTTCTTTCCCATGGGCTCGACGAACAACCGCCCTCTGGGTAGAATCTCCCATCCCGCCTCAAGAGCGGCCCTTTTGAAGCGTTGGTCCACGTTGACATGCTCATTCGTCATGTACTCCTCCAACTCGTCGCGCTCCAGCTCCACCCACTCCTCCTCTTCATCACCGTACTCCTCCTCCTCGTGCACCCAGTCCATATCTATAAAGTCAAATCTGTCTTGCCATTCCGCCAGATAGGTAGGCCACTCGTAGGGGTTGAGGGGGGTCACTATGTGACCGGGCGGACGTGGCGCGTAGCAGCCTATGACGATGCGGATGGTACTCCCAGTCGGCTTCAGCCATTTCGTCGTGGCCTTGAACAGATGCAATATGAGCTCCATGTTCGCGGTCCTAATGCCTACTTCGTGATGCTGCATATCCAGCAGGTTTACCCATGCCGTCAGCCTATCAATGTGGCCTAGGTAGATGGTGTCAATACGAGGACACATGGCCGCAATGTATCGAACCAAGTCGCCCTGCGGATAGGGAGCTGGAATTCTCCAAGCAGGCCATGTCCCAGGAGGCACGGTGTAGTCCCTTGCAATCACACTGGGCAGTGCATCCACGTGTAGAGCGATAGCTTTAATGAAGTTCAAGTTAGTCGCACCGATGCGTTGCAGGGTCCGGTGCGCAATGGCGAGATTACCAGGTTTCCACACGCGCCAATCGCCGAAGCAAAACACGTTCTTTCCGTACAGGATAGGCGCGGCTTCCCGTTTGGTGAGTCTGCAGGCTTCGAGCAGCGCGAGGAAGTGATGTGACACTGCCTTGCGCTCGTCCGCATGCTGGGCGCAGTGGCATTTGTAGGGTGACGAAGCTGACAGGTGCGTTGCGTTGTCGTCACGTATGGCCAGCTCAATGTGGACGTCGAGGATGAAGACATGTTCGTAGATCATGTTGCGGACTTCGGCGGGCAGACGCAGGAAGGGAAATATCACCGGCGGAGGCGCTGCCCAGGGCGTAAACGCATTGTTCATTGTGGGCGTCTGAAAAGAACCGGTTGTCCTACTCATACGGCTGAATGTATGATTTCGGTTTGGGGGTCTGATGGATGATCTTCTGCTGATTGATAGTTAGACTCTGTCACTCAGTGAACTGTACTTGCGTCGGCGACGTTGTGTTCTTGTAGACTCAACTATTCCGTAATACAAGAGGACTCGTAAGTATGCATCGGCGAGGAAAAAATGGGAACAAAGCTGGCTGTCGTTGGGCAAGGCTTTGTGCCGACTAGATACAACGAATTTATTCAGTCTTTACTGCAAGCTCTGACCAAATGCCTCCTCTATTGTCACTTGGTCGAGTTCACAAGACAAGAACTGCAAACTATTGTGATAATGGGCCTTGAACCTCGAAGAAGAATTTGCGCTATCTTCTTTTGTCTGATTATTATCTTTTATTATCAGCTCTCGGACTTGACCTCGTGGCTTTCTAGCAGTCAGGGACGCTTCATTCACTCGAATACCTACCTGTCTCTGACGGCTGAACCCAGTTGTGCCACTTTGATGGAACACACGCAGAGTGTTTCTGATAATCATTAATTCAGTCATGGTCTAGTTAGTTGTCCTTATTGAGGTTTTCAGCATCCTCGATAGACTCGATACGACGGTCCAATGCGATAAAATTCACCATGTTCCGATATCGCTGGGAAGGCAAGGAAATCTAAGGTGATCATTGCACCAGACGTGATCAAGTTTATTATTAAAATAGATATCAACAGTATTCGAATGGTGTCGAGAGATATTGTTATTCCTTCTCGTCCTAGCAAGGTGGTGTCACTTTGACTCGCCCCTTTTCCAGCACCATGTATTTGAAAGGCTGCACAAACAGTTTGTGACGACACACGAAGCGTCAGGTCCTTCAAGTCACTGTATAATACTCCAGAAGATATTTTTCTGCTTGGCAACATGAATTGGTGGTGCACATATTCGAGGGTCTCTTCAACAATGGATGCTTTGTGGTTGACAAGACCCCTGAGCGGCCTGTACTCGAGCCTCAAGTTGGCCTGAGGCACAGACGTCGCATATCTCCTTCAGCCCTCGTTGGTTTATAACTTAACTGATCTTCTCAACTCATTTGATCATTAGATCATTTGATCATTTGGTCGATATTCCCCGTGCTTTGAAGCCTCCACGTCGTTGTGTCGTCGTCGCGATTCCTAGCCTTGTCTGCCAAGTAATCACATCCCAAGTATACCTACTTTTTCTAAGCAAAATATGTCTCCTTCATGACTAAGTCAAAGACCCCTCGATTCATTTCCTCATTTGGTGCACACATCTTAGAGTAGAGGTGTGAAAGTGATCCTCAAGGGGCCTGCTTTGCTGGCCTACCCTACACTATCCACAGTGGCCATCAATATCCTTTATTCCTGCAGATCAATCATCAAGAAATGCGGGAAGCACCATTGGCTATCCAGCCATCAGAATGATTGGGTTGAAATTGTGATATTGGCCATGCAGTTTCATAGAAAAGACAAAGAAGGTTGGCGCTTTCATTGTCCCAGCCGGCCGCCATCTCATGTCTCGGACACACGAACATCAAATGCCAAGGTGATTCGAGACCCTTCCCTCGTGCCGCCTCCACACGCGTCTGACTGGTCAATACAAGCTCTCGAGGGTGGTTTGCAAGAGACAAGACCAGTGGGAAGTTTGGAGACTTTCGCGTGTGTGACTTGAGAGCAATATTCATGCCGGCGCCCGAGACGTGCGTCAAACAATTGCGGACAGCCCTTGTTGGGGCGACTGAAGACAATGCCGATTCAGTGGTAATTACGCGAGAGTTCAAGGACATGCCGCGCACTCATCTCAATCCGAGATTGTCATCGTCAGATCTCGCGATCTCCCAAAACCCCCGAACACCCTATCAGGAGCGACGCATATCTTCCCGGCCCCGTGTCTGCGCAAATCATGGAAATGATCGACGCGCCCTACCGTCCGTGTCTGGAGCTGAACCGACCAAGCGTGCGTCTCTAGCGCCTCCACCAGCACCGGCTGCTCCCTTGGACTGCGTCCGTTCTCTCCGCCGACATGACCACGGCATAAGTCTAAGACATGCACAGCGACAGCGACTGGTCGAAAGGGCGGCCATGATCTTCATGAGGGCTCAGCCGTGGCGCGAACGACTGGGGAGGAATAGCGCGCTCGATGATGCGCGATGCTACGTACGCCAGGGTGTGCGCAATGGGATCAAATGGACGCGATGGTCCGGGTCTTGCCCTTGCTTCTCCTCCAGTGCCTTAGGTAGTGCCGATTGTCTTCTACGCAGTCTTATGCCTCTCCCCTCTCAATCTCCAAGTTCTGTCTTGGCAGCAGCGGTTGAGTTGCGCAATGGCGGACGACATGGCCACCAAAGGCAGCGCGCAGCACGCTGGCTCGGCGAGCGCAGCCAACATTCTCACCGACAGCAACCAGGACGCCATCAACACAAATAGCAATGCCGCGCAGGCGGCCGCGAGCAGAGGGGTTCGGAAGCTGGTGCTGTGCTTCGACGGCACTGGCAATAAATTCCACGGCGACGACAGTGACAGCAACATCCTCAAGATCTTCCGCATGCTGGATCGCACGGCTGACGACCAGTATCACTACTATCAACGTGAGTTTCCCATCTTTGCTCTGAATGCATCCTGGACAGACCTGCTGACGGATTTGGCCAGCTGGGATCGGGACATACGTCGTGTCAGGCTCGCTGTCACATACGTCCGTTCGCGCACGATTCAACAGCTGGTACACAAAGGCCAAGGACTCGGCTGTTGGCTCCTCATTCGATCAGCATGTTGTCGGCGGCTACCGCTTCCTGATGCGCTTTTATAATCCTGGCGACGAGATCTATCTCTTTGGATTCTCGCGCGGTTCCTACATTGCTCGCTTCCTAGCCGAGATGCTTGACTACATCGGCCTCCTCTCCCACGGTAATGAGGAAATGGTCAAGTTCGCGTGGAAAGCTTTCGCCCAGTGGCAGTGCCGGCAGCAGAGCGTCGGCTCCGCCGAGGAGATCAGAAAGGCCGACGAGGAGAAGAGGAAGATGTACAGGTTCATGAAGGGGTTCCGCGAGACCTTCTCGCGCCCCGTCGGGCGGATCAAGTTCCTGGGCTTGTTCGACACCGTCAACTCCGTGCCGCGGTTTGAGACGGCCTGGATGCAGAGGAGCAAGTTTCCCTACACGGCCAAGAGCAGCGCCAGGGTGATCCGCCACGCCGTCAGCATCGACGAGCGCCGCGCCAAGTTTCGACAGGACCTCATGTACCAGGGGAACCGCAAGGTGAGGGACCACCACAAGCGCCACAACATTGAGAAGTGGTTTGGCTGGGAACATTGGAACATGCAGATGAACATCATTCCCCAGATGGACAAGACAGGCCACATGGAAAGGAAGCCTACGGGTGCGGGCGAGGATACGCAAGAACCGGAGTCCCAGAATCAGAACCTGGCACCAGAGGACCGCGGCAGGACGAAGGACAAGTACCTATCACCCAACGGCCTCCAGGCGTCTTCGCAGTCGAGGCCTCGAGAGGAGAAGCCAGCTCAGCAGGGAGTAGAGGACGATTTTGCCCCGTACCGTGCCAGGTCGTCGTCTAGAAGACCTCAGTCCGCGCGGTCGGGTGCTCCATCGGAAATGTCCCACTCGAACCCTCCCCCGTCAGAGATACAGCCCGTCGACGACTGCGGCCAGGATATTGACGAGGTGTGGTTTTCCGGCGGCCACGCTGACGTCGGTGGAGGTTGGGAGATGCTGGAAGATAGCAAGAGCGCCAGCCACGTGCCGCTCACGTGGATGGTCCGCGAGGCCATGAGGGCTGGGCTGCCCTTTGACCCAGACAAGGTCGCCGAGCTGGGCTGCGCGTGCTCCAATGAGTGGTCTGCGGACAGTCCAGCCAAGAAGCCCGCTGCGTTGCGGAAGAAGAAGAAGGGGAAGAACCGACAGGCCGCTGCTGGAGATATACCGGCCATCCGGATGGAAAATGGAGGCACGCCCACGTTCCCCGAGTCGCCCAGCGAGTACCGCCACCCGTGGCCTCGGGAGCCGCGTCCTGCGACATGTTCCTCGACGGCGTCCTCTGCGTCGTCCTGCTCCACCGACGAGGACGAGCGCCACTTTCACGGCCTGATGAGTCGTGCACACACCGCCCGAATCCACGACTCCCTCGCGTACCACGGCGGCCTGAACCATCTCTCCGTGACTGGGTGGAAGCTGATGGAGTACCTCCCCTTTCGGAGGATGGACCTCAAGAGTGATGGCACTTGGGAGCCGATCCGCTGGCCGCTGCCCAGAGGCGAGGTCCGGGACATCCCAGATAATGTCCGCGTGCACCGCAGTGTCATTCGCCGCATGAAGGAGGACGAGACGTATCGCCCGGGGAACTTGATTATCGGTGGCGGTGGTCGTGGCGTTCGACATGCGCCCAAGGAGCATGGCATAGGGGAATGGGTTTGCGTTGCCGACGAAGGGGATCCAGTCGGTGAGATCTGGATGAAAAAGGACAAGTGCGAGTAAAGGTTTGATTCTACATGTGTTAGGTTTTCGGAGGAATGTAATGGGTAATTTGTGGCATTGGCCTCAGGGATTGCAACCGTTTGTTCTCGCTCTTCAGGTCTGGAGTCTCTGGACAGTCTTTGAGGATCGTGCTTTCTCACCATTGCTTCAGCAATTCACCATTATATGTCATCTGACTTGACAATCAGTCCATTATGCAAATTGAAGATTGCAATGGTATGTTAGCTCAGGAGAGCCCTGGTATGTCGAGGTTGTTGCTAACATTGGTTGTGCAGACTAGGGAAGAACCAGGGCGGACAACTGTAGAACACCTCAGTTCCAAGGTAAAACAATCATCGGTGGCAATGCCGATCTTCGAACCCACAGGATACTTTGATCAAACAAAAAACGAAGATTAAGACGATTTGTGCAAGTCGTCGGAAAGGCGAGTATGCCGAGTCCTGTTTACCGAGGGCCTACCGGGTGACCAAATCCATAGGACAAAGGGCCAAACTCGGCTCATCTTGGATGATCCGATCTCCATCCTCTGTTCTTCCAACTCGCTCTCTATCCAGCTTTTATGTGAGAGTGCGCGGCCCTTTTTTTATTCCTTGCACTGCAGATTCTAAAGTACACGTCGCGGCAATGTCTGCACGTCTTTATCCCGCTTCAGCGAGACTTGTCACGCGATCTTTCGGCAGGATGCTTCACACCAAACCCCGGACGCTGAACGCCCTTTTTGTACGCGGAGGCACCTCGAATGGCTTGATGATCCACGACAGGGACTTGCCGCCTCGAGACCAATGGCAGACAGTCCTACCAGCTGCCATGGGATCTCCCGACCCCTACGGGCGCCAGCTCAATGGCATGGGATCCGGCATATCGTCCACGTCCAAGGTGGTTGTGGTGCACCCGCCTACCCGGGACGACGTTGACGTGGAATACACATTTGTGCAGGTGAGGATCAAGGACGACGGTCTCGACATGGAGGGAAACTGCGGCAACATGAGCTCTGCGGTTGGCCCCATTGCATGGGAATGGGGCCTTGGGAAAGAGGATGCCGTGGAAACAGATAGTCACGGCCGGACGTGGGCGTCCATGAGACTGTTGAACCGGAACACCAACAAAGTCATTGTTGCACGGTTCAGGGTGGAGGGACGAGACTACGTTCCGTCAGGTGAATACGAGCTCGATGGTGTCGTTGGAGAGGCCTCGCCCATCACCATGAGCTTCATGGATCCCGCGGGCGCCAAGACAGGAAAGGCACTGCCTTCGGGAAATGCCGTGGACGAGTTGCCACTCGAGGATGGAAGCACGATTCAGGCCACACTCATGGACGTCAGCAACCCGGGCGTCTTCGTCAAAGTCGCAGACTTGGGCATTGACGCGGATGCGTTGACACCAGATGCCATCGAGGGAGATGTCGCACTCAAGAGGCGGCTAGAGCAGATTCGTCGCGCCGGTGCCACAGAGATGGGCCTCGACCCCGAGGTTGAGTCGATACCAAAAATTATCCTCGTCTTCCCTTCCAAAGACCCCTCGGCCGACATTCGATGCGCCGCCTTGTCCATGGGCCAGGCTCACAAGGCGGTGCCGCTGACGCTGGCGCTCTGCCTGGGCGCGGCGTGCCAGACACCAGGTACGATCCCTGCGAGTCTGCTGAGAGAGAGCGGAAAAGAGGCCGTGACGATTGCGCACCCGAGTGGGAAACTGGACATTGGCACTACGATGAGAGACGGCAGACTCGTCAGTGCTGAGCTCCTGAGGACAGCGAGAATCATGATGAAGGGGGAGGTGCTGTACTAGACTCGTGCCAGTGGCTTCTTGGTGCGGCGACTTACCCTGCAGACGTGGGGCTCCACAACAAGGAGGGAGGGGTTTGTTTCAGCCAGAGGCAGCAGCAAGGCGATGGCGCCTCGTGGTCCTTCTGGTCTCAGCTTCCTGGACCCTGCAGATATATTCGATCGCTTTTGCCGATATGTATGTGATCGACATGTGCGCTCGAGTCTGCGTCGCGTCTTGTCAGACGCCTGGCTGACATTTGCTTGTGACGGGAGATGGGCTGGGAGATGGACGGCCACTCTAGTCATCGGCGTGCGGTGTCCAAACTTGAAGTCCGAGAGCGGGTCAGTAACTCAATAACGAGACAAATGATGCCAGTGAGGTTCCCCAGTGGGATGGACGCCCGCCGGCAGTTGCCGCCGCAGCTATGCCAGCTCAGATATGGCCTTGCCTGGCACCTCGGTCCTCACCTTCACAATTGCCGCCCAGGGTTCATTCAGTCCATCAGTCATCTTGAGGACACGCCACCGCGTCAGCCTGCCATCCATTCATTTCTCATCACCCTCGCACAAGACCCTCGCTTCGTCAAACCTCGAGCTACCGCAAACTTCCACTTCCACCTCCACCCTCGCCATCGCCATACATCTCGCAGCTCGCATCTCACGCAGTGCCAAGGCGACTTGGCTACCACAGCGCATCCCTGTAGCGCTCCCGTATCCGACAATCTCGCCACCATCCCTCGTTGCGAGTCTACACGCACCGCGCAGCGACCGATAACGACCCGTCGCCCACGCCGAGGTGCTGACACAAAGCGCGACGCCGGGCAGACCGAGCGACCGTCTGCACGACGTGCCGATCGCCCCCTGATGGACAAGCAGTGTAGTGCGACCATCCACAACGGCGCCCTGGTTTCGACCCGCAAGGGCATGGTTATATCAAAGTCCCAGCACCAAGGCACTCGCTTCGTCAACACCTTTGCACCTGCCACCACCAGGCCACCCGCCGATCCGTACAGATGGCACTCGAAATCACAACCGCAGGATGAGGCGCTGCGGTACCATGAGGGAACATCACAGGCTCACGCGCATCTGAACACCCCTCCACAGACGGTCGCGACACCGAGCTCAGTCGCCACGCCAGCTACCAACATGAGGAGAAGTACAGACGTCCCATCGACACCCATGAGCAACGTGAGCGAGCAGGATGAGCAAAGGCCAGGCACAGTACATCAGCACCAGCAGCCACTACACATACCATATCTGCGGCCGCCCGTGCCCAAGGGACATCCAAGCCAGAGTCCGGTTGGGTCGATGGGCTGGCCTCCACCACCTGATCACAATGCGCCCCTAGCCCCGCGACTGGTTCAGCAGTATCTCCATAATGTGCCCCCGCGGTCATACACATTCGAGGCAATCGCTCTCGTGGCCTCTCTGGCCAACGGAGGGGGTAGCGTGCCACCCTCGGCGCTCGGACAATCGATAGCGCAGGTATGCGCCTCCATGAACAAGGACATCCTGCTTGGCGACGAGGATGGCTCGAGGAGCGAGGCGGCCGTCGTGGAGTCCATCGCCGCCATGGCCCTGGAGGCCACGTACAGCGGGCGACAGGACCACTGGCACGTCCTGATGAGAGGACTGCGAGATATGGTGGATCGAGGTGGTGGCATGAAGCCGGAGTGGGGAGTCATCCTCAACAAGATTCACAAGGCCGATGTCAAGGGGGCGGCATATGCTGGGAGCAGCCCCTATCTTGAATTTTCCAAGATATTCCCGCCCATATCGGATGCGCTGTCGCCGCATAGGCGAGCAGAACTTGCTGTCCGCGCACACCACCTACTCTCAGCGTGCAGTATCGCTCTTGCCAACATTGAGTCGATACAAGGCCTGTCATTTTTTACACAGACCATCATTGCGGCGCGGCATGGCGCGCATCCGCAGTCGATCCTCGTCGACCCAGGAAGCTTTGCAGAAGATTGTTTGCAGGTCGAACATCAGCTTGTGCGCAACCCAAAGGCCCTCCGGGACGACATGGCCGAAACAGAGGCACTGTTGGCAGTGGCAGCCAACCCGCTGGACCCGCTACTGCGGATAGCAGCCATATTATACATTGAGGATTTACTCCCAGACGCACATTCGGTGGACCTATATACCATCCTCCTCACGGCCCTCATACATCAGTCACGAATCATCTTACAAAGGAAGATGTACCCAGAATCCAGCCCGAGCCCCCTCCCAGACGCAACCGCCGTGCGTCCGCTCCTGCTCTGGACGTGCATGGTCGGCCACGCAATTGTGACCTTTACCAATGTGCAAAAGGGCACCGTGCTGGACCTTGCCGTCTTTGAAGATCTGGCGGCCGTGACCTTGGGCGACAGCTCGGGCGCGGCGCCCGCAGACGCAGAGGACGAGGAGAACGAGCTGGATTTATGCGAGCTCCTGCCACTGGGGGAGCTCAGGAGTGTCAAAGGATGTGATGAGGAAGCCATGCTGAGACAGCTCGTCGCGGCACATGATGCGCGAGAACCTTGGCAATGACCCTACCCTGTACTTGATACACAAGCATGAGGATGAACATGACCGCTCGTTAATCGGGCGAACAACTTGTCCCACGATGTCACGCGGACACACATAACAGAATCTTTCGTTCATCTTCCACGTGAATTTATATACTTTATGTATTTGTCATAGCAACTATGGCGGCAGCGTCAGTACTCAGTACAGTACTAGCACCGCAAACTGAACTGGGACCCACATTCATCTCACTGCGACGATGATCCTCTCTCCGATTTTGGTATTCAGGAGGCGAGCTTCAGCCCTCAGTCAACAAACCCCCCAACAACAGTCTTCACCCTCGAAGCGTCACATCTTACGTCCTGGGCCATGGCATCTCATCCTTACTACCCACCTACGGCAGCTATCCCTTTGTACACGCCTAATTCCTCGCCCACTGTGCAGACAATCGCGATCTTTGGAGCCATCGTAGGAACCATTGCCGCCGTCGCATACAATGTGCTTCCCACTGGCTCGCGACTCATAGATCGCTTCTCCGCAAGCTGGTTCGCCCTATGTATGTGTTTGTGCTCCGTATTCGGAGTGGTGCGCTAACAATGGATACACACAGGCGCATTCTTACACCTCTGTTTTGAGGGGTACTACGTCGTCCACAGAGCCGAGATTGCAGGCATGAACACTTTGTTCGCCCAGCTGTGGAAGGAGTACACTCTGTCGGACTCGCGGTACCTCACACTCGATATATTCACCGTGTGTATCGAGTATATCACCACGGTGCGGCCATCTTTCTGTCTTCTCCCGTCCTGTGTGCTGACCGGAATGACCAGATCTGCTGGGGGCCCCTGTCCCTGCTGACTCTCCTCTCCATCCTCAAGAACCATGATCTTCGCCATCCGCTGCAGGTCATTGTGTGCACGGCCCATCTGTACGGCGTGGCGCTGTACTATGCGACCAGCGAGATGGATGTCACGAGGTATTCCAGGCCAGAAACTCTGTACTACTGGGTGTACTATGTCGGCTTCAACGCGCCGTGGGCTACTGTGCCTTTTTGTGAGTCTACTTGCCTTTGGCGTATGAGTGGTGAGCTGACACGAGCGCAGGGTTGCTGTGGGACAGCTTTGTGGCCATCTCAAATGCATTCAAAGTGTCTAGGGAGCTTGAAGGGGGTAAAAAGAATGTGTGATGTTCTGTAATGTATTAAGCGAGATGTGTTAGTAATGTATGCGGCAGACAGGTCGTAGCAGCCTGCTATTGTCTCGGGCTGACACGCTGGTTCTAGACATGGCTCATTGCTGTTGCTGTGAATAGTGCTTCTCTTCACATATACTAAGACAAAGCCCGAGTAGATTCCTCCCTAAAAGAAAAGAAAATCGCATGTCTTCTTCTGTTCATCGACCGCGAGCGTGCTGACACAAACAAGACACGTAAGGCAAAGATTGGCGCCTCCCACTGAGGATGTATCATCCCCGAGCACCACACATACCATGTTGAATGGTTCAAAGACTGACCAAGAAAGGTACTCTACCTCAAACGCCCACTCTTCTCATCATCCCCAGATCTCATCAAAAGATCCCCCCCGCCACAGGAACGGAAAACAACGCCCCCCTGACATGGAAGTCATTTATCACTTACCTCCACGACAAACTCCACCATGCCCAGCCCTCCACGCACAACGGGACTCAAATCACGCAGCACGCACTTGAGGCCCGTCTTAATTCCGCCTTCCACTACCCAGGTTACCTTTGCGTTGACCCCCGCTGGTCGCGGGCCACGCTTGTTGAGGGCGTACTCCTTCATCGCGGCCTGCGTCACTTGGTCCCACAGATGAGGGACCATCTCCACAAACGAGTAGCTGAAATTTGATTCATCCTTGACCGTGATCTTGGTGAGCTTTGGGCAGCGCACGATCCGAGGGGGCGGGGCGGATACGTTGCTGGGAACGCCCCCCGGTGGCGGAGCATGGGGAGGGCTCGAGACAGGGACTGGTGGACCTGTGACAACGGGAAAGCGACGATTGACTTTCTCGAAGCTGCCGTGAGTGGGCTCCGGCATGCAGAAGATGGGGAACCCGGGGCTCGGACCTGGTGCTGAGAGAGGGCATGTATGCTTCGTGCCAGATGGTTCTCGCTTGCCTTTGGTGGCCTTGGCGTCGTTGTGAAAGGTGCTCGCCGAGCTGAATGAGGATACGCTTTCGAGCTCGTCTAGCTCGTCATCATCATCATCCTCGCTCGTCTCGTCGTCCTCCCCGACAATCGCCCAACTTTTTTGGTTGATGTGCTTGGCCAGGGCTTCGCTGGAGGCAAGGTGGAGGTCTTGCAGCGACTCGACCAAGGTATGTCCGTAGCCAGATAGCAAGGGTGACCTAAAGCCCCCGTAAGCTTTCAAGGTGATACTGGACTCCCACGGCGTCGATGTTTTAGCGTCAGGGCCATGGATTGTCGCCAGGACGAAGTGTGATGCCGGTCTTTTGTACAGGATGTGGCAGTTTTCTGGTCATTCCTTTAGCATCGTACGGAATCTCGAGATCAATTTTACCTGAAATGAGAGACTTGTAGTCTGGGGTGTACGGTGGGCTTGCTTTGGGCATGTTGCTTGCTTGGATTTGATGTTGCAAGACGTTCTCGTGATGGATTGTCGTCAAAGTTAATGGGAAATCTCGAACAAAGGCAGAGTTGAAGTGTTTGACCAACTCCATCTTGTCGAAGAGCACCATGGACTACTTATATACACTTAAAAATCATGTATCACGGTAAGCGATACTTCCATTTATCGATGGGGACGATCACCCATGCGGCTCTCTGCATGAGTGATGAGACTCGCCTTTGAACGACGGCAGATAGGCCGCCCGGGGAAGCATCGCTCTTGACTGTGGCTGCCTATGTCTGACTGTGGTACAGTTCACGAGGGTACATGTGCCGCCCTTCATTGACGTTGGAGGTCGAGATGATACGGTGAACTCGTCCATGGCGGCACAGTCGCATTAGAATGCACTTTTGGTGCAGCCAAACGAGGGGCGGGCGACAGCGTAGTACACCACCATCTCTGCGAATAGTGAGGCGCGTGACGTGATTCGGATGCCTCGTCTCGCACACTGTGCTAGGTGTCGTCCGACCAGGTAGCGCGAGCCTTGTTCCAACTTGGTATCTCAGAGAAAAGGATTGTGTACGTGCATCCTTCATGTTGTCTTCGGCTCAATGGACATAAACTATCTGTCTCGTGTGCTTTACACAGGGTTGAAGATCACGATCGCCGCTATGTTGTCCAAGGCAACGAACGTCAAGAGTGGCACGAAGCCTCACTTTCTCTCATCGCGGATGGGGGCGTATTGTGACCTGTAGCACGGCAGAAGAGTCCCTCATGAATTGACCAGTGAAGCTGTGGTCTTGTCCCTCCCAATGCTGCAGCCTTGACGATGACGAGGCTGCTCGCGCTGCATTTTAGTCCATTCAATGATCTGCCTCACGTCGGTGGCGAGAAGCAGAGCATGCAGCAATGGGTCCAGCCCGTCACAGCCTGTTTCACTCCCATGAGAGACCGCATGAGCGCACAGCAGCCGTGATACAATAGATATTCATATTCCCCGTACCAACTGACCTGACCATCGCCCACCACGCATCGTATAGCGAATGGAGAACCTGCATCCGACCATCTAAACGCCCGCATCAGTCTGCAACTTCTCCAGCCGCAAGCGCACCGCCTCCACGAGCGCCGTCTCTCGCGCAAGTGCGCCCTGAACCTGCTGCATCTTACTCTTCCTGATGTTGTCCGGCACCCTCAGCTCCTGTTGTTCTCTCTTCTCCTCACCGTCCTTGCCGACGTTGAGCGTCTCCAGTTGCATCGTCAGCGAGTCTTGCAGTTCCTTCAGGTCTTCAAAGCGCTGCCACAACTTCTTAGGCTGATTCTGCGAGTCGTTCGCTGCGGTAGTGCCCTCGTCGTCATCCTCCCCAGGCAGGCAGACGTTCTTCTCTGCCGAGCGAACTTCGTCCGCCCAAGCGCGCTCTTTCACGCTCAACTCGCGGGTCGTGGAGCGGCCCACCGTCTGCTTGAGCTTCTCGATGCGTGCCTTAAGCGCTTCTTGACGGCTATTGGCTTGCTCGATGCGACGATCATACCGGACTCGGTCGGACTCTTCTTCGCCGTCTCCCAGCATGGCGTCGATTCTCCTTTGCACCTCGCCCGCTTTGCGGATCTGTTCGCGCAGCTCGCCGGTCAGGCTCTGGCATCGGATGAACACCTCGGCAGCCGCGTCCCGGAGTCTGGCTGTCTCATCACTGAGCACCTTGTGAACCTCCGTGAACACATTCAATGTCATTGGGCTGAGCTTAACATCTTGCGTAATCGTTGTTTTGTGGCGTGATGTGCGCAAATTGTCCAGGTATTGCGGCAACAGCGAATCTTCGCTAAAGGCGTGTGGAGTGTTGAAGACAGGGCGAGGTTCATAGAAATCCAATAGGGGCTGATCATCCTCCTCTCTTTTGACGGGCGAATCCTCGATGGCGAGGGGACGACTCGATTCGGGTGTGTCGAAGGCCATGGCAATGGGTTCGTAGGGCGTTGCGGACAACAGGAGGTAGCCGAGGTCCGCATCAAAAATAGATGTCGCCGCAGCCAGAATGACGTCCTGTGATTTTGGGCAAGAGTAGATCTTATCTCTCGTCGACGCCGTGTGCACAACCAGGTTCATCCGGAAGTCAGTGCCAGCATCCAGACTGCCCGCAAGCTCGCTTTCGAGGCGGGTGATCCAAGGCAGCAAAGAGATAAAGGAGATGCCAGTAGTGGTGGTAACCCAGAATGAGTAGCGGTGCGAAGCATCTGGGCTGAACACGGGCCAGCTATCATCCGAGAGATTATCAATCTCGCTCGAGCTCATCGTGTCGATAGCCTGATACGTCAATAGTGTTGGCTGATCGAGGCGCGCAATAAGGCGCCCAAGGCGTGGTTTGTTCTTCGGGGGCAGCCACTCGGCTTGCACGCCCTCCAGGTCGAGATAGATGCGCGTCTGCCCATCGGCACTCAGCAGGCAGATCACCGTGAGCGAGGCTCCTTCTTTGTCATTGTCGTCGAATTCCAGGTCCTCCTCCTCACCCATCATGAGGTCCTCGGCATCCACGTTTTTCCCAACAACCAGAATGTCGGTGATCTCAAAGTCTTGAGCCGCCTCGGGCTCGGAGAGAGGCTCAAAGGGTCCTTGCAGTCGAGGCACCAGACTCGGTCGCGACGGCCGGTTGTAAATCTCATGGATAGGCTCGCCGAGCTGGTCCTCCACAATTGTAGGCTCTTGCGCGTCCAATTCGCCCATCCAATCGAACTGCTGCTGTGCCAAGAGGTTCTCATACTCTGACACTTCTGGGTTGTCCTGAATGCTTGCTACCGTCTGCACGATGGAGACCGACAGCGAGGGAATCAACATGGGAGGCGGCGACCACTTCTCGGGTAGCAGAGGGCACAAAGCATAGACGTCGCCTCCCCGCATGGCCACCCACAAGGTCATGGGATTCCAGCCGCCAGACTCCCGATGGGGGAAGCTCGCCGCAGCAACCTCCATGTCGAACGTGTCGGGCGAGAATCCACTGTTCGTCACCGTGGTTGATGCCGAGAAATCCTGATCCATGGTCGTTCCATCGGCAAGCTTTCTGAGATCGATGGACATGGTAGGCTTGTCGAAACTCCAGCGGCTATCGAGTTGCAGTTCCCAGACTCTGACAATAGCGTCAGCTGTGACGGTGACCAGGCATGACCCGTTGACACCCAGAGGATGCCAGAGGGCCGACATGATGGGTGCTCGCGAGGTGACATGGGTAGTAGGTCCCAGAGTGTGGATTTGAGGCTTCAGGGGACTCGTTTCACCGCAGGTCAGATGCGAAGGATCGGGAATAATGCAGATGTGGACGGTGTGAGTAGTGAGAATAGCAAGATAAGCTCCGCCGGGAGACACAATAAGCTGTCGAATATCTTCGGCGCATCGTGTTTTGAGGGTCTGCGGTTCGTGGTTAGAGGTCTTCAGCCATCAGCCATTCAAGCAAATGATACGTACTCTGACCCCGGCACCGGGCTCTTGCTCAACAGAATCTATCACCGAAGCCAAGGAAGCCTCCCTCTTCAAGCCGGACCGCCCTTGTGGTGACCGTTCCCATTTGTCCTTGAGAAAAGCCAAGTCCCCCCATCGGATGTCACGGCCATTCGCCACAAATGCCTGCGTCCCCAAGGTCGCAATCGTTCGCCGTGGACCGGGAAGCTCGTCGACCGAGGCGTTGTAGGCGTATGTGCGACCGCGATCAGTGTCGTCTGCTTTGAAGAGCTGGTGCCCAGGTGCATCCTGGCCAAGCCAGGACGCCGAATAGCTTTGCACCTTTGGCATAGCGAATGAATACAAGTACTTGGTAGTTTCGCTGCTTATTCAAGTGTCGCCATTGAGGTACTCGTGGGAGTGTAACGGACGTGAGAGAAAAAAACTTGGTCGTCGGGGTGAGTGACGCTCTTTGTTTGCTTGGAGGCCGGGAATTGAGAAAAGGGAAATGCTGCCTTAGCGCGTGCTGTGCTAGCCTCGCTCGCGGCAACGCCATTGTGCAGCTTGCCATGATCTCGAACTTACACAACAAACCAACCTCGAAACAACATCCTCAAAAGCCCTGCATCCCCTCCCCGAGCCTTAGTCTTTGTCATATACACCGATTTCCACAGGGCCTCGCGGTCAAATCGGCCACAATGGCGGCAACAACGCGCCCCTTCAGAAACACCATCGACCGCCTCGACAAGCCCAGCGCATACTACACTGCACGAGTAGGTCTCCTGAGACTTATTGCCAATGCTCCCTGACGCAGTATAGAACAAACGCCGCAACCGCGACGAAGAAGACGCCCAGCCAGAAGCCCCCCAGGTCGACCCTCTCGCCAACGCTACAACCCTCTACGTGGGCAACCTTTCCTTCTACACGACCGAAGAGCAAGTCTATGCGCTCTTCTCGAAATGCGGCGAGATCAAGCGCCTCATCATGGGCCTTGATCGCTTCACAAAGACGCCTTGTGGCTTCTGCTTTGTGGAGTACTACACCCACCAGGACGCGCTGGATTGCATGAAGTACGTTGGTGGGACAAAACTGGACGAGCGCATCATTCGCACGGATCTAGACCCCGGATTCGAAGAGGGCCGTCAGTACGGACGTGGTAAGAGCGGCGGACAAGTGCGAGATGAGTACCGTGAGGACTACGACGAGGGGCGAGGTGGCGTTGGCCGAGCCATCCAGGACGAGAGGATGAGAGACTACGATGAAGAGGGTAGATATGTGCGATAAGATAGACAGCCGACACAATTGCTGTCGAGGAAGGCGTTCAAGGCTATTATCACATCAAGGGCATACCCAGATCACCTTGTGAGCAGATCAATTGACATCTGCTAGGTCATATGCTCGATGGCTTCGAGCTCCAATAGAAGTGTACAATGCCAATTCTTGCGTCCCAAATGCACCATCTATCCTTGCCATTTCCAGATCAAACAATATCGTACAGTTTTGGGGGGTCAATTAAAAGATCCCTTCACTTTGAGACATTTGGTGCTGTTGAACGTTCGTCCAGCGTGCCCATCCCGCGCTGGGCTCTTGTCGCCTGCCTCGCCATCCGCTGATTGAGAATCCGCCTCGCACGTCGTTCGTTTAGTAGCCAGGAGGGTTGACCCTCTGGGTGACTCTTGTCCACTTTGGTACTTCTACTAGGTGTCAGTCCACGATGCCGGCCCAAGCCTTGCCTGTCCCACTCACTGTGAATGCCCTTCCTATACCGCTTCGCCTTGCGATCAAACACCGTGTACTTGTCTCGTGGCAGCATCTCCGCCTCGGTCGGCATCTCCCTCTTCCACCGCTCCAGAGCCTCCAATGTCTCGCCCTGCTTGGCCAGTGCGGCGTCGACCGTCGCGATAACCCCGTCGACTGCGCGCATGCGCTCTCTGTGGCGGCGTTTCTGAAATTTCGACAGGCGCCAGGGGATCTTCCAGAGGAGACCGCCCGAGAGGGGGTTTGTGATGCGAAAGGGGCCGAACATTGTCGCGTCGTCTTGTCCGGCGTGGATCGTGAATGCTTCTGGGACCAGACGTGAAAACCGACCGATGCAGCTTTTTGGCTGGTAGAGAGAGTGCAGCGACATCAGTTTGAGTGGAGCGGAATATCGCGATGCCCGGATCGTCCTAGCGCATCGTGGGGCTGGCTGGTCGCTGGCTGCTGCACCTCACCAGCAAGCAAAGAAAGGCAGGCACATCGACAAGACTGAAGCGCCTTTGTGCGCGTGCGCCGCCGTTGACACCATGAGCTATTATTTCGCTATCGTCGGCACCCAAGATGCGCCCCTGTTCGAGTACGAGTTCGGTACCTCTAAGCAAGGCCACGACGGCCTCTCGCGCTTCTCCGACCAAGTCCGCCATCTGAACCAGTTCATCCTACACTCCTCGCTCGACATTGCCGAAGAAGTCCAATGGGCGCACGGGGCGATGTATCTCAAGTGCATCGACAAGTTCTTCGACAACTACATCTCGTGCTTCGTCACGGGCGCCAACGTGAAGTTCCTGCTGCTGCATCACCCACTCACCAACACGGGGGGCAGTGGCAGCCGGAACTCGACTGCGATCGGGGCGAATCCTACAAGTCCCGCGACGGAGGAAGCGATCAAGCTCTTCTTCCAAGAGGTCTACGAAAACTGGGTCAAGGCAGTCATGAGTCCCTTTTACCAGAACAACATGGAGGTCAAGAGTCCAGTGTTCCGACAGAGGGTGGCGGCAGCGGGGCGCAAATATCTATAGATTGGCGGTGGGTTCACCAGGCGTTGGGGAGTCAGCCATGCGTCCGTGGGAGCGGCATTGCATGTTCGCACGATATCACATTCAGAGCGCGCATCACAACACGGATTATTGTTGAACAAATCATCATTGGTATCCCATCTAACGCCCGGTCTGTCCGTCCGCCCAGTAGCCTCCCTTCCCAAACGCCCAGTAAAAGCAAAAGACAGCTTGGTGACGTGTTTAACCACCGAAACCGTAGAGGGTACGGCCCTGGCGCTTGAGGGCGTAGACGACGTCTAGCGAGGTCACGGTCTTGCGCTTGGCGTGCTCAGTGTAGGTGACGGCATCACGGATGACACCCTCGAGGAAGGTCTTGAGAACCCCGCGGGTCTCCTCGTAGATCACTGCACACTCGTTAGTCGCTTTCGCTTCACTGGGAACGCGTCAAAAAAACATACTGGCTGAGATACGCTTGACACCACCACGACGCGCGAGACGACGGATAGCAGGCTTGGTGATGCCCTGGATGTTGTCCTTCAAAATCTTGCGGTGACGCTTGGCGCCGCCCTTGCCCAGGCCCTTGCCACCCTTGCCACCTATGCCTTGTCAGTATGGAAGGCATCGATGCAAAGACCAAAGGTCTACTCACGTCCAGTCATGATGTTGATGAAGAGATGTTACTGAAAACTGTGTGTCGATGACGTTGTCGGATGCTTACAATAAGACGCGTTACGGGAGATAGAAGAGTGAAGTCGCATGCGGGGGGATGAACAATTATAAGGTGGCACGCAATCAGTAACTGCTACATCGCGGATCACCGCGCTAGCCCTATTTGGGACGCGCGGAATGCAGCACGCGTTCGTACTGTTTGGCGATTTTTGGTTGGCTGAGGGGGCGTGCGATTTACTGATTTTGGGGGCTGATCTGTGCTGCAGTTTCGTGACCGTTACGCCCAACCGTGACAGCCGCCGTTTTGGGGTGGAGAATCCTCATTCCAGTACGTTACGCGGTTGGAACGGCCTTGGAAGTAGACGCGACGTACGTACCTGGTATCTACTTATATCCGTAATGAAAGATCGGTTGCACGTTCACTAATAACGTTGAGCAATGAAATGTCTGATGATCATTAACACTCTTAAGAGCGCGGGGTGACAACATACATTCAAGTCGTCGATACAACCGTAGTTGTTTCATGCCCTATGTAATCACGAGGTTGTCCGCGTTCTATTTACTAGACGGTCCTCGCTCGCTTAGCACTTGTACACAACATTCATCTTCGAAGCCGCCGGTCAAAGCATGCTTCGCACCATCATACCCAATAACGCCGTGCCATGCAAGATGATTTCGTGACCCTGGTCCACGCGGTGTACTGCCTCCTAATAAGGAATCTTCCCCCAATCATTCAATCATAGAATCTTGCATGGGGTCATCGTACTCAAACCTCTCAATCGCGTCTTTGATCTTAGGGCCGGCCTGCAGATTTTAGTCCAGTGCTGTTTGACGGTTGTAGTGGCACGTACCTTGGGATCCAGAGCTAGCGCGATGGTGAAGTGGCGTACAGCTTCCTGTCTCTTCTCCATGTTGCGATACATCGTTCCCAACAGGAAATGCACCGTTCCCTCCTCGGGGGCCAAGTCCTTCAACACCATGAGTTCCCTGTGTGCGAGCTCTGTCTCTCCCATGAACAAGAGACCACGGGCCTTCATGTAGCGCATCTGCGCTGCTTGCGGTGCAAGCTCTACCGCTTTGCTATAGGCGGTCACTGCTGGCGCGATTTGCTTCAGCTTCTCGAGCGCCTTTCCAACGCAGCAAACCAGGACGGCATTGTACGGGTTAAGCTCGGCGGCCGTCCTGAAATGGGTCAATGCCTTGTCGAACGCCCCGAGGCGCAGTTGCACTCTTCCGAGCCCATAGTACGCATTGTAGTGGCGTTTGTCGGCCGACAGTGCTTTTCTGTAAGCTGTAATGGCCTTATCAAACTCCTCATTGTCGTGATGCTCGTGACCTTGAAGCGTCCATGCATAGGCGAAATTTGGACTCAGCTGCGTAGCCCTCTTGAAGCACCGCAGTGCCTGGTCGTGATCCTTGGCAAGCGACCACGAATTTCCCAACACACACCATGCCTGGTGCGATTCCCATGATGACTCTATTAGCTGGTGTGCCAGGAATGCGAGGTCCTTCTCTTTCTTGAGGTGCCAAAGTACCGTGGAATATACTTCTAGGTCCACTAGCCGCGAAGGCGCCTTGTCGCGTACTTTGCGGAAAAGAGTCTCCGCTTCCAGGTATGAGCCTTGCTCAAAGTGCGCGCGACCCATGAGCGCGAGAACTGATGGTGCACCCTGGTGAACGGCAGGTAGCGAGCTCAATGCCTGGAGCGCTACGTCGCTCTCGTACTTGGAGAGGTGATAATACGCAGCCCCCAATTTCTTCAAAAGATCCAGTACCATGCGCAAGGCTTCCTCGACCTTGGTCGTATCTGACTCGTCGTGCTTTTGGGGCGGGGCCGCATGTGATACATCGCGTACGCGAGGTTGCTCGCTATGGTGGTCATCTCCACGATCGTCGACGGGCTTGCGGTTACCACTGACGACTCTACCCACATTGGATCCGCTTGAGCCGGGTCGCACAATGCGCGAGATTTGGGGTCTAGCCTTCTTCAGCTCTCGTGCAGCGGGCTGGGCAGTGTTTGTTGCCGTTGAATTCGCCTTTGCAGTCGGCCGGAATGTGTTCAACCGCCCGCTACGTCGTGGAACAAGCTCCTCCGCGTTCGCTGGTCGGGGGACAGGATGCCCAGACACGGTTCGCTTACGCTCAACTCCAGGTATTGCCGACCTCTGTCTCTCAGGCCCGTTCGCTGGGTCCATCTCTTGGTAGACAGCGTCCACGACAGCCCGTGTTTGCTCCTCCTTTTCCTGCTCTCGAATTCTCCTCGCCCCGACCCGATAATTGACCCTGGGAGGCGGCTCCAAACTTGCGTCCATCACACCCTGGGCAGCACGCGTGCGCCGTGCAGGGGCGCGTGGCGGCTCTTGGCCTCTGGGGACCAACACGTCGTCATGAGAGCCATGTGACGCTTCAGCTGTGGGACCGTTAGCGATCCTCAGCCTGGCCGCCTGGATCTTAGACAAGAGGCCATTGGATGGCGCGGCGGTCATCTCTACATCGTCATCCGCGGTCGAGCTCGGGCCAAAGGGGTCTGCTATAGCAGCAGGGGCGGTAGCATGTCTGCTAAGTCCCCTTCTGGCGTGAGCATCGGTCGGAGCTCCGTTCTCCTTGGACTCGTTCACCGCGGAGAGTTCCTGTCCTAGGCTTTGCAGCAACTGTTCCGATCCTTTGAAGGCAGCGGGTGTCCTGACCGAAACGCCCATGTCGCAGAGTATAGTGAAGGCGTCCCACATGAGCGGGTTGAGTTTCAGCGCATGCTCAAAGCAAGCAGCTGCCCTTTTACTGTCGTCTGAAGCTCGATACATCTTGCCGAGCAGACATAACATGACAGACGCATCAGGGTTCGCCGCCCTCGTGGTGGGCGAATGTTTTCCGACATTGACTTTGTAGCTCCAAGACGACTTAGATCTCTCCAGAGTGACGATCCCTTCTTGGAACTTCTCCAATGACAGACATGCTTGCGCAAACACCCAAGTGCAGCCCAGATGGCCACCTCTCAGCGCAGCCGCTCTCGATATATCATAGGCAGATCGGTAGTCCCGTAGTCGAAGATGGCTCGTTGCCAGGAGATACGGCCCTTCTGATGTCTTGGCGTCGTGTGCAACAAGTCGTTCGGCGAAGAACAGGGCATTGTCGTAGTTGGCGTTGTCGAGATGATATTGGGCGGATTGGCGTAATAGACCCGTGACGGCCGCAGGCGTCGGTGCCATCTTCGGGCCGTCAATCTCGGCTCGTATAGTGGCAAGGCCTTATGGGACTTGGTGGGCCATGAGGCACCGTCAGTCGGGTCGCGTTGAGGCTGTTGATCGTGAAGTGGGATACACAACAAGACGGCGATGATCTTCTATGCACGATTGTATGGTCTTGGTGTGTAACTTCGTCCAATGTAGAAGCACTGACTTCTATCCAAAGTACGGTTGAGATGTCGTCGTTATAGGAGCGCCTCTGGATGGAAATGCTCGCGTTGGCCGATTGTGCCGTCGTGAACGTAGCGTCGGAATTCTAGGTGAACGAGAGTGATGTGCCAGGTCGTTCGGGTGGGAAGTAGCGGCTCAAGCCAGTTTTGCATCCATGGCTAAATCTTCCTGCTACCTTAAGCTCCGTTGAGTCGAACCTTGCATCACCAAGTAGATGCTGATAAAGGCGAGGGGGCAGCGTGCGTGCAGTGCAACGGGCTCGAGAGCCAGGCGCGTGCTTTCCCTTGCAGTCGCGATGGGCTGCAAGAGGGACCTACAATGTTGTTGCGGCTGAGCGGCGCTGCTGATTGGCCGCCGCAGCCGCTGCAGAGGCTTTTGCCCAGCAACAGCGTTGAAATCGTCTGGGCGTAACTACCGCCACTTCATCACTGACAGGTCAATTCTCAAGACAAACCGAACCCTCAGTAATCATTTTCAAGCTCACCTTCGTTATGGCGCAAAAGGCGAAAAAGGACAGGGCCAAGTCCAACGGCATCGCACTCAACAATCTGCACATTGGCACCGCGACTGTCCACGCTGTCTTCCTGGCCTTTCACTTCCTGCTCAGGTCACGCTCACTGCTGGCCTACGGTCTCCTGTCGGTGCCCAGCTTCATCTGCGAATATATCCTGGAGTCCTCGGGTCGCCCCAAATATGACCCCGAGACCAAGGCCTTGCGCACATCAGGCGAGGACCTCAACGCGCCTGGCCTGACCGAGTACATGTTCGATGTCGTCTGGGTGACCTGGGCCTCGCTGGTATGTGTCATGCTGTTTGGCAATTGGGGTTGGCTTCTCTGGGCTTCGCTTCCCGCATACGGGCTATACCTGGGTTCGGGACTGCTGGGCATGGGCAGATCCAAGATGGCCCAGATGCAAGGAGTGGGAGATGAGAAGCAGGCTGCTCCTCAGGGCAATCGCCGTTCGCGCAGGGCCGCCGCCTAACAAGTCTATTCACTCTACGGCAACTACGGTACGGAAGATATTTGTCGGCCGTCAGCGCCCCATCTCGGCCGCTCGCCCGACCAACGCTCCAGTGTGTCGTCGTCAACGTCTCGCACCATGATGTGGAAGTGCTCCAAAGCCCTCACACTCTGCAAGGCGACCCAATTTTTGAACCATACAACTTTATCGCCACCACCAGGGCCCAAGTCTTTGACAAAGCTTTCCTCCACGAATCTGGCAATGTGGGCTCTGCTCTCGGGGGTCATGTCACCTTTCTCGGGCGTAGTAGCAATCGGCGTTCGTGTCCACACGACGAGATGGACGATGCCCGGCTCCGTTCCGTACGGCCAGTCGTTGATGAGGACTTTATAGTCCGAGGGATCGGCGAATGGCATAGTGGAAGCCGGCGCGAAGGGAGGCTGGCCCCATGATTTAGGCAGTCGGTTGGCGAGTATATACGATGTCACGGTGCCATACTGTGCTTTGACGTCTCTGGTCCAGGCGATGTACTGACGAAGGTCGGAAGGGGTACGCTTGAAGGCATCGAGTGCATTTGCATCTGTCCCGTTAGCTTTCTGTCAGAACTTAGGGTATGAATCTCATTCACCGATGATGCGCTTGATGTCTTCCCAGCTGTGCTTCTGGAATTCCTTGTCTGTTTGTGCGAGGACTTGTCTGTCCAAGTCCGTGAGCGCAAATGGAGGGTCTAAATGGGACCTCTCATCGCCTTTATCGCCCATAGTACCGTCACAACTATGCCAGTGATAGTCAACGCGTTGTTCAGGATGAGTGAGAGTGGTGTGAGCGGGCCCTCGCGAGTGGGATGTGAGGTAGACGGGCACTGCCACGCGGTGAGATGTCCTCGATGCACTCATGCAGAGAACTGGATACTAAGGGGCATAGTGGGTGACACAATAAGTGAGACGCTGTTGTGAGCCTCTCACCTGTACGCGCTCGACTACCTGTACAATGTTGAGGATGGTTGTGCCCAGTAGGCGGGTTGAGATGTGCAACATGATCGTGCTTTTCAATTCGCCCTGGATCGTCGTCCAGTTGACATGGATAAGCTCAATGATTTCAGAGTGCTTGGGCGTTGAATCTGGCAGACGTCCTAACGTGGGATCCGAAACCTGGCAATCATCTATCGACGAGACTGCATACAACGAACATTGATGAGATATAGACTTTGATGAAACGCTATGTAGACCAATATTGGAACGATACAGGCATGTTTTATTGCAGAGTAGACTTCACCTCGTCCGTCTAAGATGTAGGGCGCTTTTAGCCCTCCACTCATTCCTCTACGACGTCACCACGTACTGGAGGCTTACGTTGCCGCCCTCAGCAACCGACTGGATCATCCACCCTCTAACGTCGGAAGACCAGATTCAGCGCCTTCGCACCCCTTTCACAGCGTGGCAGGTCTCTTTAGTCCTCCAGCTTTGCAAAATTGCATGCACCCATAATGATACTCAGGCCTGTCAGTCTCATCGACTGCCTCGTCTTCGTCATCTTCCTCGCTCCTCAGCTCATTCTGCATGTCGGCCTCATCCGTACAGTCCTCGTCGCAGGCAGCTGCCTCCCTTTCCTAAGTATGTTTCTCATGGCCAGTTCTCTTCTACCACTGACAGTACGCAGTCTGCAAATTACCTGTTGAATTGGTGAATGAACGGTATTTAGATCGACAAAAAGATGCGTGGACAGCGTCATCGACCTTCTTTGAAGACTTGGTCATTCGCTGCGTGCGCTATGCCTTTGCCAATGTTCCCAACAGCGTGGGCCGGATTTTCTTCTCGAAATGGGTAGCTATGCCGTTTCTGAGATGGAGGATGCTGAGGCATGGCTTTTTGAGGAGTCCAGTCTGCTACAAGGAGTATGTGTCCGGAAAGGGACGAGATCGGATGAGAGGCATATGGGTCATGCATAGACCCGAGCAGCCTCCTGATCTGGTGCTCTACTATCTCCACGGTACGTATCGCGGGCAGCCTCTGCGTAACTTTCACTTACAGCGCACGTAGGTGGCGGCTTCGCCATGGGTTCAGCCTACTTTTACTTGGAGTTCCTCATGGTCTGGCACGCTCTTCTGCTCGAGGCTGGCTACAAGAATCCCGCCATCTTCGCTCTCGAGTACACACTCGTGCCTGACGACATCTACCCTCGCCAGATCCACGAGGCACTGAGCGGCTACCAGCACGTTCTTGACTACGCCAAATCAGCATCCAAGGTCTGCGTGGCCGGCGATTCTGCCGGCGGCTGTATAGTGTTGAGTCTACTTCATGAACTCGGGAATCAAAAGCGCACACAGAAAAAGCGCAGTGCATCGCAGGGCGGCCTGGCGGGTCCGCAGCCCCTCACGCTGCCGCTGCCATGTATGGCCACGCTCATCTCCCCATGGGTGTCACTCATGACGCATCGCCACCGAGAGTCCAAGGTAGACTATCTAGATCGTACGACGCTGTGGAAGTACGCACACGAGTACGCTGGGGAATCGATGATCAACCAGTACCCTGCCTCGCCAGGCTCATGCATAGATGATTCGCTTTGGCTGGCGGCATGTCCGGAGAAAGGGTACCACGTCATGTATGGGGAGGAAGAGGTGTTTGCACCCGACATTGAACACTTTCTCCAGGAGCAGCAGCGGCTCGGCCTCGAGGTTAGAGGGCAGAAAATCGAGGCGGGCATCCATGCCTGGCCGGTTGCATCGTTGTTCTTGTCGAGCACGAGGGAGAGGAGGCTCCATGGTCTGCGATGCATTGTCAATGAGATTCACCGCAGAATGGATCGGCACGGGATGATGAACGGTAATAAAATGTCAGATTAGATCAAGTTAAAAATGGTCACGGATGATAGTTGGAAGCAAACCAAAGACCCTTAGCCTAGAAACTCGGTTCTTTGGCTGCACTACCATCTCGGTTTGAAAAGCTCGGATGTTTCTCATCATGAAAAAGGCAATGGTATGCTGGAAGACTGGAGCGTCTGCTCACCTTGTGGATGCCTAACACAGGCAGGTAGAATGTCTCTGGTCATGCCGCGACTCATGTCACTGGCACGAGGCAGGCCACGCGACAGCGTCAGCAATGCTGCACATTTCAGGGCCTGCAGGGCGAGGAATCGAGGATACAACAAGTCGCGCGAAGCAACCAGTGGCTCGTGTGCGTACTAGACTACCTTGATACTGGGCGGCAACGTCGAAAAATAGGCACCGAAGTTGCAGTTGGGTCGCGCTGCAGTTACGTCCACACGGATGAGTCATCACAACACGAATCGCGAAGTGCACCAAACCAAAGGCGCGTCATGATACACATCTTTAATGCTACGGTGGTGAACGATGTCATCAATTCAATTCTGAGCGAGTGAGGCAGAATTACAACATAATCAAGTCAAAAATCATGCTTGTGAAGTACTAGTAGTCAGAAAAGGTGAACGTGTATCAAACGCCGTCTATGGACGACTGGAGGCTGAGTTTGCGATGACCACATCTTTTCCTATTCGGGCCAAACGGCATCTAGTGGCGGCCCTTCAGGAGAGCACGTTTAAAGACACAGGGGAAGCGCGACGCGCATATAAACGGCCGGCGTTCCCTGCCGCGACAGCTTGCCAACCCCGTCGCCGTCGCAGTCTTGTACACCCACCCAGGCTTTTTACGCCCTGCTGCCAGTCTAACCAATCGGCTGTCTCCCTTCGACCAATATCGGTCTTGACCAACGCACCCTTTTTTTGTCACAGTGCCTGCAGAAGCAACAGATACTCACGGCCGTTGGCTGTTGCTTGTTGCTTGACGATTGATCAAGTACTCTCATAAGCCTACTAAGGTATCCAATTTGTCGGTCGTTTGACGCCGCTCGTTACTCGGCAAACTTTATTCCTCTCAGCGACTGGAGGCGGCAAGCAACACTGGGATCCTTCCTTTCTGTCACCTAGGACTTACCGAAGGGGAACGGAATCAGCAGCTGACATACGACTTGTTCTCTTCTGTTTCTAGCCGTCGAGGATCTTCTTTGGAGACGGCCAACGAGCAACGGGATATTGACTCTTTCTTCTTCCTCTCCAGAGTACGGAGTACAGAGACAAATTTCGAAAAGCATCATCAGCCTGCCCCTCCAAATCCGGCAAGGAGCTCTTATCTTATCGCGCACCCACTAAAACGGTGTCGAGCCAAGCAGACAGGGCCAAAATAAAGGCGGCAGGCGTCCGTCCCCCTTCATCATGTCGGGGTACGCTCCAAAGTCTCCCGACCTTTCAGCCATCAGTTTCGCTGCTGGCCGCGGCGGCCCCACACCAAACGAGCAATACCAGCATCACCAACCAAGGCATCAGTACCCTCCACAGCAGGAGTCCATTTATCCGCCATTACAACCATCTCACCTGAGTCTAGAGACCGCGTCCAACACAGCGGCTGCCAAGCGCACGCCGTACCTACCGCCTCTAACACCACAATCATCACGACCATCGTATCCGTACGGATCGTCACCGCAATCCTACATTCCACCCAGACGGTCGAGCTCTGCCTCGTCGGGCAACTTTGCAACACAGATCAGTGAAGCATCGCCGCGAACACCACATCATCATCACTACCCTCGACCCAGTCAACCACAGCTGCCATCATACGGCTATCCCTCGCCGGCAGGGTACCCGGCTTATAACCATCCACATCAACCACTTCCACAGGTCCCACAACCATTGGAAGAACCCAACATGCCCACCAGAAGACAAGCTGCCATGATGGCTGCTGCGGCCTCGCGCGACGCCTTGAAGCAGGAGGCGTTCCCGATCGCTCCAGAGATGCCCTCAGAGCCATCCATGTCCGAAGGAGAGCGCGAGCACGAGGCTGACAGGGAATTCAAAGTAGAAACCGACGAGGGCACGGCAGGTGGCCCGCCAGCCATTTCTCCAGTTGCTAGGACACTGGAACCTATCGAGGCTGGTCCCGTTCGCACCAAGTTCCCTACAGCACGCATCAAGCGCATAATGCAGGCAGACGAGGAGGTAGGCAAGGTGGCGCAACAAACCCCCATTGCCGTTGGCAAAGCTCTCGAGCTGTTCATGTCACAGCTCGTCACCAAGAGCGCAGAGATCGCCCGTGCCAAGGGCACCAAGCGAGTCACCGCGCCCATGCTGAAGCATGTCGTCGAGAACGACCCTCAGTGGGACTTTCTTCAGGAGATAGTTGGCAAAGTGCCCGAGCAGGAGAAGGAGGGCAAGGGGAGATCAAAAGCCGACACAGAAAGCGAAGGGGAAATAGGCGAGCCTAAGAAGAAAGGCAGAGGGAGAAAGAAGAAGGCTCCCGCCGAGTAACGGATGCGCTTGTAGCGTGCAATGTGCCCTTTGAGCGTGTGTTTTTGAGGCGCGACATCTGGCGAATGGGGTTACTGCATCATGAGGCGTTGGGGGTCTTGCGGTGATACAACAACGGACTGGGCAGACCACCCAGTAAATTAAACAGTCCGGGAACGCGGTCGTTGTGAACCACTACGTGATTGATTTGGCATAAAGCGGCGTCGTGCTCGTGTTCATCACCGCTCACACGCGGACAAAGGTGTCTAAGAATTAGTCTTTAACAGCAGACGCACCGTCAATGCATTGTCAATCTGATAGGCACCGTGTTAAAGCAGACAGAGGCCCGGGGTAGTGTTCCTGAATGCATACCTCCTAGATAGTGGGGTTCTAACTCTCCGCCATGAGTGGCCACCTATGTCCACCGCGTCCCGGTGCGTGCTAGCATCAAGACACCTTGCTTCCCCAACTTGTCTACAACAGCCGTTTAACTGCCACTCATCCTCTCGTTGAACCGTACGCTCTTGACATAGCCGCTGGAAGGCCACACGAACCACCGACCGAATTGTCACGAGATATGCAAACGCGCCGCCGCTGCTGCTGTGACCTCCTTCAGATGACGTACCGCTGCCATCTCTCTCACGTCTCCTCGTCGATTTAATCCCGTCCTCAACCGTACCTACCTGCACGACCAGCTCCCGAGCAAGACAGCCCAATGTCGTGGGACCTGCTTCAGCGCTTCCTCGAATCCGACGTTTTCAATTCGAATCCCTTCCTCCCCGTCTCCTACCTCTCGCGCTATGCCGACCATGTCGGCATCCACTATGTCCTGTGCAACAAGCTCCGGCAGTTTCCCTACGAGGATATTGAGTTTTTCCTACCGCAACTCTGTCATCTCATAATCTCCGTCGACAATGAGTCCATGGCCCTGGAGGAGTTTCTGCTCGATCTATGCGAAGAGTCCGTCACCGCCGCCCTGCTTACCTTTTGGCTGTTCCAAACCTACCTGCACGACCTCTCCAACAATCCCTCGACAAATGCATTCCAGACATGCCGCCGCGTGTACAACAAGGTCCAGCATATCGTGTTTGGCCTGGCTGATACGGGGCGACACGAGAAGATCAAGGAAAATGTGCTCCCTGTGACGGTTCTGTCAAGCTTCGTGCTGGCCAGCGTGGCGCTACCCATGATCCCCCAGTGGGCCGGGCCCCTGGCTGTTGCGCAGGCGCGCAAACCGCAGAACGAGTTGGAGACGGTGATGGAGGCGAAAGACAAGGACGGTCCCAAGCCGCAACGCGCAAAGACAGTCACGGCATCCAGCTCGAAATTGGCAAAGAGGCCCAAGGGAACGTCTGCCTCGAGTCATGCCGACGGCGAGGAAGGAAGACCACGGAGCTCCAAGCCAAGTAGCCCAAAGCCGAAGCCAAGACCTGGCACAAGTGAGAGCAAGCGACCGTCTGCGTTAGAGTTGTCGTCACTAGAGGCAAGACTAAGCTCGGCTTCGCTGCCACTGCCGTCACCCAATGTCTCCACGAGACCCGTGTCGCCAATGTCTGTAAGTAGTAGCACTACAAGGCCGGGCGACAACATCAAGAGGAGGCACTCGCATCACGTCAAGGGCCTAGGGCTGGACAGTGATCTTTCGGTGGCGCAAAAGGTGGGACTGTTGAGGCAGCACTACTTTAGGTCGCAGACGCAGTTCCTCACGGCCCTGGAAGGCATCTCAAATCGCCTTGTTATTGTGCCGAAACCAGCCCGTATGAGCGCGTTGCGAGCTGAGTTGGCACTGATCTCACAAGATCTACCGGCCGAGGTCGACATCCCAGTCATCTGCCCGCCCGCTCTGGTCGAAGGCCAGCCTGGGAAAAGTTGCCACCATCGCATCGTGCGCCTCAATCCTGCCGAGTCGACCGTTCTCAACAGTGCGGAAAAGGTCCCGTACCTCATGATGGTGGAGGTCCTCAGGGACGACTTTACGTTCAACCCAGATACACCGGATAACCAACGATTACTCGGGAAGCTGATCGGAGAAGGAGGCACCTCCAGGCGCCTGTTTGATCTGTCTTCAGAGTCGCCCAAGGTCACACAAACGCCAGTACCGCCGGCGGAGCCAATCCTGGACAGTGTTTTCGAGCCGGTCTCTGGTGATCTGGGCAGCTCACCCATGCTGAAGCCGTTTGACGACGAGCCTGCTGCCAAATTTCCGCCGCGGTCCATACCGCCGCAAAGCGTGCAGCGGATTTCGAGCGGTGCAACCACATCATCGACTACTCTGGAGGCAGTGACCCCACGGACCTCAGGACAGTCAGCATCGCGATCAAGCAGCCCGGGTGGGAGGAAAATGACGTTGAACTTGCCACGGCCGGTGCCGCAAGCTGCCGATCAACCAGATTTCTCAGCCCTGGCGACGCATATGCGGACAGCGTCGCAGATGCTCGCGCAGTTGGAAGCCAACAGCGGGAAACGGCCAAAACAGGAAGTGGCTGCCATTCGGTCCAAGATCATTGCCAGCATGCAAAGCTTAGAGGAGCAGAGCTTTGACACGGAGGATCAAGGGCCGACGTTCGACACGATCATTGCCAAGAACAGCGTTGCGTCACCGCCGATAGACAATCCGGACCTAGATGAGGACGCGCCTCTCGACAAAGCAATGGACACCAACATCAATGCCAGTGCCGGAAGGGAGCGTATGGAAAACGACTTCAAGACTGGTGGCGTACAGCGCCGAGGCGATCGCGACGACCCAAGTGCCGCCGTCTTTGGCGAGGCGTGGGAAGCCAAAAAGGAGCGCATCCGCAAATCATCCCCTTATGGCTGGATGAAGAACTGGGACTTGGTCAGTGTGATTGTGAAGACTGGTTCTGACCTGCGGCAAGAGGCATTCGCTTGCCAGCTGATACAAGTGTGTCACAAGATCTGGCTCGATGCCGAGGTGGACGTTTGGGTCAAGCTCATGCGGATCCTTGTGACGGGCGAGTCATCTGGTCTGATTGAGACGATTACAAATGGTGTCTCGCTGCACTCTCTGAAACGCAGCTTGACGCTGGCGTCGATTGAGTCCGGGCAGAACCCACGGCATCGCATCGCCACTCTAAAGGACCACTTCCTGAAAGCATTCGGACACCCCGATAGCAAACCATACCGGGCAGGCGTTGAGGCATTCAAGCGGTCACTGGCCGCGTACAGCATGATCTCGTACATTCTACAGCTCAAAGATCGGCACAATGGCAACGTCTTGATCGACAGCGAAGGTCACATTGTCCACATTGACTTTGGCTTCATGTTGTCCAACTCGCCCGGGTCTGTGGGATTCGAGGCAGCCCCGTTCAAGCTGACACACGAGTACGTGGATGTACTGGGTGGAATTGGGTCGCAGGATTTCGAGGACTACAAGAAGCTATGCAAGCAAGCGTTCCAGGGTATGTCTTTGTCACCCACGATGCCACTTGTTCTCCTATCAGACTAACTCGTACAGCACTCCGACGCTCAGCGGACAACATCATTGACCTAGTCGCCATGATGGGCCACGAATCGCGCATGCCCTGCTTCGCGGTCGGTGTGGCGCACGCGACGAATACTCTCCGCCAGCGCTTTCAGCTGCATCTCAGCGAGAAGGAGGCGGAGCAGTTTGTCGAGACGGATCTCATTGGCAAGTCGTTTGGCAGTTATTACACACGACTGTGAGTGATCACACCCGCACTTTTGGCTCACCCCGAGACTAACGATACATAGCTACGATACCTTCCAATATCGGACGCAGGGGATTTATTGATTCAAGAGGAGGAAATCGCATGCGTATAACCAGATACCAAGCACGGGGTTGCATACAGCTACATTTAAAGGCGCCATTGCGGAGCCATATTCAGCTGACTTTGCACCGTGATACATGATCTACAGTACCTTGACAATGTGCTTGGCCTCGCCCCTGGTCCGTACCACGCCGGCCTCTTTATCCAGAAACCTCAGTTCATCCTCTGCGATGACCGTCTTGTAGTACTCATCCTGGAACGCAGTTTCAAACACGGAAAACGAGGGGATCTGGATGATGGCGGCACCATCGTATTCCAAGAGCACGTTGGAGGACGACTCAGGACCGATGGGCTTGGCTGACTGTTTGAGTTCCTGTGTTGCGTGGACCTTTTTTTTTTTTTTTGTCTTCAGTTGTCTGCGTGCTCGAAGAACGGGGGTGGCAAGCTTACCTGTGTGTAGGACAGGAATCCGTGCTTCTCCATCCATGGCTTCACCAGAGGCCCATGGACATGCTGCCAGTGGTGATAGAATTGCTCCAACGTCATGTCTGGCCTCTTCTTGAGAAAGGAGATGCTGACAAAGGGCTCTTGGTTCTTGGATTCGGAGGCCATTATGATTGGGTTAATGCTGAGCAAGCAGTAGCATGTCGTGTTTTCGCAAAGTAGGATTTGATTAAAATAGCCAGCGAGCTGGATAGTTCGCATATTTAGTATCACACACGGTTTGGCGATCCGGAAAACAGCAGCCGGCGGACCCCTCTCGATTCGCGACTGTGTACTCCGTACTGCGCTTCAAGCAAGCCCAGCGGTCACAAGCACTCAGAGCTCTCCGATTGTCATTCTTGACCGGAAGTAAAAGAGTTGCAATATGTGGTAAACAACAATGAGCAAATTGACAGACAGATTTAGCTCATCAGGTGCCGCCCCCGAGTCTATGCAGTGCCCAAGAAACCCCCCTTACATCCTCCCCAGTACGTCCGCCGCCCCTTTTCAATGATACAATATAGTGTAGAGACTTGATGTCTTTTAGAATTAGAAAAAGGTTCCTTCCATGCATTCGCAGAGACCCGCCTGGAATAGTCGCATCATCCTGCTCGCCTGACGCACTCCTTAGTCTTCTTCCCCACTACCAGCCTCGCCTCGCCGTCCACTCTTTCTCTTCCTTCGACTGCTGCCGCCATCATCGCCTCCATCGTCTCGGCCCCTCTTAGACCCACGAAACCCGGCGAGTCGCTGCGCTTCTTTAAGTAGACGCTCCCTGTCCCTCGCCTCTCGTTCCAGGGTGTGCGCATCCTTCGTAGTCGTGGTAGCGGGCACGGAACCCTTCTGTTGGTCGTGCGACTCGATCTTTGCGCCTTCGTCGGCTGAACCACGACGACCCTCCCGCTTGCGCTCTTTGCGGTCTCTGTCTCTCCGGCGAGAAGATGTAGACTCGTGGTCGCGACTGGAGCGGTGCGACGATCGGTGCGAAGAGCGCTTGTAGTCGTCGTCCCGGTGGCGGTGGCTGCGTTTGTCATCTCTGCGACTGGAACGGTGGCTTGATCGCTTGTGCTCTGATGACGGCGTACCAGAACGCTCCGTGTACTTGTCGTCTTCGTATCTTCTAGAACGTGAAGTCTCGTCAGCGTCCTCGTCGTACTTCCTCGATCTCGTGTCCTCGTCGTCGTATTTGCGTGAGTGCACGTCACCCACGTCCTCATCTTCGTACTTGCGACTTCGGCGTTTACGAGATCGGCGCTCAGTGTCCTCTGATCGGGAGCGCGATCGGTGGCGGCGATGTCTGCGCGACGAGGACTTGTGGCCTCGGCTACGGCTACGACTGCGTGAGCGATCCCGTCGAGGCGAGCGCGAACGTGAATAGTCCCCCCGCATGTCCCCAACGTCTTCTCTTCGCTCACGACTCCGACTTTGCTCACCGTCCTTCTGCGTGTCGACTTGTCTGCTCTGGGAACGCTCGTGCTGCTGCTGTTGCGGCGCAGGCTGGTCTTGCACAAGCCCGCGGGCGCGGAGATGGTGCAGACTGGTGTTGGGAAGACCCTGTCTCATGGCCTTTGGCCCGGTGGGAGCGTTAAGGGGAACATCTGGCGCAGACAGAACAGAGCGAATAGCGCTACCAGCGTTGCTAGATGCAGGGCCTTGAGGCACGGCACTTTGAGGTCCATTGGAGGTCGCGGCTGGGTTCAGCGCATCCTGCGCGCCCTCGCCAATTCCCTCGGCAGCCCCTTCCATCTTCTCGTCCTCCAGCTTTGCCACAGTATCGCCAGATTGACCGTTGCCCTGTTGCTGTCCCTCTGAAATCATGTTTTGCCCTGCTTGGCCGTAGTTCTGATGCTCCTGGTACCCAGTGGCGCCGAACTGGTTGTTGTAGCCTCCTCGTCCGTATCCGTAGCCTCCTCCAGAGAAGCCGCGCCCACGCCCGCGGCCTCGTCCTCGACCTCGGTAGTCATACTGGCTCTGGTGTCCTTGGTAGTAGTTGTTCTGGAGTCCCGTGTTAAATCCGCCACTATAATCACCAGCAGCAGCGTGGGCACCAACTTGATTGAAATTACTTTGGTCGAATGAATTCCAAGACCCATTGTTCCAATTATTGCCTCCGCCAAAACCACCGCCGCCCATGCCCATGCCTTGTTGGAAGCCACCGTTCATGTACATGTTCTGCATCATCATGGGGTCCATGCCCATGCCAGGCATGCCTGAGCCTTGTCAGCATGGGTGCGAGAAGTGGAGGGTCTGAGAAACCTACCCATCATCGGAAAGCCGACGAAGGAGTTGCCGATGCCATTTTGCATGGCCATCATCATCTGCATATATTCTTCCTGGTTTCCCATGTTCGCGTTGGGGAATCCATTCATCATGCTCGGGTCAAAGCCTTGTTGATTGTTTGGATCGTTTGCGGCGCCTTCGCCTTCGCCCTCGCCTTGATTCTGTTCCTCGTTCTCATTCACATGATCCGTTTGTTCTTGTTCATCTTGAGCCTGACCATCGTGCTCTTGGATATCTGCCGTTTCGCCATTGGCATCGGGGTCGTGTGCGCGTTCTTGGCTCACCTCGCCCTTCGATTTGTTAGCATGGACTACAAGTAGGGCTGAGTCTTGGCTACACACCTCTTGCTCCGAGCGACCAGCTCCTTGGTGCTCAGGCTGATCATTGTCCACATCGGGCTGGTTGGTCGTGCCCACAGCGTCCACGGTGGTGCTTCCGCCATCCTCACGCGGCTCAGCTGTCGCTGCTTCCGAGGGTGTTGCAGGTGTTGCTTCCTTGGCCTTAGCCGCCTCTCTCTTCTTCTCGGCCGTCCTAAGAAAGACTTTGATCGTCGTTCGCAGTGACTTGTTCGGGGTACAGTCCTCCGCGGAGAGAGGGGAATGTTCGCAGACGGGGCACGATGAGGGCAGATCCTTGTGGCCTATATGGTCGTGAGCATTATGCCTCCTGCATACGGTGCATATAATCGGATGGCGCGCGCATGTAGCTACGTACAGTTTTCGCAGATGGCCTGTTCACAACATGGTAATCGGTATGCGTTGACGGCAAGTTTGCTGCAGATTGCGCATCGGAGCTTGATGGGAATATCGTCCAGAACCATGGAGCTATTTCTTCGTTAGTTTCTGTGCCATGTTGAGTCATGTGGAAGCCCGCACCTGATGAGCTCGGCCTGCGCATGTGTGATGGACGAAGCCATGCCGTCGTCGCCTTTTAACGCGCGGCTGTAGCGGGCATCGATGTCGTAAAGGCGATCGGCAGTGCAAATGGTCCGCAAACAGTAGAATAGGGAGTTAGCACGGTCGGCCCCGGTTTGTCAAGAACGGGGTTCCGTGGTCCAGATGTTGATGAGGCTCATGGTGAAGCCAAAAGAGTGAGGTTCTTGGCTGCACACTTTGACGCGCCGGAAAAGAAAAAGCGGGGCCCTCCTTGAGAACCTGCAGCTGCTGTTACCAGAACTTACCATATTGCTATGTCGCCTGGGTCGCATGAAGACTGGAAATCAACGTCAACCGTGGGGACTGTTCTGAGGTCATGGAATAGAGTGCAGATAACAGCAGGGAATTACTTCTTCAGGTCCCTTGTGCACTCAGCGCGGTATGTCGCGATGACATTGTAAATACACAGCTCGTGCGAATCCTGTCAAGCCGGGTGAAGCACGTGTCTTTTGACTACCCTAAGGTACTACGCATTCTGACATTTGCGCGCGAGCCCAATCCACATGCAACTTGGGGTTGTGTTGGAGATTTTGATTGGAATGGTGTCTCTCTCTTGCGATGCCATGATATCATCGAAGTATGGACCGACTCACATGTACAGCTGGTGTTATTTCAAAAACTATGCAATACTGACCGAACCTGATAACTCAAGAACCAGGACATGACAAGCAGGAGAATAACAAGCGTCTCCCAAACCAAAGGACTCCCAGGTGCACCCTTCTCTACAAAGACCAACGAACAGTGCTAACACAATGGAACATCAAAAAGAACTCCCTCCTCTCATCGTCTCTAGCACGCGCAGTTGTCCTTGGACCCTGACTCTTGGGCATTCCCCAAGTTCACGCGCTGCTCCTCACTGCTCCTGCCTGCAGCCGTGTTGGACGCACCGGCCCCGCGTGCGCTCTTCAGCGACGTCTCGGGAATCGCGTTGGCAATCGCAGTAAAGACCTCGGAGACGTTGTGTCCTGTCTTGGCACTGGTCTCAAAGAACAACAAACTCTCCTCCTCTGCGTATGCCTTGGCCTCCTCGGTGGACACTTTGCGGGCATCCCCGCTGTCGTCCTCCCCGTCGGCGCCCTCCTCGTCACTGTCTGCAGTCTTGGAGTCGCTCGTCAAATCCAACTTGTTGCCGACCAGCGCAATGACGATGCCCGGCGACGCCTGCCTCTGCAACTCTGCAACCCAGTGCTTCGCCTTGACGAGGGATGTCGGCTTGGTGAGATCGTAGACGACGAGGGCGGCTTGCGCGTTGCGGTAATACATGGGGGCGAGGGAAGCGAAGCGCTCTTGACCCGCAGTGTCCCAGATCTCGAACTTGATCGTGCGCGAAGGGAGATTGCATTTCTGTGTCAAGAAAGCAGCACCGATAGTGGGCTCCTTGTTTTCCTGAAAGTCGTTGTTGACGAACCGCAGGACGAGGGAGGACTAAAGGCACCGTTAGCAACGTTGGAGACCCGGCGGTGGGTGCGAGATTTATCGTACCTTTCCGACGGCAGCTTCTCCGAGGAGAACGAGCTTGACACTGCTGCTCGGCTTGGGAGCGGATTCAGACATTGCTGGAATTGGGGCGAGCGGATCTGCCGTTTGCGAAGGTTTGGGAAGAGGGAGCTGTGCAGGGCGATAGTTTGGTCGTCGTGCGAAGCAGTGATGAGATGGCGGATACGCAGGCGGTAATGTGCTGCCTGAACGAGGGTTGAAGTAGGCTTTGAGAGTGATCGGTAGGACTCGATGTTGCCTGCGGTTATGGCGGGATGCAAAAGGTGAAGATTAAACGGGCACTCCAGTCACCAACAAGTGCGATGACGAAGATCAGTCGCCAAGTGCCTAGCGGTGGTCACGGTCAGCGACAGTCAAGCGCCACGAGGCGTGGCGCGGGCTGTGGCGCAACATCCGCACTAAACGTTCAGGTGCATGTGGCCCCACCAAAAAGTCTGAGAAAAAGTTGCCGTGGACATGGGCTGCTATGAGCATCACCGGCTAGCACATCAACACATTCCAAGATCACCATATCACCAGGTCGCGTCAATTGAAGGAACTGCGGTACTCCTGTGACTACAATTATGCCTACTGTCGAGGCGAAATCCACGAAGCGTAAGCTTCTTGACGAGAGCGAGTCCGAGTCTGAAGATGGAGGGGCGCCTGTCAATCTCAAGGTCAACGAGGAGTATGCGAAGAGATTCGAGCACAATAAGAATCGCGAGGAGCGACACAGACGTGAGTATCGCTGCAAATCACCGAATGCGTTCATCACTAACATGTGCAGTCGAGGAGAAATTGAAGAACCAGAAAGACAACGGCGACGATGATTCCTCTTCAGACGAGACCGAGGACGAAGATGGCTTCCTCGCTACCGAGGACCTCGACGCACAAATATCCGCCACGCTCCAGGCCTTGCGGAGTAAAGACCCGCGCGTCTATGACAGCAAAGTTCATTTCTACAAGCCTGACGAGGAAGTGGGCGATGCTGCTGCTGCTGCCAAACCCAAGGAGAAGAAGGAGAAGCCGGTCTATCTACAAGACTACCATCGCGAGAAACTTCTCAAAGGGGATATTGGAGCGTCGGAAGACGAGGACGAGGATGCGCCGCCACAAACCTACGTGCAGCAGCAGGATGCGCTCAGGAAATCAGTGGTGAAAGAGATGCACGCCGCTGGTCAGGATGGTTCCGACGACGACAACGACGACTTCCTGGTTAAGCGGAAGAAGATTGACGTTGAAAGGGCACCCCAGATGTCGGCCGTCGAGGCTCGCGCTGCCAAGAAGAAGAAGCCCACGGTCGATGTGGAAACGGCCAATCAGAATCCCGAGACCTTCCTGTCCAACTTTATGGCGGCGCGCGCCTGGGTGCCCGAGGATGGATCAAGATGGGCGGCCTTTGAGTCCGACGATGGCGACGACACCAATGACAAGGCTGACGAGTGGGAGCAAGCGTACAATCTGCGCTTCGAGGATCCGGAGAAGAGCAACGAAGTTCTGAAGACATATGCTCGTGACGTCGCCGCGGCCCGTTCGGTGCGAAGAGAAGACAAGACGGGCCGTAGTCGACGACGAGAGTTGGAGAAGGAGAAGAAGGAGGAGGAGCGGAAGCAGCGCAAAGAGGACAAGGCACGCCTGCGGAAGCTCAAAATCGACGAGGCGGAAGAAAAGATCAAGAAGCTCAAGCAGGCGGCGGGTGCCGTTGGCAGACAGATCACGGACGACGAGTGGCTCGACTTCTTGGACGGGGCCTGGGACAACGACAAGTGGGAAGAGGAGATGAACAAGCGCTTCGGCGAGGACTACTATGCCGTGCAAGACGAGGGCGCCCTGGAGTCTGGCGACGAAGACGGAGAGGGCGGCAAGAAGACCCGCCTAAAGAAGCCGAAATGGGACGATGACATTGATATTAAGGATATCGTGCCTGACTTTGACGACGGTGTGGAACAGCCCAAGATCTCATTAAGCGACGACGAGAACAAGCAAGCAGCCCACGGTACGGGAGTGCAAGAGGAGGACGAAGAAGAGGAAGAAGGGGCGCCGTCGTCAAAGAAGCTCAAGACCGATCACAAGCGTGCCAAGCTCGATTCACAGAAAAAGGTCCGTCAAGAGCGTGCCAAGCTCGAAGCACTCGTGGACTCCAAACTCGAGCTGTCCCACCACGACCTCCTCAACAAGGCATCATCCTCTGGCTCCGGCGGTTTCAAGTACCGCGAGACAGAGCCCCTCACGTTTGGCATGACGGCTCGCGATATTCTCTTGGCGCCGAGCGACGCCGCGCTCAACGAGTACGCCGGTATCAAGAAGCTCGCGCACTGGCGGGACCAGGAGAAGAAGGCCAAGGACGCGCAGCGCCTGAGCAAGAAGAAGAGGTTGCAAAAGTGGCGGCGCGATGTCTTTGGCAAGGACTTTGAGAAGACGGGTCCGACGTATGGCTTTGAGAAGTTTGTGTCGGAGAGTGACACTGGGGGCGTGCCGCTCGGTCAAGAGACCCAGGAGGAGGGAAATATTATTGGTGAAGTTGGTGAAGGCAAGAAAAAAAGGAAAAGGTCGAGGAAGAACAAGTCTGCTGCATAGAGTAATGTAGGGAATACCACAAGAGGAGGTTTAGTTCATATATATCAACAGCTGGAACACATGTCCATTGTCCACTGTGATATGCTCACTAGTCCAACATTAGTGGGGCTGTTGCGTGCTAAAAGTCGCGCCTCTGAATGCATGTGCAAATCGATCACATTGAACGACAACAACTCCCAAGGTCCTCGTTTATGGACAGTCCCGTCGCTGCCAATGTCTTTGGCACACTGGGCGCGGTCCTCTGGTCCCTGCAAGTAGGTCATCACACAAGTCGCGTCTCTCATCAGTGTCCGGCATCTGACTGACTTCCCGTCTAGCTACTCCCTCAGATCTGGAAGAACTGGAGGCGCCATGACACAGAATCCCTCTCGCCTCTTTTCTTCCTCTCCTGGGCTGTAGCGGGCGTCCCGTTGGGCGTGTACAATGTAGTGTCCGACTACAACATCGCGCTACAAGTCCAACCGCAAATCTTGATCTTTCTCAGCCTTATCACATGGTCACAGTGCCAATACTACGGACAGCGATGGGATCTCAGCAAAGTCACACTCTGCTCTCTCACAATCATGGGCGTGCTTGGGGGTATCGAGGTCGGGCTGGTCTTTGCGCTGCGTGTTGCCCGCGATAGAGGCCACCACTGGGCACTGACGCTCATGGCCGTCCTCGCTGCTGTGCTACTTGTGGCAGGCGTCCTGAGGCACTATATTGACATGCTCAGGACGAAGACGGATGGAGGCATCAGCTTGCGCTTCGCGGCGCTGGATGCCAGTGGAGATGTGGCTTCGCTGCTGTCCGTTGTTTTCCAGGAGACTCTGGATGTTCTGGGGTTGGTCATTTACGGCAGTGAGTTTGTGGTGTGGACGGTGTTGATGATTCTGGTGGTCTATTTTCGCCTGCGCGGACGTAAGCTTAAAGCTGGCAATGGCGAAGAACCGCGTGGCGCAGCAGACGATATATGAAAGGTTGGCTTGAAGTCGGTCACAGACTCACAGCCATGGCCGGAGCCTATAGTAATTTGTGGAATGACTTCCGCCAAGACAGCTCAGGAGTCGTGATACGTGCTCCGCCACGTACAGATAGCTCACGGTGATAAGACTCGGTATGCCCGAACCCACTGATCTTTGGAACGCTTAACAGATAATCCTTATCACATACTGATGCTGGAACTCGAATCACCGAAATGGTAGGAGGCTGAGAAAGCCAAAGGCAATCTGCAGCCGCGCCAAACTGTAGTTCTAGGATCGGGATATCGGAGCACCGGAGCACGGGCCTGGATAGTTCGGCAGTCGCTCCACAGAATTGACACGGAAGACGGCTTCATCCTTATTGCTCTGCTCTTAGATCCATTCCGAAACCATGGGCGTGGCGTCGCTGGCGCGGCGGCGCCTCGCGCATTTGTGGGTGAGACCGCAAGAACCGTGAGACGAACTGGAAATAGCCCAGGCCGTTTCAGGTGGATCAGCGTATCAGTGCCGGATGGGGTGGACTGCGGCGGTAGTTGCTGAGGCTAGTTCATCCTTTAGGGTAACCATGAAGCCAATGGGCTAAGTAAGGGGCAGTTGCGGTGCCGGTCTGGCCTAATGGTAACTAACGCGGCAACCGGCTACCAATACTACCCTATTGTCCATGGAGTATGTTATTCATCATTACGAGTTTACACTCCTATACGGAATACGCAGGCTGTTGCAAACATGTTTTCCCAGCGAGGAGGGGGAGGGACCTTGACTGCTGCTGTCTTGCGCGCGATGCCAAGGCTCGTGCCCTGCACCACAACCCGCGGCGGCGATAACAACGGCGGCCGAAGCGTTGCAAGGAGTCGGTGCCGGGGTGGTTGTTGCTGTGAGCCAGCCTCGTGGAACCTTTGGCCCAGGTCGGTCCATGAACAGGCGACTAGTGGTACAAGTACGGATGCTCAAATTATGTTATATTCTCGCCTTTTGTAGTCAGGTGGTTACGAACTAATATTTCCTCTGAACTTGGTCAAGCTTAGGATGAACCCAGTAACGGGTGACATGCTACGCCGCATCACTGTGTTTGAAAGGCAACTGGTACGATTTTGAGCCAGTCCAGCCGTTGAATGAACCTTCCAATTCGATCAGGCGTAGACATGCGCCCGGAGTTCGCATCGTTGTTACCAGGTCAGTTCACCAAAGAAAGCCGCCCTGCCATACATGAGTGTATCCTGTATGGATGATAATCAGTCAAGCCCATGTTCAGGACATGGGCGGCTCGCCCCGACGGCCATGCCTCTGGTCTGTACGGATAGACTGTGTCTGATTCATGATTCAAAAGTGACAGCGCGTGACAGCCCGCGTTTCCCCCGCCTTCACACCAGTAATAGAGTCTTTTATTCTTCCGTGGCGCGTAGCTGCAGCCTCATGCATGGTATATGCAATTTGGGTGCCATCGCAGCAGGCACAGTCTGCCAAACAACCCAATTGGGCATGCACATTTCTGTTCACTCTGGTTCCCGTGAAGCTCACAGACGAAAGCTGCCGCCAAGCGCCCTTTTCAGCGAAGCTGCGCAGGGGGGCCAGCTGGATCTGATCAATCTAGGATTCTAGATTGCTGCCATGTCGCCCCCTCATTTCGCTGAGGGCGAGGATGCGAGGTAAAAGGTAGTATGGTTAAAAGCAAGTTCGGCGGGCACGGGTCCGAATCACATATGTGTGGCTTTTGACTCGCAGTCTGCTGATCTCTGCAGTCTGAACCACCACGGCTAGTCATGAAAGTTCTCTGTTGCCAGTGTCATTTCATATGCTGCAACGGGGACCATGTCTATAATTAACGGAATGGGAGCTAGTCCTGGAAAAGCGTGGTCCTGTCTTTGATATTGCTCAATTACGGCCCTTTTCACAAAACTCTTGACTAGACCCACGATGGGATCCAGTCGACCGCGGGCATGTTTGATCATCCACAAGACGAGAGAAGAAAGGCACGTCACTTGCCATATTGGTTAATTGCGGCCCCTGTAAAAGAAAACGCACCCAGTCGCCCGCCTGCTGCATGCTGTAGGACAGCCGCAGATACAATAGTTTACTATTTGTACAGAGCAGTCCAGTGACTCCAGTCAGCACTGAGCAGGACTGACAGCACTTGGGGGCCAACCTGGTGGGGCCCGCTACGGCTTCCAGTCCACCACTGTCCATGTTCTCGACGCTAGACATGGTCCATGGAGCCTCGAAGTGCCCACTGTCACTACCGGCACAGCCCACTAAGAACAGACAGTTGCCAGGCTGCCTATGTACTACCTCAGACCTTACTACCTCCGTATAAGGCCTCGAACAGCACAGTGAGCACTGGCACAGGCATTGAGACGCTGCAGCACCCTTGACAGTCTAGTACGGAGTACTTATGTCTCTGTCACTTGCAGTAGGACCATGTAGGCCAGCAACTGCACTGTCAAGCAAGAGGACTGGACTGGCTGTTTCACGATAAACGTCAAAACGTCAAACCAAAGTCTGAGACAAATCGACTACCCATGTTAGCCACGAATATGCATTCCGTAGTGTCTCGCCAACGTCGTCACCCAGCCTAGCAAGCCTCTCCGACTAGGTACACAATTATTGCTACATGACCGCCACAGTCGTCCTCCGAGCGTCGGGATACTGGGGCCTAGAGCACGACTAGACCATGCTGGTTCTGCCGCCAGCGCCGTAATCGCCGACTCCACACTCGCAGCACAGACCAGGGTCCATGTCCCTATCTGAGTGCCTCTTGCTTCCCTGCTCCACAAACCCCCAAGCAACTCCAGAAAGCTGCCAGGATCCATTGTCGTCGCGACTCCACCGTCAAATCACAACCAGGTGCCCGTCTGTCTGGCTGGCTTCTCTTCGTGCGCAGCGCGACTGGCTCCTTCTGCGTTGTTGTTGGTCTCCTGCCAGAGCGAGCGCGCACCCCAAGCCCGGCCTGCACGCCAGTCGATCATGTAGCGCCTCCATCGTGCAAAGTCAGAACCATCGACAAACGACGCGATTGACTCGCCCGCTATCAACGACGTTCGTCCACGCAGGGATTCCAGCTCGCGGACGCCCGCATCGGGCCAAAGGCAGCCATGTACGGCCAGCCTCCGCACTCGCGTCACCTTCATGCTGGACAACAACACCAGCAACCGTTCGACCCTAATGGCGCCCTGCCCATCGATCCGCAGTCGCAGGCTGCCATGGGCACGCCAGACTTCACTGCCTTCCCCTTTGCTTTCCAGCAACCGGGCCTGCACGACCCCAACGCCATGATAGTGGTCCAGGGCCAGCCCGCGACTGTGTCCCCCGCTGCCTATGCTCCAGACGGGATGCGGCATCCCCAGCAACAACACATGGCAACCACGCCGACAGCGCCCATCGAGCCATCCGCGGTGGTCGACGGCATCTCACGGAGCAGCATGGACGGCGGCAGAGTAGTCACGAAAAAGGCCGGCATAACGACGCCGACAGCGGTCGAGGCGAAGCAGGAGCGGACAACTCCCAATGCCGATCCACTCGACGACAAGGCCTCAGACCACTTTGAACCGTCCAACATAAACAGAGCTGATGGGACAGACTTAGGGGGCAGAGCAAAAGGAAGCACCAAGACGGGCGACGCACAGCCAGCCTGGACAGAACTCAAAACAAAGGCAGGCAAAGAGCGGAAAAGGTTGCCGTTGGCTTGCATTGCCTGTCGGCGCAAGAAGATCCGATGCTCTGGCGAGAAGCCCGCGTGCAAGCACTGTTTGCGATCGCGTGTACCGTGCGTCTACAAGGTCACGACGCGCAAAGCAGCGCCCAGGACCGACTACATGGCCATGCTGGACAAACGCTTGAAACGGATGGAGGAACGAATCATCAAAGTGGTGCCGAAATCAGACCAGGACTCGACCACAATCTCATCGGTGACTCGAGCCGTTGTGCGGCCAGGGATACCCGGCACAGAAAACACAAACGGCAAAACCTCTGCGAAGAAAAGGGGTGCAGAGGAGGCCTTCGGCCCAAGCCTGGAGGCATGGGCCACCAGGCACAGCAGCGGGGAAGAGGGGGCAGCAGCACTGCCATGCGCGTTTGAGGACGACGAGAATCATCTTTTCCAGGAAGGAAGTGATGCTTTACCATCGAAAGAACTGCAAGAGCATCTTGCAGAGGTTTATTTTGACAATGTATATGGCCAGTCATACCCATTGTTACACAAGCCCAGCTATATGCGCAAGCTCAAGAGCAACAGCCTACCCCCCGTGCTGATCCTCGCGGTTTGCGCCGTTGCCGCCCGGTTCTCCTCCAGCCCGAAGCTCAACTCTCCCACCAGGCAATTTCTGCGGGGTGAGGAGTGGGCTGCGCCAGCACGCGATATCTGCACAAGACGCTATGAGTCGCCCGACATCACATTACTCACCTGCCTCCTCATTTTGGGCCTCCACGAAATGGGCACTTGCCAGGGTGGGAGGAGTTGGGCTTTGGGTGGCCAAGCGATTCGAATGGCATTTGCACTCCAGCTACACAAGGATCTCGAATACGATCCAACGGCTCGTAAAAACAGTGTCAAACTGAGCTTCGTTGATCGAGAGATCCGAAGGCGCATCATGTGGTCGTGCTTTATCATGGATCGCTTCAACTCGTCTGGCTCGGAGCGACCCATGTTCATCAAAGAGGACGATATTCTCATCCCCTTGCCAGTCAAGGAGAGGCACTTTTTGCTCGACATGCCTGCCGTGACAGAGACACTCAATGGTCACGTGCTGTCTACCACGCCATCTCGAGAGGATGCTGGAGGTGATGCGAGCGAGAACCTGGGCGTTGCTGCATTCATGATACGAGCGATTGCACTCTGGGGTCGAATCGTGGTGCATATGAACCAAGGTGGAAAGAAACTTGATCCACAGCCCTTATGGAGTCCAGCTTCCCAGTTTGCGAGGCTGAGTCGCGAAGCTGATGAGTTCCCTCATTCTCTCCCTGAGTCGTTGCGATACTCAACCCACAACGTTGCTCTCCACCAGAACCATCAGACGACCAACATGTTTTTATTCCTCCATGTTATCTGCCAACAGAACATCCTCTTCCTCAGCCGATCGGCCATTCAGCCTGCACCAAATCGACCGGAACACTTCGTCGTTGCCTCCCGTTCAAAAGCTCTCGCAGCCGCTACGCAAATATCCGAGATTCTGAAGACGAGCGAGGAAGCTAGAGTGGCGGTCATGGCGCCGTTCGCGACTTACTGTGCCTTCTCGTCGACAACAGTGCACATACGGGGCATTGCCTCGGGCAACCCCGCAGTGAAGGCGACTGCCGAGGCGAACGCAACGACGAATATCCGCTTCATGCGCAAGATGATGAAGCACTGGGGGATGTTTCACTGGATGGAGGAGGACATCCGGATGCAGTACCGCGTCGTGCTCGACAAGGCCAAACAAGGGGCGACGATGGATGAATTGACAGAGTCGGCTCCGATGCTACAATATGGCGACTGGTTCAACAGGTACCCGCACGGCGTGTCGGATGCCGATTACGTGGACCCAGCTGCCAAGAGAAAGAAAGAGAAGGGAGCGGATGGCGTACTCGAGCAAAAGCCTGAGCTGCAGTCTGTCGAGGAATTCTTCACTCAGCTATCGTCGCCCAAAACAGCGGAGAAGCCAAGCGAGAACCAGCCAAGCAAGGGAGCCAAACGCAAGGCCTCCAAGAAGAGCATGGCTGCCATCAAGACAGCACCGCCTCCGTCGCTCCACGGGGAAGCCCCCCTTTCGAGCCAAAGCGCGCCACCTGCTCCTGACCAGCGAACAACTCCTCACGCGCAGCACCACCCGCCGCCGTTGCCATCGCAGCAGCACCAGCGACAGCAGCAACGGCGACCATCCGCATCTGTGGTGGGAAAGGGAAACAGCCCACACATGTTCCAGCCCATGGTCACCACCCATCCTGCACAGTCTGCATCGTTCCATGCTATGTCCCCGGCCAATTCGAGCAACGTAGAGCAACACTTCTACCAGGCGCAACCTGGCCAACAGCCTTTCTTCCAACCAGACATGATGGGCATCAACATGCAGCAGCAACAACAGCAGCAGCAGCAGCATACTGGTGTTGTACAGCCCAACATGGAGCAGCATCTCTCCTTCGGCAACTACACGCTGGATCACGGGACGCCGCCTCGCTCGCAAATCATGGATGGGTGGAACGGTGCTCAAGGCCATGCGCAACCTGGCGGCGCCATGCCCATGGCTCATGGCCACCAAGGCCAGCCTCAGGGCAGCTTGAATGGCGAGCCGTGGTACATGTCCTTTGACATGCAACAAGGTGACGGCGTCCCCAATCCCGTCCCGGGCCATCCTGAGCAGTACAATGCCATATTCGCCGTGAACAGCATGGCGGCGCAGAATCCGTTAGGCGGGTTGCGACATGCTCCGTAGCCTCCATGGGCCGAAGGCGAGTATTTGGGAGTTGTACACGAGAAAAATGCGAATATGACCGATACTGTATCATCACTAGACATCGCGCATATGGGCGTTGTCAGGAGAGGAGCTCGCTGTGGACATTTATCATTCTGATACCATTTTGCTCTTTTGTGCCAGAGGACGGGGGACGGGCGGATAGATTTTGGACTATGGGATTTGGTGGCGCAGCTAAGATGTTCCATATCGAAGGTTTCAAGATGTAAAAAAACGAAATCCTCAAAAAGTTACCAGCCATTGCTAGACCTTGTTACTAGTACCGTAAGTGAGCCTTCCTCAATCTCACGCACATTGTCCGTAGGGACGACTCCATGAAGCGTGGATCTGTGGGACTCATCAACATTAGAATACCTGGAGGCCTTGCTAGCAGTCGACTCGACAGTGATGCCATACCAGAGCTCACCATGTCTTCGCAGGCAGCGACATCGCGTCACGTGCTTCCCGCGTCGCGGCACGCCCCGTGTTCCACTTTTAATAAGCTGGGCCGATTGCTGCGCGGCGATTGGCTCCAGCCACAAATACTCCCAGCCACTCACATGACATTAGCCTTCCGTCGCCAAAGTAACACGGTCCTCATCGTGTGCCTTCGAAAGCTTCCAGTGCACTTTCTGTTCAATCCAATTCGAGTTCACCTCACACTCTCATTCAACACTCTCCCTCATTACCCTTTACCATGCGCGGCACCAGTCACAGATCTTGCATCATGCCCGGGAGCATGCCGGTGGCGTGGATCACGCCGTTCCTTACCCGCACCCCCGACTGGATCTATTCAGAGGCGTCTAACATGCAGTATGTCTCCCATTGTGTATGCGCACTGAGCCAATTGCTAACAGGAAAGCCTCACGAATGACAAGTCATGGTTCGAGAACGACTTTGTCGAGTATGACTCTCACATCTCCAACTCACGCGCCGCCATCGCCAGCATACCCGTCAGAGGTGTCGGCAGCGTGGTTTTACCCGTCAAGCAATCTGTTGCTGGACAGGGCTTTCAAAGCAACGTGTCGCTGCGCCTCGAAAACGTGCTATACGTCCCAGACTACCCCGTCAGTGTCATTGGACGCCCCATCAAGGCGGTAGCCAGTGTACAGTTCTCTTCGGCCACGCCTCGTGGAGCCCTGGTGTACAAGGACGGCTCGGTCGCCGCGACGTTTTTGCCAGGCAGGGACTTTTACCAGGTCACGCTACGGGAGTCGCATGTCGGCGCGCCCTTGGGCAGGAGTGTACTGGATGAGCACCCCGAATACGGAACCATGGTGGGCTTCACCTGGCCAGACCAGGAGGTGCAAAAGTGGCGGTACGCGCAGGCCGCTCTCCGCTCGCCACCCAAGATTGGCACGTCATGCCGCAGCGAGACCAAGAGTGTGCTTGCGCCAGCCTTTGTTCCCGACGCGATGGCACCACGAAGCCGCAAACGCGGAATGGCGTGCGATGATGAGGTTGAGAGTTCTCCGAGAAGGGTGAAACGCTCCCGCGCAATGGATGAGATGGAGGAATTTGGCTCACCGAGGTCTATGGTCTGGAGCAGGTGCTAGTTTGGTTTCTTCTTCTTTTCTTTTTTTTGTGCGACAAGCGATCAAGATTTTGGGATTTTGCTTATTTGGCATGCTTCCACGGAGGCTCATCTACATTTGGACGACTCTGGCGCACGGGCAGGCGTTTGGGAATGGGAATGGTACCGTGTATGGCGGTTTACAGTCAGGGTTCGTCTTGGGGCAAGAATGCTTTTCACATGGTTCGCATCACTATCACAGCTAATACCACAATTTCCGCATCAAGAGCGGCGTCCCTACGTTGTGCAACTATGTAGTTAATGCGCGTGAACTACCTCCCTCGAAAAGCTTGTCTGCCCTACCCCATTGGGACCGCACGACCTGGTTGAACACAAGAGCTGAATCATCGAACAAGTCGAAATCTGCGACGCTTGAAATCTCCCCTGTAACGCACAACATGGATCCGCTGCGTGTTATGCATTAGCACCATCTATTCTCGCTTGGCGAACAACCACGCCCGTAGTCGTACCGGTAGTTATCTGAGTTAGTGCTGGAAGTCTGGTGGGGGCGGGGTCGATCTTCCGACAAGCCACACGTGGATGACGAAATGCCAAACAAAGAAGCGCCGAGGGGGAATCGTGAGCTCTGAAGCTCCCCATCTGCCACAACATCCGGTACTGTACGCCTCACCCATCCATCCATCCGTCCATCCCATCTCGCGCAGCTCCCGGTCAAGCTGCTGCTCTCCACATCAACGCTCATCTTGCGCGGGCTTCATCATGGCCTCCACTGAAGAGGTCGCCAAGCGCCTGCACGAGTCCCGCCCTCCCGCCACTGACGCCTTCACGTACCTGACCATCATCGAGAAGTCGCTTTCACCCGAGATCCTACCCGTCCTCCAGGACATCCTCGACGATGCTGAGCTGACCAACGACATTGGCTGGGACCTGGTCGATATGCTCATTTCCGTGCCCGGCAGCGCCGAGTGTCTCGAGCGCATTGCCCGACTGGGCAATCCACGTGAGGTGATCCTCAAGACCCTCGAGGTGATGGACAAGACGGCGGCGTCAGCAACGGGGGACCAGAAAAAGGCGGATGGGGAGGTTATATTCGATGAGAAGTTTGTGGCTCTGGTCGGCATGCTCAAGATTCTCCACGCGCGGTTGCGGGTCAAGGCGCCCTCACGGTTCCTGCACACGACCCTGGACACGGTCCTGCGGGCATATGATCCGACGAGCTCAGCGCAGACGGCGGCCATCATTGATCTGATCCGATCCCTTTCCGGCAAGAAACGACCGGCGCTGCCCACGAGACAATCGAGCACCACGCTCGACACGCCGTTCCAGGCGACTAATCCCGCGCAGAGCGCGCCTGACCCGGAGGCGGATGACCAAGCGCAGCCCGGCCCCATGGAGCCGGCTCTCATGTCGAGGCTGCTCCAGTCGTTTATTACGTGCATCATCGAGGCCTATGTCAACTCGAACAGCCTCGAGTGGGCGGCGCGACTGCTAGAACACTCCGTGCCGGAGAGAATCGTTCTGAGACGAGGCACCATGCTACAGGCGTACAATGAAATTGCTGAGCTGCAGGCTATGGATGCTTTGGTCGGCCAGCTGGTGGTAGGTCGTTCTTGCTCCGACCCCGGTTGAGTTGAAGCTTACAGTGTACCGCAGTCAGTTGCGGGCGATCTAGGCGTCTCTGATATCAGCGCCGACGAGGTCAGGGAGATATGCACGGGACCGATTTCGAGAGATCCCTTGTCGATGGACGACGCGGACCCAGAACACCCCGAGGTGATCCCATTGTCATCTGGTGGATTCGCTTGCCTCGCCGCGTACAAGATGTTCGCTACGGATGTGTTTGAAGCGCACCATACAAACTTCAACATCAGCGTCTTCCCTGATCTACACACTCTGTTCAAAAACTTGGCGGAAGGAGACGCGCAATCTGAAATCATGGGCAATCCAGGCACCTTTGAGGCGTTGGTGGTCATGGCGATCTGGCTCGATACCCACGGGGGCACGCTGCCTGAAAAGAGGGAGCGCGCCGAGGAGGATGTCAACATTATGAGCTACCATCACCTCTTGACGCTGGTGTCCATCTTCCACCCGAACCTGCGTGTCCGTAACGCCTCGACGTTCATGGCTGGCTCGGTTCTCCACGCCGATCCTAACGAAAACGACCGTCTGGCGATTCTGGAAGACCTCATGGAGAACTGTGCCTTCGCCGCCTTGCAGGCTTGCGCTGTGACTTGGCTAAAGGAGGAGATCATCGCGGCCAAGAAAGCCGAGGATGGCAAGTCTCACTTTGCCAGTCCCGAATGTTTCGACAAACTGCAGTACACCGTCTTTCCCGACCTGACCCACCTCGAGTCAGCCGACGTGGCTGCTCTGTGGGAGTTCTGGACGAATGGATCGCCTTTCCACCTGCAGGTCGCCAACTTTGCCCTCTTCCTGTTCACAGGGGACGGGTTCCAGAGCGTGGTTCCCTCGGGCATGGGCACGGCAATAGAGCACCGTTATGCTGCGCCACTTCTCAAGGCGGCGTCTCGCCTGATTGGGGGTGTGGACAAGGGCGAGATTGGGGAGGAGGGCGCTGACGAGGCCAAAGTACAGCTGAGCATCTTGATTGATACCCTGAAGACCGTGTCTCTTCATTGAAGGGTATGCATCTTCCAGTGTCAGATATTTATCTTGTGTATGGGATCCGGATGTGTCGAGTACGGCAGTATACCTAGTTTTGTTTTAGTCTTAGTCCAGGCAACTAGCGAATCTGTTTTCATCCATGTTCAAGAAGCTGAGTCTTGTCGTTGATTCAGGGTAAGCTGCTTCCGGTCGGAACGCGCCGAGGGCTTGGCGCACCCGAACGAATTAAGCACGCTGCATGCGTGCGTCCCCGGCCCGCGGTCCAATGCCGATGCGTGCGCCAGGTGATATCACGCTGATGATCATTCATGACGCCCATCGATCACCCTTTACGAATAGTCATCGCAAGTACTGCATGTCTTGGACGCTTTTTTCATATTCTCGGGTTCGGGCGTTGATATAGCATCTCTCGCGCTCGGTTTGTGGCGACCGGTCCGAGGAATCCCAGTCAACGGGCTCGTGGAATTCCGTGGATCTATCCGTAAATCCGTAATGATCATTTATCTCGGTTGTGGGGTCTCCGTTGATGTCATGTGTTGTGTAGGGGTAGGGAGCACCGTTTGCAAGATGTATCACAACAGCCACACAAATATGTACTACTTACGGAGTACTTGGTGATGATCCTGAGCCTTGGCTAGAGGACAGTGCATCAACCAAGGCGACCGTCCGCAAGTAGAAGAGGGACAGGGAAGATACCTGACAAGATAAAGTCACGCCAATTGAACAGCGCCAAGGACTGCCATTGCATGGATGAACACCGGAGCGGTTGCTCCTACGCAAAAATCGCAGAAAAGACGAGCTGAATGGGTACCTGGTACCTAATCGAGCCGCTGCGCGCAGGGACCGGTCTCGATATGATGACATCACGTACTATTTTGGCAGCTTTAGCTGACCATTTTCCAAATGCCACTAGTGAGTAGCAACACCAAATAAGCTATGACCTCGTGCTTAGAGTCGGTGATACGCACACAGCTGCCCTGGCCCTGAACCTGAGTCTAGACCTTCGGATGCCATGGAGAGCTGATTTCGCCCACTGTGTTCTTTCATGATAATAAGCCTTTACGGCTACGTACGGCTACATTTCCTCGACCTTTAGCCGCTCATTATCTATCAGCACCTGTTTACATACACGAATCGTCGGAATCAACAACGCCATCTCAGGGCAGTTTGGCGAAGCGCTCGTGCGCTGACGGATTTGACCATGATGCGTCATCGTGGGGACCCTGATCACGGCAAAATTCACCTCGAAACCGTCCCAGTGGACCGACCTGACGGGCACCGACAATCCGCCACTGTCTTGCGCGATGAGGATGGCCACCTCGCCTTTCCCGGGTTCGTCCCGGCGAGCACGACCTCTCCCGAAATCATACAGGATGAGGACAGTTTACTCTTGAAGCCCGAGAATGGCTCCACTTTCAAGGAAGACGGCACAAAGCAGGGAGAGACGTCCAGGGCCAATGGGCGAGCAGTTGAACACGATGGTTACGAAGATGACGAAGATGACGAAGATACGGCGGACGATGAGCTCGCGCCGCCCCCTGCGCCTCAAAAAAGCAGCACAATGCCCGCGAAACTCGACAAGTCTAAGTCAGCGACGCCAGGGCATCGTCAGCTTGCGGTGCCCGTCTTGAGTCGCGTCAAGTCGTCTGGATCAGCTGCAAGGGCAGGAGGCACGCCCACACGACCATCTGCACCGCGGAACTGGGCAACAGACGTCAATTGGAGAGGATCCAGGGCACAGGCACCCTACACCCCACCCGCCATCCGTCGCGCAGGCACGTCCTACCTCAATACGGCAATCTGGTCTCGCACAGAAGAGGAATACATATCGAGCTCATCCTCCTCCTCCTCCGATGTCGATGATAATGATGGAAATACCGCCACGGCAGCCACACGGGCTCAGCGAGGAGCGAAGGCGAAACGCGGTAATCAAGTCAACAAAAGGAAGGAGAATCAACCTGGCGGAGCCGATGCAGACGACCGATACAGAAAGTTCTTGGTAGGCAACGAGAACTACCAGAGCAAGGGCAAGGTCAAGAAAGACGGCCGTCTGAGAATCACAGTCAACGAGACCGCTGGCACCGGCTACATCGCCAAAGCCCTAGGCGCAGCCATCACCAAAATGAAACCTCCCAAGGAGGGGGACGCACTTACATCAAGAATCAAAACACTCGATAACCGCCTCTCTCCGGTGTCGAGCTTTACTACCGAAGACCTTTCTCCGAGACCAAAACTGAACATTGTTATCATGGTGATTGGCTCGCGAGGCGATGTACAGCCGTTCCTCAAAATCGGTAAGGTCTTGAAAGAGGAGTATGGCCATCGAGTACGTCTTGCGACGCATCCTGCTTTCCGGGACTACGTGGAGCGCGATTCCGGTCTGGAGTTCTTCTCCGTGGGCGGTGATCCCTCTGAACTCATGGCGTTCATGGTGAAGAATCCAGGCATGATCCCAAGTCTGGAGACAGTTCGCGCTGGCGACATTGGCAAACGAAGGGCTGCCATGGCCGAAATGTTTGATGGTTTCTGGCGTGCATGCGTCAACGCCACAGACGACGAGAAGGACAAGCAGAACCTGAAAATGATGGGCACGCGCGAACCTTTTGTGGCAGATGCCATCATTGCAAATCCACCTTCATTTGCGCATGTCCATTGCGCAGAAGCATTGGGAATTCCCTTGCATCTCATGTTCACCTTCCCCTACACACCGACTCAGGCTTTTCCACACCCGCTCGCAAGCATCAAGAAGAGCAACGTTGACCCAGGATACACCAACTTCATCTCCTACCCCATGGTAGAGATGATGGTCTGGCAAGGTCTCGGCGACCTGATCAACGACTTCAGGGTGAAGACATTGGCCCTTGACCCGGTCTCGACACTCTGGGCGCCAGGGGCGACATACAGGCTTCACGTACCCTTCACGTACATGTGGTCGCCCGGACTTGCTCCAAAGCCTCGTGACTGGGGAGACCATATTGACATCTCTGGTTTCGTCTATCTAGATCTTGCGTCCAGTTTCAAGCCTCCTAAAGATTTAGAGGAATTCCTTGCTGCAGGTGAACCACCAATTTACATTGGCTTCGGTTCCATTGTCGTCGATGACGCGGATAGGTTCACCGAGATGATCTTTGAAGCAGTCGAAAAGGCCGGTGTTCGCGCGCTTGTCTCGCGCGGCTGGGGTGGCCTCGGGAGCCAGAACACACCCGACAACATATTCATGCTGGAGAACACACCGCACGACTGGCTGTTTCCCAAGATCAAGGCCTGCGTTATTCACGGAGGCGCTGGCACCACAGCCATTGCCTTGAAGCTGGGCAAGCCTACCATGGTTGTGCCCTTCTTTGGCGACCAGCATTTCTGGGGGGGCATGATCTCCAACGCTAAAGTTGGACCCGAGCCAGTGCCCTACAAAAGTTTGACCGCGGACACTCTGGCGGAAGGCATCAAATACTGTCTCACCGACGAGGCACGGATGGCCGCAGAGGAGATCGCTCGCAACATTGAGGCGGAGGGCGATGGCGCGCATAATGCTGTCAGGGCCTTCCACCGTCATTTGAACCTTAGAGGGCCAAGAACGATGCGCTGCTCCATTTTCAAGGACAGGATTGCTGTCTGGCAACCAAAGCACACGAATGTCAAGTTGTCACCTTTGGCGGCGGACATGCTTGTCGATGCAGGGTTCACCAAATGGAAGAACCTGCGGCTGATGCGGCATCAAGAGTGGAACGATTTTGAGGGCCCAGGCGAGCCTGTCACCGGCATTGCTGGGTCTTTGACACATACCTTTGGTAACGCGGCCAAGGGCGTGGGCAGTGTCCCCGTAAGGCTAGCTCGGACGTCGAAGCGATACCGGAAGCGACAGGACAGGAAAAGGGAGAAGAAGAGGCTGGCGGCACAGCAAGAACAAGAGAATGCGCAAAACGCCGCTCAGCAGGATGCTTCCCGTGAGAATCTCGACATGGCTTTACAGCGATCTAGAACGGCGACAACCAATGAACTCCACGGCGAATTCGTTGATGATGTCACTGAAGGGGTCGGGATCACCGCGACTGCGCTCGCCATGGCGCCTGTTGATCTCGCTCTGGCTCTGGCGCAAGGCTTCCACAATGCGCCACGCTTGTACGGCGACGACACTGTACGTAAGCCGATCCGGATCACAGGCATCCGGTCCGGTCTCCGCGCCGCAAGAAAAGAATTTGTATACGGAATGTACGACGGCTGGACTGGCCTCGTTCGGCTACCCTACCGCGGCGCCAAGAGTCGCGGCGTTGTGGGCGTGGCCAAAGGGACCGGTATGGGCCTCATGGGTCTCGTTCTCAAGAATACGGCTGCCATCGTGGGCCCGTGGGGATATACCCTCAAAGGCCTGGCACAGCAAGCAAAACGGACAAAGTCCCCTTCCAAGTTCATCCGTAGGGCGCGCATCATTCAGGGACAGAGGGAGGCGCAGACTTTGGATCCCGCGGGGCGGAAACGACTCGAGAAGGACGTCGTCACTGCGTACAATGTCTATAGGGACCTCTGCGGGGCGATTGCCCACGAGGAGAGGCAGCGTGGCCTTGCTGGCCAGCTCGACCGAGTCCTCCTCGACACGGGAATGCTCTTCGAGGACATCAAGATTGCGAAACAAGCACTGGGGGCACTCAGGCGTGGCGAGTCGCTCGAGAGCGTTATCCACCCGCCAACAGAGGATGAAGTGCGCGAGAGCAGGCGCTCCAACGGAAAGAAAGTCTTCAGCTGGGGTCGCGACCGCAGTCGAAGCAATGCCCCGGGTCGCCAGCGGGCAAAGAGTCTGAAGAAGGAAGACAAGGACAAGGGGAAGAAGGAGGACATACCACAGCGTTGCGAATGGAACCAAGAATAGGAGTACGCCTGACGCGCAGGCTGTCATTACTCGAGGGCGTTCATTTTCTGATGGGACTTGCTTCGGTCCACTTCATAGCGTCGGCGTATGCGGTTTGCCACAGGTCGGCGTTATATTGCATTCATATGCCATTTCCATTCGCAATATACATCATTCCTCTCTTTATTAGTATCGGGAGCGATGCCGTCGGTCATCATGATGTCTGTCGCGGTGTCTCCGGTCCGAGTCTCTCTCGCGATCTTTCCGAGCCTCCCTGTAGCGTCCGCCATTGCTCTCCTTTTCCCGGTCTCTTTCACTCTTGTAGCTGTCCCTCCCTCGCCTCGCCTCTTTCCTCAACTCTTCCTCTCTGCGGTGATCCTTGAGTCGCGGGGGCCGGTTATCCCTACTCCCAGCCTTCTGATCCCATGCTTCCAGATCTTCCTTTCCATCTAGCTTCTTTGCGCCGAGACCCATGAGCTTCGGTCTGCGCTTGACCTCCTTCTTCCCACCGCCGCGCTCCTTGCCGTCCCATCCCATGCCGAGCAGCATTGCGCGGCCCGCGTCAAAGTCCTCGGGTAATGCATCGTAGTCCTCTTGTGTCATGTTGTCGCCAACGGTGTCCAGTGCTTTCCTATACGCGTCTGTCTCTGTGGGTATCACGAGGTCGTCGTGCTCTTCTTTGACGCCTGTCAAGGCGTTGAGGGCCCGTTGGTCGTCGGTCAGAGGTGCCTCCTCTTCCTTCTTGATCGGCGGCGCATCTTGCTCCTCCTTTGTTTCCTCGTCCTGCTCATTTTGTAACTCCGGATCTTTCTTCTCTTTCACCGTCAAGCCCCATTTGATAGGCGGCTCCTCTTCCCGTTCCGCTTTGACTTTCACGTCGTGCCCGTTGTCCTGGCCCGGCAGCCCGCTGCGTTGTCGTTTGCCGCCTTTCCACGTGTTCTCCAAGCGCGGAATGACGTACTCCTCCTTCTTCTCTTGTTTATTCTTCTCGTGTCTCGATTCAGCGCCGTTCACGCCGAAGCCTGTGATGGCTTCTTGTTGGGGCGGTGCATCGTCTTCTGAGTCGGAGTCGTGGCCGAAAGATGAGGGATGGGGGCGTTTGCCTAACGTGGATGGTGGGTGCGCACGAGGTTTGGAGGACGACGCGGGCCTGGAGGATCCAAGGGAGATTGCGATCCGTGGTTTGGGAGGTCCGGACATGTTGGCGATGTGTGCATGTGCAAAGTAGAAGGTGGATTGGAAGTTTCGTTATCAAATGGTCTGATAGACAACGAAAGATGTCATGTGTGGCTGGAGCAGCTAAGAGTGGCTGGTGCTTGTGGCTGAGATCGTGGAGCAAGTGACGAGCCGCTGTAAATCAAGTAGTATTTGCTTCTTCACTCCGTACTCTTGAGTATTGTTTACATCAAGTTCTCTGGGTAAAAATTTGCGAAAGTTTCTTATCACGCGTTTTCTCAGTTAGAAGTATTGTATGTGCCTGGAATTGCGCCTGGTTACATACGTAGCAAGAAGCGGATGATCAGACAAGAATCATGCGCAGCTCGTCTCAGTTCTATCACACCTTGCCAGCCACCGAGTGGGTCAAGCACTTTGTCTAGAGAGACTCAAGTAATTTGTTGATCAAAGAAACGAACCCCAGAACCAAAGGAAGAGGTGCAGTGACCGTCTCTGTGGACCCAGCGCCTTACCGACGCTAAGCTGACTCGGGATCGATATTAGATACTTCTACGCCAGAGAGCCGTCATGGTATCTGGACTTGATTGCTGATTGGCACCCGGCTGTCGCGTCCTTGCTTTTTGCTTCTTTCAAGTGACAAGAAGCAACATGATTTATTGGGGAGAGAAGGCGGGGCATAGTAGTCCAAATAACACAACCTTAGTATAATTGCCATGCTTCACTTGTACAGAAAGCTACGTACCAGGTTCAATAATTCCTCTGCAACTTCAGATATCTCATGAGTCGATGATGTGTAGTTCGCATTATGACGACTGTCACTGTTTCGGAAGTGTAAAGTTGCGATTAATTAGAGTTTGGTACGCATACACCGACTCCATCGCGGCTGCCCAACCGCCGCTTTCGGTGCACGAAACTCAGTTTGGCACTACTTTCAGCGAGCCAAATCTTCACCAGCGCTTGCCCTATAGCGGACTAGCGTCAGAAGATCAACGACGCCTCCTCACGTCTTCCAAGAGCCAGGCAGGAGCGGAGTCCCCCCAAAGCCCGCAACGGCCAGACGCTCCGAAAATTTGCTCTCATTGGATTCTGTCAATCAAGCAACCTGTACCGTTGGCACCGCACCCCCTTTGAGCAATCCCCTTGGTTTCTGGCGACCGTCGCAGCGAAGAGACAGCAGAAACTCATCAATACAACGCCAGTACACACGATTTTCATCGACTGCGACCGAGGGTTACCGAGTCGATTAGGCTCATCGAATTACCTGGCCCATCCGTTTAATTGAAAACGGATGTCGCCGCCGCCGATGCTATGAGTGAGGTTGGCCACAAGGACCTCTCGAAACTCCTCCAAAGCAAGAGGGATTACAACAAGTATGCGACCACAAAATCGATGCGATAAGCTCAAAATTTGGTTCAATGAATGCACCGGATTTTTCTGCATCGTTTGATATCACATATAGTTTACTGACATCCTGCAGTGCAATTGTAACCACTCGCAAAAGGAAGCTGCGCGAGCTGTTCGCGGTCGCGACCGGTGCAGCGGCGGAGCCTTCCAACGATGGAGTCGTCGCCACAAACAACGACGTGTCCGCCTCAGCACCGGCCGAAGCAGCGTTCCTCGAACACAATCAAATATCTTCGTACGTTGGGGCCATTGTTTTCCACCACTTTTGCGCTATCCGACGCGTGTTTGCGGGTGTTTGCCAGGTTTGATGCGACTGACATGTGTTTCGTAGGGCCAAGAAGTTCGACGAGTCTAGCATCCCGACGCGACACCATCTCCCGTTCGACATTTTGTCTCGATCGCTGTCACTCTTGGGGTACAATGCGCCGATCACGACATTGCCTATACCTGCGACAGAACACAGGCGCCATGTCTCGCCGCAGACGAGTCGAGGCTTGCATCGAAAACTATCGCCAGGGACAGCCTCGACAGTAACAGCAACACCGACGCCCCCTCCCCCGGCCCAGAGGATATCACCATCGGGTCAGAGAACATCTGATGCGAAACCTCCGACACCCCGAGCAGGCGGCGCCACCCCGATTGTGCCGCGACCTTCGTCAGCGGGGCCGGCGCATCTGGCCCAGAAACCTGCAACGCCTCCTGTATCTCTTCAGCAGCCTCATAAGAAGCCGACATCTCAGCCAACACCCGCCGGAACTCCGTCACAGTCTAGCACGGCTACCGTACCGACCCTGCAGCAGCCAGTGCCGCGGCCACTGCCACCGAAGAAGATCGCGGCGAAAGAGTCCATTCCTGTGCATGCCCCACGACCAATTGCACCAGCGCCACCGACGCCAGCCACAAACGCAATTGCTAGACCTATCAGCACCGAACCCAAAGGCACCACGAATGGAGTATCGTCATCGCCGGCAGCTCACGCCACATCGAGAAGCGAAGGAGCAGGGACACCGACCGATGCGCTATCAGGACGACGGCCTCAGCAAGTGAGCTTCCCACCTGGAACCAAAGGCTCCCCTACAGGCGCGACAAAACCTCTTGCACCGCAGAGGGCCGGGCCACCTCCACCGCCGGCTACAGGCCCGCAGAATGTCAGTCAGGCGCAAGCCCAACCGATAGTCGAAAAACCCTCCGAGGCTGCTGCTGTCGACACTCGGATTCCCGACGCCCCTTCGTCGCCCGAATCCATAGCTCCCAGTGCAACTACCCCGGCCGTACACGATGTCTCGACTGATACTAGTCCCGATCATGAGCCATCCCACTATGAAGAGCCAGGGCCAGAGAAGGGGAAGGAAAGGGTGCAAGCCCAGGACATGGGACTACCTGCAGCTGCTTCTATCGGAGCCAAAACAATGGAATCGACAATACCCGGGCCCGAGGAAGTTGTGGAATCCGCAGAGGACCAGCTGTTGCGTGAATCTCGACAATCGACAGAAGCGAAAATAATTGCGCAGGAAAGTCAGGGTGATGCTGAAAGTGGTACTACGAGCGAGGCACCCCATGAAGCCTCAGCTAGCAAAGCGGCTAGTGTTGAGGCTCAAGGTGTGCCTCCGGCTCTCGTTGGGTCGAAGGCCCCCGCTCTTGAGTATGCACTTGCACAAAAGAGCACAGATCCAGCAATTTCGCTTGAAATCCCTGACAGTCGCGATGTGTCCGTTGATCGCATGGATGTCGATGTCTCTTCAGGAACTAAAGACGCAAAACCCAGCACTGTGTCACAGACGAGTCGGGTCGAGCCTCCAACCATCAAAGATGCCCGTGAAGCAGAATCGACACCACCCACTGCCAGTATCAATGCCACTGCGAAAACAACCGAGGAGCCACCCGTGGCGGAGCGCGCTGTCACAAGAGTGTCATCCGGTGCGATGCGTCCGAAGTCTGTCAACGAGATTGTCAGCAGCCTTGCTGCACAAGATAGCCGCGCTGACAGGCATTCGGAGCCTCGTGACCACCAGCTCACGCCCTTTACATCAATGTCGCAATCGCCGACACCGCGAAGCCGGCGCGTCTCATCAATGCGCAAAGACAGGCCGAAGGGGCAGGTATCTGCCGTGCTCTTTGGGAAGCAACCCCAGCGGATAGATGAGAGCGAGCTTACCGTCGGAAACAAGGAGTCCGCTCAGCCTATTGATGACTATTACATGCCTCTGTTTATTCAAGGGTTCGCTCGTGGGTCGCAATGGATGCAACCATTGGAGAAGATGCTCTACCACGCCAATAAAACCTTCTCCACGAGTGAGTCGCTCATGACGATCCAAGACCATCAGGCCTGCAAGGTTTTGCACCGGGTTTATCACCTTCAAAGCAGCGATAAGTGGACATTACGGCAGCCGAAACGAGCCCCAGAGCCTACGAGACCCGCCAGTCAATGGGACGTCGTCATTCGTGAAGCAAAGTGGATGCGTACAGATTTTAGAGAAGAGCGCAAGTGGAAGATGGCCGTTGCTCGCAACTTTGCCCAAGCATGCGCTGAGTGGTGTGTCGCGACCCCTGAAGAGAGGAAGTCGATGCAAGTCAACGCGCGGATTCCTTCCAAAGAGGATGCAGAAATCGAGGATATATCTATGGCCGAGGGCAAGGAGACAACGCCTGACCTGGTACATGACAGTGCTGCCTCGCCGCGGGTTGTTGATGAACTCGCGGATGTCTTCCCCGAGACCGCGGCGCCATCCGCCATTTTTGCTTTGGAGGAGGATGACGTCGTCTTTGGCCTCCGGCGCTCCGCCGCAGCAGATCAGTTGCTAGAAGAGCTGCCGATGTATTGCCCGCCTTTGAAAATTCCCCAATACGACCCTTTGGCGCCACAATTCGACCCCGATGCACGATGGCGACGACCAGCTTTGCCTCTGAGCAAATATGTGGAGGGACAAATGAGGTTGACGAACGAAGGTCCACCTCGCAAACGCAGCCGTTACAACTACCACCATGAAGATTCTGATGATGAGGACGACGCCCCTTTTCTTAACGAACCGGCAGTGTATGCCCAGCTACCGCCCATCACCGACGAAGTTGCTCTGTTCCGACCAGAAATGAAGCCTATTCGCGACAGACTTCACGCAGGCCATCAGTTTCGGCCACCCACGGACCATCAAATGCCCCTTCAGAGCTTCTACGAACATCGTTCGCCATCCATGTGGACGCAAGCGGAAGATGACCATCTTCGTAGTCTCGTTTGTGAGTATTCCTACAACTGGCCTTTGATCTCGAGCATGTTGGAGAGTAAGTCCCTCTATTCCTCAGGAGCAGAAAGGCGTACGACATGGGAGTGCTTTGAGCGTTGGATCCAGCTGGAGGGTCTCCCGTCCGACATGCAGAAGACAGTCTACTTCAAGGCATACCAAAGCCGGATTGAGGCGGCACAGCGCGTCGTTGCCCACCAGCAAGCTGCAAGGGAACAAACGGCGGCAGCAAATGGTGGTCAGCCTCAGCCCACGAGACGACGCACAACAGTACCCATGCGCGTGGAGCGCCGACGAAACCAGAAGCATTTGACCCTGCTCGATGCCATGAGGAAGATGGCCAAGAAACGCGAACTGGCCAAGCAAAAGAGTGAGCAGGCCGCGCAGACAGCGCAGCAGAATGCTGCGAACCGACCGAACATGATGCAGCAGCCAATGCGTGGAGCGTGCAAGACGCCTCAGGAGTACAGCCTGCAGCGTTGGAGGAAGGATCAGGAGCTTGCCGAGAAGTTGTCCAACTTTGCTACCAGCAACAATGCTGCAAGACGGGTAAGCTCTCGTTCGGGTCCTCCCTCTAAACAGACTTCTGACGCATCGTCTGCACAGGCTGCCGCCATGCAAGCTCGAGCGCAACAAGTTCAGGCACATGGGCAATTGCCGCCAGGTACGCCTGGGTCTCGCCCAGGTTCCAATGGCCAGCATCCTCAACAGCAGCAGCAGCAGCAGCAACTTCAAGGCGGTCCAAACGGCCAACCGCGTCCTCCCCAACAGGCAGGCATGAACAACGGAAGACAGCCTCAAGCTCGCATGGCCATGCCACTGCCTCCAAATGGCATGTTGCCTAATTCGCAAGTCGGCGGTCACGCCCCAGTCGCGCATATGAGTGGTGGTGCCCAGCACCCACAGATGCAAAACATGCAGGCCATGCAAGGTCCCCAGCGGGTTGCGATGCCTCCGCAGCATCAGAGCCAGCAACAGCACATGGCACAGGGCCAGCAGCAGGGGGTCCAGCAACAGCCGGACCCGAACATGGTGATGAGGGCACGGCAGCTATCGGAACAGCAAAGGCAAGCTGTGCAAGCCCAGCAGCAGCATATGCAAGTGCAGGGCCAGCCGCAACAGCAGCAAGGCAGCAACGGCGGAACCCCAAGGCCCCCGTCTGCCCACAATGCTCAGCACTCCCCCTCACCAAACATGGCCAACGGCCTCGTCAATGGCGTAGCCAACGGCATGCAAGGCATGAATTACCAAAACTTCGCCAACAACAACCAGCAAGGGATGATGGCGGCGTTCAATCAAGTGAACAACAGCGCTAATGGACAGGCCTCCCCTCAGGCCGCGCAACAGAGTGTGTACACTGCTTCGCCAGGCTCGTCTTCACGCGTGACTACTCTGCCAGCCCCGTTCCAGGCACAGCTGCAGCAGCTGGAGGCACAGATTCGTCAAAAAAATCCTACTGTGAAGCCTGACCAAGCAAGACAGCTGGCTATGGACCATATGCTCAAGGCTTTCCAGCAACAACAGAGACAGAATGCCATGTCGTCGGCGGCGGGCGTCTCAAGCGGTGGCCAGGCTAACCAAGCGCAGGTGGGCATCGCAACAGGCAACATTGGCGCCACCACGAGTCCACATCAGTATGCGCAGCTTTTGCGACAGCAGCAGCAAGCTCAAGCCGCCCAGCAGCAGCAGCAACAACAACAACAACAACAACAACAACAACAAGCCGCGCAGGCTCAGCAGCAGCAACAGCAGCAAGCAGGCCAGCACCAGCAATCGCCACCTGTAGTGAGGCAAAGTAGCGAGGTTGCTACGCCGACTGCTCAGTAGACATGACGAAGGAAGGTGTCGCGTCTTTGTCCCCCCTCACGGTGGCTACCATGAGGATGAGTGGCTGGCAAGACAAAGCAAATATGTACAAATTAATACAAACCTTCACTACACGTGCGTGTGCTCCAACTTGGACCGTGCATGAAATCTATTTCCAAGACGCCATCTCGTACAAACAATGAAACAACGTACATCTATTCAATCAGACCTCGTTTCCCAACTATAGACACGCATTCAACTAGGCCCGCCGTGATGGCTCTTATCCCCGTGCAACAGCAGCTTAGGCTTGATGTAATCCTCATCCAACTGTCGGAATAGACCCGCCGGGTCCTCAGCTTGCCAGAGCTGCCGTATCGCCCCCGTCGCCGTCATGCCGGATGCTGCAGGCGTTGTTGAGGCCTCGGGCGACATGAAAGCGGAATCCGTGTCGCGCGGCGGTAAAGGCGAGCGACGTGCCGGAGGAGGCAGGTCGGAAGTATCAATGTCAGAGCCAAAGTCATCGTCGTCGTCGGCGCCGTCATGGGAGGGGCCGCCAGGGCGACCGAGCAGGTCGGCGCGCTCAAACTCGCGCACCGAGTTCTTCCTGCTCAGCGGGTTGGAGTGGGAGCGTGCCGCTGGGGAGTTGGCGCCCGACACGTAGGCGGCTTCGCCGGTCGTCGGGTCCAAGGTGCCCAGGGGAACGGTAGAGCCGTTGCGGCGAGGCGTGTATCCAATTCCGCCTGTGCGCTTTGTGTGCATACCACTGCCAAAATTCTCAATGTCGAATTCGTCGTCAGAGTCGATCTCTTCAACGACACCTGTCCTGATGCCCAGAATCTCCAGCATACGAGCGGTGGTGCCGCCAAAAATGATGACTGTCAAGACGACCACAACGAGGACAGTGGCACGCAGGGTGTCTGAGTTGTCGCCCGTCAACAGCGCAGCCAAGGCGACGCCGACAGCACCACGGAGACCTGCCCAGAACAGCATGGCCTGGTAGTTGTATGGCAGCTCGTCGTCCACTTCTTGCCCACGGCGTCGGGCTCGGTACTTGATAGTCCAGTTGATCGCTTTCGAGAGGGGAAAGACGGCGACCCAACGAGCAGCGCAGACCGCGCAGGCAGTGATGATGATCAGCGGCGGCTGGAAGGACAGCGCGTTGTCCGTGAACAAAGCCAGCCCGAGGTAGATGAAGATGAAGTTCTCTGACAGCTGCGACATGACCTGGAAGATGAACTTTGTCGTGAGCTGCGTCCTGCGGGACATGTTGAAGTAAGCATAGTGCTTGAGTGTGATGCCGCAAAAGAGCAGCGACACGATACCGGACATTTGCAGGCCGTGAGAGAAGAAGTACGTTGCGTAGGCGATGAGGACGATGAGGCAAGACTCGATCTTCGGGAAACGGCGGACGTAGGTGAACTTGAGCAGCAACGCCGTCCCGACACCGACAACGACGCCAATCAGGAGGGAGCCGAAGAAGACAATCAAGAAGATGCCAATGCCTTCAAAGAAGGAGAGGATGCCGTAGCTCTCCGCGTCGCCCTTTTTGTACTTTTGCGCCGTTTCAAAGATGACGATAGCGATAGCGTCGTTGAGGATGGACTCTCCGAAAATGATGGTGTATAGCTTAGGGTCAACCTTGTACGTGTTGAAGATGGCCAGGATGGTCACCGGATCCGTGGCGGAAAGCGTTGCGCCGACCGAGATGGCGTCCACAAAGCTCATTTCAATGCTGCCTGGGACGAGCGCAAAGAGCCATAGGATCAGCCCTATGACGACGGCCGAGAGGAACGTGCCGGCAAAGGCAAATGTGACAATGATGCCAAAGTTGCGGAAGAAGTTGGCTTGGTGGAGTTCGTAGCCGCAGGCGAGAATAATGGGCGGGAGTAGGAGGTTGAAGAAGATCTGGTAGTCGAAGCTGATAAGGTTCCGGATCGAATCGCCAGGCGTGATGACGAGAATGAGGCCGACGGTCATGCCTGCTTCCGTGTCAGTCATGGAACGAGCATGCCAATGGGCGACCACTTACCAGCAAAGATGGAGATGACCGTCTCGTGGATAGCGGTGACCTTCTTCTGCTGGAGTAGGTAGCTGGTGAAGAAGGCGACGATTAGGAGCATGATGGAGATGAAGAGCGCCCATGCCGCAAAGAGTTCCTTCAGGGCAGAATCCCCCTCTGATGTGCTATTAGTCTATTATTGTATCTTCTGTATTGCTGGGTCGTCAGCGCACCTTCGGGATCGGCATCTTCGTCGTCGCTCGCTCGTTCTGGTCGCTGTTAGCGGATTTCCCCTGAGACGAAGGCGGGATGCGCACGAAGCAATTGCTCGCTGACTTTGACGAGATCGCTTGGGTCCAACATGGCAACCTAGTATGCGAGTCTCGCGCAACGAGACTTCGGTCTGGGGAAGGGTAGGAGATGTGTATTGTCGACAAATTGCTCGAGCTCGACGAGCCTCACGCCGCAAGCGATGCGATCATGGATCGGAGGGGAAGGCCAGCCCAGTGTCTGTATAAGGTCGAATGATCGGGGTGATGGAGAAGTTTGTAGGGTCGCAAAGCACAGGTTTGGTATGTGCGACTGTCTTCGAGATCGTGTTGTGTGAGGTAGTGGGCTTGAGTTGTCTTTTGGACACGTCGCTGTGGTTGATGTGGCAGTTTGTAAATAGGCTTCCGTCATTTGACCCCGTCGCGGCGCGTTTCTCCGAGTTACCCTGCACAATGCTGCGGTGCACCATCTGGGCGTGCAGCTGCCGGCCCCAACGCCATCAATCATTGGTCTGCGTAAATTGCCGTCTTCTGTCCTCCTTATTGAGTTGCCTATTCAATTGCGGCCGCAAGTAATAGTTGCCTGATCGGGCTATTGCCGCATTGGTATCGAATGTGAACAGACTGGCGCAAGGAATAACGAACACCAAGGAACCTCCAATTGGACAAGGTGAGGGTGGCTTACCGCGCCCGTGAAAGTTAAGTGTGACTATAGACTAAAAGCGAGATAGCGATAATCACAACTGCGAGAGTAGTCTCCAGAGAAATAGGCTTGTGCATCATGGTCCAGTCTGAATTAAACCAAATGGTGGATCTTGATTGCTGGCATGCTGCAACATTATGTACGCGCGCTGCGAGTACCACCCTTGTCGCATCGCAACTTCACTCCTACAACCAAATCCTCTACAGTACCTATCTTAGCTCGATGTAGCCGTCATGTACCACCTCGCCAAAGGCCTGTATCTCTATGCGACCAGCAAGCACGGTAATAAGCCCCTTGCACCGTCCGTCGAAAGCCTCTGACGGGCCACTCTAGAATACTCCGTCATCCTGCTTGGCCTCGACAACGCTGGCAAGACCACATTCCACGAGCAAGTCAAGTCCCTCTTTCGCGGACCCGACGCACCGCCTCCGAATCTCCGCACCGTCCCAACCGTGGGCCAAAATGTATCGACCATTACACTGCCGGACATGTACCTGAAGCTATGGGACGTGGGTGGGCAGATGTCGTTGCGCAACCTGTGGCAGAGCTACTATTCGAGCTGCCACGCGATCGTCTTCATAATCGACTCAACAGACGTCGGCGACGGCAACATTGAGAGTGGCGAAGGGCGACTGGACGAGTGCAGGGCGGTCCTGGAAGATGTCCTGCAGCATTCGGATACAGAGGGCGTCCCACTCCTCATATTGGCGAACAAGCAAGACAGGGAAGACTGCGTGGAAACGATACGGATCAAGGAAGGTCTCGTGAAGAAGGTCATGGAGGGAGAGAAAGGCGCCAGCATTCGCGACTCGAGGGTTCTCAGCATGAGTGCGCTGACAGGCGACGGCGTCAAAGAGGCCATAGAGTGGGTGCGGACAAGAGTCCAGTGGAATAAAGAGTCACGACCGCCTGTGATGCGGTGATACAGCCACACGTTTTCTTTCCTCACGCGCATTATGGTGGAAGGTCTGGCGGCGTTTGGCGCAGGGTATCTTGTGTTTTTCTTTTATTTCATCTATCGTTCTCCGCCGTTAACTCGGCCATTAACCCTCCCTTGTCTCTGGATTTTGCGTCCTCCGCAAGCTTGCGCTCCAGCAATTCCGTATATTCCTTGCTCTTGCTCAGCGCTGTTTGCGCGCACTGAATGAAGAGAGGCGCATCGACGGCTGAACCACCGAGTTTCGACACTTGACAAATCTCACCATGACGATTCAGACTGAATGTGCATGAGCTGACGCGCAGCTGCTCCTCGAGCCATGTCGGATCCATCAACACAATGTCGCCTTCCTCGCCGTAGAAGCTAAAGGTAACACAGAAGGGCGAGTGCAGCCACGACAGTGGCACAGGCTCGCGTTCTGCAGGTGTGTACACCGTCAGCACCTCGCCATCTAATGTTGTCTCTGGTCGTTTGAAATGCCGTAAGCTGGCAATGACAGCCAGACATGCTGCGTCCAAGATGTTTCCATCGTGATTCAGTACATGCAGATCAACTCGAACACTCCAGCACTTTTGCCCAGCTATCAAGCATAGAGACTCTGTGTCCAGGGCACCAGAACGGCGGACTGTCTTTTCGAGAAGACGGGACAGAAGGACTTCTGTTTCTGTAGGGCGATTTGGCTCGATGGACGGGGCCACCATGGGTGAGAGCTCAGATGTGATGGTGAACACGCCGTCAAAGGGGCGATCGGCATAGGGGACTGTGACTTCGGCAGACGTTCTCGCTAAGACCCTATATACTGTCAGAACTCCAAACATCCACTATAAAACTTGACTTTACCTAGTCTTTCCAAAAGATACATCTGCTACTCCAAACTCATCGCCAAACGTGAGTGATACTGGTCGGCACTGGTCGAATTTGCGGTTGTCAACCCGCAAGCCCTCAGCTAGAGCCTTTGTGACGAATGTGCGCTCAGACAGCGATGGTTCTGCGTCTCGAGGCATTGTAAAATTTGTCAATTCTATCAGTCTGGTGAGTGAGAGCGCAACGTGTGACGCCGTCGTTTAACCTGGAAGTTTTAAGTGGGCCCATCCGATATGGCTGATTTTGCCAGGCGGTGAGAGCTCGCCTCGACGTTGAATTCAACTTGTCGACGGCGAGACTGAACCATCCATACCATCACGGCACAGAGATACAATCAGATTTTCCACCATGACGACCGCGCATAGGCCTACATTCGACCCCGCCAAGGGAAAGGAAGCCCTCCGCGGCCCAGCCTACCACACGCGCAACCTCCCCGCGCACACGACACTCAAGTTCCGCCAGGCTGCACAGGGCCTGGACGACGAAGCCACGCCCGCCACCGATCTTGCCGCCGAGCTCTTGGCCGCCGAGGCTGCGCACTTTGCAAAGAAGAATGGAGGCGCTCTTCCCGAGCCGGAGCACGAGGATGACGATGCCGCAAGCTCTGTAGCAGGTCATGCGGCGAAACGACGACACTCAACTGCGCCTGCCGATGGAGTAGAGGAAGATCTCGAAACAAAGAGAAGGAGGATACTGGAAGAATCAAGGGAGATGGACGCAGACGACACAGATTCAGACGAGGCTACCGATTCAGACTCGGATTCGGATTCAGATGACGAAGACGCCGAGCTACAGCGTGAGCTCGAACGGGTCCGCCGCGAGCGCGAAGAGAAGAAGAAGCGCGAGGAGGAGCAGAGGGCCAAGGCAGGGCAAGAAGAGCGTGAGAGGGACATTGCGGTGGGGAACCCGCTCTTGAACAAGCAGGATTTCACCATGAAGAGGCGATGGGACGACGACGTTGTCTTCAAGAACCAGGCGCGAGGGACAGACGACAAGGGCAAGAAAGAATTTGTCAACGTAAGTGGTCAGACCGTTTTCCCTACCACAACATCAAGCTAACAGGTCGCAGGACATGATTCGATCAGACTTTCACAGACGGTTCATGAGCAAATACGTCCGATAGACTCTATTATTATTCTTAGATACCCGACAAGTCATTAGTTACTCCTTCTCTTCCGCCAACAGCCGCTTCTCCATCTCCTCGAATGCACCGAGCACATTGCCGTACTGCTGGTAGACACCATCCCTGAAGCCCACGTCGACCTTCTCAATGGCACCCTCCTCCTTCCAACGCTTGCCAATCAGCTCGTCAAAGGTCTCGCCTCCCTTGCGCTCCAACGCCCACAGTGCCTTGTACGCACCACCCAGGGCACAGGCCGAGCCGCCGACGTCCAGCTTGTACACGCCCTCGCAGCCGCCGAGCACTGAGCCCATAATCTCGGCAATGGCGGGGTTGAGTGAGCCGCCGCCGACGAGGTAAATCCTCCTGGGTTGCGCGGGGAGCTTCCCTGCCGCATCGGGGGCGTGCACGAGGTTCTGTGACCGGAGACGCATGGACAAGGCCTGGCTCTCTACGATGATTCTTGCGTCTGTCTTCGCTTCGAAGCCAGCCTCCTCCCGTCGTAGATCGGAGCCGTCTTGCGCCGCCGTGAAGCGGAAGTTGCCGGCCCGGATGTTGGGAACTGTCTCGCGCAGGTAGAAATAGAGACCCAGCTTGGCCCTGTCCTCCTTGCTCGCCACGCCGAGCGGTGGTGTCTGGACGGCCGCGTCGTTAAAGTTCTCCCATCCCGTGGCGCCGTTCTCTGGCTTGGGCAGCTGGTCGCGGATCTTCTCCCGCGCCAGACCGCCGTTCTTGTAACACAGCATGAACATGTAGTGTCCCTCTGTGGTGGGGTGGTTGAAAAAGTGGTACGAGCCGTCGGGCTTGTACTTGGGTGTGTTCATGAGGAACGTGGTGGACGTGCCCAATGACACGATGGCGTCCAGGGGTCGGAGAGGAAGGGCGAGGATGGTGGCAGGGTTGTCACCCGTGAAGCTGATGACCTGGCATTCCTTGGAGAAGCCATGCTTGTCGACGAAGTAGTTGCAGACGGTGCCGAAGCTGGCGCCACCATCACTCCTGGGCTCACCCAGTTTCTTCTTGAGGATCTCGGCGTCGTCCTGGGACCCCGCCGTGAGCTTGAGGAGGCCGTCGGACCATGTCTGTGTCTTCATGTCCCACAGATTCATTCCGCAGACGTCGCTGATATCCAAGGGGGCGATGTCACCCAGGAAAAGTGAGGCTAGGAAGGAAGAGATGAGTGAGATGCGTGTCGATGCCTTGTACATGTCTGGTTTGACCTTGCGCTGACGCATAATCTGGGGGCCTGTGAAGCGCTGTAGTTGTTGTTAGTTTTTGATCATCTCATCGGGTGGAAACGACCTACGTGGTGTGCGCCGCTGCCTGTGACCTCAGCCAGGGCCTCTCGATCACCTAGTTCCGCATCGAAAGCATCACATTCCTTTTGCGTGCTCTGGTCCTGCCAGTTGGGACTCCACTCATTGGCCAATGCCCCCTTGATCTGTCCCACGAGGTCCTCGCTGGGCTTGAGGCCGCCCAGGATCTTCTCTGCGTGCTCGTTCCAGTACACGCTGCCGTGCTGCTGGCCACTGCCCGAAACGCCACGAATACGGCTCATTGGGACGGGCATGGCGTCCTTCAGGCGTTTGAGGACGAGATCGAGAGATTCCACCCACATGGCGACCGGGGCGTACACCTCGCCCGTCGAGTCTCTGTGGTGGACGCCATGGGTGATATGGTATGTGGCCTTGAAATCTGCGTCAAAGTCGACCTTGGCCTGAGCGACTGTCTGGAGATCAGAGTCGACCACGATGGCTGTGCACAATGTCAGTCTTACTCTTGATACAGGTAGAGGCGATCCGATGTTCAGAGGAGTAGTACCTTTGAGCTGTTGGGTGGAAAGGTCAAAGCCCAAGTACAGAGGGCCTTCGGAAGCCATGATGATGAGCTACAACAGTGCTGCGTGAATAATGAGTTGCAAAAGAGTATACAGTTGTCAGGACAAAGAGCTAGCGTTCAGCATTTAAGAAAGAACCGGGGGCGGAGGGCGGACTAGAGTGGGCTAGAGTGGACGCGGCGGGATTATGCTGGAGAGCTCGAGTCGGTAAGGCAAAAGCCAAGGTACGTATCTGTAAAGATAGGCACTAACAGGCGCGTTGTCACGATGCTGCTGAAACGTCACGATGGCAAAAAAAAAGAACAGAAAAAAGAGGAGACAACGATGGGTCCGCAGTAGATCATCCTGACAGGTCCCCCACGCAACGCTCTCGTCGTGTGTCGTCCTCTTTCCAAGCAGACGGATGTAATAATGATATAATGGCCAAGTGCACGAGGAAGCGCTGGTCGATCGCGGGTCGAGGACAGCACAGACAGTCGGAGGGTGGGGGAATCGTGGCGGGGTGTTTGTCTCACGAACCACCAGAATGGCGCGGTTGAGATGTGAGAATTCTTTTTGAGGGTGTCACCGCTTCACCGAGGATTCCAAGTTGGGGGTTTTGCTCCCTGGAAGAAGACCAAGGTCTAGTCTAGTCGCTGCGAGCGCATTTAGCCGGAATGCCGAAGCAAATGGATCTAACATTCGTCGACGCCAGCACGCCTACCAATGGTGGAAGAGCGCTTAGAGAGAGGCGGACTACAGTATTTAGTCTAGAACCGCGCGACTAATAGCTACCTTACTCGGCAAGTGAAAGGACTCTTCTTCCGGGCACGGCCAGGTGCTAGCTAATTGACAGCATGGCGCCTCTCGACTGTGAGGCAGACAGTGTCGGTATCGCGAATTCGAGACAACAGGCGGTGACGAAGCTCTTCACGATAGTTGCTCAAGGTTCATAAGAAAAAGAAAAAGAAGATGTCGCCTCTGCTGCATGAAAACTGGGGCTGGCCCAGGATGACGGAAGACCAAGATGCCAAGAATGCCGAGATACGACACTGAAGCTTTGCGGATGCGACGCAAGATATGCAATGCAGCCTCACGTCTACTGGCACTTCGACCTGTCTGTACTCGTCCTTGATTGATCATTGCTGTCCATTATGATGGCGGGCAGCCGTGAATAAGTCAACCACCCTTCATTTGTAGTATATACGGAGATTCTATTGCCCAGTCAAAAAGACGGCGTCTAGCGGCTCTAGTGCTTGTGGTCGCCTCCTTTGCTCGCCTCCGTCTCGGAATCGGGGTCCTCCTCAGGCTCGAGCCTCTCGTCTCTCTCGTTGATGAAATCGTCAAACTTCTTGTCAGGCGTCTCCAACACGGACACAAACCTGACGCGGACACGCTTCACGCCCTTGACCTTGCGCCCCACGCGGTCGCGGATGGCTGCCTCCACCTCGCGGACGTGCTCGACGGACCACGATCCTGGCACGGCCATCTCCAGGTCTACTAGGTAGTTCTGACCGCTCTTGACGCCCGCGACGTCGCGGATTTCCGTCTGCTTTTCTAGGTCGTATGCCTCGATAGCCCTGCTTGCTTGCTTCCTGACTATTTTCTTGACGTCCTGGTCGATGCTCTGGTCGGCAAGCTCGCAGAAGGCATCCAGAGTATTACCAGCACCCGCGTGGATGACCATGAAGGAGATCAGAAGCCCGCCGACAGGATCCAGCCAGCCAGCGTTGTGGAAGAGGTTGGCCCCGACGATCGCCACCAACGTGACAATACCGGTCAGGGAGTCCACCCGGTGGTGCACGGCGTTGGAAGCCAGTACAGACGAGTGCTTCTCCCTGGCTACCTTCATGGTCGCGTGGTAGAGCCACTCCTTCACGACAATGGTGCCGGCTGCGATCCACGCAGCATGGATGCTCGGTAGTCCCAGGGCCGCTGGGCTGTGCGAGTGTGAATGCCCATGCCCTATGTGCTCAGCGAGAGAGTGCGCGGCTTCCGGATTAAAGTGGGCATACAGTGCCAGCGCAGATTCCCAGCCCATGTAGCAGCCTCCCACGAGCAGCATGCTGCTGACGCCCAGAGCTCCCAGGCTCTCTACCTTGCCAAATCCAAGGGGGAATCGATCGGTTGGCGGCTTGATGCTCCACGACACGGTCGCAAGGGTCAGGACATCCGACGCCAGATCTGTGAGGGAATGCCACCCGTCTGCCACCATTGACTTTGAGTTAAACGCCCATCCGCCCGCAAACTTGGCTACAGCCATGAGTAGGTTCGACACCAGGCCAATGTTGGTGATCCGCACGCCAGGATCGGACCGATTCCTCGAGGTCAGATACGTGGTGTCATGATGGTGGTGATGACCACCCAGCCCATGCGAATGGCCGTGGCCATGATGGTCGTGGTTGTGCGCATCGCGCGTCTGGTGTGCGGCGCCCATGACAATGGGTGGAAGATGGGTGTATCGCGTGCGCCGGTTTCGGTACGAGAGGGGGTTCGGTGGGTGCAGAGGGAGCGACGCGTTGTTCGAGTTCGGACACGGCGAAGGGGACTTTGAGCTCTGGGTGAGGACACGTCGTTGAAGTAGTCGCGTTGGCCTAAGGGAGGAACGCGCGGACAGGGACAGGATGACCCTGTTGAGCTGTGGCTGCTGTGGTGGTGCATTGACGACGACGTCTAGTCCTGCCACGCCGCACCGCATGGCCGAGCGTCGCCCGGCCAGGGGATACATGTGGACGGGACAGGTGGAAAAATTCCCATTCAACGTGTACAGAGGACGTGTCACAAGGGTTTTGGAGGCAGATGCTTCTCAGAAAATACAAGATCAAGTCGCACTACAGACAAACCAGCGTTCTGCCGGTTGTGTCCGATCCGCCCGTTCTGGCGGGACATGACCTGACTGGAAGTACCTGGCGGTGCGCGCCGCTTCGGGGGACGTCAACGGTCATGGGCGAATCAGGCGGTCAATCGGGGCCTCAGCGCACTGCGCAGCTTCCTGCGGCGCTATCCAGCCTTGCCGGCTTCCGGCACCCGCTGAGCCTCATCACGCCACGCGTGTTATCATTATTCCGGGTCACAGAATTCTGGCTGAGCTGCGGTACGGAGTAGTTGTCAGAGAATTTCAAGTTTCACGATGGGGTGGACATTTCCAATGCCTCCATGTCCACTGGAGCACTGCCGGTTGAATCTTTGCGGCTCGCTGTGTCCGACCTGAAACCTGGCCTTGAACCCATTAGGTAAGCAATTTGGCGGCTCTAGTGGAGCCCTCCGGAGAATCATGACGCAGCGACTATCACCAACACCCAGTCCAGGCCAGGGAGTGTCTTCGGCTCGTGATGAGCTTCATCATCAATCCCCTGTAGCGCACGCCGCAGCCCCCGGACCTGGCTCCTGTCCGCAGCCATGGCAATGCGTAAACCCATCATGAGGATACCGTACACCGATCTCCTCGTCCCTGGTCCCATCGTCCCGGCCTCAGCGTCTACCCTACCCGGTGCCATCAGTGCTCTCACAAGGTTCTTCACAACGCCACCGCCTGGAGATCTGCCCAATTCAACCGTGGTCTTGACTGGCGCCGGGCTCTCGGTGGCCTCTGGGCTAGCGGACTATCGCGGTGTCAAAGGCACATATAGAGTCAACAAGACTTACCGGCCCATCTATCATCACGAGTTTCTCAGCAATCACGAAGCACGGAAACGGTACTGGGCGAGGAGCTTCCTTGGGTGGTCAAGTCTGCACAAAGCGAAACCGAACGGAGGTCACCACGCCATCCGAGACCTGGGAGACTTGGGATTCGTGAAAGATGTGATTACTCAGAACGTAGACTCTTTTCATCCTAGGGCACATCCTGGATTATCGACGCTGGAGTTACATGGCTATCTACGCGCGACGGTCTGCACTACTTGTAAAAGTGAGTACCCGCGAGACGAATTTCAGGATCAGCTGGCGAGGTTGAACCCACGATGGGCCTTGCTGCTGGAGGAGGCCATGGCCTCTGGAGCCCTCAATACCGAGGATCCGATGGAGAAGAGATTCAGAGGTCTCAAGACCAACCCAGACGGTGATGTGGACCTGCCCGACGCGCCATACACGACGTTTAGGTACCCGCCGTGTCCAAAGTGCTTGCACAGGCCGCCACTGAAGGAGGGAGGGGACAAACATCTCGTCAAAGCCGACAGAGAAGGCGCCTGGGAGCTGCCGAGCACCGCAGGCATCTTGAAGCCCGCCGTCGTCATGTTCGGGGAGAGCATAGCGACGCAGGTCAAGACGGCCGCCGAGGACGCCATCGACTCAGCAGGCAAGCTGCTGGTCCTGGGTACGTCCTTGGCAACATACTCTGCATGGAGGATTGCGAAAAGAGCAAACGATAGAGGCATGCCCATTGCCATAGTGAACATGGGCGGCGTGAGAGGAGAGGACCAGTTCTTCAAAACCCTGACGGAGGGGCAGCAGGGAGAGGAGGGCGTTCGCGTCGAGCAGGCCACGGATGAATTGCTGCCTGCGCTGGTGTCGAGACTGCGCCGGGAACAGCATATCCACATGTCCGAAGCGGCTGGGGAGAACCTGACAACGTTTAAGGATATGCTTTCATAGACTTTGTATTATATCAGAAAAAGCTGCTATATCCTGACGATGGTTTTCCAGTGGACTGCGCAGTATTTGTCGTCGGTGCCGCTTTCTCAGGCTGCTTCGCTGCTTCGGGTTCTGGCTCCCGGCGTTTGCTCTTCTTGGAAGCCTTCGGCTCGCCGCTGTCCTGCTCGATTGCTCGCAGAACTGCCATCAATGTAAGCATTTCCTCCTTCAGACACGCCAAGCGAAACTTACCCTCCTCCCAGCCCTGCTCTTTCTCCGGGTCGCCAGTGCCCAGAGCCTTTTCGACGTCTACAGTCTCTCCCTTTTGTATCTTTTCGACCACCTCTTTGAGCGTCGCAATGCGTGCCTCGCTCAACCGCATGTATCGCGTGAACGCATTGCGCATGGCGATCATCTGAATTGACATGCTGCCGATGAGCAGAAACATGACGATGAAGAATGTCGCCGGATTCCATTCTTTCGACTTGGTGCGTGGCAAGCGGTTTTCCTTTCGCATCGGCTTGGGGATCAGGCTGCGCCAGAAGCCACGATCGACTATAGTCGCAGGGACGCCATGCTCGTGGCGCACAGTGGTCAATGCCGGCGAGAGAGGAATGCGCCGAAGGGCGACGCGGGCTGGATGTCGCAACATTATGAATCAAGCGATGGACTGCGATGGCAAAAGTGGCATCTTCAACAATTGAAGATCCCGAAAGTGACATACATTTGGAGGAAGCTCGACCGTTGCTCTGCCAACGACCGGCGTTTAGCCCCGCGCTAACGAGTGCTCATCACAAACAAGCACGTGCATCGTGGATTTCGAAGTTGGACAAGACCATTCTTAGCATTTGGATATTCATTGATTACGCGGCGGCGGAGCGCATTCTTTCTCACGAGTCTCGGTTGCTTGCGTGGCGAAAGGCATTTCATGCTTCTTTCCATAATGAGTTCGTTAGAAGCGCAGGTCGACGCCGTCAAGGCTGCTTTGGCGCCATCGGCAACATGCACACCGTCAACGATCACCACATTACGACGGCTATTGCAGTCGAAAGATACAGACAAGCCAAAAGCGACGGCTTCGACGACAGCCAAAACACCGAAGACACCATCGAGAACTAGAAAAGCTACGCCGAAAGAGGAATCATTAGATGTGAAGGAGCAGAGTGCTCTAGCGACTTTTGTCGTCAATAGTACATTGAAGACCCTGTCAGAAGCCTCGAAGGCACAGCCAAAACCCTCGAAACCAGAATCTTCGAATCTCGAGCCCCGGAAAGGCCTGCGACGGTCTCTTTCTACGCCTCTCAGCCCAGCCCAAGCACGCACATTGAATCGAACGGCGACGATGCCCATCGATGCCACCAAACCCACAAAGAGCACTGCAGTATCGCCGAGCAGCAAATATTCTCCCGTGGCAGAATGTGCACGTATTGCGTTTGCATGCCTTCGCAGAATGAAGGGCGCGATCGCGAAGGATCAGGTCGATTTTCAGTTGGAAACGGGCATGGTTACTCTGGCTGCGAAGATGCTGGCCGTAGGCTTAACAGACATGGCATACCAAGAGCTCAAAATTTTGAAATCGAGGCTCGAAATGGAAGAGGGAGAAGGCGAAGCGACAGACAACGCGACAAGAGTCGAAGACCTCTTGCATTTCGAGACGGCCATCTGCGAAGAGCGGCTTCCGATCGTGGCGAATTGTCAAGTTCAGGCTCTGAAATTGATTGCGTCCACTAAAAAGGCGACTCAGATTGAAGGTTCGCTGCGGTATCTGAAGGAGTGCGACACGTCTCCCTCACGCATCTTGGAAAGATACGCTGAACAAGGGCCGGGTGACGCCCAGAAAGCAGCTCGACTGCTGTCACAATACTCTTCCACCCTTTTGTCACTGGCGCCGAGTATCTCAAGCGCTGAAGATTCTAATGCATTAGAGCCACGACTGAGCCCTTCCCCTGCGACGGCCTTTCACCTGCAGACAATCGCCTTCCAGGCGCAGATTTCTTGGTGGAGACTCCTTGGTCACAAAGGCAAGCCCGACGAAGAGCTTCTGGCGCCTTTCTCTCGATGTCTGCGCTGCTTTGCGCGGCGCGCTACGAACGATCCTGCTACATATAGACTCATGTCTTCAGCTTTCAGCGATATCAAGGGCGGCCTGCAAGCTCAAGGCTACACCCTTTCCAACGCCGAGAACTCGCCCATGTACGTGATACACTCATGCTTAGGAGCCATGGCGCATACCCATCGGCAGTACGCCGATGCTGTGCACTGGTACAACTCGATACAAAATGTGCTACAGTCGCCGCAAGAGCCGTCCGTGCGGATTTGCTCGATCTCAGCCCGGATATTAGCAGCCATGTTGAAAACCGAGAAGTCGGGAGAAATTGAGGCGAAGCTCGTGGAGGATGTCATTGAGAGCTTCAACGCGCCGTTATGCGGCACCGGAGCGGAAGTGAACGAGCTTCTGGAAAGCCTCTCGTTGGCGCGGCGCTCGGTAGCTGGCCTGCTCATGCAGAATTGGGACAGCAAAAGCGGAATCTCTCCTCATCTCAAGGAGCTCCTGAAGAAATTCTTGCTGCGGTTTCCTCGATTTGTGAGGCGTTGGCTTGGAACACCACCTTCTGGAGACACTTCCACGAAACAAATGCTACAATTCGATCAACGCCGGCAGGCAGTCCACCCATCTTTGTCCCAGGTCCTCGATGGAACACTGATCATCGTAAAATCCGAGATAGGGTCAGAATGGCAGATGCTTGACGATGTCCTGCAAGACTGCACGACCTTGCTGAGAAACATCCACGACCCTGCTCTGCCGCAAGCTAAGTTCGAACAGTTAGCATCTTATGATGTTAAGATCTCGAGCTTATACTTCTCAATCTACTCGCAATATCGCAAAACAATCGAGAGCCCCAAGTCCAAGAAACTGGCGCTGCTGGCATTGAAGCGATCCATCGACGTCGTCCAGGATGGCACGATAGAGCAAAAGGAAAAGGCGCAGTTGTCCGTCAAACTAGAAATCATGGCCGATCTGTGCAAAGATACAGGCCATCCGGAGCAGGCGTCGAAGACCCTACGCTCAATCTGTACAAGCATGGTGGAGGAGGGAGTTTTAGCAACGGTCTCCTCCTGTCTTTCCATCAAGTCGCCGCGACAAGCATGGTCCGAAACCGAAAAGGCAAGTACACTCTCGCGATCACTCAGGTCGATCGCGCGACTGGACGATACCTGGAATGATTGGACCTTCTTCATGGCCGAAACCGAGCGCGCTGCTGTTCTCGAGCATCTCCTGCAGATCAGCGCAGAGGACTCACAAAAGCCGTTGAAGTTGCACGACCCTGGCATGGGTGCCTTGCTACGCATCTACTCCCCTGAAAAGTACCCGATCCGCCGTCTGCGAGTTCTGTTGAAGCTCTTTGCGCATCAGATCGGTCAGAAGAGTGGCAACCTACGCGATGTTTCTGCGCTGTGTGATCAGGCATTGCGTCACACGAACAAGAAGGACATGGCGGAGGATGATGGCCTGTCCAAGTTTGTCCGTCATCTACACCTTCTTCACGCTTCAACCACGGCCCTAGCGTCTGTTGAAGGCCCGTTCCCTGTGGAAGCACTCCAAACCTCCGTGACAAGCTGGACCGAGCTGTTGCAGGGCTGCTCCTGTGAAGCCGATGTACTCAACAGAATTGACGAGCCTGATGCTCTCCTCCGTCATCTGTTGTCTGTCAACCAGCTGTCCAGCTTGAGGGGAGAGAGCCGCCTGCAGCTCTCAGTACTTGAGTTGTGCGTCCAACTCGCTAGGCTCTATGCGGGTCAGTCAAGCGATGAGGTAGTTGCTTTCCACTGCAAGCTGGCTACGCAGTACATCAACATTGGTCTCTTCACGGAGGCATCGAAGACATTGGAAGAACTTCGAACTTTAATGCAACAGAACGGGCAGCCAGCTCCGATGACCATGACACAGCTCTATCTTGCTCAAGCCGAGTACATGGCTGGAATCGACGATGCCAAGTCAGCACTTGCTTGTCTTTCGAAAGTGTCTACATCCAGTGCACCAGGCGCCAAATCGAGTGTCCAGGAGATAGTGACCGCCGCTCAGGCTTCTCTTATCCGATCTGGCCTCGCCCTCAGATCTGGTGACATACAACAAGCACTCGAGTCCACAAGGAACATGGTGCGGCTACTGTCGCATGAATGGACAAGACTTGACGGCGCGTCCTTGGCTGCCGTGGCGGTGGAAAATCGCACGCTGGCTGATAGCGTTCTTGGGAAAGCTCATCCAAAGATATCTCGTGCGCCTTTTGGACCACAGCTATGGACGCTGGCGCCACCCTTGTTTGAGAACTTGATGCTTTTGTCCTCCATTCACGCCCACGTGGGCATGTACCAAGAAACTTTGTTCTACTGCGAGACCGCCATGAGAGTCGCCGAAGGCTCAGGCTCGTCGCTCTTCCTGGCAACAGCATCCGCTCGGGCCGCTTCCATCTTTGTCAAGTCGGAGCAAACCGAAAAGGGACTCGAGCACCTGGGTGTTGCGTGTGCGCACATGCCAGCCCAGGCGTGCGCTGCGCGGGTGAAGCTCGCCAAGCAGATCGCCGAGGTGCATCGTGAGCTTGGTGATGAGGCGAAACTAGCCGAATACCTGGCCGTGGCTGAGGAGACGACTAGGCAACTTGGTCAGTTGCATGGTCCGGCTGCCAGTCCGGCTATTGCTGAGAAAGTGGTGGAGAAGGCCGTAAAGGCAGCGACTACGTCTCTACGAGGCACTACGACCAGAAGGGCACCCGTTGCACGAACCACACGTGCAACCAGCTCACGGACTGCAGCAAAGGGGAGCGCGAAAGCAAGCACTACGACAAGAGCCGTGAAGAGGGCCCCTGCTACGAAAAGGACGGTTCAAGCTACAGCATCAGCTCCGCGAGACACCTTCCAGGCTTCGTTGTTGGCCTCTGTTCTGCTAAGTCGCGCCAATGCAGCGATGCAAAAGCAGGACTGGAAAAATGTGGCATCTTCATTGGAGCTTGTCAAGGGTTTGCCAAAGTTGTTTGGTGCGCTTCGCCAAGAGCAGCTCATTACGGCGACTCGGTATCTTTGCATGAGCGCAGAGCAGATGAACGACGACCCAGTCTTCTCCATCATGCATGAGTCGACGATTTCGTTCCCTGCCGTGGTGGGCGTCGCCGAGAAAGGCAAGCGCGAGTCTTTGTCGCCAGGGTTTGCCGAGGCTTTGAAGCAAGCTCAAGAGGTATTGCTGGAGGCACACGAGTCAGCCCTTGTCAACGGCGAGAATGCACTCCTCCATCGCATCGCAACCTTGCTCCAAAGCACGGTCATCTCGCTGACAGCTGCATCTGGCCCAGCGACAACGGCGGTCATCCGGTCCGAATCGACAACTGTGGCTGTCGAGCTTGCGCGCAATGCGATGTGGAAACGCGAGCAACTGACAATCGAGTCGAGCAAAGAGTTCAAGGATGTACCTGATGGCGTGGCAACCGCGCTGGCGGAGCAGCTGGCCGGACTCGAACTGCAGTCGGACATGGGCCGCTTTCAGCAGCACTTTATCGAGCTGATCCCCAAGAAGTGGAATGTGGTTTCCATGTCGTTGAGCGAGAACCATCGCGACTTGTGTATCACCAAGTTCCAGGCTGGTCACAGCCCGTTTATTCTACGACTACCCCTGGAACGTGCCAATTCCCGCGATGCCGATTCCGAGGTCTTCAATTTCCAGCACGGAAGGGATGAGATGCTGGACGTGATTGCCAATGCTAATCGCACGAGCCATTCTGGGGGTGACATGACTTCCAGGGCTGGACGCAACGCGTGGTGGGCTGAACGAGAGGCCCTTGACGAGCGCCTCAAGGAGCTTCTTTTGATCATGGAGACAACGTGGCTGGGTGGGTTCAAGGGCATCTTCTCACACCATCAGCGACGGCCTGATTTGCTGGCTCGCTTTCAGAAGAGTTTCCACCAGCTTCTTGAACGCACCCTGCCATCGCGCAATGGTCGTGGCGGCGGACGTGGCAAGAAGAAAGCGGCCAAGTCCACCCCAGCGACGCTGGATCCCCGGATCTTGGACCTATTCATTGGCCTAGGGGACCCCACGGATCCGACTGTTGACTTTGATGAGGCACTGAACGATCTGCTATACTTTGTGGTGGATATCCTGCAGTTCCACGGCGAGCACAACGCGTACGATGAGATTGATTTCGACGCCATGGTCGTTGAGACTTATGATGCCCTCCGAGGGTACTATGCAGCGCTTCGAGCTGATGGAGACGACAGCACCGCTGGCACTCACACCATCCTCGTGCTGGACAAAGCGCTGCACATGTTTCCCTGGGAGTCCATGCCTTGTCTGAAGGAGCTTCCCGTGTCGAGAGTTCCCTCCTTGGCAGCGCTTCGGAGGCTTATTACCGAGGCCAAGGCTTCGAAGAATAAGATGAACAACGGTGGCGATGATGTCGCAGATGGTCACTATATATCCCCCCAGGAGGGAGGATCGTACATTCTCAACCCCTCGTCCGATCTGAAGAACACACAATCTTATTTTCAGTCCTCCTTTGGAACGCTGCCGTCGACTTGGACATCCCACGTCAACGTTGCGCCCACCGAGTCTGCGATGCAGGAGGCCTACGCTACCTCGCCTATACTGCTGTACTTCGGACACGGCGGTGGCGCCCAGTACATCCGCGCAAAAAGAGTTCGCAGCATCCCAAAGATTTCTTCAACTGCGTTCCTCATGGGCTGCAGCTCGGCAGCGCTGAACCGCGCTGGAGAGTTTGAGGTATACGGCCTAGTGTGGAATCTGATGGTGGGCGGCTGCCCAGGCGTAGTGGGCACGCTGTGGGACGTGACTGACAGAGACATTGATCGGTTCGCGGGTCGTTGCTTCGAGAAATGGGGACTCTTTCCCCGCGGCACATTTAAGGATGACGGCAAGGGAACCAGTGCCTATGGCGACGAAGAGGACCAGGGTGATCACTTCAGCTTGGCGGAAGCGGTGATGAAGGCGCGTGCGGCGTGTCGGTTCCGGTATCTGAACGCGGCTGCGGTGGTAATGTACGGGATTCCGGTATATATAGAGGAATAGGGGTGAGTTTTGGCGCGGTGAAGCTGGTTGAATTTTGGGCATAGCGATGGCGTTGAAAGCGGTTGATACCCCCTTTTCTGTTCTTTTCTTGGTTAGAATGGGGAGAGACGAGTAGCCATGGTAGACATGGGGAGGAGCATCAACGCTAGACATGATACAATGAGCGATGAAGTGTGCTTTGATACTGTTTCCAAGTGATATCGTCCTACCGGTACTGGAGACCCTCACTCCTGCCACCATTCCCAGAAGCCCTGTCCGTCCTCGTGTTCGACAGCATGGCGTCCATACCCCCCTCTGGCGTTGACATACGACTCGCTGTACTGGACGGTGCATCCAAACTCTGGGAACCGATAATGCCCATTCCATTGATTTTTCGTCCTCCTTTTTCCTTGGCAGGCCTCTTGCTTTCTTTTCTCCTTGCGAGATTGCTTTGGGCTGTCTTCAACGCAAGAACAAGAAGCGGTGCTTGGCCGGGTAGTTGAGGTGGCCATCGGGAAGAACCATGGGCTTTTCTCCTGTCGAGGGATCGAGCGCCGCTCTGGACGTCCATGGACACGCCGGGAGAAGACTGGCTCACTATGATAAGTATATTTGGGTTTCTCGTGGATCGTGTACGCAGGCTCACCCACCCCACGGTGCTGGCTGCGTCGGCCACGTCAATCCCTCAGATCCAGCCGCCACACGCCTGACTGCCGCATACCCACGCGCAGCGCGGTGCGTGTATTCGTTCTCTTCCGAGTAGAGATGGTCGCCCTGCTGAATGTGGCGACCCTCTAGCCTGTACGAGCCGTCATGGCGGTGGTCGTGCCAGTGCGCCTCGGCTCCATGACTGTGCTTGTCCGAGTAGCGCCATGCGTATCCTAGGTTGTTGGCGTAGCACTCCTTGTGCGTTGCGTACTGTGCATTGGGAGGACTATCGAAGACAGGAGAGTTGTCTTCTGGGTCGTGGGACGCTTGCTGGTTGTCGAAAAGCTGGGCTCGAGTCATGTTGTTGACGGAAAGGGGCCTGTAGAGCCTTGGTTGGAAGATGGTTGTTCAGGGGTCATTGTGAATCATCCGAGAGCAAGTTGAGCACTATTTGATGTGGGGAAACCGTACTTGTCGTCAAGCGAGGCGCTTGTTGGTATTTTCTCGCTTGCATGTCGTTTTCGACTGGCGACAAAGAGGGCCATATAGCAAGCAACAAACGTCCACAGCCCCCGTCGGAAGCGCAGGCGCGTCAAATGAATGCACATTATCGTGGTACGCAAAGCTGTGCAAGCCAGACGTTGCAGAGACGCTGGTCGCGCAGACGCTGTTTCCTTTCTGTTTGAAGCGTCATGACTGGGTATTCTGACCAAAATCCTCTTGATAGATAGTCCCTCCACAACACTATGCCAAAGTAGATTTGCCTCTCTCGTGGCTCCATCACACACGAGAGCGGACTTTTATTCGGCCATGCTGCCGCCCTCATGCCCAGCAGCCGCTCGCCGGGACCCAGCCTGTTCAAGCAGCCTCTTCATCTCAACGACGGGCAGGTCCGCTTCATCAAAGTATTTTTCGCAGAGCCTTTCGGCAAGCACCTCCGATGCAGCGGAAGGGTTCAAGTCCGAGTACTCCGCCAAAATCTCCATCCAGGTCCGCCCATCCTCATCCACGGCCGCGTCATCAGCCCCATGACGGCGCAGACAGAGAAGAGTGTCGATCCCTTGGTATCCTTTGCCTGCTGCCACATGCAGCGGGGTGGCGCCGTGTATTTCTGTATTGATCAATCGCTTTGCCGACGTATTCGCGAGCAAAAATTCAACGACATCCCAAGGGGCTTTGGTGACCGCATCACAAAGAATATTGCTGCCCTTGTATAAGTATGTTCCCGTAGGCTGATGCCAGGGAAATTCGGGACCGTACAAGGTGACCAGCTTCTGTAGGACGAGTAGGTGGTCGCACATCACGGCCTGCCGTGCAGCTGTGATATCTTGCTCGTCGACACGTGGTTCTGCTCCCATGTCGAGGAGGCATAGAACCAGGTGGGCGTCCAAACGTCCACTGAGGTTGGAGAACAGCCGGCGGACAAGGCTGTCTAGACCGTGCTCGCCCTCGCGGGGAAGAACAAGGCCACGATCTTGAAGTGCCCAAAACTTATCGACTGGATCTTTCATCAACCGCGCGGCCGATAACATATCCACAATCCTGCGATGGCTAGCATTCAAAGCGTCTGCATCAATGACGGTCAGGACACCTCTGAACCCAGCGCCATTGACGTGACGATCGATTTTGAGCAAGCCGGGCACCCCCATTTTGGCGAAGCGGTACTCGCACCGTTCCGGAGGCACATAGCCGGCCTCGAACAGAATCCCCATCTGCCTCCACTCCTGATAACTGTACAGGTGCTCCATGATCTGTGTCACGATGTCATCTGGATTCCGGCGGCAAAACTCAGCAAAGTAGTCCCGGTTGCCGTACTTGTATACAATATCCACAATCCGCGGCGCTAGTAGCTTGTTCATCAATGGGGACGAGCCGCAACTCGGCACCATGAAACCGTACAGCCCACACTGCTGACGATGGGTTTCATGTTCCGTGATGCACCCCTTCCCGGCCAAGGAACTCACGCCGCCGAGGAAGCGTATCGCTATAAAGCGGGCGAGATTACGCGATTCTTGATTGGACGCGAGAATGTTCCGAGCTTCCTCAGGTTCCGCCGCCCAGATATTACGCACGTAGCGCTCGAGCAAGGTTTGACCATCCGCGTCGATGAAGGCCACCACGTCCGAGGTGAGCAGCGCATCATACCCGAAGCGCGGCATGGCCAAATCCTTTGATTCGGCAATCAGTTCAAGCGAATGTCCCTCGCCGCAGACCTCTTGGTAGGGGCAAGCTTGGCGGAAGACATCGATAGGCAGCTGTGCCTTGGCGGCCATGTCCATCCGTGACTCAGCCCCGAGTTCTCGAAGGCGCTCGACCACGTCGGCGTGCGCGGACAGTTTGAGATACTGCATTGCCGACCGACCTTGTAGGTCTACGGCAGAGAAATCGGCTCCCAATTTTCCCAGGCCATTGATCACGTCAATATCACCCCATGCGGCAGCCAGATGGGTCAAGGGCCGTGTCGTGCCGGAGATAATCTCAGCTTCCATGTCAGGGTCATCCAGGAGCAGACATGCGGCCTGTGGGGTCGTGCCCGCCAGGTCATGGTTTTTCTGCTCTTCAGACATGAAGAAGGCCTCGGCGAGAGGCGTGCGTCCCTTCTTGGAGACTGCGCGCATGTTCTCGACCTTGTGGGGGTCGTTGTTAAGCAACCAGTCGAGGAGCGATATGGCGCCCGTCGCTGCCGCCATGTGCCAGATATTTCGCCCCCCATTATCTTCCGTAGCCGTCGTCAGTGCGCCGTGGCCCTTGACGAGCAAGCTCAGCATCTCCGAGCTTTCCACGACCATGATTGGCGTGCGGGATTCTTCGTCACGGCACTCCACATCAGCACCGGCGGCCAGCAACAACTCCACAATCTCCTTTTCACCACTGCTCACTGCCGTGTGCAGGAAGGGCTCGCCTGTGGGGTTGTGTAGAACAATGTCGAAATGAGGGTCGATCATGAGACGTCGCAGGTGAAAGGCCGAGGCGTCCAAGATCGCCTTTCTCACAACTTGTTCGAAGGTTTCGACGGGCCGTTTTGCCCCCCGTGGAGGCGTCGAAAGGGTACGCAAAGGGTCTGGATACTCCCCAATGTCAAAGCTGACGGCTTGCACGGCCATTACAGTCTCGATGGCGCCCAAGACGAGTGCAGGGGTCCCCAGGAGCAGGGTACCCTCTCGGACGATGAGCACGCCATGCAGGTAGGTCAGTACCCGAGCAATGAGCGTTTTGGAGAACGGCATCGGTTTTGTGGTGCAGTACTTCATAAGGGACCCTGCCACGTACTCATCCAAGCACGCGCCACCGTCGACGACCTTGCGCAGGACTTGCTCGTCGCCCTCGACCTCGAGACTGAAGGCGATCGCATACGCAGCCAAGGAGTGGCCCCTCTGGCCGGGCGCAGCAGCCGAGGCACCTGAGGCACCTGCGTCGAGCAGCGCTTTGACAGCATCGGTGCGCTGCGCCGATGGTGTCCGTGGGAAGAGCCCCTTTCCCGACTCGGAAAACTCGTAGAGGGCTTCCCAGCTCGAGAAGCCCGCCAGGACGCAGTGTAGCGGGGGACCCCATGGGCTCCGTTGATTCGGACTGTACCCTGCTTCAAGAAGCTGGCGGCACACCACTGGAAAGCCCAGGACGGCAGCAACATGCAATGCGGTGACCTTCCCTGTGCGGAGCGAGTCGGCCAGATGGAACACGCCGCTGTGATAGCGGGCGGACTCTGACGAAATGGCAAGGCGGCCCCATTGCAAAAGCCATTGGTACAGCTTGTAGCTATAGGGCTGGCCTTGGGTATGAAAGAGCCCAAAGGTGTCAGCACGAGGCTCTCCATGCAGGAAGCAGTCCGTCGCTGCACCTTCGTATGCAGGGACCATTGCATTGCGCAGATCGGCCCAGAGACACTCTTCTGCGTACAGTCGTGGCACGTGATGGTTGAACGAGGCGGTGAGCAAGTTGGCATAGTAGACCTGGAGATCCCATTCACCTTCATTGTATGACGACCCAGGAAACGTCTGGTGCCATCGGAGGATCTCCAACGGGGGAGGTGCCGTGGCGAGAAAGTCGGGGGATGGCGCCTGGGGGAGAAGGGAGAGCTTGTAGGCGAGCTCATCGCAGTCCTGTGAGTGTGAGGCAGATACGAGCTTCAGATGGTACCAGTAGACATTGGGCACAAGACACATTGACAGCTCATCGTTGAGATGGCCCCGCCTGGCGCTGGTCGAGATGCGTGTTTCGAGGTCGAAGAGACCCTGGAGGAAGCGCGGCCGCCCTGCCAGCAGGTTGGGGCCATCGTTCTCGTCGTCCTGATCGCCTTTGAGCGGGAGGAGTTCCAGGGGGGACACGATGATTTCAAGGATGCTTGCTATGCCCTTTGTTGCTTGAGGGAGGATGTCAACTGTGGAGTTGGATGTCTCGCACAGCCTGCCTGTGTTCCTCCATAATTCCTGCAGATGGCGAAGGTCGTCGCGAAGCGCGAGCGGTGTGTAAGGGCTTTCTGCTGTCATTTGATCGTCCAAGTTCCAAAGACGATCCTGGACTGTTCCACAAGCTGCATTGCGAACGAATATCGATGAGTTGGACGTTATTTACACGGAGATCATTCTGGGGCCCGAACTTTGAAGGATCTCCCACCTGTCGTGATGACGGATGAGTAACGCAGGTGCATACAGTGCGAATCCTTAGACAGAACACTAGTCCATCTCGTCTATTCGCACTGTTTTCCATCTCCACCTTTCGGCGCTTGCTCCCTCACCAGTCGAGCGTTCTTCTTTCACCATCAAGGTCGAGTCTACACCGGCTCGTGAGCGAATCAATCAAGTCTTGCTCGGTCAGAGCCTCGTCCACAAAACAATCGGAGCAAATCAGGTACCCTTACCGGACGCGCACTGGCGGCACTGACGCGTCATGGCTCCGTACAGCAAGTCACAAGTGAACGACGTACACCCATCGATGTATAGGCACCACGGCAACACAAGTGTTTGCGAGAAGACCAGAGGTGGCGGCGCAAGGAAGTGAACATCTCCCTGGACCTTGAACTCGGCTGCTTTCACTCATCCAGAGTACGTGCCATGGACGCCTCAGCGGTTAATCCACGTTCTCGAGGACCAGACTGCCCGTCCATCTATGAGCCCAACATCCAAGGAAGCAGCCTATCACGCGCCTTTGCAAGATGCAGATGCAGATCCAGATTCAGGGGAAACAAGCCTCAGAAACCCCAGCCTCGTCCATCAAAGCGATTGGGCTTGCGGGGTCCGACCTTGCGCATTGCCATCCGGGGGCCCGCCAAGCCGGTAAAAGACGACGGCTTCTCAATGTCGGCATTGCTGCCCCATGTTTGCCAGTTGGTCAACGTCAAACAAGCTTCCCCTCCCACGGGGCCACGATGCCAAAGCAATTAGGCACAAGACATCTTTTAGCCAATTGGTCGATGGCAACGGCCCAAGTGTACGGGCAGCCGGGCACCACGAATTGTGCCTAGCCTAGCGGGAGAATACACCGGGTATTCACCATGGCTACAAAGCGGACAGCATATATGAAGGACCGCCCGTCCTCCCCTCGACAGCAGACACACAGAGAGTGAGGTCAGGGACACCGAAGCCAACCACAGCACTGCCAACATGCGAAGCCATCTCACCACCGCCCTGCCTCTGCTGGCCGCCACGCCGCTGGCCTCGGCCCAGATCAACAAATGGGCCCAGGCTGCCGGCCTCAAGTACTTTGGCGCGGCCACGGACACACCCGGTCAGCGTGAGCGCGCCGGTCTGGAGGCGGCCTACCCCCAGTACGACGCCATCCTCGCCGACAATGACATGTTCGGCTCCACGACGCCCACCAACGGGCAAAAGTGGCTCTTTGTCGAGCCCGAGCAGGGCGTCTTCAACTTCACCGAGGGCGACATCACCGCCGACCTCGCCGCCGAGCAGGGCAAGATCCTCCGCTGCCACGCCCTCGTCTGGCACTCGCAGCTCGCCCCCTGGGTCGAGGCCACCGAGTGGACGCCCGAGACGCTCACAGAGGCCATCACGCTGCACGTCAACACCGTTGCCGAGCACTACAAGGGCCAGTGCTACGCCTGGGACGTGGTCAACGAGGCGCTCAACGAGGACGGCACCTGGCGCGAGAGCATCTTCTACGAGGTCCTTGGCGAGGACTACATCAAGCTCGCCTTCCGCCTCGCCGCCGAGGCGGATCCCGAGGCCAAGCTGTACTACAACGACTACAACATTGAGCGCCCCGGCGGCAAGGTCAACGGCGCGCTGCGCATCGTGGAGATGCTTCAGGCGGACGGCATCCGCATCGATGGTGTCGGTATGCAGGCGCACTTTGTCGCGGGCGGGTCTCCCACCCTCGACGAGCAGATCGAGGTCATCGAATCGTACGCCGCGCTCGGCGTCGAGGTCGCCCTCACGGAGTTGGACGTGAGACTGGACACCCTCCCCCCCACCGAGGAGACCCTCGCGCTCCAGAAGGAGGACTACAAGAACGTGAGTTTTTTTTTTCCATTGCCCCCCTTGCCTCATCAGAAGATGTTGACCAGATATATAGGCCGTCGGCGCCTGTGCCCAGGTCGATGCCTGCATCGGCATCACCATGTGGGACTTTTACGACCCCTTCAGCTGGGTTCCCTACACCTTTGAGGGTGAGGGCGCCGCGCTGCTCTGGTTCGAGGACTTTACCGTGCACCCGGCGTACTATGGTGTCCTTGCCGCGCTCAAGAACGCCACGGGCCTGTGCGCGAGCAAGGCCAAGCGCGGCATGGCGCAGCTGTTCAACGCATAGACCAGGATGTCAATAGATGTGACATGTAGAGACGAACAGACAATATATACACGGTGTCAATCATCAAGGAATGAACATGCAGCTGTCATGGTTCGAAACTCATCAACTCTCATCAGCGGTGATCAACATGTTCCATGAATAGTGACCAACCCTGGTCGTCCGTCCGCAGCGGCGCAGCTTATACAGCAGCTGACCCCAGCCCTGATGCATCTGACCTGCATTGCATGCCCCTGCAATTAGCTACATGATAATCTGAAATCAGATGGAACTTGGGAGGGTTACCTTGCATGTCCATCGCGTACCTATAACGCACACCAACCGACGGTCGGGTCAAGCAGCGTGAGAATCCTCCATTACTTTTTCGCTAGACTAGAGTATATCATTAGAATCTTTACAGACAAAGAGTGCAAAGCCCGCCAAATGGTACTGATGAAAATGCCCTCCCCACAAACGCCCAGCCAACCAACCCATCGATCAAGAAAAACACAACTCACCTCTTCTGCGGCACTGCCATCGACCCGCCATCCATCTCGGCCGCGTGCGTGTGCCCCGTCGTCGTGTACTCGGTCGTGGCCGGCAGCTCCGATGCAAACGACTGGTGCTGCTGCTGATGTCCTCCATACCCAGCGTACGACGAGTGCATGCTCTCCCTGAAGTGGCCCTGCGACGGGTCCGGCGACGTGGTGCCCACGCCGCCCCATGCGCCATTGTTCATCTCCGGGCTCGCGTGCTGCTGGTGCCACTGCGGTGGCGGCGATCCCATGCTCTGATGCTGCGGGTTGGGCGTGCCCATGTAGGTCGATTGATAGGGCGAGTACGGTTGGATGGGGTCATGTTTCCGCATATGGGGGCTCGTGGCCGCCTCGGAGCCGGCGACGGTGGACGGGTGGTTGGCATACGGCTCGTAGCTCTGTCTGGCGGCGGCGGCGGCGGCAGCCTTCTTGGCCTTTTTGCGGCGGAGGAAGAACCAGATCAGCGCGCCGATGATGACGAAGCCGCCCCCGACGGCACCGGCCGCTATGCCCCCAATGGTCCCCTCGGAGAGCCCCTTGTCGTCGTAGTAGTCCTCTGGCAGGAAAGCCTTTGCGTTCTCCTTTTCGCTGCTTAACTTGGCCGGGAAGAGGTTCTTGGACGGGCACTCGCCCTCGACACAGGGGTTCAGGGAGCAGCAGCCCATGAAGGGCGGGTCGTTGGCCAAGCACGTCCACCACTGCACCTCTGGCGCGTCGCTCTGGCAGTCCTGCGCCATGATGAGCGCGTGTGACGAGTCCCGGTATGAGGCGGACTCAAAGTCATCGTCCGGGCAGAGGCCATTGTCCGTCTTGCACGGGTTGATGCTGCAGCAGCCCAGGAACTTGGTGTCCCTCTCGTCGCAGACGTAGAACGAGGCGGTCCCGGAACAGCTGGTGCCCAGGTTGTTCTGGACTTTGGGGTCGGCCAGAGGCATGCTTGCAAAGGTATGACGCTGCTCCGAGTGTCTGTTCGGTGAAGAGCGGGAAGGTAGTGCGAGCTCTCTTGCGCTGGGCTCTGAATTGCAGCTTCGCGACAATACAGAGAAAAGTCAGGAAAGTTGTATATCCGAGCAGCGAGCGAGGCGAGAGAGGAAGGAGAGATAGGTAGTAGCACAGACTCTGATGATACATGCACAGGCCCGTAGGGATCCTCCTTTTACAGTCAGCCTCTGGAGCTGGGATGTTGAACTTGGATCGGCCCACGGACCACCAACGGCGACCTACAGGTCACAGCCCAATACAATAATAGGCTGCGGTCTCGCCTGGTTCCAGGGCGGGCCATAAGTTTTTCTTAATTCGAGATCGCCGACGCCGGGGACTGCGACGCCGCAGTGTCCTATTGCGCGCGCATGAGAGCATACTTACATGGGGCGCATACCGGGAGTAACCCTTGCAGCTGCGCCATGGCCATTGTCATAGTGGCTGCTGCGATGGCTCTGCCTCGTAGGATCAACGAAAAGGAGGTTTAACGAAAAAAGCTCAAGCTTATTATTTGATCAGTTGCTGACGGCGCCGTTGGAGCTAATGCAATGCAAAGCGCAAGGCCCAAGGGAGGGGGGTGGCACGCACCCCTATCGGACTTGAACAACAATGAGTGAGTGCTGAGAATAGAAATGTGACGCCTCTCAATGGGCTTGGACGCGAATTGAGAGACTGATCAGTGCTAGCGACACGCAACGAACTCGAGAGACGAGTCTTGCCGAAATTGGGGCTTGTACTTGGTGAACTAGTCTAGGTAGCTGATCGAGCGTCAACTTTCGACGTGGAGATGGATTACCCTTTGGAGGCAATGCTCAGCTTTTGCTGACAACGGCTAGTAGCAAGCAAATTTGGGGAAATTGGCTTGGCATGGGGCATTGATGATCCTCGCTGCGAATGTTGAGGGCTGACAAGCAGCAGCTGGCAACGCAGGAGGGGAAACGTCGGAAACCTGGAGTCGATTCATCATGTTGATGTTGCCATGGCCCCAAGAAAGGCTTTTGTTTTTGTGACTTGCAACTTGTTGTATCCATCGTCGCTCTCAACAGCCGTCGGGGGCACGCACATGACTGATCGTCCCGTAGCGGTTTCATCACTGCGCCATCATTTCGTCGCGAGTTGTAGGAAACCCGAGCGAAGCCTCAGAGCCTCTGTTATCCATATGTTGGAGTCAGCTGGATGATATCGAGTTCTGCGGCGAGAGTGAGACGGTGGGAGCCGAATCCTTGCCGATGTCAATCATTTGTTGACGACTCCACGCGGCACATGTGAGATCTGTCGAATGGAAGCGACCCGCTTTGGAGAGGCAGCAAACAAGAACTCGAAGCTGGTGCTCTATGGGTCGCGCGGAGGAAGTTGAAAGTGTTCACCAGTGCCTGACAATACACGTACCTTGTGGCTAGGGTGTCTTAAGGTGTCGGTGAGCCGAAGCCGATGTCGCTGCTTCCATTCCTTGGGGAGACACACAACCTCTACCACCACCCACAGAGGCACACATGATGCCACCGACTGCGCAAGACAGTGTCGTCTTTCAAGGGAATCCGCGGACGCCCGGAACCGCATGTGGTTTCCTCAGTATAGCTGATGTCGAGCTCAGCTTCTGGGGCGGCATCAACCAGCACACAGGCGAGGTGATTGACCGGTCCCACCCCCTGCGCGGTCGGATCATCAAGGACACAGTCCTGGCTATCCCTGGCGGAAGGGGCTCGTGCAGTGGCAGTCTGGTCATGATGGAGCTCATGCTCAACAATGTGGGACCCAAGGCCATCGTGCTCGAAAGGCCGGACAGCATCATCACGCTGGGGGTGTTGATGACGGACGAATTCTTTGACAAGTCAATACCAATCCTCGAACTCGGTTCACCTGACTTCCAGCGTCTCCTCACGCTAGACGGCCAGACGATCTGGATTGACGATGGAAGAGTGTCCAATTCCCCCCTGGAATCCCAAAAGAACATGACTTGTGCCAGAAACCACCTCGAGACGGTACTTGCCTTGTCGGACTGGGACAAGGACGCAGTGCGTGGTATCCATGGCGAGGCAACTAGACACGCGTTGCGCCTGATCATCCGGATGGCTGAGATGATGGGGGCTTCTGAACTCATCGACGTGACCCAGTGCCACATTGATGGCTGTTTCTTCGTCGGCCAAGGCACCGTGGCGTTTGCCGAGAGACTGCGCGACCTGGGCGGCATGTTCCGCGTCCCATCCACCATCAACTCCATCAGCGTCGACATGAAGCGCTGGCGGACCCTCGGCGTCGACGTGGAGTTTGGCGAGAACGCGGAGCGGATTGCCAACGCACTCGTCGACATGGGCGCCCTGAAGACGTTTACGTGCGCGCCCTATCTCCTGCAAGACACGGCGCCCAGGTTCGGGGACCGTATCGCCTGGGGCGAATCGAACGCGGTGCTGTTTGCCAACAGCGTCATTGGTGCGAGGACGCTGAAGATACCGGATGGTCTGGACACGGCGATTGCCTTGACGGGCAGAGCGCCGAATGCCGGTGTTTATCGAGACGAGAACAGGCTCGCCGAGGTCATTATCACTCTTCCGTTGATTACAGACGTGGATGATTCATTTTGGCCAGTCATTGGATTCGCATCAGGGGCCGTCGCCAAGAATCGGATTCCCGTCCTCGCCGGTCTGGAGGGTCTCGCGCCGTCGCTCGACGACCTGAAGGCCTTTGGGGCTGCGTTTGGTACTTCTGCGAGTGCGCCTCTGTTCCACATTGTCGGTATCACACCAGAGGCGCCGACGCTCGAAGCTGTCTGCCCCAAGAAGCAGCCGTCCAGTTGCACCGAAACACCGCTGACATTGGACATGATTCGCAGCACCTGGGATCACTTCTCCCATGGGTTGCAACAGCAAAAGGTCGACCTGATCTCACTTGGGAACCCGCATTTTTCAGTCAAGGAGATTGGGAAGTTTGCCGAGCTCGTGCGCAACCGAGCAAAGCACAAGGACGTCGCCGTCATTATCACCTGTGGGCGTTCTCACTGGGGACTCGCAGAGCAGGCTGGCTACGTGTCCGCGCTTGAGACGTTTGGTGTCCAGTTCCTCGTGGACACATGCTGGTGCTTTGTTGAGGAGCCCGTCATCCCCCAGCCGGTCAAGACCATTCTGACCAACTCTGGCAAGTACATTCACTATGGACCGGGCCTCACGGGCAGAGAGTTCTGCTTTGGGAGCATGTCCATGTGCGCGAAGGTTGCGTGCATGGGAATTCATAGCGGTGAGAGGCCGCTCTGGGTAAGCAAGACTGGGCGAGGAGAATTGCCGTAGGGCCCTCAGCATGTGCAACAGCTGTTGTTGCGTCACGGAGCAGAAGCTACGCGGCGCGCGTGACATGTGAATTCACAACCACGCAGACCCACCATCACTGCACATATCTTGGAACCTCCAGATGAGAGGCTTGGAGCCAGCGATAGTCCGCTGTAGAGGCTGGGGAGTGACCCACCATCCACATCGAAAGGATCGTGATTGTGTGCTGCTCCCTCTGAGGCTCTCGGTAGACAGCCAGGATGGGTGTGTTCCAACCGGCTTCCCAGAAGGCAAAATCTTCTAGCCAAATACTAAAGGAAGTCAATTCATCACCAGAGCAGGTAGCATCACCACCACCACAGATTTGCCAACTTTTCAGCCTCCAATGAGTCCCGTCCGTGAGCCCCCCCCACAACCCGCTGGCGGGGACGCCCTCCGCTAACGTAGTGCCTATGATGCAATGGCTTTAGCGCTTCCATGTCCTTTTGCAGGCTCCTACTGCAGGTGCAGGCACCCCTCGAAAGAAAGGCCCGCAAAGCCACAACCCGGTAACGATCGTCAAACGATCGACTGCATCCTCCAAATCGTCTGCCATCAACATTGTCGCGCAAAATGTTGCAATACATCCAGCCCTCCTAGCGCATCCTCTGCGCTGTGCCCTCCGTCGCGAGATCTGCTTCTTTCATCTCCCCTTTCAGAGTCCGGCTTACAGTCGCGTACCGAAGAACAATGGGCGACAGCGTAGACGAACCATCGCCCGAATGGCGCCAAGATCATGAAGACGTCCAGACATCGCCCAGTCCCGACTCGAAGCGCCTCTCCCTTCAAGAGCAAGCCAAGTCGGCCATTCACTTCGCCCGACAGTCGGAGAAGCTGTCCCACGAGCACCCTGCCTCGACCTCCTCGCCCGTCGCGCTGCAGGCCAAGTTCGTCACCCCACAGGACCCCGTCATCGTCACCACCGATGGCGGCCGACTGCCCGGCGTGCCGCTGGAGGAGGCGCACAAGCTCAACATCCTGCGGGAGGAGGTGCAGGGCGATGAGCCCGAGACGGTGGACATCAAGGAGGGCGACGAGACCAAAGAGCGCCTGTCGAACACGGACGACCACAAGGCGAGGGGCCAGCACAAGGTCGTCCACGTGCCCCAGGGGCAAAAGGGACACAGCCTGCAGAAATCAGCGGGCGCGACGTTGAGGAAGCAGATGCCGCCGTCGTCTACCAACCCTCTCTTCCCACCGCTGCCCCTCTACGGGCCCTCCTCCATCCTCAGAGACGTCCAGTGCGTCTTCTTCCGGGTGGCGTCCTTCTTCCTCAGCCTGGCTTTCCTACTGGTCATTGTGCTGGGCGCGCTCTTCACGAGCATACCCCCCGCGACAAAGAAATGGTTCTACAAACTGACGTTTCGAAACATTGACAAGCGCAGACCCTTCTACGAGGAGGAGATGCGCAGGGCCAGGATACGCGACGAGAAGGACCGCCAGTGGAAGAAGCAGCACGGTTCACACAAGGTACAGGACGACAGCGAGGGCACGGCCGAGGAGTTCCCGCCGACAGAGGGCGGCCGCGACCCCGTCATCTGCGACGCCGGCTACTACGCGCGCCGCGTGGGACTCGACGTCGAGGAGTTCAGCGTCCAGACGGAGGACGGCTTCATCATCGAGCTCTGGCACGTCTACGACCCCAAGGAGTACACGCGCCAGAGCGAGGACAGCCGCGAGCACCTCGGCCCGACCGTGTTTGAGCGGCGGGGGAAGCGCCTCAAGAACCCCCAGCAAAAGCCCAAGTTCCCCGTCCTACTCATCCACGGCCTGCTGCAGAGCGCGGGCGCGTACTGCTGCACGGATGAGCAGTCCCTGGCCTTTTGGCTCTGCAAACAGGGCTACGACGTCTGGCTCGGCAACAACCGCTGCGGCTTCACGCCCCGGCACGTGCTCCTCGAGTACTCGGATCCGCGCATGTGGTGCTGGAACATTCGGCAGTTTGGCGTCTTTGACCTGCCCGCCCTCATCTCCCGCGTCCTGACCGAGACGGGCTTCGACAAGGTCGGTCTCATCTGCCACTCGCAGGGCACCACGCAGACGCTGGTGGCCCTGGCCAAGGAGCAGCGGCCCGACCTGGGCGACAAGATCACCGTGTTCTGCGCCCTGGCGCCCGCCGCCTATGCCGGCCCGCTGATCGGCAAGATGTACTTTAAATTTATGCGCATCATATCGCCCGCCTTCTTCCGCGTCATGTTTGGCATCCACGCCTTCATCCCATTCATGATGACGATGCACGCCACCCTCCCCTCGGGTCTGTACGGCTGGATGGGCTACAAGGTCTTTTCGTTCCTGTTCAACTGGTCCGACACGCGCTGGGACCGCGGCCTGCGGGACCGCATGTTCCAGTTCTCGCCCGTTTACGTGAGTGCGGAGAGCATGCGCTGGTGGCTCGGCCGGGAGTGCTTCGCGCGGCACAAGTGCATCCTCGCCACCAAGGACGTTATCCGCGAGGAGGAGCGTGTCGACAGCGACGCGTCCGGCGACAGCGGCGCGACACTGCCTCTGGAGACGCAAAAGTCACCGGGCGGCACGGCGTGGTACAATGAGCAGGTTCCGCCGTTTGCGCTCTGGGTGTGTGGGAACGACGACCTGGTCGACGGCAAGAAACTCCTGCGTAGGCTGCAGAGTGGACGGGAGCCGCATGTCCAGGTCGTGCACAGCAAGGTCATTGAGGGGTATGAGCATCTGGACGTCATCTGGGCCATGGATGCCGAGGAGCAGGTGTTCCGTGAGGTGGCCGAGACGCTGTGGAAGACGTGCCACGTCCGGGACGAGGTGCGGGTGCCCAAGGGTTGTGAGCATGTAGAAGCTTGGTCACCGGATGAGAACGAGGTCGCGTGGTCTACTAATGACTCGAGTGAGTAACAGTGTGCATAATCCAGGGCTGGAAACTATCCAGTGGTCATTCTACACAGCGAAGCGTCTTGGGATGATCATGCCATGTTAATAGAAAGAATACCCGTCTATACAGTGTTTGAATTCTGAAGTACATATGTATAACAATATTATCTACAACTTCGCCTTGACCGCCCCGTCCTCCTTCTTGACCATCTGCGCCACAACCCTCCTCAAAATCTTGCCGCTCTGCGACTTGGGGATCTCGTCGAGGAACCGCACGCCGCCACGCAGCTTCTTGGGGGGCGCCACCCGCCCGGCCAGCCAGCTCGCAATCTCCTCGGCCAGCTCGTCGCTCGGCGCCACGCCCGGCTTGGGCACAATGTAGGCACGGGGCACCTCGGTGTGCTCCTCCTCGTTGAAGACGCCAATCACGCAGACGTCGCCGACCTTCGGGTGGCCATGGAGCTTCTCCTCGAGTTCGGCGGGTGCGACTTGGAAACCCTCTGTGCGGTGTCAGCATTACTCGCTTGGACTGGAGCCATGAAGGAAGACAACTGGGGGTGCCATACTGTACTTGATGAGCTCCTTGATGCGGTCCGTAATGTAAAAGTTGCCCTTGTCGTCCACCTTGAAGACATCGCCCGTCTTGAACCACCCATCCTCGTCGAATGTGCCCTCCTGCAGGTCTGGGCGGTTCCAGTACCCAGAGAAGACATTGTCGCCCTTGACGAGCAGCTCTCCAGACTGTATGCGTGTTAACGTTGAGCTGGGATACTACAGTTCCTGCAAATGAACTCACCTCGCCCTGAGGAACCTCCTTGCCCGCCTCGTCCACAATCTTGGCCTTCATCCCGGGGAGCAGCTTGCCCACGCTGCCCTGGAAGCGGAACCACTCGTCGGCAAACTGCGTCGTGATGGTCGGGCTCGTCTCGCTCAGGCCGTAGCCCTGCTTCACGCCAACCTTGAGGCGCTCCCACACGGCAACGACGAGCTCCCTACCGCACGGCGCCGCGCCGCTGTTGATCCACCGCAGCGTGGACAGGTCGTACTTGTCCACGACGGGCTGCTTGCCGAGCGCGAGCACAATGGGCGGCGGGACGTAGAGAAAGGTCAGCCTGTGCTTCTGGATGAGCGCGCAGGCCTTCTCCAGATCCCATTTGGGCATGACGACGCACGGCGCGCCCGTGATGAGCGTGACGTTGAGCACCACGGACAGGCCGTAGATGTGGAAGAAGGGCAGCACGCCGAGGTGGGCGTCAAAGTCCCAGCTCAGCCCCTTGAGGTCGAGCACGGCGCCCTGGGAGGAATTGGCGACAATGTTGCGGTGCGTGAGCGCGACGCCCTTGGGCAGCCCCGTCGTGCCGGACGAGTACACCAGGTAGGCGAGGTCGGTCTCGGGGTTGACCCGTGTCCTGCGCGGCTTCATCCAGGCCCCGTCCGCGTTAATGTCGCGCCAGTGCCGGAAGCCCTGCTGCGTCTGGCGACCGAGGAGGAGGACCCTGTCCTTGGGCAGGCCGACCTGGCGCGCGGCGGCGAGGACGGTCTCGAGGAAGGGCGTCTGCGTGATGATGGCCTTGGCGCCGCTGTCCTGCATCTGGCGGGCGAGCTCGTCGACAGTGTACGTGGGGTTGGCAGGGCTGCCAATGCCGCCGGCCCAGTGCAGGCCGAGGTTGACAATGGCCGTGTCAATGTCATTGGGTGTGTAGAAGGCGAGGACGTCGCCCTTGGACCAGGAAAAGGTGTGCTTGAGGCCTTGGCCGAGGGCGATGCTGTACTCCTTGATCTGCGCGCGGGTGTAGGAGATGGACGTGTCGCCGTCAATGAGGATGGCTGTGAGATGTGTCAGTGCCTACAACTCTGCGCCAGGGGAGGGGAGTGCCTGGTCGTGCAGGACTGGCGGCTGACGTACGGTGGTTATCGGGGTAGGCTCGCGGTGTCTCCATGTACAGCGACCAGAGGTCGACGTCGGGGACGGTGACGTCCGCGAATCTTGATGTAATGACCATGGCGCCTGTCTATGTATACTTCTAGCGAGGATGAAGGATTCGAGGAACAGCGAGGGAGGACAGAAAGTGAAGGTTGGGCGTGTGTGAGGGGGACTACTATGGGTGGTGATCGATCATGGCTGGGCAGCCTTCAGTCTCCCCGCCGATGAAAGCCGGCCTGTTGTTCAGTGTTCATCGAGAAGAAGCCGAGGCACTGCCCGTGGCCCCAGCGGGTCGAACATGGACAATTCCCGCTTTGTCTTAGCTTCTCCAGATTACGGATAGTATACGGGGAATGAAAGCTGGGGGCGGCTTGGAGACTGGAGATTGGCGTCTTGGAGACATGCGGGGGGAGGGAGCGGGAATCGGGGGGGGAGAATCGACTTACCCTATCAACGTGCGTTGGTCCGATCGCGGACGTCAGTGCCAATTGGGGGAACAGAACGTGTGAGCATGTTTCCGCCAGGAAGTCTTGTATTCCACTTGGTTGGCATGTGTTCTTCATGGAATGATATGGTACAAAAGGTGACCTACTGGTAGGTTATATGAATCTAGGCATCTCTCCCCCCTTCAGCCCATCCTCTCCGCCTCTTCGAGCAGCTTCTCCACGGTGAAGCGCTCGTCACCGCTCGCAAACCAGCTCAGCAGCTTCTTCCTCTCCTCCGCCCTCTGCTTCCTCTCGCCCTGGACCTCGGCCTCGCCCGCCTCCCACCCTCCGTAGAACCTCTGCAGGCACAGCACCAGCCATTTGGCCTGCTCGGGCTGGATGCCCCGTCCCTCCATGACCTGGCCTTGCATGAACACCAGGCCACGCTCGTCCGCGAGGTCGAGGTGGTGCGTCACCGTCGTGTGGGGCTGCGCAAACTCCCCGCGCGCCTTGTACTCGGCCAGCTGCGTGAAGAGGACCGTGCTCGTCCGCGAGGGCGCGTCAAACGTCCACTGCACAAAGTGAATCTCGGCCCCCTGGCCCTCGTGCGGCACGGGGAGGACGAATTGAGGTGCCTCCCTCGCTGCCTGCTCCATGGTCCGGTACGCCGCTGCTGGGGCCACGGCGCACAGCTTGTGCTCTGATTGCGCGTGGCGCAGGCGCCAGATGGCCGTGAGCTCGGGCTCGGGCAGGTCGCGCACCTTCTCCACGTTAATGTAGTCGTCTAGCATCTTGATCTGGGCCTTGTCGGCACCTGACGCCCTGCGCGCCGCCTGTTGCGTAGCATCCTGGCCTTTGTTCGGTTGCGTGACGGGGGTGCCGTCCGCCTGGGGGATCTCGGGCTGCCCCAGGGGACTTTCGACGTTTGGCTGTGTCACGGGTGTCTCTGGTGCCTGGGGGATCCTGCCTCCGTTGGCCTCTCCTGCCTCCCCTGGGGTCTCGAGCCCGGGCAATGGCCCTCGGAATGGCTGCTTCACGGGCGTTTCGGGCGCCTGGGGGATTGGGAAGTCGACCGCGTCCCTCTTGTGCGCCTCACGAATCTTGTCGGCATAGGCAGACTTGAGCTTGTCGATGGACTCGAAGCCTTCGCTGTGTGCCTTTTCGTCGAGTTTCGAGCGATATCGGTCGAGCACGTCCTGCGAAGGACGGGTCGTGGCGAGGAAGCGCACATCGTGCACCTGAGCCCAGCGACGCTGGTGTGTGACGAAGCGCGCTGCGCGCAGTGTCGGTTGTGTCAGGTGACGGAGAATTGGTGTGCGTATCGAAGCCATGGCGACGTGCTTTGCGCGGAGATGGGACAGATCGAGTGTCTGATGGTCAAGCTATTTGAAATCTTTGGCGTCTACGACGCTGCGTCATGGGTGCAGAGACCTACCCTGTACCGTTTTCACCATTGCCTACGAGGCCTACCTACCTACCGGCACATCTTTAGTCACATCTTGATCTTTCTTTGCGCGATTGAGTTATTATACACTCATCTATACTCGAGGATATACCACCTGTCTTTCCAAGCGAGTTACATCGCCGCATGTCGCAGGTGCTTTCCACCAACGCAACCCTCGGCAGTGTCCACACACAGTTTTCTCCCCTTGACCCCACGAAACCACAAAGCCGAACAGCTTCCAGTTCCCAATCTGGCCAGTAGCAAATTTGGTGCCCAGCGACACAAACAGCGTTGTCTTGTCACTGGGCGTGTACGGCGTCGGTGATCTACCGCCCATGAAGACCGCATCAAGGTTCGACGCCAGGTGAATGATCTGAGCATCCGTGACGGTCAACTGCTTGGTCTCCAGGGATCCGACATCCCCTATGGCCCAAATGTTCTTGGTGTTCTTGACTTTCATCGTAGGTTCTTGGCTGACATTGCCCATTTCATCCAACAGTTCCTCAGGAACAAACGATGCGTTGAGCCTGATACCATGAAGAGGCAGATAGCAGTCTGTCTTGAGCTCTGCGCCGTTGGACAACCGGACCATAGTCTGCCCGTGGCTTCCACTGTCCGAATCGTCCGTGACACGGGCTCCGCGCGCAATATGCACAACGAGCTTTTGCAAATCGGCGTCAATGGCACGGCGAACGGACGCGAGAGTGCCTCCCTGATCGCTCAAAGGTTTGCTCTTAGACATGACGAGGGTGATCTGCTTGCTCGAGCCGTACTTTGCAGCAAGCTCACCAGCTACCTCGACACTAGTGGCACCTGCAACCGCGATGACGATAGACTTGGACGCCTGTATTCGTTGCTGCAAACCATGCCATGCGGAAAGCGTCGACGCATGGGCGCCGAGGGGTTTGAGAGGCAGTCCGCTGGTGACACGAGAGCCCGTTGCAATGACGAGCTGGTCGTATTGCAATTGCTGAACAGAGCCGTCTTCCTTTCTGACGGCCACAGTGTTGTCCCGGGTGTCATCTCCCCTGCCGATCTGAGGAGCAGCTCGAACTTGTCTGGCGGATACTGCTTGAAGACCTCCTTGATGGGGAGGAAGAGCTGCTCGTCAGGGATGACCCCGGGGATGATGCCGCGTGTGGCTGCCACGTTCCAGAAGGAGTGCGTGCTTGGCGTCACCAGAACGACTTTGAGGTCTGTCTTGGGGGCCGTGTACTTGAGGAGCTTGTGGACTAGGGGGAGGCCTGCCCATCCGGCCCCGAGAGTGATGACTGTCTTGGTCATTGTGAAGCTTTGGTGTGTCGATACGACGCAGTACGATGACAAATTGATGACTATCTAAGTGCTGTAAGAAAAAGACAGGCAGACTGAGCTGGGCTCTCTTATACACGGCCATGCCCGGCTCAGAACGATCGAGACCGAAGGGCCACCAACTTTCAGGGCTGATTCGAAAAGAAATGAACAAAATCTCAGGCTTACAGTAGCAAACTCTTTGCGCTAAAAGCGAGAATCATTTTACCGTCACTCCCTGCTCTGGGCAGGCCAAGTCCGTGTCCGAGGCCGATGCGGTAGGGTGACATGCGCATCTCCATCGGCCGTCTGACCCAAGACCGACCTCCGTGTCCGAGAGTCCACCTCTCATTTCACATCACTTACCTTGCGTGGCTTGATTTTCAGTAAACCTCGCAAACCTGAAGCCTATGTTATTCATTGCAACCCGGAAAACCGACATTCTGATCCAAGTCCAAGTCCCGGTGGTACGGGGTGCACCCAGCGCAACAGATCAGTCGTCAGCAGCTCAAGACGATCTGAAGATATGGAGTTGCGTAGACTGTCGACGCCGCAATCTTCGATGCGAGCGTCGCGAACCCTGCTCCAACTGCGTCCGCAGCAAGATTGGGTGCCACTTCCCCGTCACCGGCCGCATCCCCCCTCCCCCGCAGTTGGGTCTCTATCACGTTCAAGAGTCCAGCCCAGAAGCAAGAGGAGCTCATGGGTCGTCTGAGACGACTGGAGGCGGTTGTCACCGAGATGGCAGGTCAGATGGAAGATGGGGCGGCCGAGGCGGACGCCGGCACACCCAATGTCTGGAGATCGCTGCGCCTACAGCGCGATGCGGAATTATCGACAGGCCAGTATGCTCGTAGCGCGGGACCAGAGATTCAGGGGAGAAGTGATGCTTCAGAGCTTTGGCAGAAACAGAACGACCCAACCGAGGACTTTGGCGACCTCGTCACGGAGTCGAACGGGGGTCGATCTTCTGCACTGAAGTGGACAACATATTCCGAGCCGTTGCCGACATCGAAGAGGCAACTGAGGGGCACGCATATGTGCCTGAGTACGATTCGTACGTTGAAGGAGCCGTACGAAGTCATCATCAGGGGTTCGGTATTGGGTAGCAATGCCCTCCTCAATACTTCTGTCGGAGACGACCTTTCACCCTTGCCCTCACAAATGCTCTTCATCTGGCAGGCCTTCTGCGACAATGTCGACCCCTTTGTCAAGATCCTAGACACCTCTGCCACAACCAAAACGGTGCAAGGGATCAAGGGAAGCTGCACACGCTGGACCCAGAGACCGAGGCGCTGATGTTTGCCCTCTCGCTGGACGCCATTGTGTCGCTGGACGAGGAGGCCGCGCTCAACTTCAGCATCTCCAAGCCGCAGTTGGTAGCGCACCTCCGACTGGGGGTTGAAAAGGCCCTCGCATCGGCCGAGTTTATGACTACGGGGTCTATAGCTGTCGTCCGAGCCTTTATGATCTATGTGACGATCCTGCCGCAGCTGGGGGTCGCGAAGCTGTCGGGACCCATGACGAGTCTTCTTGTCCGGACGGACGGCCCTATCAACGGGACTGCACAGAGATCCGGCTGCAGACGCAGAGGCTTCTTGTATCCGTATCGGCGGATCATGAGATGCGACGGCAGCTGTGGCGTCATGTCTGCTTCCTCGACTCGAGGGTTCGACACAAGGATGTCCCCGAGCTGTTTATTTCTCCGTCAACAGGCACAACAAGAGAACCCTACAATGGTGATGTAAAAGAGCCGGGCAGTAACTCCGGTTTCACTAATCTTAGCGTCTGCCTCATCCGCTGCGAGCTGTGGCGGTTGTCGCACACCCTGCAAAACGCGGCCAGGACAGGGCCGAAAGCCAGCAACAGCTTCATGTTCTTTCGGATGCTCGCGCACGGATATGTGAGACGTACTTTTCCAGGAAGAGTGACGAGCACTCGAAACTTCAAGAATTTGTGCATCATCTGGTCTTGCTCTTATTTTCCCAGGTCCAATTCGTCATGTGTCGGCGGCAGATGCGGCTGGCGAAAGGCATCAACCAAGGGGACCTCGTTGCACAAGCGCTCGACTGTGCAGCGACACTGATGGACACGACCATGGCACTCAAGACGCGTGACGAATGGAAGTGCTGGCGCTGGCAGCTGCAAGGTCATGTGCCCTGGGAGACTCTGATTCGGCCCGGGGACTCAAATATTGACTCTGCAAACGCGTCGAGCCTCGGTGATGGAGCTGCTTCACTCATTCCCAGCCTCGCGGACGGCACTCCAGGGACATCCAGTGCGCGTAACGCGACTGATCAAATGCTACAAATGTCGTGGGAAGCATCTGAATTCGAGGCCGACTCCGTATTCAACTGGGACCCTTTGCTGGAGATGGACCACGCGATGGACTGGCAGTGGATGGACGGGGACTCGGAACTTTCTTTCTCGGATTGGAACACAGTCTGAGGTTGAAGACTGAAGAAGGCTGGACAGAAATCCACCGACGTGCAGCAGGGAGTTGGGTTTTCTGCCTACCCCACACTGATTACGCATCAATACAGTGCATGATAAGGCAGAGCAGGGCGGAAGTCATCTTCTTCTACCTTTGGGCAGTCCGCATAAGTAGGCAGCACATGATTGTATAGAGGATTATCACTCAAGGTTTCCATACTACGGAGCACGTAGTATATTTATAGGCGCATCCTAGGCGTTACAACGACCCGTTACGATCCATCAACGAGATGCGTTCATCCAATTACTAATGCCAGGACAGTGACAAGATTGGCAATTCGCACTCCACCACAATCTACGCACTCGATGCCCCTCCATCAGTGCTGCCCCACCATCGACTGCACCATGAGAATGTTCAACTCCGAGCTCGGTGATATTGCAATGAACTTTGCTCAGATATCGCTAGACTAACCAGACTGCGATATTGTCCATACGGAACCGTACTGCGAGATCACTGCGTCAATTTACATCCAGACTCGGCGCCCTCGATCAGCCCCACCGTGTGATGGCCGACTTTCGGCAGCTGGCACTTGAGTTCGTGCTGGCGGACGATGAGGCGAACCAGACTTCCCTCGCACAGCAGGCGGCATCAGGTAATGCTCGAGATAGTCCCAAGGTCAAAATTCCTGCGCTAACCGTGCGAAAGAACTTCAATCGGCGCCAGCGAACACAAACCCAGTAGCTCGCTGGGTGGAGGCTGTGCAGCCATGGATGCCAGGGAGCAATGGCGACGAGGCCACTGGTGATAATGAGACACCCGACTGGACTGGCAGGGCCAAAGGTATGCGACTTGGCGGGTGCAGAACGCCTCAGAGCTGATGAATTAAAAGCACTGGAATTTTTATCGAGATCACTGGACTTTCTCGGACCAGAAGTCCTGAAACCTAGCCAAGGTGTGTATCAAGAGTGCACGAGAGCAACCCAAAGCTGATCAATGCCAGTCAAGCTGCTCATCAGCTTCTTTGGTGCCATGTTTGACGTTGATCACAAAGCCGGCGTCCTCGCCTCGGCCACGGCTCTCTCACGGATCACAGAGATGAAATCATTCCAGCCAACCAGTGCCGACGATATCATCCAGAAAATATGCACTCTCAAGGACGATTTCCCACGCCAACTGGCCAAGACGCGACTAGCAGTTTTCGAGCTCCTGCGATCGCTGATCACGAACCCGGCTGTGGCGAGTGATCTCCAGTACAAGCACGGTGCTTCCTCCGGTTTTATGAACGACCTACTAGCCCTGTGCCGGAACGAGAGAGATCCGACGTGCTTGATGGTCTGGTTCGATGTGCTCGCATTTTTCTTGCAAGAGTACGAGCCGAGCCAGGAAATGATCGAGGAAGTCTTCAACACCTTCAAAGCCTATTTCCCCATCACGCTGCCGCGCACATCGACGAGTGGGATCACGCCAGAGGAGTTGAAGCAACAACTTCGCAAATGCTTCACGTCGACACACAAGCTTGCATCTTTCACCTTCCCTTTCCTGCTCGGCAAGCTGGATCAAGGAGAGGGCGTAACCGTCAATGTCAAGGTGGACATTTTGAAAACAGTCAAGGCTTGTGCCGAAGCCTACAAGATTCCGGAGCAGACGGTGAATCCCTATGTCGATTCCATCTGGAGCAGCCTCAAATACGAGGTGCGCAATGGCGAGATTGAGGATACCATCTGGGCTACGCTCGAAGTTCTCAAGATCATGGCTGTGCGCCTCAAGGGTGACAACCTGAGAGACTATGCCTTGACCGTGACGAGAGACTGTGTGAATGACCTCGCAAACGCAGTCTACACAGCGCCAGCCGGGCGGCTCTTGGTCAGCGTGCTGAGTGCCACGCCCTCTGCATTCGTTCTCATGGCATCCCCGGCAATCACTCATGTCAAGGAGAACTTGCGACACCCGAAAGGACCTGGGCACAGCGGTGATCTACTAAGGATACTCCATGTCATGCTGGAGACGCGCCTGCTTCTGGTAAGCACAGACATGGGACCACAAGAGCGGAGCGAGTTTGCAGCCATTGACCCAGTTTTCACGTCGCTTTACGATGATGTATACAAGAAGCCTCTGGAGCAAGCCATCAAGTCCGAAGCCTCGTATGACGATCACAAACTCGCCGCGCAAGCGGTGCAGGGGGCTGGCGCCCTGGTATGCCAAAAGGCTGCGAAGTCGACAGCTGTGGCAGATGTAGATGCATCCCGCCTGCTGCCAGGAGACAAGTGCCTTGCCATCTGCGACACGCTGTTCAGCATCCTCGAGCAAACGAGAATCAACGAGGACCTGAGACGAACGACGGCTTCCGACGAACTGGCCAGCGAAACGACCAAGGCCCTTCAACGTTCGGTGACCTCATATAACCCTGCCTACGTGCCCCTTGTGCGTCGTGGCCTGGATATCATCCGCAGTGCCCGGAAAACCGAGTCGTCCCAGTCTGTCTCGACAGCTCAGTCGCTTGGTCTTCTGCTTGCATATGTCGGCTGCTCTGAGCTGCCGGCGGTCCCTTCTCAGGGTCTCGATAACTTTATCCTCATCACAAAGGCAATGTACCTTGAGCTCATTGCCTCCATCGAGGAGAAGAGCAGTGCGTCTAGTTGGTGCGCTTTCACTGCTTGCCTTCAGGCGGCTGTTCGCTGTTTTCGCGATGCTTGCTCCAGCATTGAGACCGCTGATAGTGCAGCCCTTGACAGCGAATGGGTTTCGTCCATCGCACAGCGATACACTGGCCTTGAGGAACCTCACGCCCAGCCAACGACAGCTACAGCTGCTGCATCGCCTGGGCAAGTGAGGACAGACTTCCTGCTCATCAGCTTGTACTTCGTTCGTCAGCTTTACCAGAGGGCTACGAAGCCTTCCGGCACGCGACTCGGGTTAAGCGGCGAGTTCGGGGCCATGGAAGAAGGAACATCAAGTCAGCTACTTCATCTGTTGGGCGGACTCGCTGGTTTTGTAGTTCATGAGCTCTCGGAGGCGGAGCAATTGTCGCTCGGAGCCTCATCCTTCGCCATGCACCTCTTTCATGAGGATGCAGTGCCGGTTCCGCAAGCGGGAGCACAGGTTGAGCCATCTGAATGGAGCTGGATAGCTACGTCCAGGCTGAACGTTCTCACCTTTGGGATCCTGGAGGCACTTCGTCCTGCAGCCGTTGCACAATTGGTGAGATGCCACTTATTTGGGAACGAGCTTTTGCTAACCATATCTTAGTACGACGCTGGCGTGGCCCAAGCTATCCTCATCCAAAGCGTCACTTCTAACGTGTCGTCCGCGAACCCGACAACCGCTTTCGTCCTGCGTGCCATCCTCACTATCCTTGCCAATAAGCACAAGCTCGAAACAGTAGAGCCGGTGATGGAGATTATCAACCAGCAAGCGGAGGTGATCTTGAGCGGTGAGGCGGACAATAGCACGTTGACCAAAGCAACGTCCATGTTCGCGATCGCAGCCGGCATGCTCCGTCGATACAGCGGCAAACATGCCTCAGGGTTGCTACGTCTGCTAAGAGAATCGTCTAAATCCTCGGCCTTGGGCCAAAGCTTGTCTCGCCGCCTGGAGATGGTGGTCGCTCCTCAAAAAACTCTCACCAAGAACAACTTTGCTATTGTCAAGCCGCTGTGGATGCAGAAGCTCTACTTTGAGCTAGCGAAGTCCATGACACCGCAAGCGCTGGGCCAGGACTCCTCAGTCCAGGATCGAGTCATCAGGTTGAACCTGAGCATCGGCACGCTCATGTTGGTCGAACACATGCCCTTCTCCATCTACGAAGAGGACGCCGAGGGTATCCTCCGCATAGCCATATTCGTAGCACAGACCATCGGCACAGGTCCGGATGTGGTGGCTGCCTTGAACGTTCTGAGGAACATCCTCGTGGAAGCCTCTGCCAAGGGCGAGCCGCACTTGGCTAGCATCATAGCCATCTGCACGGCCGCCTTTTCAAGCAAACCACATGTTACCCCAGAATGGTTGCCTGCGAGCTACGCGTCTGCCTCAGTCGACGACGTGGAATCGCAAGCCGAGAGCTGCGAAGCCGCGCTGGAAATCATGGGCGGCCTACCGAAGATGTTCGAGTCGAGGCACCTGGTGCCCTCCGCGCCCAAGGTCGAGCGCGAGCTGACACTGGCCTGCGGCAACCCAGTCCGCAATGTGAGGAAGTTGGCAAGAGCTGCGAGAGCCGCATGGAAAGAATTGAGATGATGGTACATAAAAAGCCATGGGGGAACGCTCATGTAGACCGCTTGAGTAGAGTTGGCAAAAGGGGGGCTTGGCACATAGACTGGAGGCGTTCTGGATACGAAAACAACATTTATGAAACCTGCCATATCGCTTGAACTCCAGTGATCTATGCGAACCCTTTTACACCTTGCGCTTCTTACCGCCACTCTTCTTGTCGGTGCCCGTTGTCTCTGCCTCTGCACTCATCACCGCATCGAGGAGGTCCGAGTCTCCCTCGAGCAAATCTCTTGACTCGCTCTTTACCCTCTTGGGGTCTGCCCGGCCGACGACCGGGATACTTGACGCGAGGAACCGCTGGAAAGGAGCTGCGACAAACAAGCCCGATTCATCGAACCATTCCGTGAACGACCTTTCTAGCTCTATAGTTTCGGGTTTGCCTTCTGACGCCGCTGGCTGTGTTGTCACCTTCAATCTGTACAAGGGCTCGGTTTTTTTCGCATTGAAGCTCGCAATGCTAATCTTCTGTCCACTGTTGGGCGCCTGGCCCTGATACACGGTGCCCTGCTCCACGAAGGAGATCCAGAACGCTAGCGCGCCTTGCAGCAGCGAGTACACGGCGACAGCGACGGCTGTGTATAGTTTGGTGTTTTCGAAGCCATAGTAGTAATCCCAGCCACCAGCGGCCGCGGCAATGACAAAGGCGCCGTAACCAATGGCGAGGCGAACATCAGTCATGGTGTGCGACTGCTGGAAAGAGAGGGAGTTGAGGTAGTTGGCGATCGCATCGTCGGAGGCATTCTTGAGGTCTGGGAGTGTTAGAGTCCGATCGTCAGTGGGTCATTATAATGACCGTACCAGCCAAGTTGGCGAGGCTGACTTTGTTGGCAGCCATCTCTTATTAATAAATTGAATCGTCACGCCCCTTGGATGGTGGAAATAATGTGCTGGTTGGAGTTAAGGACAGCAATGTCCTGTATAAGTCGAGGGTTCGTGGGGCCGCGGGCGCGTCGTGTGGAAAGCTGTCATTTGCAGGGGCAAAAAGAGATTAGTAAGCATACTTTAGCCTCCTCCGCCTACGACGACGGCATAAGGTAGTGCAGCCTCAGCAACGCCCCTCGAAACTGTTCCGCACCATCGCCAGATCCAAGCTCAACTCGCTGCCAGAACTCCCGTCGCCTGCCGATCGAACCGCAAGAATGGCCGACCTACCTGTGCAGACCCTTCACAGGGACCCCCAGCTCTTGCATGTCCGACCAAGACAATATTGGAGAGATCTCGGCTGACCACTATAGCTACTGGATTCTGATCCCCATCACGATTGTCATGGTCCAGACTGGCGTCCTGCGTCATTACGCCTCTGTGCTCCTCCAGACAGCCCCGAAAAAGCAGGACGCCCCGGCCATGCGTGAACAGCGATCCCTCGGTCGCGGCGTAGCACTCCGCTCCAACTACCATGCTCTCTCCAAGAAGTCCTTCGAGAGCCGTCGCGACTACCTCATCTCGGCTTATGAGAATGGCGATTTTTTGAAGGAGCCTGAGAAGAAGGGCCAGCCTCCGGCGAACCCCATGTCAGACCCCAGTGCCATGGACGGTATGATGGGCATGATGAAGAACAATATGGCCATGATGATCCCAAACACCCTGATCATGAGCTGGATCAACGCCTTCTTCAGCGGCTACGTGACCAGTGAGTATCGCTGTTCATTTGGAGATGCGACTAGGCTAACAGGGGCAGTGAAACTCCCGTTCCCCTTGACCATCAAGTTCAAGAGCATGCTCCAGGCTGGCGTCCAGACGAAGGACATGGATCCCAGGTGGATGTCTAGCATCAGTTGGTACTTCTTGTGCATCTTTGGTCTTCAGTTTGTCTACGTCTTCCTCCTGGGTAGCGACAACGGTATGTGCCTGCGCGGGCCCCCTCCCATTTGCCTCCCACTAACTCCCACTAACTCCGAACAGCCGCTAGTCAGCTCAACCAGCAGATGCAGGCACAGCAGATGCCAAACCCCATGATGGGTGGTCCCGGTCAAGATCCCGACAAGCAGTTCAAGGCTGAGGCCGAGAACCTGGCCGTCGTGGACCACTATTCTGTCCTGGACGATGTCGAGGGCCGTCTCCTGGCCAGTCTGAACAAGGCGTAGAACATAGGCCAAACATAAATAGATCGGCTTCCCCGTCTGCTCCATGATCATTAACCGTCCCACCATAGACAAACACCCAGCCCATCGGCAGCCATACTGCCCTTGAGCTTGTACGGCGTTTTAAATGCTGCGTCCTCCGCTTGTGTTGGACCCGCCGGTGTTTGGTCGTGCCACTCCTCGTCTATCACCTGGAACCGGACCATCTCGTGATTGTCGTAGTAAAGCCGCTCGTTCTCATCCAGGTTCCACACCCAAAGTTGCTCACCCACGTTGCTACACGAGTTAGCTCCGATTCCCACGCAACACGTGGGAGTGGTGGAAAGACCTACAACTCTGCGCCAGCCGGCAGCTCCTGATACGGCACAAAGATATCATCGAAGAACTCTGTCCTCAGATGGATTCCGAATGGCGTCGAGCTCCTGATTTTGCCCAGCATAGTCTCTCCTTTGAACGGCCGGAAGACAACCATGCGAAATTCCACTATATCCTTGATCAGTCGCCCACACCACAGCAAAGAAAGGCCAAGACCAACCGTTCACGTTCACCATGCCAGTGCCATGGCCAATAAGACCCTCTGATGCCCACAGGAGATCATAGAGACATATGCACAACCCGATCTTCTGAATGACCTACAACCGACTTAGAAAGTTGCGACTTTTCAGATAGGGGGCGCATCTCACCTTGTTTGAGTATTTCGCGTTGATGTTGTCTTCTATGGCTTCTATGCTCTTCTTTGAGAAGTCCTTGGGCTCAATCGTGACCAGGTCGGCAAACTTGGTCTGCAGCGGAACTCGTCAGTCTTGGTGTTCATGTGAGATACTGAAGGGGTTTTGCGCTACCAGAATGAACATGGTGAAAGATGCCTGCGCGCTATGAGGCGCGAATGCAAAGGAGGGTTCCGTCTACTTCCGGCTCATCGATCACATTCAGGCTTCGTGAGATATGGACCCCGATGACAGGATGATTAGGATGGTCGTCTATACGCTCAACTCACCACTCGCTTTGCATTACCAACGCACCAAAGTGACCAAACCTTGAAGCGTGGGATGGCAGAAAGTGGCGCGCTAACCACCTTCGCCCTTTTCGCTCTAGCGTCATCGAGAAGCCGACTCACCGCCCTCAGTTCCGAGTCGCCCCAGCGCCACCAATCCGGGCACAGGCGAACGTAATCCATTTTCGGGAGAGTCGATGATACATTACTTCCCGCGACACTCGACATCTCTCTTTCGCAAACGCCAGTTTCTCCTTGCATCACGCGATACTCGGACGATTCAACCGCCACAATGTTTGCTCTTCGCTCCTCCGCCCCTCGAGTCCTCGGCAGGGTCTCTGCTGTCCGTCCTGCGACGAGCACCCTGCTCCAGCGCGGCATGGCCACCGTCAACGATCCCCCAGCCGAGAAGGAGCAGTCCAAGATGAAGACCTTCTCGATCTACCGCTGGAACCCCGAGAGCCCCAGCGAGAAGCCTCGCATGCAGTCGTACACCCTCGATCTCAACAAGACCGGACCCATGATGCTCGATGCGCTCATCCGCATCAAGAACGAGCTGGACCCTACCTTGACATTCCGAAGGAGTTGCCGAGAGGGTATCTGCGGTAGCTGCGCCATGAACATCAACGGCCAGAACACCCTTGCATGTCTCTGTATGTCACAGGCTAGAATTGACTTGCAGATCTGGGCTAACCACGTACAGGCCGCATCCCTACCGAGTCCAAGGACGACGTCAAGCTCTACCCTCTGCCGCACACCTACGTCGTCAAGGACCTTGTGCCTGATCTGACGCATTTTTACAAGCAATACAAGTCCATCAAGCCCTACTTGCAGCGCGACACGCCCTCGCCAGATGTACGTGTTCCCTTGGAATGACCATATAGCCGAGTTCGGTTACTAACGAGATACCACAGGGCAAGGAGTACCGCCAGACCAAGGAGGACCGTAAGAAGCTGGACGGCCTCTACGAATGCATTCTCTGCGCTTGCTGCTCGACCTCATGCCCTTCATACTGGTGGAACTCGGAGGAGTACCTTGGTCCCGCCATCCTGCTCCAGTCCTACCGCTGGCTTGCCGACTCGCGTGACGAGCGCACCGCCGAGCGAAAGACCAACCTCGAGAACTCCATGTCTCTGTACCGCTGCCACACTATCCTCAACTGCACTCGCACATGTCCCAAGGGGTTGAACCCCGGCAAGGCGATTGCCGAGATCAAGATGCAGATGGCTCTCGGATCATGAGCACATGATGTTTAGTCATTGAGAAGGAGGGAGGCGTCACGGCGGCTGGCATTGGTCATCAAAATATTCTCGTTTGTTAGCCTTATTGTGATTTTAGCTACTTCTGTAGGATTATACCTAGCCTGCTCCAAACCAGAGAGAGCAATTCACATTCATCATCCTACCAGCGCGACTCGGCGCGGCTCGTGATCACAAAGATTGTGGTTAATCGATCGTGTGTCATTTGCTGCACGACCCAAGAAGACCCACTTATGTAAAATCGATGATGAAACCTCGGTTATTGCTCAACAACCGCTTAATCACCGGAAGCTCCTAGCTTCAGCCACACCCTTACGTGCCAAGCATAATATCTGTGGCGTCACAATTAGTCCAGACCCAAGAGCTGGCCTCTGCAAAAAAAGGCCCCACGAGTCACGGGTATGAAGGTGGCCTCGTTTCCAGGCCATTCTTTTGTTCCTGCTTTCACGGGCAATTAGTTGTCTGGTCACGCTTGCTACTTTTGCTTTCTCATACATTCTTTCCTCTAGAGCACCTTATCTCCTATTCTTGCTCCCTCTCACCTAATACTGAGACGTCCCCGTGCCGACTACTCGACTCCGCATCGCAAACGGTATCACAGTCAGCGGTCGTACGACCACTGCCAGCATCTCGGTTATCGAACTCGAACTATCGCACTAAACATCGCATCCATTACTTGACAGACGTTATCCGATTGGAGACTAGTTGGGGATCGGCGACGGCATCTTATCTTGTTTACGTCGCGACACTCACTCTCAGAAGACATTGCATCTCTCAACACCCGCGCAGGAGTCACCATGCCGGTACGCAAGCTTCACAACTTGGCTGGAGTTTTGTCCAATTTTAACGCGATGTAGATTACGGATCTGCTGGCCTCCATCAGCGGGGACCGGCCGGTCATCAATACTGGCACCGCTTCCTCGATCAAGCGCAAAGCTGACGACCTTCAAACGCCTGCCCCAAAAATCGCACGCAAGATCCCCTCCAACAGTCAGCCCTCACGACCGCTCGATCGCCCCAACGGAAATGCAGCTGCTGCCCGGCAGAACGGGAATGCCTCAGGTGCATCTAGACCTTTGAACGGCACCTCGAACGGAAACGGGAATAGCAACGTGAACAAGCCTGCTGTGCTGAAACCCGTACAGGGAGCGCACAAGGTCACAAAGCCAGCTGCGCCACCCCGCCCTACGGCAGCATCATCGCAAGCTGCTAAAGCTCCAAAGAAGGGATCCTACGCGGAGATTATGGCGAGAGCACAGATGGCCCAATCGTCGATGGGCAAGGTGGGGTTGATTCAGCACAAGAAAGCGGAGAAGAAGCCCAACACTGCGGCCAAATCGGCGGAGCCTGAAGCGCGCAGCGTCGGGAAAAAGCCGGTCATGGGCGCAAGACCTTCAGGATATCAGGGTACCTCGAAGCCAGGGCAACGACCTCCCGTGAGCAGGGGGCTCCAAGCCCGTGGAAAGCCCGTCGTTGGGAAGTCGGGTCCTGGACAACGCAACGAAGAACCAGAAAAGAAGGTCAAGAAAGCAGCACAAGCGACTACTGGCTATACCGGCACGGCTCGCCCCAAAACAGCTGCTACGCCGTCTGGTTCCGGCAAAAAGGCCAAGCCTGTACCGAGAGGTGGCGCACTTCTCAACCGTCCTCCGTCTCGCCCCGGTGGTTACAAGACATCGCGGTTTGAAGAAGACTACGACGAGGACTTGGATGACTTCATTGACTATGATGATGAAGAAGAAGAGGAAGTTGGTGGGCCACGGTACCACTACGACTCGGATGGATCGTCTGATATGGAGGCTGGCCTGGATGAATTGGACAGTGAAGAGCGACGAGCCGAGCGGATGGCCAGGGAAGACGATGCACGTGAGCAGGCTCTGCTTGAGAAGCTCGCAAGAGAGAAGGAAGAAAGAAAGAAGATGTTGGGCGGACGACGGTAGGAACGGGAGCCACACGGCGTCGTTCACAAGAGCGAATCACTTATGAGACGTCTCTCATACAGTTTGTGAAGCATTACGGGGGCCTGACTTTGCAATTATTCATCAGCGGCGGAGTAGTGTTGTGCTTTCAGCTTGTCTGCTTTTCAATTCTAAACTTGAGGATTACCCTACATTTGTACTTGTGAAGGATGAGGCGGAAGATGGAAGACTTCACGTCGGCAAATATTACTTGGTACTAGTTCGAGTTGCAAGTCCATGGAATCGATTACTCTGGTATAAAACTCCAATGCTGTATCAATGTTCAAGTTCAATCACAATACTGTTCACTTCTGTCTTGGCACTATGTTACTGCACGTCACCACGCGGATATCCGCCAGTATGACCGTAAAGGCCATTGCATAAAACGCCACGCTCGTGAACATGGCTTAAACAGAATCGACCCACGTATAAGAATAAGACATAATGCGTTCGAACTGATATAGTACCTGCCGCAACTACGGCAGGTCGTCCGGTTGCGTGCCGTTGGCGCTGTAGGGCGTATTAAGCCACGCAGAACTGTTCTGTGCATTGGTCGCTTGCGCGTCGACGACAGCAGGTTTGGGCGCGGAGGCAGGGGGCTTGGCATGATTCTTGCTGTTGCGTCTCCCCACCGGCTCCCTCTTAGGGGGGGGCGGAGGCAACGAGGCGGACGCGGCGGGCAGGAGACTAGTTTTCTGAGGAGCAGACAGCGGTGCGGCCACTGGCGGCGCGGGCGTCTGCCTCTTCTCAAATTCCTTTGGCACCGGCAGGTTCTCCTTCTTCATGACACCCTTTTCGCGGAGATACTGGATCGATTGCAGGATGGCCAGGTCTTCCTGCTCCTGATCGTTCAGAACAAGACGTTGCTGAATCGTGAGGCGACCATTGTTCGCGTCGCGCTCTTTGATTGCAGCCTCGCGCACGGCAGGATCGTGAACGAAGCGGCACTTGCTCTTCTTCCCGCACGAACCGCCTGTAGAGAAATACTTGCAGTGCCGCGTCACGTCGGCTTTCTTGGCTGGTGGCGGTGCACTGGCTGCTGACGGCTTCGAGGTCATGCTCTCGGGCTTCTCGTCCTCCTCCGAGTCATTCAATGAAAGGTCGCGCATCTCGTCACCCTCATCGCCAAGATCACGCTTGCGCTTGATGGAGGATTCTACCTTGGCGAGCTGTCGCCGAAGCTTGTCGCGCTTCTTGTGGAGTGCTGACTCCTCGTCTTCCGTCTTGGATGCCAACTCGGCATTCTTTCTCGCTTCTGCGCGAGCCTTTGTTGGGAAGTTCTTTTTGCGTTCTGCCAAGAACTCGGCAACATCGTCCACTCTATGGGAGGTTAGCATGTAATCACAGGAGTTCCTCTCAAACGGCGTACTGGTATCTTTCTTGCCCAAGCAACTTCTCCAGGGCGGCCTCTTCGCCCTCGTCGTCTTCCGACTCGGACTCCATGCCTGGCGTCAGGCCGAGGGTGTTCGTTTTACGCTTCTTTTTTCTTCCGGCGTTATGATGGTCATTGTTCTTGTCGTGCTGTGGGTGCGGCTTGTGGTCATTTCCGCGATTTTTCTGGTCGGGTCTCCCGCCACGATGGCCACCTCCGCGTCCCCTGTTGCCACCCCGGTGACCACCGCCTCGGCCCCGACTAAAGGAACCCCCTTGATGTCCATCATAGTACGAGGCCTGCGGCGGCGGGGGTGGGGGTGCTGCATAGCCATACTGTGGGGGAGGGTAACTTGCCCGCGGGTCATGGGAGTATGAGGGCGGGTATGATGGCTGCTGATGATGCTGACCATGCTCGAAACCACCACGAGCGCCGACCTTGGCGGCCCCGCGGTCATTGAAGCCGCCACGGCCTCTCCCTGCAATATAGGTGGGCGGAATGGGAGGTCCTTGACTACCCCACTGAGGTGCCGCGTGATTTGCCTGATACGGCTGAGCATAGTGTTGTTGTGCGCCATAGGAAGGCTCATGAGGATAGTGAGGGGCTGCAGGATAAGTCTGCGAAGCATAAGTGGGGTGAAAAGTATTGGCAGACATGGGAGCTGGCGCATGAGGCGCGCTTTGAGGCCAATGAGGCTGGCCCTGCGGATAACTGGGATGGTGAGGCTGTTGAGGGCCGCCGTACGCTTGAGGTTGCTGCCCGGCATACGGCTGATGCGTAGCAGCATACTCGTAGTGTACCGGCGGTGCTGCCTGCGCGCTGTGTCCATTAGTGTAATGGCCACCGCGACCGCGACCACTAGGTCCGCTACCGCGTCCCAAATTAGACTGCGAAGGATACTGTTGGGTTGAAGCCGACGGTGGCGGAGGTGGAGGTGCGTATCCGTACGTCGGAGCCATCTTGATGATCAGACTCGACCGTCGGTCGAGGACGTTCGCTTTGCGGGGGAAGCGCCTTGTAGACGTATTTCAGAAAGAAGAAAGAGAGCGCCTTGAATCGGTGCGCCGACCGAAAGGGATTCGACTGGGGGATGGGAGGATGACTGGAGGATGCTAATACTGAGTGTCTCGAGCTCGACACGGAAGCGCGTCAAGCCATCTATCTAACTCAGCCGCAGCGTACTTCACTGCATGTGGCTGAAGCCTACCCAGGATGTGGCTGTGCTTTGAATCTGATGACCTAAGTAGGGCTGCCCCGCCAAAAAAATGGCACACCGACGTGACCGCCCACAGAAAATTGGCGATTGGCAGGGCACGCTAAGGGAACATTTTCGCTACTGACACAGTCGCTTGCCGTAGAATTTCTTTACCCTCCGTAACCATCACCAAAAACCGAACATTGAAGGTTTCAGTCTCCGCCCAACTTGCGGTTAAATTGATTGATCTCTCGTGTTCTTACACTGCACAGTGAGTTGTCTTCTCTTGCCTTGCGCGCGATCAATTCACTAACTCACCAACCGCAGAAACAAAAAACCATCAAAATGAAGCACCTCGCAGCTTACCTCCTCCTCGGCCTCGGTGGCAACACCTCTCCCTCGGCCGCCGACGTCAAGGCCGTCCTCGAGTCTGTCGGTGTTGAGGCTGACAACGACCGTCTCGAGACCCTGATCTCCGAGCTTGAGGGCAAGGACATCAACGAGGTATGTCTTTCTGTGAATCGGTCTTCCGGCGAATCATAACTAACAACACTGCAGCTCATCTCTGAGGGTACCTCCAAGCTTGCCTCCGTCCCCTCGGGCGGTGCTGGTGGCGCTCCCGCTGCCGGTGGTGCTGCTGCTGGCGGCGCTGCTGAGGAGAAGAAGGAGGAGGCCAAGGAGGAGGAGAAGGACGAGTCCGACGACGACATGGGCTTCGGTCTGTTCGACTAAGCGCCTCGCCTCGCTACGACCGTCAAACGAATTTCCGAGCAGAGACTATTACGGGTTGGGTGCGCGGCTGTCCGCCGACGTCTTGACTGGCGTCCGGATGACTTGTCGCTGGTCGAATTGGGGGATTTTCTAGGTGGAACACTACTTGATACGACTCATGATCAATGACACCCGCTTCATCGGATCTGAAATATTTCGTGTGATATTGCTTAGGGAACTCTCTGCACTCAACGTGTCGCTCACATGTTCTTGACCAGTATGTGCGTTTCGCATGGTGATCGAAGTGTGCGCGGCTCGTAACTTTGTCAAGTAGTCGCCGGTTTAGATCAGGTCAGTAGTCCCAACGCCCCGATGGCTTGAGCAGCTATGTTCTGCAAGGCTGTGGGTTCGGACTGCTGCTCATTGTCGTATGTCAGCCATTGAGTAGAGGTCAGCCATCATAGCGAGGAGGAGCACCTCATCGCCAGTCGTGTTGGTGTCATGTTTGATCTCATTACTCTATCTGGAACATCAAAAGTCATCTCACAGAAAGATACCATGCGCCGTTGATTGTTTGAAACATATCTCATGCCCAACCCACTAACCGACACGTCTTTCTACCAGATGACAACGTTCAGGCACTTTGTGGGCCATTTCATGGCTCCTTGCAACCATAACGGCGCTCTACTATCTGATGCCTGGTCGCTATCTTAAGACCACGGCTCTCGCAGTGACTCCACGCTCGTGCCTGCGCATGAAGTACTTTGATACTAGATGAACAAATATTTGCTCAAAACTTGTGTGTTGATTCACTTGCAAATTTTGGGGTATCTTTCATTGCTAATTGCTGCCTCATTCTGGTCCGAACCCAGGCCATCCATCCTTCTGTTGGAGGGTCACCAAGTTGATTCGACTGCGCATCTGCACTACCACTTGGCCTTACTGAGTCTTTGTCTTTGTTGCGTAGCTTGGCAGCAGGTCGCTATCTTTGAGTAAACGCCACAAACACCAGAGGTAGCACAGGCCAAACCCGGCGAATCCGACACCTACGTTAGCGACGGTCCACAGGTCGGACTTGTGTAGAGGCGGCGCTACATAAGCTTCAGCAACGTGCCATGCAGCCATGGCGGCATAGAAAAGGGTATGGAGTGTGGCGGTGCCGACCTGCGACCAGCCGCCAAATCCTTCGTCAGTATATACACTCCACGATGTTGGTGGAAGTCCGAGTAGATACGACCAAAGCAGCGTGAGAACGGCATAAGGTATCCGTAGATCCACGCGTTTCAGCAGCGGAAACATGGTCCACGCACCCAGGATATTGGCAAATCCGACCCACGATCGAATGTCTCTGTTCAAGCCTTGCTTGCCAGCGAGGAGCAGAGTCATTGGCATCAATGGCAGAAGTACACTCTTCTCGTGCACCTGCCAGCTGAAGAGAAAGAAGCCCCATGCGGTAGCGGCGAACGCCAGGGGCATTGTGGCCTTGCGTGGTCGGAAGAAGATGATGATGTTGGGGGGGACGATTGCTAATAGCGTCGCTACCAGCGCAGCTTTCTGGAGCAGCTCTGTCGGGTAGTTCTTGATCTTGAGCACCACATTCAATGCACACCAGAAGTTCGCGACTTTGTCCTCAAAGAGGCCTCGCGAGAAAGGGAACACGCGGTGCAAAACCTGCACGACCATTTCCACGACAGGATAGTAGAAGGTTCCGGTGTCAATGTAATCAGTGAGCCAAGCCAGTATAGGCAGAGGTGGCGGGGGACCGTCCAGATCGGACCGCGAGCCCACACCGCGGTATGTGTCATATATAGTACCAGCGACGAGCGGTAGGACAAGCACGCCATAGGTAATGGCAGTGACTAATGCGATGCCAAATAACCTTGAGAAGTTGACCTTGGGGAATGTGCATCTGCCAAGAAGATAGGCAAAAATTGAGAAGGCATAGTACAGCGCCATTTGCTTGAACATGAGCGCCCCAACGAAGAAGACGGCCGACCACTTGTAGCGCTCAGCGAGTAGACTGGACATACAAGCCATCACTAGGCCGAGCATGACTGTGTTGTACTGGAAGTGCACGTGGTCGATCAGAATTGTCCCAGGCTGCATGAGAATCGCGACAAGCCCCACGGTAGCCGTCCATATCGACACCCCAGTAAGGCGTCCGTAGCGGCGCGCGAAGACAACGGCGGCAGGGACGTATATCAGGTATTCTGATACAATGACGGTTGCTCGCATGAAGATCTTGAGGTTGGGGTCCTGAGAACCACGGGAGCTGAAGAGCGCGAACCAGTCTGGGTTGATGAGGGTTCCAATCTTGCCGAGAACCCAGCTATGGTACGCCGTCAACGGCGGGTAGTCGAGGCCCCACCACTCAAGATCATGGAAGTACCATTGCGAAATGGGTAGCCGGGTCGTGATCTCCATCCAGTGTCGTTGCGCCTCGTAGTCACCATGCATTGGGGGCTTTTCGAAACCTGCCAGGGTGAGCTGAGAACATGCGCATTTCACATAAGTGGAACTGACCAGAATAGCCCCAAAGACCAGCTGCCCATCGAAACAGTCCCACCACCATGAGGATTAATGGCAGAACCTCCCATTGCGAGGACGAGCTTCTTGCCGGCCACAGGAACGCGGCTAAAGGAAAGGAGGGCGTTCGAATCAGGGTCTCTTCTCGGGTCCGAATGACGCGATCGATGTCTTCCTCGATTTTCTTGCCTTTGCGGCGAGGCTTCCGGGTCGCGGGGCTTTGGGCGGCCATCGTTATGGCGTTGGCACGAGAATTGGAGAGCTCGCGATCCGGGAGAGCTTGCGAGGTTGCTCAAGCGAGATTCCTCCATTAAACATTGGTCCCTGCGTTCCATCGGATTTGGCGGATGAAGTCCGGTGCGGCGTACTGTGTGCATTTGTTTACGCACGTATCTCCGCACGGCTCTTCGGGCTGACTCTGACATCAGTGCCTGCATTCAGTTCACTTCTTGGTGACGAGACGGATAACTGGTAGATTGTATCCTAAGATATACTCATACCAACCAGACGGCTTCTTTAAACGCGGAAGGCTCTGGCCTTACCTTTTGCCCACAGCATCAACCCGCCCTGTGGCTTTCGTCGCTTTTCAAGATGCCATACCCATTTGCACTGCCCACCACGTCATCGTTCTCGTTCACAGCTTGCTTCGAATCTGATTCTCATCCATCCTTGCCGCTCTGCGCAAACACATATCGAGGAGTTGCCAAGGATGCGCTCAAGAAACACAAGCGTCTTGATCCAGCATCACAGGTTGGGCACCTACCGAGTGTCAGGACTGCCCTGCTGGACTATCTTCCCTACGTGCTGGCTCTCAATGCCGGACTGTACGACCTTCCCCTCCCGACGGGCGAGAGGATACGCGTGAAGCCTACCGCACAACCGAGCATCAAATGGAGACCAACGCTCAATGGAGACTTTGTGCAGGGTCGGGACAGGTCGCGGCTGCGGTGCCACTCTTTATCACAGGAGTCAGCCTTTGTCATGTCGGCGATTGGGTTCACTTACATCCTAGAGGCAAGATCAGCTTTGCAGCCTTTGTATTCCACCAACAGTGAATTTCTTGGGGTGCAAGAACGTACGACGGCCATCTCCACCGCGACCAAGAATCTTATGAGTTCGGCCTCGGTGTTCAAGTGGCTCGGCGACACAATGATTCACACTGAGAAGACAGGCCCGCACAAGGAAGTCAATCAAAAGTTTTTTGTTGACATTGCCCCGTCCACCGTGTCAGCGATGGCTTCACTATCTCATGCCGAAGCCACACTACTCGCGGTTCTCAAGGATGACCCATACCCTGCAGCTGTTGCCCAAGATAGGAACAAGAACGACAAAGAGTGGATGTTCAAGTCGCCCGAGATACCCAAGGTCCGCGCTCCCCTCTATGCGCGCTTGTGCTTGGCAGCATCGGAGCATGCTGCGCGAGCCTTGTCATTGGCACAGTCTAGTGTCCAAGAGTCCACCAAAATGGACAGTAACATTCTCAAATACATGGAGGATTTCAGACGCGTCAGTCGAGCTAAGGCGTGCAGGTTTTTGGGTATAGATGCCGAGCTCGGTGGGCAAACAGCAGACGGCATCGGATGGCTTCAGGCCGGGCTGCAGGAGCTTGGCGTTGACGTCAAGAGCTCAGGAAAAGGTCTGAGTCTCAGCAGCTTGAAACGCGAACTAAGTGAAATCATGGAGGACCGCCGGGTTGACAAGGAGAAGGCATGGGGCGCTGATGCGGGCCGCTTGGAGGAAACTCGCGTCATTGAGATGTTGAGCAACAAGTGGAACAAGATCAACGACACAGTAAGCACACACGAAATGTATGGGGCATAATTACTAACAAGAACAGATGAACACAAAGCCCATCCCATCGATCAACACAATGTTAGCCAAGATACCCTCAGGGCGCGAGATACATGCCATAGCAGACTTTCAGCCGCCCAGTCTGGACCGCGCAACACTGAGCAACATGCAAGGTGCCCCGGACCCCAATGACGACTTTGTCGGTGACTTGAGCTCGGAAGACGAAGTTTTGAGTCCAACAGGGCCTGCTGTTGGCGCCTTTCCCGGCACAAAGGACAGCTACAATCGGAGTGCAAGTACTGCGCCCTCGACCACGTACTACTGAGCACCCCTCAAATGCACGGAATCGGACCAATTTCATCGGGCTTACGTACAATTACTCATTGACACTCGGAGACTACTTCAACACATGAATAATCCTCTCGGCCCCTCGGCAGCATATGACAGTCTCAAGGTCGCCAGCGAGAGCTTGCCTTCGACTCTTTGCGGAACGAGTAAGTTAATGCAACCCCATCGTGTTACCCTCGCCCTGTATTGTAATCTTGGCGCATACCTGCTTCAAGGACACGAAGCGATGCAATGCTACCCTGGATACTGGACCTTCCCCGGATTCATTCCGTGTGGGGTTGTCGGGCGACAGGGGTTCCCCGGAGATGCTGTCTCAGGGGGCCAGGGCACACTGTACACTTGTCGGGTTCTTCGGTACCGAGCACTCAAGGGATGTAGAGCTCGTTCAGGCTTCAGACCATCTGCGCTTGCCGGATGGCTTTTTCTGTTGCAACAACGTGAGAGCTCTACCGGCATGAATGGGTATAGAAAGCAGTTCACTCAAGAGTACTTTAGCATCGCCTTGTTCGCTCACGACGATTGGTGCGAATCAGTTGATATGCACAGGGCACTCCATGTCAATACTACCTCAACTTCTATAGCCACACCACCAAGGATGGAACGCAAACAAAAGTCGACTCGGCTTCATGTGATTGTCCAACATGTTGCGTCAGACGTCTTCTGATGAGGATATGTGAGGGGTAGAGGCGGAGACGCAACTGGATCGGTTGCAGTCTGGGGGGCCAAAGCGAGGACAACTACATACACAGGAGCATATACACAACTATAAATTGACCCCGATTCCCCGACCTGGACTACTATCACATCCAAACTAGCACAGCATCAGCCTCTTCATCCGTCTTCAATTAAACCACCAAACTCATCATTATGCAGTTCCAGATTATCGCCACTGCATTCCTCGCCACGCTCTGCGCTGCTCAGGGTGCTCCCGATCTGGAGGGTCTCCCTGAGTGTGCCCAGTCTTGTTTCGTCGACAACGTCCCCATCTCTGGCTGCGACGATGCCTCCGACTTTGCGTGTCTCTGTGGCTCCTCCGAGTACATCAACAGTGTCACCACTTGCGTTCTCGTTGAATCCGGATGCTCTCTCACTGAAGCGTAAGTACAGCCCTATCCAAGTGTTGCCGCTCAGGGTTTGACGTTTTCCCCAGACTTGAGGCCAGAGGCTGGGCGCAGGACACCTGCGAGGAAGCTGGCGTCCCTATCTAGATGAGTGGAACCATGCCATGCTCTCAAGCCTGTATGCTCAAAGACTTTATGAGTGCGCCACAAAATGGTACCATCGTTATCGGACATGTGTGAAAACGGGCTTGACCTTTATTTGAGTGTGCGGAGGATGGCTATTATGCTTACAAGCCTTGGATTGCTTGGTCGAAACATTCATTTCAACCTCACGTTGGACAAGACCCTGACTTTTCAAAACACTCTTTTCACTCTATTACTTACTTTTCTGTATCTTTCCACCTTTCATTACATTACCGATATTTAAAGGCATGCCTGGGCTAGTATTCATTGACTCTTCCCGGGTCTCGTCAAGCTCTTGCGAGCAGACACGAGGCGATCCATGCCAAGCTACCCGTCATGCTCAAACGAGCAGTCCTCGAAGCGAGTTAATTACCAGACGGTCGTCACCTTGGTCTTGATGGGCTTGGGGCAGGGAGTCGACGTGGTCGTAGGCGCAGCCGTGGTAGACTCGGTGGTCTTGGGGCAGGGCTTCATAGGCTTGACGGTGGTCGTGGACTCAGCAGTGGTCGTGAACTGGGCAGTGGTCGTGGACTCAGTAGGCTTGGTGCAAGGCTTGGTGGGCTTGGTGGTCGGGACCTCAGTGGTAGAAGCCTCAGTGGTCTTGGTGCAGGGCTTGGTGGCTTCAGTGGTAGAAGCCTCAGTGGTGGAGGCCTCGGTAGTCTTGGTGCAAGGCTTCGTAGGCTTGGCGGTGGTCGTGGACTCAGCAGTGGTCGTGGGCTCGGCAGTGGTCGTGGACTCAGCAATGGTCGTGGACTCAGTAGGCTTGGTGCAAGGCTTGGTGGGCTTGGTGGTCGGGACCTCAGTGGTAGAAGCCTCAGTCGTCTTGTTGCAAGGCTTGGTGGGCTTGGTAGTTGTGGCCTCAGTGGTCGTTGCCTCAGTGGTCGTGGCCTCAGTGGTCGTGGCCTCAGTGGTAGAGGCCTCTGTAGTCTTTGAGCAAGGCTTCGTGGGCTCGGCCGTGGTCATAGCCTCCGTGGTGGTCGGCTTCAACCACTTGTGGATCCTCTCGGGGAACTTGTCAGCGATTTGCGCGATGGTGTTGCGCCTGGCCGAGTCCATTTGAGCCCAGCCTGGCTGCATGCCGCGCTTCTCGTTGTCGTAGTCGGGCTGGTTCGTGGGACCAGCCGCGGCCAGACCAGCAATGCCGGCGACGAAGAGTGAGTAACGCATCTTCACAAGCGGTGAATGAGAGTACAGTTATCAAGCGAATGAAGTCTGAGTGAGTGGTGATTCGGGAGGGAACAGTGGCAGGTTGGACGTGATTTTCGATGCCTTAAGTACTCGGATGGAAATTGACCATGACTTATTTGCGTGGGCGCCAGGAGCATGGCCCCAACTAGACGCCCAGTGGTCCGGCTCGTCACACCAGTCTTGTTGAGACTCTTCAACCCGAAGTCCACCTCGCAGATGGCGAAACGACGCCAAGGTACTTGAAAGTCTCAAGGTCGGTGCCCCCAGAGCCCACGCGGCAAGGCCACGCTCATCAGAGCTTCGCGCCTTCACTGTCCCACCTGCTGAAGGATATAATCGTTCCTGACGCCCTAAATCTGGGATATACCTCAAGTCCACGAACTCATCAGATGTGGAGTGGCTCTGTTGTTTGTGCACGGTTCAGGGCGAGCGAGGCAGCCAAAGGCATCAGAACATACCACGTGAACCTATTAAATCATGTCCGCATCCAGCAGGCTAAGGCTAAGTATATTCTGGGTTCCATGCGCAAAATACCTTGGTAGGTTATCGCAAAGCTGAGTGGCTTGGCGAATCTTCTATGGTCGGGCCGGGGGGAGCACAAGGAGCGACAGCCCAGTGGAACATCTTGAGCGTGTCTGCCACCTTGTGCATGTGAGAATGGTTAGGGACAAATGCCTGGACGTAGAAACTCAACAGTAGTCCCATTGATTGTTGACAAAGGGGCCGCGCGATGCGAAGTTTCCATCGTTCGGGTGAAGTATGACAAGGTACCTTACCTTGATCGAGTTTATCGATATCCGCCTACACTTCTGCTATTGGTTCGCCCGGTACCCGGTCCTGATTATGTCAGCGTGCTTCAGCCGCCAGCGGATTTGATCTCACGAATCCCGACGCAAGGCGAGACAAGACGACTTGGGGGCGTGGTCCGAGCTTTTCTATGGGAAATTCGATCAAGAGTGCTAGCAAGGCCAAGACCGTGATGCTGCATTTCCTCTTTGATGGTTCTTAGCGGTACGTAGGCTGATTGACGATTTGAACCGTCAGCCGCTCTCCTCTGTTCTTCACGGCGGTCACTTCACGCATACAACCCGAACCGTCGCATCATCGAATCCAACTCTGCCAGCATGACGGCTGCGCGAAGCAGCGCAACCCCGTTGCGCATGGCTACAAAGGGCAGGTGTTGCATCTGCTGACGTTCCGCGCATCTACTGACTTGTTAACAGTGCAAAGACTATCGACCGCAGCTTCGAGCCGTATCACATATCCAACGTCCTGTGCTCGTCGACGGCCTGGCCGTGCATACTCGACTATGCCCGCGCCGAACAAGTTCACCTACAGCGTCGCGGCATCCTTCATTGGCAAGGACCGACCATTCGACCCTTCGCAACACGTCTTCCACTTCAATCCATATCACCGCCAGACTCTCCCGTCGTCGAAGCCTACCACACGGCCCGATTCCGGTCATGACGCATTCTTCGTCAGTCATGTCAATGACACAGGTTCCACAGCTTTCGGCTTGGCCGATGGTGTTGGAGGCTGGGTTGACTCTGGGGTCGATCCGGCGGACTTTTCGCATGGGTTCTGCAATTACATGGCGGAGGCAGCGCGGGGGTACACACCACAAGAAGGTCGAAGGCTCTCGGCACGGCAATTGATGCAGCAAGGGTATGACGCCGTGTGCCGCGACAGGAGCTTAAAGGCCGGAGGCAGTACAGCCTGCGTTGCCATTGCAGATCCAAGCGGAACAATCGACATTGCGAACTTGGGCGACTCAGGATTCCTGCACTTGCGACTGAACGCGGTCCATACAGTGTCCGAGCCACAGACGCATGCGTTTAACACGCCATTTCAGCTCAGCCTGGTACCCCCAGCGATGGCTGCGCGTATGGCGAACTATGGGGGCCAGCAGCTATGCGATCTGCCGCGCGATGCCGATGTCTCGAAACATGACCTTCGACACGGCGACGTGATCATCCTAGCGACGGATGGTGTCCTGGACAATCTGTTCAACCAAGATATCCTGCGCGTGGCTAGTCGCGTCATGACATCCACGGGCGCTTGGCAGGCATCTGAGAAGAGCGGGATGCGTATCCCAGATACATTGAAGCGCTACACGGACGCGGTTCAGGATGAGAACGGCAAGCCAGTCACTCTACAAAGCATGCTCGCCACAGCCCTCGTTGGCGCAGCGAAGCGAGCCAGCATAAACACCAGAGTTGACGGTCCGTTTGCCAAGGAGGTCCGCAAATACTATCCCCAGGAGAACTGGAGAGGCGGCAAAGTCGACGATATTTGCGTCGTTGTGGCTGTGGTGTCCGAGGAGGGCAACCCCAAGGCCAAGTTGTAATGTAATGGTACCCACCATTGTGTTCGCGTCTATAGAACGGGCATTTCATGATCTCGATGTATGTACTCGGGGCATCACGGGAGACAGGGGCATATCGAGACGGCGTTGGGCGACCAAGACTTCGACAGCTGGCATTTTGGGCTATCTGTTTAGGTGTTTTGACTTTGCATATCGATAGATAGCTTTCACATGATATTAAACGCTCATGTTTCGGCCGCCGGGGGTAAAATGGCCATGCGTGCCAGACAACCAACGTGCTGCTTCTCGCTGTGAGCGATTCTCTAGCCGGGGCGTTAGCAAGGTCCCGCTAAATCCGATTTTGTTGGAATCTCTGGCGGGTTCGCCATGCGACGCTAAGCCATGATTTGCACGGCGAATGTGAGAGAGTTGCCAAAGACCAGGCAACATATCGCCCACCAGTCTGGCAATATGTCAGTTCTGGTCGTGCCGCTCTTGGGCCCTGATGGATGAAGATCAGGCAGTGGGACGTCAACAACAGGTAGATTCACATGTGAAGCGATGATCAAGGCTGGGTTCCCGGATCTTTTTTTCTTGGGGTTGGACCAGTTTAGGTATGTGGTTCATGGTGCAAGAATTAGGATTCGGCTTCGTTGATATCGCACGGTTCGCACCTTGCTGTTTCCAAGGAGTCTTGGCGATATATTTTTACCTGCCTTGCGCATTGTAGATTTTTGAGCCCTGATGCTTTTTTCGTTAATTCGGCGACGTTGAACCATTATGTTTCAACACGCAGAACATTTCCATTAGATGAATAGAATGGTGACTACCCTCAGAACAGACATATACTAAGCAATGTAACGACCCAACACCTTTCTGCTCGCGTCAGAATATAGACTGGGAGGTGTTCTTGTGTGCAAGTGAATGTTATACAAAGATCGTGCCCCGATTGTGTGTTGGTCGTGCCATGATTTAGGGTAGTCAAAGTAATGTCTACCGTAATAAACGACCAGACTCCAGAGTCGGATGTCCAGCATGATGTCATGATCGGGACGATTTCAGTCAACCGACATCGCTATGGAACGGTAATGGATTCTCAAGATTCTACTCATTTTCAATATCTGCAATGTTTCAAGGTGCCTCTAATACAAAATGGCTGAAATTTACCTGGTAAGTCGAAATGCTCAGCGGGCAGAAACAGTCTTTTAGGTTTTAACGCATCCAGGCTGGTGCGGTAGCCGCCTTCACAGTCGACCTCTTGGTCTATCCGCTCGACACATTGAAGACGAGATATCAGAGCCAGGATTTTATAAAAACAGATGCGAAGGCACCGAAGCCTTTGGCATTCAGAGGCCTCTACCAGGGCGTCGGCAGTGTCATCCTAGCTACGCTCCCAGCTGGTCCGTTGCCACCCGGGTCCTCTGGACGTCACGATGCTAACGACGTATAGCTGGCATATTCTTCTCTACCTATGAGTCGGGTAAGAGGATATTTGGGGAGGCTCTGCCGATTCCCGACCCATTAGTCCACTCGCTGGCGTCGTCAGTGGCTGAGATGGCTTCCTGTGCGGTGCTGGCACCTGCGGAAGTCATCAAGCAGAATGCCCAAATGCTGCGAAGCAGCCAATCGGGACCAAATCATGAGTCGACATCATTGCGGGCCTTTCGAGAACTGCGACGTGGAGGTACAAGGAGGCTATTCACAGGTTACACTGCGCTTGTGGCGCGGAATCTCCCCTTTACAGCTTTGCAGTTCCCCTTGTTTGAGCACCTTCAGTCGACGCTGTGGAAGCGAAGGGGCGGTGAGCCTGATCTGAGAGAGAAGAGTCTACTCGAGACGGGAACAATCTGTGGTACGAGTGCAGGTACGGCAGGTGCCTTCGCGGCATGGATCACGACACCAAGCGACGTCGTCAAGACGAGGATGATGCTGTCTGCTGGCGAAGATGGAGAGGGCAAGTCGGCGAGCGAGACGGATGGAAAGACTAAGAGAGGCGCTTGGGCTGTGACGCGGCAAGTCTGGAACGAAAGAGGCCTGCGCGGATTCTTCAGGGGTGGGCTCTTCAGGTCTGCCTGGACAGCCCTGGGGAGTGGACTGTACCTGGGGACGTACGAGACGTCAAAGGTGTGGTTGAAGAGAAGGAAGCCAGGTCTAGACGATTCAGTCGGCATGTAAGGTATGTGTAGTCATTCACCTCAAGCTGAGCTTAAAGCATGGGACTGCACGGCGATGGCACACAGCAACGGACCAAATCGGATGAAGTCGCCAGCCAACAACAATCATATCAAATAGTAAGGCTCAACTTCAGACGAGAACCGTTGTGGACTCGTGTCTGCCCCCAGTGACCGGGTCAGCCCGTTTTCCGTCCTCTATCCTCCCTCCACCTCTTCTTCTGCACACTTGTGCTTCATTCACGCACTGATCTCTCGAACCCGAGCGAACACTACGCTTATGTACGTTGATAACGGTATGTCGAAACTCTCCGGCATTTATGTGCTGAAACAAGGCCAAAACCACTCACCACTTTCACCTACAGCGCGCTATTCTATTCTTCGACCCCTCGGCGCGACAATGGAATCGGGGATGCAACGCGAAGAGACCGCTCCTAGTTGGTGCTGCCTCCCTCAAGAGATTCGCGGCCTGATTCTTGAAAATGCAGCTGGACATGAGTCGGGTACAGCATCGTATGCCGCCGTCTCCAAGGAATGGAGGGCTTTCTTCGAAAAACAGACGTTCCGTCGACTGAAGGTCAAGGCCCATGATATCAACATGCTCGCGGCCCTTTCCGAAGACCATCGCCGTTGCGTGCAGCACATCTGGCTCGATTATGATTTCCCTCCCGTGGCTTGTATTTATTGCCTTGATTCACCGGAAGATATGCTTGGATATGATGAAACCGACGATGGACTGGAGGCAATCAAAACATTTTTTGCCCCATCTGTAACGGAAAAGTTTGGACACACACTAAGCCGCCTGTCCGAAGCATTGCGCGAATGGCCTCGCACAGTCCCTGGCCTGACTCTTGAACTGAGTGGACAACCACTAAATGCCGATGATCACTATGGTAAACATATCTGCTTTGGCAACAACGACGCTGCGGAGCATGCCGTTGCCGACGGACAGGATCCTCTCGCGCCAATCGACACATCCACCTGGCATGACCCGATACATGGGTGGACGCATGGAACACCTGACCCAGATTTTATCGAGGATTTGTCAACACGGGTAAGGGGTACAGCAGTAGCTTTCGACGATTCCAGCTTTCCACAACTAGCCCGGATGTGTTCGGTCACCAAATTTGTGCAGCGACGACAATTTCACACATACGATTGGGGAGGTTTGATATGTAGCCTTTCCTTTCTACCTCAATTAAAAGAGGTGGTCTTCGAGAGTTGGGGGTCAGCTGCATTGTCCATGTTAGCAAACGGTGAGCACCGTAATCTTTCTTTTTGCCACCAAGCTTCTCAGAGTACTGACGTATCATTTTTAGATGAGCAAACATGCTTCGACCTTCTCAACAATGTCATTCCCCTGAAGAGATTGACACTTTATAATCAGCCTTTAGAGCTCGACGGAAGTGAAGAAGCATTCCTGGAGTCCGTATTCGCGCTCTTGGGCGACGTAGCAGCGGCGAGAAAGAGGCACAATGTGAGGATAGTAAAGAGCCTCGGCCAACTTTCGACAAAGCTGGATCATCTTGCCTTGTCATTCGCGATAGATGCGGACAAATTCTTCATCCAATGCGCCAAGGAACCGACGTGGACCTGGCCCGATCTCCGCTCGCTCATGCTGACTTGTAAGGACTTGGGCGGCCCAGGGCAAGCTCACCGGTCTAAAACGCTGATGACAGCTGCGCGAGTTGTTCGGCGTATGCCACAGTTGCAACAGCTGGTGCTTTGGTGGGCTTTTCCTGAAGCAGCTTGTGTGTTCCTATTTGATCGACGACACAGCTCGCGATATGATGTTCGGTCGGAAGTGTCGATTACATGGCGCCGAAAAAACCTTTCAGAGCTGCCAAAGGAAGTTGTCTCGACCTGGCGCGGAGTCGCACAGATGCACGGCGCGTTGGACATTGAGGTGATTAACGAGGATCTACCAAGCACTCCCTTCTCGTCACAAGCGGAGGCTATTCATGCATTGAGACTACCAGAGGGCATCATTGACCCCGTGTCTCTTTGGCAGATGCGAAGGGAGGCGAACCGGAACTGGCAGTCATCTGCCTAGCGAACAATTCGGTACCGAGTGGGAACAGCCATTGGGAAACATGAAGATGCGTTTCTTTTTGTGATGCGGGAAGTCAGATGGTATGGCAAATGGGAGTGTTGTGGGGGGCTTCTGTGCTTCTTTCAGGTATTTTGGTAATGATCACCGCGAAGCACCTCGATGGAACTATGCCTTGGGTGGTATACGATTCGACATAGGCGAACGTAATTAAAGACGCCTGGACAGAAGTGCAGTCCTAAATCGGAGCAGAGTTTGGGCCAGCCTCGAGCTCCCTCAATATCTCAACACTAGCTTTCAGTAATGGCGGCAGTGATAATAATCAGACCTTCTGAAAAGGTGACTTGACCAACATCACTTAAGTATGCAGCTATCTCATGCGGGACATGCAAGGCACGCACATCTCCCGTGAGGCCGGTTGCGAGGGACTGGTCAAGGGTGTCACACCTGACGCCTTGCTACAGCGTCACCCAGCGATTCGACGGACAACCAGAGGGAATTGACACCTCGGCATACAAGCAAAGAGTGCCAGACTAGCGCAAGCCATCATTTTTCGACTTGCGGTTAGCCAGAGGGCGAATGAAGGTTCTGGTGTGAAGGCTCGACGGCCGGTCCGGGCTTAGTCAAGCACCTAGCACGTCATCTTCCCAAGCAGCAAAAGTCGGCATTGACTCGCGCAATCCAGGGAACTTGGTTCATGTGCGGAATTTTCAGCCTCTCCAATACGCGGAACACCTCTCATAAAGTGCGAGATGATTGTTCTTCACCGCTTCCAACCCCCTGAGGTCTTCTCATGCAAGGTCAACGATCCCCGGCAGGCTAGGCACTTATATGTACTAGCAGAGACAAGCCCCGCTCCCCCAGGACTACGTCTGAAACCCTAGCGACAATCCTCATCAGTCCAGCGCTTCATTGGTCCGCGGTTGCGTGCCTTTTCACCCGTCTTTCCTAATCTGGAGAAGTAGCGGACAAAGGCTGTGTTGTGGAGGACCGGTGTGTGCGCCGTTGTTCGAAGCTCTTGAGTATCCAAGTGACGATTTGTGGACTTTGACGATTCATAAGTAGAGCGAAGACCCTTATGCAAGTCCTGACTAAAGGTTGTTTATGGCTTACACAGGAGTTTTGGTCCAGAGAGACACCTTCGGCAGGCTTTAAACCGGTCCTGTGTCTGTCTTTGGCCTTGACCATGCGTATTCCTGGACGTAAGTCTGACAGACTACGAAAATTACACCTTTGTCCTTGATATTGCGTGATTTGAACTGGGACTCGAGACTTTTGTATATCAGCTGGTCACCTACTGAAGTCCTTACTCTTTCTTCATTACCGTGCTCAATTCCTCAACACGAAACCCGACCATCAGATTCAAGGTGACAACCACACTTGTCTCATCACCCATCACCACCAGACATCGGCGCAATGGCCGTGCAATTCACTGACGCGGTCCCGGTCCCGGTCCCGGTTTCCGCCAGTAAGGATGATGTGGGCATCACAGTGGCATCTCTGTCCAGTAGCAGCGCAGGCACACCAAAGCATAGCCGTTTTCTCATCCAGTCACCATACTCGGACGCAGACCATTTGCTCGACCTGGAGACATTAGATCAAGAGAATGCTCTCCTGGCACGTGCCTTGACAGTGATGCAACACACTCGCGAAGACTATGCCACGGCGCCATACGAGGACTCCTTCAACTGGGACGACATCTTCGTGGAGCTGAAGCGACTGGTGGCGGAAGAAGGGCACAGCTTCAAGCAGACGAGCTTCTATGTCGTGGCCTTTCGGTCACAAATCAAGGCTGAGACTGAAACCTCGCACTTGGGAGCATTGGACAAAGCGGCTCATGCTGAAGCGGTCGCGAGCGGCGGATTCCTCAAGTATGTTTCCTCTTGCAACAGATGGAAGTCGCTTTGCTGACATGGAACAGATACTGGTTTGGACGCCCGAATGCTGATCGGAGGAATCTGGCTACGTGTCTCTGGCGCTCACGCGAGAATGCGATTGCTGGTGGCCGGGGCCCAGCGCACCGCAAGGCGGCTGGTTCGACAAGGTCACTGTACTCGCACTGGAAAATTGACCAGCACCGCCTGACAATTGGCGAGAACGCCAAAAGCTGGGAGATCAGCCAGTGGGACTGAGTGCCTCGAACTAGAAATTTGATAGAACATGGACTAACGTATGGGGAGCATGGCGTTTATACCCGAGCGAAGCTATGAGATTAGATGAGACCGTTTTAGACAAAAGAAAGGATACAATGAAGCATGATCCTTGAGCAGCGCGTGCCAGATGGCACCTGACGAATGTGGCTATCAATCATTGTTCATGAAATGCAAGCTCAAGATGAAAAGGGGACGTCAATTGTCGATGTTGAAGCGCGATTGAGCAGTGCAGAACCACAAACCGCCCGATGAGGCAATTCTGCCAGCCCTCACCGCCCACTCCCACAAACACCCACAAATGACAAAAGTTGGACAATTTCCCCTCCGAGCCGCCGTGAAGCAGTTAGCCGTATCACGAATCTCTCGACGACTCCCACGAACGCGCGCTGCTCTGCTCACGACTCTCGATCGCATTTCTCCCAAATCACCCGAACTCGAGATCCTCAATATGACGGACGCTCTCAAGGATGCGCCTTTCCAGGCGGTGCAGGTTGATGCTCTGGTCAGTGCCCCACCATGATGAGCCACATATTCAATCACGGGCGCACAACACGCGCGACATTGAGGATACTGAAGGTCTTGAGTATGATGGAAGGGCTAATATAGCTGCAGGTCGCTGTGAAGATCAACAAGCACTGCTCATCTGCTTTCCCCACCACCGCCACCGGTGCCATCGTCGGCATGGACCAGAATGGCGTCCTCGAGATCACAAACTCTTTCGGCTTCCCCTCGACTGATGGCGCCTCTTCCGACTCGCATCAGAACGACGCATCCGCCGCGGCGGCTGCTGCTCCCCGCCAAAAGTCCAACCAGACGTACCAGAACGAGATGATCCGTCACCTCAAGGAGGTCAACGTCGACGCCAATAATGTTGGGTGGTACACCAGCGTGACCCTGGGCAACTTTGTGAACATGAACTTTATCGAGAATCAGGTGCACTACCAGACTGCCAACAACGCGACTGTTGCGCTTGTGTATGACGCCAGCAAGAGCTCGCAAGGCAACCTGGCTCTGAGGGCCTTCCGCTTGACCACCTCGTTCATGACCGCCTTTAAGGAGGGCAAGTTCACCACTGACATGTTAGTACCATCCTGTTTGTCCCCAGAATGAGCTATGCTGACACGCACACAAGCCTTCAAAAGTCAAAGCTTTCCTACAAGGATATCTTCGCCGAGCTCCCCGTGACGATCCACAACTCGCATCTCCTCACCTCGTTCCTGCACCAGATCCCCGGTCTGCCGTCGGAAGAAGACATTGAGCCCCCTGTGTCGTCCGCCGACCTGGAGCGCGACCAGGTGCAGGCACCCCTGCACCCGTCCATCGATATGCTGGATCTAGCCATCGACCCCTTCCTGGAGAAGACGTGCGATCTCCTGATCGAGAGCATCGAGTCGCACTACACCGACCTCAACAACTTCCAGTTCTACCAGAGGCAACTGGGCCGCGAGCAGACCAAGATCTCCCAGTGGCAAGCCAAGCGCAAGGCCGAGAACGCCCAGCGTGCCGTCGCCAAGCAGGCTCCTCTCCCCGAGGACGAGTGGCAGCGTCTGTTCAAGCTGCCCCAGGAGCCCAGCCGTCTGGAGGGCATGCTTAACGCCAAGCAAGTGGAGCAGTACAGCAAGCAGGTGGACGGCTTCACGGCCGGCATCAGCGCCCGGATGTTCGCCGTGCGGGAGAACCTGGCGCCGCAGTAATGGTCGGCATAGGAAGTCGCGGGGGGGATGGAGAAGACTTTTAGAAAACCAAGGAAGCGGGTTTGGACAAAAGGCCGGCCACGGCTGGCTGGCTGGTTGCATTTGGTGGCGTTCCGGACTGTGGGATAGGCTCTTATACATACAGATGACGCGTTTCCGTCATTCACTCCAGTGGTAGACTTATTAGCGACTGCGAACGATATGATACTCCACTACGAGAAGACATGATGAGCCTGCCCGAGTCTGGGAGCTCCAGTGCAGTCCCTTGATGTCCGCACTCCGCACTGTAGCCAGGCATGACCCCGCTTAACGCTGAATGAGGATACAGCGTCAAGCTATGCTGAGTCAAGTTTGCGAGGAGAACAAAATCACAAACCTGCCCTCCACGAATTGGCTCGACACGAATTGGAGTCGGTTACTCACAATGGAACATATGTTCATGGTTGCTGACTTGGCCAGTCTTGGTGAGGCCCACGATGAGGCGGCAAGCCCAGTCAGGGTCCGTTGCGGGGTGCACGTGTGCGATAAGATAGGGTCTCTGTTAAGTTTGCAGACCACGCCAGATTTCGATGCTCATGTTCAAAGCCATTCAATTCATCTGTGTGTATTGTTTCTTCACGACAGCTCAGTCTTGAAATGTGTCCTTCCTCTCCAGTGCAATCCCGCGTCCAGCCGCTGCTGGGTGGCTCCAGTCGCCGCCAGATTACCTCGCAATAGGATGGGAAAGAACAGTCGGATCATGGACTGACTGGATGTGCCTGAGGGGCGCCCCGCCCGCTCCTGCCACCCACCGCCCAAAACTTTTGCCCCTCTATTGAACCCCTCCAGATGCCCCTCCATCGACCAACAGCGGCTCTACCTCGACCAGTAGCAAGAGGCTGCGGCATTTGCTACCTCCAGTCACTGGACGTTAGGTCCATCCCGTCCTGTAGCAGTAAGCTCTGCCTGCTGCTTTTATACTTTGCGTGCAACCTCGACTTTTTTCCTCTCCTTCTCCTCTTCCCTCTCTCTTCTCCTCCATCCTCCCTCATCTCTTTCTTCTTACAATTGATACCCCCATACCACCTCTATAACCCATCATGTCTGCCCCCGCCTCCAAGTTCAAGGTCGCCGACCTGTCCCTCGCTGCCTTTGGCCGCAAGGAGATCGAGCTCGCCGAGAATGAGATGCCTGGTCTCATGCAGACCCGTGCCAAGTACGCTGGCGACCAGCCTCTTAAGGGCGCCCGCATCGCCGGTTGCCTGCACATGACCATCCAGACCGCCGTCCTCATCGAGACCCTCACCTCGCTCGGTGCCGAAGTCACCTGGACCTCGTGCAACATCTTCTCCACCCAAGACCACGCCGCCGCCGCCATTGCCGCCTCGGGCGTCCCCGTCTTCGCCTGGAAGGGCGAGACCGAGGAGGAGTACAACTGGTGCCTCGAGCAGCAGCTCACCGCCTTCAAGGACGACAAGAAGCTCAACCTCATCCTCGACGATGGCGGTGACCTGACTGCCCTCGTCCACTCCAAGTACCCCGAGATGCTCAAGGACTGCTACGGTGTCTCCGAGGAGACCACCACCGGTGTCCACCATCTGTACAGGATGCTCAAGGAGGGCAAGCTCCTCGTCCCCTCCATCAACGTCAACGACTCGGTGACCAAGTCCAAGTTCGACAACCTGTACGGCTGCCGCGAGTCCCTGATCGACGGTATCAAGCGTGCTACCGACGTCATGGTGGCCGGCAAGATTGCTGTCGTCGCTGGCTTCGGTGACGTCGGCAAGGGCTGCGCCATGGCCCTCTCCGAGATGGGCGCCCGCGTCCTGGTCACCGAGATTGACCCCATCAACGCCCTCCAGGCTGCCATGGCCGGCTACCAGGTTACCACCATGGAGAAGGCCGCGCCCCAGGGCCAGATCTTTGTCACCACCACTGGCTGCCGTGACATCCTGACCGGCACACACTTTGAGGCCATGCCCAACGACGCCATTGTCTGCAACATTGGTCACTTTGACATTGAGATTGACGTTGCCTGGCTCAAGGCCAACGCCAAGTCGGTCCAGAACATCAAGCCCCAGGTCGACCGCTTCCTCATGCCCTCGGGCCGCCACATCATCCTTCTCGCCGAAGGCCGCCTCGTCAACCTGGGCTGTGCCACCGGTCACTCCTCGTTCGTCATGTCCTGCTCCTTCACCAACCAGGTCCTTGCCCAGATCATGCTGTACAAGGCCTCGGACGCGGCCTGGGGCAACAAGTACGTCGAGTTCAAGAAGGCCGGCAAGCTCGATGTCGGCGTCTACGTCCTCCCCAAGATCCTCGACGAGGAGGTCGCCCGTCTGCACCTGAGCCACGTCAACGCCGAGCTCAGCACCCTCAGCAAGGTCCAGGCTGAGTACCTCAGCCTCACGGTCGAGGGTCCTTTCAAGAGCGACATGTAAGCTGAAAATCTCTGGTCCTTGTATTTGTACACGCGCTGACAGCATCACAGCTACCGCTACTAATTGTATGTAATCTAACGGTTACCCCTCAACGGGGGCCCACGTGTAACGACGTTTTCCTTTGTTCTCTCAACTAGGCGATAAGGGCAAAATTTGTGGATTCAACAGCATGAAAAGTTTTGCATGGCGAAAGGGGCTATACACCGAGAGGAGACAAATCTCCCGGAATTTTGAAGAAAGCGTCTAGAACGGACTTGGGTTTAACACGGTCCAACGAATATATTGATGACCCTCTATTTGTGCTGTTTCTCTACCTGGTCCTGTGTGGATGTTGGCAAGATCCTCGTTTCACGATGTATGGCACTTACAGCTCCTTTTCCAGCTCCCTCTGCTCGGGGACGATGCTCTTGAGCTTACCCTCTGTGACGGCCTTTTTGGTATTCCCAATGGCCCAGCGCTCCATCTTGTCCAACGTTTCGATGGTGTGCGTTCCCATGTGCGGGACAAGCATGACCCTCTCGTTGTCCAGGAGGCCAGGGTGGATCTGGGGCTCGTCTTCAAAGACATCGAGGCCAGCGCTGAAGATGATGCCGTCGTTGAGGGCGTCCACGAGAGCGGCCTCGTCAATGACGGCACCGCGCGCCGTGTTGACGAGCACGGCTGTAGGTTTCATGAGGGCGAGCTGCTCTTTGCCGATGGTGTGACGGGTGTGTTTCTAGTCTGTCGTCAGTTTTCGATCTAGACTCAAATGGCTTCAGAACTCACGTTCAGAGGCAGGTTGAGACTGAGCACATCACTCGTCCTGAGCAGGGTCTCAAAGTCCACGTACTTGGCCCCCTCATCGTGTTCGGGACTCAGCTGCGTCCTATTGTGATACTGCACCTTCATACCGAACGCCCTCGCCTTGTCGGCCATGTTCCTACCTATCCCGCCCATGCCCAGGATACCCAGAACTTTGTTCCTCGGGTCGTGGCCCAGGGCAGCCGCCTTGTCCCCAGACCCGCGCCACTGTCCCCTGCGCAGGTTGGCCATGCCCTGGTTGAAGTTGCGAAGGGCGCCAAGGAGGAGGAAAAGGCCCGTGTCGGCGGTCGAGTCGTTGACGGCCGTGGGCGTGTTGCTCACGCAGATCTTCCTGTCGGTGCAGGCGGCGACGTCGATCTGGTCGTAGCCGGCGCCATTGTGGCAGATGAACTGGCAGCTGGCGGGCAGGGCGGCGATGAGCTCTGCGTTGAAGGGTCCCGTGACAGAGGCGGATTGGAAGGTGCGGTAGACGGCGAAGAGGTCGATAATACCGGTGATTTCTTTTAGGAAGCCCTCGCGGGAGGACGAGGAGGGTGTGACTACTTGAGCGTGTATTTTCAGCTCGTCCCACGCATCGTAGGCACTGGGCGTGGTGTTAGTAGGTCGCTCTGCGGGGGTTCGTAAGAGACAGACGTCTCAATGGCTCCTAGTAGAAGGACCTTGGGCTTTCCAGAGCTCATGATTGCAAACAGATTGTAGATTAAGCTGTGGGTTTAGTTATGAGAGGGTTTGACACGTTAGCTCCCAGCCAGCTTCTTATCTTGCGCAATGCTTGCTTGCCCCCTCCGATGGCGCTCAAGGTGCTGTCATTCGTCACGGTGGGGGCTAGCGGTTGCCAACCGGCAGAGCACATGGCCCGGCAATGGCGATCGTCGCCTGAACGGGGGGGCTACCGGTCTAGGCTATAGGTGGAGTGCGCAGAGACGAAGATTCCTGGTTAGTTGGACTGCCAGAATAAATCAACTGTAGATGGCTATGCAAAGACAAAGTAAATATCTAGATGCCAGGTAAAAGGTCCCAAACAGCCACGCCAAACGCCGTGTCCCAATTTGCCTCGATGCCCCATGCCTACATGAGCAGCCTCCAGGCACCGAGTAGCACAGCCGCGAAACCAGTGCAGACACCCATGAGCCACTGGAGGGTCTGGAACTTGACCTGCTCGAGCTTCTCGCGCAGGGCGGCGACCTCCTGCTCGATCCTGGTCTCGGTCTCCTTGATCTTGAGCTCCTGGCCGACGGCCTCCTCCCGGATGCGGCCCTTTTCGAGGTTGAGATCGAGGCGGACACTGGCCTGGGTGCGGCCAATCTCATCGCGCAGGCGGCTGTTGAGCTTGGCAATCTCGTTGCTCAGGCGCTCGTGGGTGCTGCGCGTCGTGTTGGACTCTGTCGAGTCGGCCGAGAGCAGCTCGGAGCGCAGCTTGGCAAAGTCGACCTTTTGGGTGTACGTGGCCTTGGCGGCGTCCTCGCGCAGGACCATGGTCCGCGTGAGGTTCTGGATGGACTCCTCGATGACGTCGTTGAGGACCTTCATCATGGCCACCGACTGCTCCGTGGTGAAGCCCTCATCCTGGAGGCGCTGCACGAACCGCAGCGTGTCAAAGTGGTGGTCGCGCGACAGGGGCGCTGTGGTGTGGAACGTGGCCCTCTGCAGGATCGGGCTCAGGTGGCGGGAGGGGGCTCTGTGCCGTGTCGACGTCGGCGAGGAGGCGTGCTGGTGGTACGAGGCTCGTTGTCCTTGTCCTTGCCACTCGCAGGAGGACCGCGTCTGCTGTCGGCCCACGATCCGCGAGGTGAAAGAGGACAAGGGCGCCGCCGCTGTCCAGCTGAGACGAGGCAGAAGGAATTTGGGTAGCGCTTCGGCCATGATTGTACTCGGCGCTGACATTTCAGCCGCTGGATGGTGAGGTAATAAGGAGCGTGGTGTTTGGAGGATGGATGCTGGGAGCTGAGCTGGAGAGCAGAGGAAGATTTGGCAGAGGGAATGACGATGATCTTGGGCTGAGGCACGCTCATCATTGGGTAGATGGTTTGAGAATAAGCGGGGATCGCGGACCAAGTCAACCGACGTCGGCTCACAGCCGAACAGCACCCGTCGTCTTTCATCAGAGTCATCAATCACTCTTTCCTTTGTCATATGACCCAGTCGAGGAATTAGGAGTCTGAGGGCTCGGTAGGCGGTTCAGTTGCGCCGATGGCAGCAGCCTGGCCCCAAAGGCAATGCACACATTGTCGTCGCTCTCAGATCGAGCTTGAGAGCTTGAGGCCTTGAGGCTGCTTAAGGCCATCAGTTCACTTGCTACGACAGATAAGACAGATAGAAAAAGCCAAAATGCTCCCCTAAACATCCGCTGCAATCTGAGCCAACTCCCTTGAATTTAGACCGCCCTCTGCAGCCTCACATAGCAGTACTCTGGCTTCTGCGTCAGCCCCTCGACCCGCGCATAGCTCGACAACGCCTCTGGGCACGCCAGGAACTCAAAGTGCCACACGAGCATGGTGACGAGCAGCTTGAGCTGCACATAGGCCAGTCGCCGTCCGAAGCAGCCTCGCAACCCTGCTCCAAAGGAAAGCATCGGCCCGGCCTGGCTGTCGTACACCATGTCCCCCTTGTCGTCCTTGGTCAGCCACCTCTCTGGCTTGAACAGGCCAACATCATCTTCGTTCCAGTTGGGGACTTGGTAGGAACCTCCCGCCGCTTGGTCAGAGCCGTACGATTTGCTGGCGTTCTTTGTCTGGCTCGGGGCGGTGATACTAGGACCACGCTGGGCCATGATCAGCAACGTGCCCTTTGGAACGTGGTGGCCGAGGAGGGTCGTGTCGCTGTTGCACTGGCGCTCCAGGAAGGTTGTGGTGCCGCCTAGACGGAGAATCTCCTCAATTGTCGCATCCAGCAAGGGCACGCTCGCCTTGGATATCTCGCTGTGCGTGGGCGCGCGTCGCTCCTGAACGGCAGATGCATGTGCGTCCCTCAGTGCTTCGCGAAGGCGGCTTTGCGCTTCAGGGTGATCGGCCAGAAGTTTCAGACCCCATGATATCGTCGTGCTCGTGGTGTCGTGGCCAGCGATAATGAATCCAGTCATCTATCAGCGGCGGTCAGCATGGTCCAAAGCACGTGGCACAAGCAGACTCGCCTCGTTATCCATTGTTTCGGACCAGAACACGGCCTGTCGGCCATCCTTTTCTGCAAACCGTCTCTCACGGTCCACCATGCAGTCCACCGCCGAGCGGAAACTGCCGCTCTTGTCTTTCTGCTCCTGCATCCTCTGCACCGCCAACTCGACCTGGTGCTTGTTGAGGCTCTGGCGTAGAGCGCGCTCTCTGCGCGCGGACGGCTTGGACCAGTACCACCACCAACCAAGGCGAGGCCACGGCCATTGTCCAACTTCTTTGACTGCATCCGCGGAATGCAGGAGCGCCATGATAGTGTCGTCCACGGGCGCCTGCTGGAATTCCACCACGGCTTGTCCGTCTCTCGTTGCGGGTTGGCACACGGTGGTAGTGGCCGTCTTGCTGTCACGCAGCGCCGACAGCTGCGGATCGATGCTGCGATGGCTGAATCCCTCACCGTATCCAAACTCTATCACTCCATCCAGCGCGGTGAAGAAGACGTCTTCCGCCGCGTCAAACGGCTTGCCTTGGGCCATGTCCGCCTTGCACTGCCACAAGGCGACCAGCTTCTCCACGCTGCGGTACAAGTTGGGCGCGGCCGTGTCATAGAGAAAGCTCGGGCTCATGAGATCCTGCAACAGACGTCGGTGGGCCTTCCACTCGGGGCCCGTCTTGAGGTTGATTTGGTGTTTGGGGAGGATGCCCTTGAGAAAGTCAATGGACCAGTCCGACCGATCCCACTCTTTCCTGCGCATCATGACGTCGCTGCTCTCGTGGAAGTCCATCAGCAGCAGCACGGGCCTGCCAAAGGGCACAAGGAAGACCTGGCTCAGGGGTCCGGCGCCGCTGGCGTAGGCGCGGGTGATGAGCCAGTCGAGCGGTGCCTGGCCTCCCTTGCGGAGCATGGCGGGGAGGTCGCCAAAGAGACTGCGCGCGCCATCCTTGTCATAAGGGATGTTGGGGAACGGACTCGGGAGGAGGAATCGGTGGAGGGCATAGAGTAGGGCCGGCAGTGCTGCCACGAGGCACGCTGTGGTGTAGCCGGGGAGATAGAGAGGCACCATAGTCATTTGATACTGGCCTGAGATGGCTTTGACGGGGTCGAGATACGAGCAGACAGGCTTACACGAGCTCTTATACTAGACGCAGACGCAATGGACACATCACCAGATCGGTATCCCGCGGACCCCGGTCCCCGGAAGCCGGTAGGCCGGTCGCGACGGGCTCGTACGATGGAGGGTGGCTCTGCCGCCCGGCACATGAACGGGTTATTTGTTTGACAGGGGACCCCGCATGCTTATATAGAATGAAGTGCTTCAGCCTAGTCGAAGCACACAAGGTTGACTTCCAGAAGCATGTAGTGGGCACTGGAGATGGAGAGAGGATGGGCCAGACGGGCTGGCGGGTAATTACTTCGTTCAAATCTTCAAAACCACACCCGCAGGAGGTTAATCACCTGAGAGCCCAGCGAGGGTGAGACTTGGCTGCATAATTATAGACGCAACAGGTAGTATACAAATGTGCTTTCATCTTCACACCTACCAATTTCGAGGCTCGAGCCTCGACGACTCAATCATTCCTGCACGCCAACGGCCACGGTTGATCGTCCCAGCGACCCAGCTCTTGTCTAGAACCGGCCAAGTCAGACAGTCGAGCCATGTCAGACGCTGGGCAATCCCTCGAATGCAAAGTCGTGTCGCCCGCCCGCTTCCCGCTGGATCCACGGTATGTGCAGACGCGCGCGCCCAAGGTGGTTCCCTGGTATCGCACGCGTCACGACGGACATGGAAGAGGATGCACGCATCCTACATCACGGAGTTTCCTTGATCTACCAGACGAGGTGCTCTGGCGAGTAACACACTTCATCGCAGAACCGAACAAAGGTCGCTACCTCTCGTCATTTGCGCTCGCCAGCAGAGACTGCCGGCAGCTTGCCCGCCCGCATCAATTCGCGGACGTGTCCATTGTCTGCTCCCAGTCGTCCGAGAACATCGTGAGCCACATTCTGCAGGAGGCCTCGCAGCAAAACCCCCAGGTCCAGCCCACCATTGGGGCTTGCATCCGAACCCTGCATCTGGTCGTGAATCGATACTACGTACCGGCTGAAAGCTCGCCTGCTGACGAATGGACTGATGACGAGCTGGACGCACCTGAGCCGTATGGCGGGTGGAACGAGGATAGATGGCAAAGCTTGATCGACAATCTTGCACAGGCCATGGAGTGCTGCATGTCAAACTTGAATCGCCTATACTGGGATGACACAGGAGGCCTGACAGTGGTTTCTCGCCTCGTGCCAGCCCTCGTCTCCCGGCTGAAAACTTGCCCCATGTTTCAAGAGCTCTGGTTCGACGACTATCACTTATTCTACGGTCTAGACGAGGTTCATGGACGACCAGTCATCCCCGGGGGCGTTTTCAGAGTTCGCTCTCTAGGCTTTGGACGCGACAAAGACGCGCGCAAGCGATCAGGAAACATGGAGCTGATGGCCGAAACGGTACTTCGCAACTCTGCGTCCACCCTTGAGAGTCTCATCTGGTCCCCCGAGTTTGAGGGGACTGTGGAGCACCCCGGCTTTTCGTTCCAGAACGGACCAATACAGTTCCCGCGTCTGCGCAAGTTCTGGTCCAAACTTGAACTGTATGACGGTATCAATATAAGCCTGGACGCACTCGGGAACTTTTTGGTCGCGCCCCTCGAGTCCTTCGGTCCATCGTCCAGCATCTGCGAGATTATGCTGGAGAACGGACTGGAACGCAAGTACCCGCTCCCGAGCTTACGCACATTTGCCATTACGGAGGTATATACATGTATCCCGGACACCAGGAGCGTCCCTAGCACGTTGAGATTGGCAGCCAAGTACGCTTCGCACATCCGGGAGCTTTTTCTGCTCAGGACTGCTGAGGCACCACATCTCGAAAATCATGTACGCTGTGAAAACTACGCCAACCTGAGGTCTTTGTGCTTCGTCTGGCCCGAGGAAGGCAAGCGTCTACTCGGCGCGATCGGTTCGCATCTCCCGACCTTGGAGGAGCTCGCGTTCAATCTCGAACCGTGCGCCTCCAAGACCAATGTCCTTTTCGTTTGGACTGGGAGCGGCCTTCGCCCCTGTCTCTCCCACACGGAGATTGTCAAGATGCTCTCGCCACTAAAGAAGCTGGCTCGACTGGCCATCTTCGGCGACGAGTACATCGCCGACTACTGCGGCCCGGAGTGGTCATGGCATTATTTTTTCAAGGACTATGTGTGGTTTCACCAGTGTCGGGGTGATGTGGGTGCAACCAGATATCGTCAAATTTTCCACCTTGGCCCTTCATGTCCTGGGGATGAGGTGGAGGATTTTAACACCAGGTGGCTGGAGGAGAGCTTCATTGATTCTCACTTGCACTCGAAACCAGCTGAGCTTGCGACCCGCTATGCGGAGGAGTTGCCATCCTTGAGACAATTTGTCATAGGCAGAGTGTTGGTTGAGGTCAGTAGAACAGACAGCGGCGAAGATAGCACTTAGGCGGCTAGTGATATTTGGTTCTGTCGTTCAGCATAGACGTTGAACAATCTGAGTAGCTTACTTGGACATCATTGGTATGTACAGCCAGAAGGCTTGTACCCCTTTCCCTTCTAGGTTTCATTGGACTGGGACCAGTTCTGTGAGTGCGAGCGTAGGATGCAGATTACGGATTACATACATGCAGAGTCCAGTTTTGTCTCGACCTTGTCGTGTCGCCGGTGAGTTCCTTGGAATGGGTAGAAATGCATCCGTGGCTCAGGTCCGTTCTAAGGAGACTTTTTGATACATCAATCCCTCAGTTCGCGAGACTTGCCATCTCGCAGTGTTGTGGTAAGAGTGAGACCATTCACAGGTTGTCGGGCACGTTGAGCCATCAAACATATGGTATCTCGGTGCTCGTATTGGTGGCGTGCTACCCACTCGTGTAGTATTGAAATTATCAACAGCCAGCGTTGACTTCATGTAGTACGATCAAATTGGTGAGGCCACGGCGCCATCTGGTGCAATTCGAGCCGGAGCGGAGTCCGGACCCGCCTCATCGGCCGTGTGGGTCTCCGTTGCTCCGGGACCCGAAGCCCGGGGGAGAGAGAAGTAAAGCAATTGTACTATCCTAGACTAGAGTCTGTTGTTACGTATCTTTCTGATAGAGCCGGAAAGATTGTGCTAACCTTGCCACGAGGTCAATTCCTGTGTTCACCTTCAGCACCAAGTCCCTATCCCCTTACGTTTTCAACGCTCGAGCCGTGCAGGAAGCCATGCGAAGAGCCATGTTTGCAACCTCGCAGAGCTCAAGTCAGAATGCTACATGGATAGCGTAATATGAGTTACCAATCCGCGCTGTCTATGAACGGTGTGGTTGCAGAACATGATTTTAGCTCCACTAACGGCATGCATCACGCCCTGTTAGACATACCCTCAGATACTCAGCATCAAATGCATGTCTCGTAGCCACAGACATTGAACCCCTGCTTCCATGTTGATCAGATAGCGTAATTAGTATACTGCACCATGAGCTACCCCAGTGTTGCTTCTACCCAATAGACATGCAACCCAAGCTGTATGAGTAACCCCTCCTTATCATCAGGACGCATCACTTAACGTTACAGAATCTTCAACCATTTGAGATAGTGGGTGCATCTAGAATACTGCATGAAGATGGGCTGGTCACACTTTCTATGATCTACTCATAAGTCCGGGCTTCCCTTTGCAGCTAGGGACCAGGGAAAATGGCTAGTCTCGTTGAGATCTCTGGCAAACAGACAAGAGGGCCTCATTCGTCACAGTCCCGAGGGTGTGGCAGCTCAATCAGTGTAGTTGAGGCTTGAAGAGCAGCCAAAGGTGCCTGAAGTTCTCTCTGCGCTGATTGATAGAGTTTACATCTGGGTCTGGCATATTTATAGCCCATAGCTAGTGATATGGGAGATATCAATTGTTTTCGAGCCACGCTCACCAGCGCTGATTTATTCAAGGTCCAAAAACGCAGCATTTGCTGAAAAAAATTTGGATACCCTGAGTGGTACTTTATCTCTCTTTGTGTCACTATAATTCGAAATATTGTTCATCGACTTTGGTTGATGTCAATCCAAGCATCATGCAAATTTACCTCGATTTGCCTTTCCCATATCTTTCTAACACTGACACATCAGATACGGAAGTCTTGCCAGAGTCCTCTGTGATAACTTAAGAGTCAGATACGATTAGATTTCATCATTCTAAGCTCATCAACTGTTGCAGAGCAGGTCGATGGCACTGCGCTATTGAGGCTTGATCATAGCCACAGTGCTTGCTTAGGGTAGGCAGAGACAATAGAAGAGGAATGGACTCAGAATCACATTTCGACTTGGGCTTAATTAATTACATGTACTTAATCGCAATCAAATGAAGAACCGACAAGAGCCAAAAGAACGACCAGATAATTCATTTCAACCCCATTCGCCTCATTTCCGAATAGGCAAGCGACATGCTGCATGGCCCTATCAGGCATGGAGTCGTCGACCCTGCTCATCACCGACCGGGAACCCTGGCACATGAAACTTTCTAGTCCGCTCGGGGAACAGCACCAAGTTCTTCTGGTCAATCACGATTGCAACATGAACGCAACTCTGTCATTCTCGCCCACCGCCGTCGCAGCGCGTATCCGCGGACACAGCCGGATCGTCACCCGGCGAGCCTCTTGACGGATATGAGGAATATTGCGCACGAGATCAGTAGTGCCAGCAGATCATAGTTTAGTAGATCTCGTATCGGTGCAGACCCCAACTTGACATTTCGACGCTGGCCTGGAAACATAAATGAGCCTTGCCTGACACTGAAATCCCCCAATGTTCTTGTCCATAATCAGACTGATTGATTATCTAGGTCCCCAAAATCGACGACGCGTCCGACGCGCCCTCCGTCCCTACGGATGCAGAGCGCGTAGAGTGGTGTCTGATAGGCGCCTCCAGGCTCCAGTAACGTTGCAGAGCCTCCAGTCACGCACTTCACCACGCACAATTCAGCCAGCCCTGTCTGCATCCGGGGGCCTGAAGGGGGCCTGACCCAAGGAGCATTGCCTGATTCGGTCATAGCCTCGAGCCTGGTCGCATGTGCTGCTGTTCCACCATCTATTGCTCGAAAGGGAGACATGATAGGGGTTTACACTCTCAGTCGTAGTCAGTCAGTCCGTGGTTGTGTGTGCATAATACACGACTGGGTCAGTCCGTCGTCGCGAGCCTGCCAACCCGCCGCACCCTCTCTCTCTTCCTGTCACCTAGACATTGCAACCACTGCAACCAAGCAAGAAGACAAGGAACCACTTGATCATCAGTGGGTTCTTTAAAGGTCAGGGGATCTCGGCAGAAGCCCCAATGTCTTGCAGCGTCGCATCGGGCCAGAGTCAGACCCCACAGTCTCCTCATGATCGCGCAGCCTGTCCTGTCCAGATTCGGCAGCTCACACGCTCGCCGCCCGAGCGAAGGATCAGGAAAAGGTAGCGGCCGATGGGAACTGGCAGGTGGCTCTAGACGACGTCCCGTCCGATGGCCTACTCTAGCACCCTGCTGCCGTGCCGCCGCCCTCATGGCGGGTACCTGCTTCGCACTGCACTACGACTGAAGTAGCCGGCGCGGCCGTATTGGAGATTCATATCGCCCCGTCATTGGCTCACGGCCGAGATGAACCAACTCCATTTCGCCAGTGGCATCTCGAAAGTGAGCTGTGGCCTCAGGGGTCCAACCCGTAAGCTTGAAAGCCCAACGAAACAGACTGGCGCAAGTCGTTCACATTTTTCAGGATAATTAACGCGGAAATACCACTCTATCCAGCTGACCTACTATGCCTCTTGATAGGACTGGGCATCACATCGGATCACATGGACCCGTCCAGGGGTCATTTCCTCGCAGGCAAATGGTATCTACCCTCTGACCACGAGCCCATGTTGCTGCCATGCACCGCTTGGGTCGGAAAGAAACGAAACGGATAGTGGTCAATCCCACTCCCTGGCGAGTGTCACTTACATCTCGCTGGACCCCCACAACATGTGCCCCCGGGTCGAAGCGCAGCTCGCTGAGTGGCAGCCGGCAACGTGACTGGCCATCGGTCCCTCATCGCGGAGTCCCTGATCAACCAGATGGGAAGCCCTGGACTGGGAGTGAGCAACGTTGCCAACCAACAGGACGGACTGACAGACTGAGAGCCTAATTAGCTACTGCACGGCCATGTGTATGTATCGTCGTTCTCCCCGGGCGGACTATTGGAAGCGGCCGCTGCGAGATACCCAGCCGGTGGCGAAGTAACATTGGATATCTCTTGGAGTGAAGACTCCCTATGAAGACTGGCCGGACTGAGGGTGACGTGGGATTCTCCGTGCTCATTTCAATGCTACTATGGAGCTTGCCAGGTCGGCACGCCCATGGCTGAGGACGTCCATGGTCTGTATAAGAATCCAGTTCGTCCAGACCATTTTCATCGTCTCCCCTTTGCCATCAACAACCAAGACAGTCCTTCTTCCCCTTCTCTTCATTCCTTCCTTTGCCTACGCGGCACGCATAACCTAGCCTGGTGCTAGAGAGACTAACAAAGTCGATCTCTCCACAACAGCAGTCATACTACACAACAACCCACGAGCCCAGCCGTCAACATGCTGGCCCTGCTCTCCAAGTCCCTGGCATTCCTTGCCGGTATCCAGGCCGTCGCGGCCCTGGCCATACCCACGGTCCAGGACAAGGCCCTCGAGGTGTCCAAGCGTGCCAACGGTCCCATCAACTCGGTGTACTTTACCAACTGGGGCATCTACGGCCGCAACTTTCAGCCTGCGGATCTCCCAGCCTCGGACATTACGCACGTTCTCTACTCTTTCCTGAACCTCCGCGCCGACGGCACCGTGTAAGTTGAAAAGTCGAGCTGCCGAGGCGAGAGGCAAGGCGCTGACCCGTGTAGGTACTCTGGTGACACCTATGCCGATATTGAGAAGCACTATGCCGACGATTGTAAGTGATGCAGCGTGGGGAAAAAGCATCGAGCTCATCACTAACATGTGGCCTAGCCTGGAACGACGTGGGCAAGAACGCCTACGGCTGCGTGAAGCAACTGTACAAGCTCAAAAAGGCCAACCGTGGCCTCAAGGTCCTGCTCTCCATCGGTGGCTGGACCTGGTCCACCAACTTCCCGGCCGCGGCCTCCACGGAGCAGGGCCGCGCGACCTTTGCGCAGACCTCGGTGGCCTTTATGAAGGACTGGGGCTTTGACGGCATCGACGTCGACTGGGAGTATCCGGCCAACGACAAGGAGGCCAGCGACATGGTGCTCCTCCTGCAGCGCGTCCGCCAGGAGCTCGACGACTACGCGGCCCAGCACGCCAACGGCTACCACTTTGAGCTCTCCATCGCCGCGCCCGCGGGGCCGACCAACTTCAACATTCTCAAGCTGGCCGAGCTGGGCCAGGTCCTCGACCACGTCAACCTCATGGCCTACGACTTTGCCGGGTCCTTCAGCGACCACGCGGGCCACCAGGCCAACCTGTACCCGAGCCAGGACAACCCCGACTCGACCCCGTTCAGCACTCAGGTCGCCGTCGACGCCTACCTCGCGGGCGGCATCCCCCCCGAGAAGCTCGTCCTCGGCATGCCCATCTACGGGCGCGACTTCACCGGCACCGCAGGACCCGGCACGCCCTTCACCGGCCAGGGTCAGGGCAGCTGGGAGCGCGGCATCTGGGACTACAAGGACCTGCCCCTCGACGGCGCGACGGTGCAGTACGACGAGGCCATTGGCGCCACCTGGACCTTTGCCAACGGCCAGATGGTCTCCTTTGACACGCCCGACATGATCCGCCAAAAGGTCTCGTACGCCAAGGACCACAGCCTCGGCGGCAGCATGTTCTGGGAGGCGTCTGCCGACAAGACGGGCGCCGACTCGCTCATCCACACGGCCCGCGACGCCATGGGGGGCTTGGACACGACGCAGAACTGCCTCGACTACCCGGACTCGCAGTACGACAACATCCGCACGGGGCTGGCCTAGACGGGTTTCCCTTCTTTTCGTCACATTTCCTTGCACCTAGTGTGCTGTCGCTCGCTATGGTTGGACACCCACACTCATTTATACGACGCTTCGAATGGAGGGCTATATGCACTCACTCACTCGCTTCATGACGGCGCCGTCAAAGGCAAATTGAGATGGCTGATTGGCCGTCTGTCTTCTATCCTGGCAAGATCTGCCTACTTCTCCGTATATATTATATATTGCAAATGGAACGTACATACTCCGTCAACTTGCTGCTTCTCTTCATGCTCGTGAAAGTCGGGGGCTACGTGGTACCCCAATAGCACGTGGATGATTGCAGCCAAAACTCCTAACTATTCCTTAAACTGGAATCAAGGCATAGTTAGGGTCTCAACCGGTCCCAAGCTGCTGGAAACCTCTAGGCTGCCCAGGGTCCAGTCTCCAGAGGGCCAAGACGATAGTCTCTGTGCCAGGACCCAGATGCGGGTGCTTGGCCTGGTGCCGAGCGAGAAGGGCATCCTTTGAGCAGCACACACACACAATACGCTAGAAGTAGCCTTGGTGGATTGGTGGCTGGGCGAAAACTCCAAGGCGGGTACATGAAATCAGATCCTTCAGGGCTAAATACGTCCAAGAACGGCTCGACACCCAGCCCTGGACTCCTGGTGCCTCTGCTCACCGAACGAACAAATGAGATGATGACATCTGCCATCGATAGTCGCCCATCTCACAGCGCCCTGTGGACTGGACTATGGGTCCAGCCGGAGTGACGGAGACGCCAAGTCTTTGCAAAGCCGGCAGATGCGCGATGCTCGATCGACTCATGTGGTGATGCTCCCTTCACAGGACAGACTGGCGGTGTATCTCATCTATATAGACCAAGCGGTGGCAAGCCAGCAGATCGTCCTCCCGAGAACATGAAGTGAACATGGAGACCATGGGAGGCTTTGTAAGGCGACCAGACCAGCTTTGATTGATCATGTATCACAAGATCTACCCATCTACGCCAGATCCACGCTCCGGTCGCGCGGATCGGACTCGTACTCCACGCCAATATCGCTGTCTCGGTACTTGCAGAGCACGGACTTGCTGTTCGTTCGCCTTGCACGACGACCGCCGACTGGTCTGCTCGATTCCCACTGTCCCGACCCCCAGGAAGTGCGAGGCCGGGAAACAGGGTTCCGCTTGGCTTTCATGTGAGTGAGTGTCCAAGCACGCGCCACCTGTACCTTGACGCGAGTCAGTAGTACGTAGGAGACGCGATGGTGTCTTGCACCCACCCTCGATCATCTGGAACCTGGCATGTCTCCCTGTCGCAATTGCAGAAATTGCAGAAGCCGCCGACTCTGGTCCTAGTCAAAGCGCTAGGGTTCTGGAGAGATGCTCCGCCCTTCTACATCCAGAGTCTGAAGTGCAATGTTGGCTATCGATGGTCAGCAAGCCCCGAAATACTTCGCCCGCGTTGGCTGCCACAAGGGCCCCAAGAAGGGCAACAAAACTAGACTACGCTAGTCCAACACGATGGATTTTCGAAACGGACTTGATCTAGGTGGCGTCCGATAGCGTCCGCCGCGGGCGCGGAGCGGAGACGAGACTCGCCGCTCCATCCTTTCTCAATGTCTGCCCGACTGCTGTGGGCCTGTGGCCTGTCGAGGACTCCAACACTCGCTGCCGTGTGCCAAATGGACGCTTGAACGGCGGGATCCTCGTCTTCAATGCTCTTCGCAGATCCTCCGTACGCAGACACTCACCAATATGTTGACGCTAACCATGTCTTACGTCCTGCTCGTGGTTAAACACATCCGCCTAACGTGACTGGAAGCAAGGCCTGCGCATCGCCAACTTGGCACAAATCAAGAACTAGAAGCCCATGGGAGCGCCCGGAAGTCTCCCGGCCCCCGGGCCGAGTCATTCATGGCACCGACAGGCCGGATCGGAGAGCCCCCTCGTCTGGCGATCGCGGAGCTGACACTGGCCACTGGCAAGCAGTGGGCTGCCCGTACGAACAAAACTGGACCTTGCAAGTGTCCATACGTGCGAATAAATACGTGCGTAGCAGCAGGCGAGTGCACCGGCGATGGACTAGCCGATCCAGAGTTCTGTGCATGACGGAGATTTCAAGGCACACCCCCGTTGAGGACTCGTTGGTATCTGGCAAAGCCCCATTCGTGTGGCAGATCTGAGAATGCACTTGTCCGGCAAGCGACTGTACAGCAATTCCAGTTTCTGCACTAGCCTCTCAATTTTATACATCCAGCAGGGCTTGACTTATCGTCGTCGTTGTTGTCGTTGCTGGTTCTTGCTCTTCGCCTCGCCACTGTAAAGCGCACCTCTCTTTTGTCTTCTTTTGTTATTTTCTTTATTTTTCGCATCGACAGACAAACAAACCAGCCATGCCTGTATCGATAGACGAGCCCGAGTTCCTGCACGAAGTATGGGCCCTCTTTGGCGTGGGCTGTCTGATCCTGCTGGGACGCTTCGTGGTGCGCCTGCGTGCCGTGGGCATCAAGGGCCTCCAGGGCGATGATTTCTTCTCCATGCTCGTCTGGATCTTCTACGCCATGGACGCGTCGACGGTGCACTTGATCTGTATGTCTCTCCATTTTGTCTCGCTACATCGTCCCCCACGCTGACGGCTCGGCAGACTTCCTGGGCACAAACGTGGAGGCGGGCGTTGCGGCGGAAAAGGGGCCTATCTCGGACAAAGACATCAGAGACTACGAAATGGGGTCCAAGCTGCAGCTGATCGCCTGGTACTCGTACACCGCACTGTTGTGGTCGCTCAAGGGCACCATGCTGTGCTTCTTCTCGCGGCTGACCATTGGCACCTGGCACAATACCTTTGTCAAGACGGCTTCGTGGCTCTGCGCCTTGGCGTACATTGCTGTCTTCCTGACCATCACTTTTGGCTGCTTTCCCACGCACGACAACTGGCAGTGAGTGACTATCAGTGCGGCCATCGCCTGGATCTTCTGACTAACGTCTTTGCTCGCAGAGTCCTCCCGGATCCTGGGGCCAAGTGCACCTTCAAGTTGCAGAACTTTATCGTCACCACCGTTCTGAACGTCTTGTATGTCTTGATTCTCCTTCACAGGACCCCCAGCTGACACCCGCCAGGACCGACGGCATGATCTTCTGTATCCCCCTGCCCCTGTTGTGGACACTGCAGGTGCCTCTGAAGAAGTATGCATCCCGTTCTGCCCCCCTTCCCACCCACACAAGTCACGACTAACCCACCGTCACCACCACAGAAAGCTCGTCATCGGCCTCCTCCTCTCGTCCGGCGCCTTTGTCATCGCAGCCGCCATCATCCGGGTCGTCCTCACCACCTCGGCCAACCCGTCATCTGTCAGCATCAACAGCTGGGGCGTCCGCGAAACCATTGTCGGCATCCTGACCGTCAACATCCCCATCCTCCGTCCCATTATCAGCCGCGAGTTCTGGTCCCGCAAGGCCGTTACACTCCCCAGCAGCCACGGCGGCAATGGCGCCTCCCACGGCACTGGAAACAAGCAGACTAACATTAGCGGCTCCTACGAGCTTACCAGCAGCATCGACAAGAGCAACCGCTTCGGTCGCAAGAGGCTGGGCTCGGACTCGAATGGGAGTCAGGAGAGCATCATTGGGAACACAAAGACTGGCGGCGGCGGCAGTGATCCCAGCGCTGTGGTTGTCCAGACGACGTACCAGGTGTCGAGCAACCAGGAGGGAGGCGGCGACTCGTGGCATAATGGCAGGGGTGGACTCACGCAGACGTCGGTGCTTGGAGGCAAGGCTCCAAAGCTATAGATTATCCAAGGATGAGGGTAGGATAGCCCGGCTATGCTCGATTCGAAATACGCAATATAATAATAGGATGGTATAGATATTACGCCTTAGGGACTCAACGCTAGGGCATTATATAGTGTGGACAAGCATACGACCATGGATATAGCGTATATTTATTATATGTAATTATTTATAGCGTAAATCTACGCCCAGATGCCCTATATTCGACAATTTGTTATTTTTTATCAACGGAAGGCTGGGCTGTTTGCGTAGTGTCCTAACGGCCATCGTTGAAGCATCCCCGATTCTTACAGCATGATTCCCGCCTGGACTGTGTAGCGCTATACTTTCCTCGTTGACGGTCACTTCTGAATGAAACTGTTGGGGAGAGCATCGCTAGATGAATTTGAGACAGCTGGTACCATAGAACAGGAACTTTCTGTCTGCGATAGTTGTTCTTACATCAAATCAAGCACGGGCAAACATTAACCGCCAAGTCTTGGAGTACCGCAGTGACCAAACTGTCAATCCTGTAGGATAGCACCATCGGTTTGCAAACAGAAGCCTCGTAGATCCTCACAGTCTCTCCATGGCGTATGTTCACTAGAAGAAGACAAGAGGAATTCTTGAAACTTGACTACGACATGAATTGGATCTTCGCAGCCCTTTCATCGAAAGGCGGTCCTTGTATCAATATCACAACCTTTGAATTCCAGCTCTGACTCCGTGCAGGGTGAGGCTTCTATCACACAGAATTATGATCTGACTCTAACTATAGAATCATCCAAATCGGGTCGTACCCAGTCATTGAGGAAGTGATTCATGTTGTAGAGCAGATGGGCGCCTCTTCACAAGCCTTCGTTTCGACGATGAAGAAGCGCCAAGTGCGAAGCTCTAGAAAGACATATCTCTCGTCGTCCCCTCGAGCATACATTTATTCTCTGTGTTAGAAATCACATGAGTGCAACTATGGAACACGAAGCACCCTCTGGCAATAAAATAGATTCAAAATAGATACAAGAGTTGAGGTCCAAAGATTGATATTGAAATGCAACCGACAGCCACATTACCCATACCGAGTCGTTTCGTCTTCAAAATTCATGCAGTTACACAATCATCCCGGAATGTAATCCTTAATCTTTAGCATCCCAGAGTCCAGACCTTTGAGCTTGTAAAATCCCTTTGTATCGGTGATATCGCTCTCCTGCACCTCCGGGGGGAACTCATAGCTCATGACCGACTTGGGGTTTCTCGCGCCGTAGATCAACGCGCCGCCCTCGAAGCGGTGGGGATCCAAAGCAAACTCGTGGCGTAGGCCTAGAACGTGTCCAAGTTCGTGGAGAAAGATATTCTTGAGTATCTTGCGATACGTATCGGAGGTTTCGAGTGCCTTTTTGTACACGAACATGGTGCTCAGGGGCTGAGAATTGGGGAAGAACGCCGACGCCAGGACGCCCTCTTTGTCGCCACCATACTCCAGCACGAACGCCGCATCCTCGAGATTGTCCACCCAGGCAAACTTGACGCCGAGATCGTAGCTGTTCCACTGTTCCGCTGCCTCCCACAGACGGAGCGCAGCAAACTCGGCATCCCCGTCCTGGGGGTAACCCCCTCCGTACGCAGCAAAGTTGACCACTGATCCGTATTCCCACCGCGGGATTTCTCGAAAGAGACCCACGAGGATAGATGCCACAGAGCTCGGGTCAAACTTCTCGGTCAGACAGTTGTAATGGTTCTCGAGGCCATCCGTGGCGGCGCTCGAGTCGGTCGTGCTGGATGTGGAGGTGCCTCTCTTCTGGAGGACCTTTGCAGGATCGACAACCTTGACCTTGTCTTCTCCAAACTTGTCCTGGATATAATGAACGGCAGCGACGCGGCGGTCGTGCTTTGCTTTGGTGCCGTTGAGTGGTACTTGATTGTTAGCCATCATGGGTGGTCGGAGTATGCCACTTGTGCGTGCATGCGATGAGGGTGGTGCTTCTTTGGAAGAAGATGAAAGAGGAGTCGCAACGGTTCCGCACCAGTCTGTGTCGTTGTTTAGGTCCGTGATGATATTTGGCGAGTTGCCGACGGTTTTGAATGAGATGTTCTACCCAAGAGCATCAGGAGTGAGTAGGTAGTAAGGCACTCTTTAAATAGTCCACAGATTCTCTAGTACGGTGGACATGTCCTCCTTCAGATGCACTTTTCCTAAGGGCTCAAGACGACAGCAGCAGCGTCCGGGTGAGATGAAGCTCATTCAGACCGAGTTTCGTCACTTGCATTCCACACAAGACCTCTTGCTCACGAGGACTGCCATCCAGCTTCAAGAAATACAATCATGGCAAGGTCTAGATCCTTTGAGGAGTTGCCGAAGACGCAGTGTCCGGGCGACGCACAGCTTGTTCATACCTAGTATCATACCTAGTATCATCACTTGCATTCCACGCAAGGATGCTTGAGAGCTGCCGTTCAGTTTTGAGAAACACAATCATGGCAAGGTCTAGATCATTTGAGGGGTTGCGAAAGGCGCACAAACCACTAAGCAGTGACCCAGCCACTGCGGCTTTCTGCATAGGTAAATCGCCATTGAGAAACTCTGTTCTTGAGCTGAACCGTGCTGGCATTCCGGCCGAGCACGCCTAGATCCAATGGAACAACATGCGTCAGCGAGGGGAGTACTGAAAGGGGGCATCAGCTATGTGTCTTGCTTTGATACCGATATGAGACTTGATACCGACATGAGACAGCGAAACAACTGTCTAGGCGAATCCTGCTCCTTGGGAGCTATACGAGGTTGTGATGCGCTCGCAAGAGTTTGCAATGGTCGTGAAGACCAGCGTGTGCCATGACTGGACACGGATTCCGCGCCGGAGTCGACTTTTCGACACAATGTCTTCCCAGCTCGCACCTCACACGTGGAGTTGGTCACGGGCTGACTTTGCGAACAGGGCTGAGGTTTAACCTTTCCATAGACGAGAGTGAATAGAGTATAAGCTTTTGGGCGTTTTAACTTGACCAAACAGCTTCATGAGGCCAGTACACATTGAACGGCATTTCCAGACCAGGGACTCCTGTGACAAGCAAGAAGAAATGGGGGACCAGCCTTGGCTGAGCTACGGCCTGGTCCATGACAGGCTGGGCCGGTCCGCACGTGTCGCGTGCCGTGTGACCCATAAGAGATTAGGGGCCTCGCAGCATTCCATTCCCGATTATAAACTCCGCAATTGACACGTTCTGGGTCAAGCCAGGTTTTGCCCACTGACGTCTTTGGAATTCGTCGCATTGGGAACAAGCCATCGAGGGACCATGCTGTCGCATTGAGTTTGCTCCTGCATAGGCATGGAGACAGAAAGTCAATTATTTGACTTTGAGTTCAGCCCTCAATCACTGAGAATGCACGGCATTTCTCATGTACACCGGCGGAGAGGAAACCCATGTCACTTGAACAAAACTCGCGTCTGAAAGCCAGACTTTTTCTACGATGCGTCCAATCCGTCGAAATCTGCTCGTGGGGATTGTCTATGTGGTTTGAGCAAGCACAGGGGGAACCGCAGGAGAAGCTTTTCCAACTTTTATTCGAGCCGTGTTTCGAGTCGAATAAAGCCGTGAAATGTCGGGGGTTGGCTCTGCTCGGTGGAACGGTAGGAGCAAGTGGAAGAATCGATAGTATATATTTGGACTTCTATCAACGAGTACGGTGGCACCTATCGATGCGGGTTGCAAATGTCATGAATTGCTAAAAACCCCGTACTTTTAGAAGCCTTAGATACAGTAAATTTAACTACCTTCGTATATTTAACTACCTTCGTATAACTTAATACTTCTAATTACAAATATACTACTATTTAAGGAGGGAATAACTGTCAGACACATGTTGCATACCAAGGTTGTTGCAGGCATTAGGGGTGGCTGAAGCCACTAGCCCTGTGGCTGGGTGTGGCTCAGGAAGCCCCGATCAGGTCACGTGCACAGGGGGCGAACCGAGGGAAGAACCTTCGCAGCCGAGGAATGCTTCTAGGAAGATCAAGAGATTAATATTGTCACTTAAGGACGCCGTACTCGCCGCGATCTAGCTACGCCCTCTCGACATTATACACCTTCTCACTCTCTTCATTGAATCCAGTTTCTGACAAATTTTTACTACAAACTAAGAATTCTATAATAAATCACCCTCTTCCTTATTCGATTCTTACTATAAAAGGCTGGAATAGGGACCCCGACTAGCGCGGTACGTGAGGATATTCGCTAAGGAAGAATTATAACCAATTCCTTAATTCATATTGCTGATTCTTACTAAAAAGAGGCGTGCTGCAAAGTTATGCCCTGCAAACATTTTGCAGCACTCATGCAGCGGGCCCTTAACAAGCACGTGGCGCTGCTCAGACCAATTATGCAGGTCATACGACTCCCACACCTCGATGCAGCGGCTCGCACCGCTCTAAGCCCAGTCCCAGCCGTGCTAGCCGTACTCCGTCGCGTCAACGTTCAGGTCTGTTGCGATGAGGAAGAACTTATTGCCCTCGGGGGAGCGGACCACAAAAGGATCCATCGTCCCATGCATGGCTTTGGTAGAGTTGAGGACCGCGTTTCCGCCGTTGGTTGCCACCCGAGCAGTTGCTTCGTTGCCTACGCTCGTCGCGAAGTACACCTGCTGCCATCTCAGCAAATATTTCGACCTCCTGCGACCGACGACTTATATAGAGCACGGGGTCTTGACAACATATACTGAGAATAGTCGTCACCTCTGCTTGATTTTTGGAGCGCACCCACACTAGCGGCATCTATGATGATCAATAGATTAGGAGAGAAGGAAGAGGATGAATTCTCTATCTGAAGAAGATGCTGATGCTATGAAAAGAGGAAGAACGCGACAGCGCGAAGATGCTGCCTTTTGAGGGCAGCTGTGGGCTGAATGTGCAGCCTGACCAATCAAGGCAGTGACTGGCCTGCCACACAACAGAAGCGTAAACAGCCTGCCACACTGACCCTCTATTTCTTCTCTCCTTCCTATGACATACATGTATGTGAAGCCAGAGTCGGCGGTCAGTCCATTTCGGATCGTATGTTTCTTCATTGGAAGATCCTTCGAGGGTGGAACGAGCTATCGAACTCAGCTTTCCAGTCAGCGCCTAGTAATGCAACCCGTGCGGTGCAGACTGGACGCGTGACTCCCATCGCATGATGAAGGATCGCCATGCAGATGCCGAGCCACTAGTTGCGGCCTTCGAACCAGGACTACGTTGCATGGCTGCTTTCCGACCTGCCTGTTGCGAGTTGCAGGAAAATCCTCTTGAACGTCTTAGCGACGTCTATAAGAGCCGAAGTCCCGGTCCGGTGAGGGAAAAGCATACAAACATCAATTTCACCATGGCCTTTTCTCGATCCATCCTGTCTCTAGTGTTGAGCGCTGGGCTTTCAGTGGCCTTGACTCGCTCGCCGGTGCCTCCGCAGGTCGATGGCGGGTGGATGGTCTCTGACCTGCCTTTCTACAACGCCGCCACGTACACCTTCGAGAACGGACTGCCCGAAGGACTCATAATCGCCAATTGGCCGACTGGATTGAACTGGCAGGCGGACGCCGCCAACGTCCGGTTCAGCAACGGGTACCTCGAGCTTTGGGTTCCTGGCGGGCAGAATCCTCCCGCTGGAACCAGTTACTCCGGGGCAGAGGTCGACACTGTTGCCAACAACATTGCATATGGAAGCTTTCGCACTGTTGCTGTCCTGACGCAGACCCACGGTGTTTGCAACGGTAAGTTCACTGCGAGGCTTTGATGGTCTATACTAACAGCCGCAGGAATGTTCACCTACCACGATGGCACTCAGGAGTCGGACATTGAGTGGCTCTCGGACCCCAACAACTTGTCGGACAGAGGGACGAACCACCTGTGGATGACGAACCAAGCCGTCAATGGCAATGTCGATGACAAGACCTCGATTCCCGTGCTGCCTCCGGCTCAGCCCTTCGAAGAGCACGAGTATCGCATCGACTGGCTCTACGACCGGGTCGAGTGGTACGTCGACGCTGTCAAGGTGGCCGAGACGGACCAGAACATCCCCTGGAAGGCGGGCGTCTTTGCCGTCAACAATTGGTCCAATGGCGACAGGTACTGGTCAGCTGGACCGCCTGCTCAAGACGCCGTCTTCAAGGTCAAGTCCATTGAGATGTACTACAACACAGTTTAGATCCCTGTGCACGAGGCATCAAAGAGCACACGTCGCAAGCCAGAATCCTTGCTCAAACTAGAAGATAGAATTCGAACACCAGTTGTTCTCTTAGAATACGACAATACACATACACTTGTTGTTCAGCTGCCGTTTTGTAATGTAGCCCAGCGCCGACTGCGAGGTTTCGTCCAATGCAACCACGGGTTTCAGCCTCGCCTGCATCGACATCGCCTGCTTGGGCTTCTTCAACACCTGCACCTCGGCTATCCCCTCGTACCCGGGAGATGGAATCAGCTTCGGTCCCAGGATCTTCTTCTGCACCTTTCCCCCGGCACCCTTTGGGTTCCCCCCCCCCTTCCACGACCCTCAATATAGTTGGCAGCTTGTACGCGGCCAGCTAGCCGCTCAGAGTACTCCTGACCTTGGCAAGGGTGATATCCGAAGCATTCTTCACAGTCAGCACAGCACCAACACGCTGCCCAAACTCCTCCTCTTCGACGCCTACCACTATTGCCTCATTCACGTACGGCAGCGACAGGCACGCGCGCTCAACGTCGAGCGCGGAGATCTTGTAGCTACCGGACTTGACCATGTCGACTAAGGCGCGACCCACAATGAAGTAGAAGTACCCTTCTCGCCGTGCGATGTCACCAGTTTGGTACCAGCCATCGGCATCGTGGGCATTCTTCGTTGCATCGGGGTCCATGAGGTACCTGGGTTATTCGTCAGCTACAGATACAGCTACGAAGCCGAATGAGAGATCTCGTGGGGTGTAGTACTCACTTGGCAAGCATGTTGGGCGTCTTGACTAATAGCTCCCCCTCGGGCGAGATCTGAAGCTCTACGACGGGCAGAGGCTGGCCTACACTTCCCTTGGGAATGCCCCGAAGGTGGGAAGACACGCGCAGACAGCCAGGAATTTCGGTGGCATCGTAGCGGGTGAGGATGGGCCGGCCTCTTGTGGCAGTCCAGAAGTCCTGCACGTTCTCCTGCAAGGCGCTCGTTCCACACAGCATCGCACGCAACTGGCGAGAAAATTGCTTGTAAGGGATCTGCTCTTGGACTGGGAGCTGCTCGATGAATCACTTGAGGCGCATGTAGATGGTGGGCACAGCGGAGAAGATGGTCAGGCCGCCCTGGAGCCAGCACAGCGATCGGAAACTCGCACACCCGCGCCCCCCGCGCCGCAAGCACGCCGATATACACCACTTCGTTACGTCTCAGCCGTGACTTCACCGTCGAGGGCAACGCCGCTACCACCACCTCCTTGAGCCCTAGCACCGCGTCAAGCAGCTCTCCATACGTCCTAGAGAGGCCGAGCTCCCGGTCCGTGATGGCAACGCGGTGCCGTTGCGCGTGCCGCAATAGTCCGGTGAGCAATGGGTTGTTGGGCAACACATGTGAACCTTCGTACGATGGCACGATCACCGTACGGTCCATATTCACAGATTTGATAGGGATGGTGCTAAGAGTCTGAACCACACTGAGGTGATTAATGCTCCGGTGCGTGGCCACATCGGTTTCTTTTGGGCGCGAGAAGTGACCAACACATTTTTCCTCTACTCATCGAATATCGCGATGCGTCTTCTGCTTAAGTCTCGATGCATAGTATATGAAATTTGGTGGTATTGTCTTGATTTTTTAACGCTGTTCTGTCTTTATTATTCAAGTTAAACCATTCCCTTCAAGCACTCCAATCTCGGTTAGGCTTACTAAAAAAAGTTAACAGTTGGTGAGATTAGGTCTGCATAGTCTCAAGGAACCTTGTGACGGATCCCATGGTGTTCTGGGGCGTGCATATATAATAATTATTCTGTAAATCGCAATCGATGGTCCGAGAGTCGACCTGTATACCGCGATAATAACAGCCAGACACCTATACAGTTGGCCATGAAAGAACAGTCCAATGCCGCTATTACCCTTCTGCTGAGTCGGCTATATCGTAGGCCCCTTTGCTTTGGTCAGGGCCAAAACCAACCCTTCTGAAGGGCAAAGTCCACTCGCGTGAGCTTCAATCTTGCAATCTGTATAGCTTGTCGTATCAGCTAGTACCTGGTTCCCTGTGACCTTGACTCAGGGTGATGAGCCTTGGTTCCGGAGATTCTCCATCATGACGGGCAGCAGTTAGAGCACGGTTTTCTTCGTCCGGAGAATGTTCAGGATAGATCTTCTGATATACAATGAGAAGGGAGTCCGGCTTCGGTCCGATAACTAACGCGACCGTCTGCTCAGCAACGAGAACGTTGCCGTATTGGCCATACAGGCCGACTGCCATGAGGTACATCAAGGGTCATAGGACCGAGCGCATGGTGAATAATAAGAGAAACGCAGGGCTAAGCTCTGCGGATGTGCGTACCATGGTTTCAATCGAAGAAGGGAGGGTAAGTGGCCGTCTGACCAGGCCCGTATGCCGAAGATAAGCAATCGTTTCGAAGTCTAGATATCTACGAAACAGAACCTTGTAGTTCATATCTTCGGGAACATCGCTAATGCCTCTGAATATTTCGTTTTGATGCAGTGGCGTTCGTATGCACTCAAAGAGGCGAAGGCAGAGACGTTGACAGTTATTTGACAAGGCCTTGTAGCTTGTACAAAGCTTTCTCGCTGAAAAAAGACCAATTTAAAGACTCTTAGTTATTTCCTCCGGAAAGACTGTCACATACCGTAGGCTTCAACTTGCCGATCATCCACGGACGTGTATCCCACGGGACTCGGGGTAAGATTCCAACCCTGAGTGATGTCTCCCTGGAATAGCTTCCCGACATAGCTCGCTACCCCCCGGAAGAGTCTTCTCGATTCATGCAGGTACTGCAAGCCCCGTCCATGGCCCAGGATCAGGCCCCAGTGACTGATTGTCGAGTACGTGCGAGGAACGTGGGGATTCAGTGGGCGAGTCCCCAAATAGACAGGCCGTACACCAAGGGCCTCAAGCGATGCGATGTTCCGAGAAATTCCAAATGAATTCGCAACGTCTGTCAGCAGTGGGTAACGCACAAACTCGAACGGCGGGCCTGTGACGATGCTATTCCACATTTCATACGTTGTTCGCTGCATGATTCGGGCTTGCAAGAAATCAGTCCAATAAGGTTGAACAATGTTTTGGAACGAGAGTTCCTCATCACCGCCCCAGCCAACCCGATCCGCATCCATGAAAATGTCGGCCAACGCCTGTGTCGTCAACGTAAAGCCGTCATAGGTCCGCGTGAGTGATACTAGAAGCTCTTTGTCTGGGCATTGGCGCAGCTGCAACTGGAAGCCCTCGACGCACTGCCTAGCGAGCTCGTTCACGGCATCATGTAGCTCAGGGCCCATCTTGCGGTGGCTGATCTTGAAAACTGTCCTTCAGAGCTCAGCAGGGCACGATGCGTTTCTTCGCCCCCTCAGAGTGCTAACCTGTAGTCTGCCTCGAACTATGAGAATGCGTCAGGATCTGCCCAAACAATAGTTCAGAAGCAGGTAAGAGCACACTCACATTTATAGCATGAAAATCAGCTAGGACCTGGTAAATCTGACCTGTTCTCATCCCAAGATCCTGCCAACTTGACAAACCCTTACGTTAGCCTGCTGTGGGATGCTCGGTCTGTGGAGCAGAGTACGTGCGCTTTAGCAAAGGACCAAGTATCTATTCTCGGGGGGCGTACTATACGCCGTGGAAAACGGATCTTTCCCACCGTGCGGGAATCGTAGGGCTGCGCTAGTACATCGCGAGAGAATGTTGCTGATTAATCGCAGTGGTGCGAAGAGACGATTATAATCCTCAGCGGATAAAGTATAGAAATTGATATTTAGAGTACTGAAAAATATTATAGCCACAGTTACGCAGGTTTATTATTTCGGCACGTGGACAATGTAGGCATCTCTACGTTAGCCCATAGCATCGCACTCATAGTCTAGACCTTGGTCGATAAGCGCCCTGCCGCTTCGGCCGTTCATACTTAGGGATTAGCGCACATGCCACCCACACTCTCATGTATAAAACTCGCCTAAAGGTATCGTACGAACAGAGATTAACTATAACTTACGGCTAGCAGGTAAGTGGCTAGGTAAGGTTAGGTAGGGCTGGTAGTTAATAGATAAAGCTAGGGTTTGAATAAGGCTTAGAGCTAAGAAAGTATAATTTATTAAGGTAATATGGTAGATAAAAGGTAGTAAGTGTTGATATCTATTAAGAAGGAAGTCTCTCTGCGCTATAGCGGTGCGTGGCTAGTGCTTCTCGCTTTAGTGTGGTTTAGTCATAAGTAAGGGCATACACGCGGGTATAGGTGGTAGGTACGCTATTCCCATACTTAGTGTCTACGCTAGCGGTGAATAAAATCGGCAAGATTAGTACTTCGAGACGCTGGTATCTTATTCTCTAGTACTATAGTTTCTCTTTGCCTCCTACTTATATCAAAGATACTAGGAAGGCCTATTCTCTGATTCATGCCGTGGTATGCAGGCTTAGTGCCTGTCCTTAAAGCAACGGTGAATCCTGGACAACATAACTGGATCGCTAACAAACTATCTGAATTAGCTGTTGTTCGTAATTCTATAAAGTCCTGATAGATTAATACTTTTTTGCATCTCCCTAACTCTCTCGTCTGTCTTTTCTCTAGGGCACCCTTCTCGCTTCCGTTATTTATGGATCGCTATCCTGGCCAGCTATCGAACAATCGCCATGGACTACAAAAGCATTGTTTTACTCGGCCCTAATTATCTCGCTCACATCCGTCTCGGCCGCAAGCTAGCAAAGTATTGCTCTATATAGGAGCAGCGGGCAGCAGGACCGTCCGAACGCGGCCGCTAACTTCCTGAAGTGGCCTAATTCGGATCGCGCTGGTAACACGCACCTGTATATCTGGCAGATACCAGTCATATGTTTTAACGTCGGCGTCTTTCTCTTCTTACCAGGTCTCCTCCTGCTGATCTGGGGCGCTGTGTTGAGTCACGCGGCTCGGGATCAGGATACGAAAATAGGTGAAGTCTCGCCTTTAACAGAGTCGGTATGTGTAAGTGTTCAGCTAACTCGAATACATTATGCAGATCGCGGTGATTGCGACTATAGCGGCCATCTTCTACCTAACAAATTCTATTATAGGTTTAGTCACTATATGGAAAGCCGCTGCGCGCGAGGAAATACCACTGCAGGCTCGACCTGTTCAGCAACATCCTACCTAAAAGTAAGTGCAATCTAGTGCGGAGAACAGCCCGATTTAGCGTCACCAGCCCGCGTGTTATGCATCATGCAGCCAGTCCTCAGCTGACTGTCGACTATTGCTTTATATAACTACGGAGATGGAAGTAATAGTAACAAGGAAGGTAAAATATCGCAAGGGAACACGGTCGACTGAAAGGGGAAGGAAAGAGACCACGAGGTGAAAGAGGGAGGTGAAAGGGCGGCTTAAGGTGCTCCTTCCACCGAGAATGCGACTTCTACTAGCCCCACCTCGCCTGCGTTATTGACTCGTTATATTGAACGAAACGCATGAGGCGCATTACAAAACTCAGCTCAGGCTCACCTGCATATATTCAGAACTCAGCTCGGGCTCACCTGCATATATTCTGGACTCGACTCAGGCTCACCTGCACATATATGATACTTTTCAATAGTCTTTTTCCCTTTATCAATAGAAGGCCGATGAAGACTGTGCTGGTGCGCCTTGGACAAGCATCAATCACTCAAGGGCCGATCGTCTCTCATGCAAACGATCGTTGCCTAGCTTCGCTAGTCTGTCAAACAATGCATGAGCCTGTCCACTGTAACGCTTGCTACCTGCGGGCTCTTAGTATTATGGCACGTCTTGCTGCGCGACCGCTTAATATTACGGGCGTTTTACGTCTTATTTCCCGTGGTACGGCTCGTAGACAAAGGGATAAGTTGTGAAGAAGTTTAAGCTAGATAGAGTAGTAGCAGGAACGTTCTGGTGCGTCCGACTGCAGTGATCGGCAATTTTCCAGAGGTTAGCAAAGCTTGACTCGCGGGGCCCAAATGTTGCAGGACGGGCACAGGCTTAACTAGTCTTCACACTCGCATAGG